TCACTCTGTGGCGAGAATGGGAGGCTTGGCGGGCGGCGGTCCGCGGACGGGAAGGGAAGCCTGAAGGAAGGGTGGATGGAAGGGTGGAAGGATGGAAGGGTGGAACGGGATTCATGCGTGTGTGGGTGTGGGTGGGTGGGTGGGTGCAGGGGGATGAATCGAAAGATGCAAGTAAACTATCGCGGAAGGCTTCTAGAACGTTTTTTGTTTGGTTTGGTTACCGTATCGTGGAACCGCACAAGTAAAAGTTGGAACTTGGAACTTGGAAACCGAGACCGTTAAACTTGGAGACACGGGTGAGAATCGGAGGGGACTCTGAAAATTTACATATCGAGGGTTTGAGGTTGATAATAATTCTGTACATCTTATCTGCCTGTAATTATCTAACTGCCTCGGGAATGCGTTCTTCATCCCGTAAAAGTGGGAAGAACACCGGGGCGCAACCCGGATGGAAGGAAGGATGCTCGCGAAACGAGCTCGAGCACCGGTATATAGTAGTACTTACATCTACCTAGCATGTAAACTGTGACGGAGTCAGCGCTCTCTGCCTGCGATTATGCAGGTACTCGCTCCAAAAAACTCTGACAAACATCTTCCTTCCTTCATCTATCTAGGTACCGGAAGATGACGACGAGGACGACGACGACAAAGGGCAGGGCACAGATCAGCCTTGAGTTTCCTGCCTTAGGCACACACATACGCCGCCGCCGCCCAGCTTCCAGCTTCCTCCCCGAGAAACGGGGGTGATCCGTGAAGTCTGTCTGACTGGCTTACATACGGCTTACAACTTGTCAGCCAGTGCCCGTGGACGGAATGCTGGCGGCTGGAGCAGTGGCGACGATATGTAGTCTGCGGACGACGGGGGAAACTTTTGCCGTCGACGTCGTACATACCGTAGAGTACTCTACCCTACTAGTGAGAGTAGTGGTATCGAAGCTGCAGTAGTAGTGGGATGCGCACCGGAGCATTCTTTGTCACTCGATCGACTGACCGCGCACACCCGTCGACAAGCGGCCCGTTATGATAATGACGCGGCATTGACCGGACGGACTGGGCGGGCGCGACAGATGGCAGCTAGTACATAGATCGCTGAACCGGTGGACGGACGAAACGTCAGCATGTTCCGCAACGCTTACGGCACTCCATACTAATACGGTGCATAGTACCAGTATGTACGAGTTGCAACTTGCAAGGCTCGAGCACAGGAAGCGAGCGAGCACGGTGGGGTTCAGGTAGTTATTCGTACTGAACATCTACCTACTACCTAGCACTTTGTTATGTACATACTGGTAGGTAAATAGCCCCCACAACTCGCCCACAACCACGCATAAGGTCTCGGACGGTCGAACCCGGTCGAACCCGGTCGGAGACGAGGAGACGAGGAGACGAGGAAGAACTGCAACTGCATTGTGCACGTCGAATATACACCGCTACCCCATATCTTAACTATTATACCCCATCGAAGGAGAGAGAAAGGGGATAAAATGCTAAGCTTTAAGAACTCCGCCCCCCCGTGCGAGGTTCCCTTCTGGCCTTGACCTTGGCCCTTGGCATACATGCATACACGTCTTCCTCGGCCCAAGATCTAAGATATAGAGGGGTGTTATATAGGGAGGGTTTCAATATCTACTAGTTTGCGGGGGGAGGGATGAGATGTGAAGTGAAGGCACGGTGCAAACACCTAGCTAGACTCGCAGTTTGCAGCTTGCATACTAGTATGTAGGTGGTAGGTGGCAGGTGCAAACCTTCGTCCTCCTGCCGACCACTTCTGACACCGCTCAGCCAGCATTCCTAATCGGCTCGCTTTAAACAACTGGACCAGGCGGACAGGCGGACAGGCTGCTGGGCTGCTGGGCTGCGTAAGGAGAGTGACCATCAACAATACCGCACAACACACAACACACACCTTTGATATCACACACCTTTGATATCACACACTTTCCCAACTAACCCAGCAACAACTACCTTGTCCACGAGGCTGCTGTGCAACGGCGGTTCATCTTTCCCCATCACCACGACCGAGATGGGGGTTGGTAGCCCCGTGAGAGGTGCATATACACTTCTGCAGGGTGTGGACATGCTAGCATATCATCCTCCAGGCTCGTCTGCTAGGTAGTGAGCTCACGACTCACGACAGGGTTCCGCCCCGGGCCGCGAACACAAGATTACCAAGTATGTATTCCACCAACAAACCCCATGAGGTATGACAACAACAATGCTATGTATGGGTGAGGATGCGAAGGTCAAAGGTTGTCGATGGTTCACCGATACCTAGAGCTGGGTACCTATTCAAGGCCTCATCGCTTTCCATGATCCATCGAGTGGAGGAGCCCCCGAATGATTCCGCCGGAAGAGTGGCTACACCTGTGCATACCATATCACTCGGAAGGCACCGATATCGGGTATTTTCTGCTTCCCGTTTGCGTAAGCAAGCAAACGTTATATACTTTTTTTCCTTTCTGTGGGAGAGGGGGCGAGTCGTTAGTTCTGTCTGGTGCATTCAATCATGAAGGAGAGATCAATCGTTTGGGTTGCTCTGTGGTTGCTCTACGGAGTCTTCTACGAGGCAGGCTCCGTGAAGTGTCGTCTCTGATTGGACGCCCCGAAAATCGGCTGTTGTCAATGATCAATCTTCAGTGGTATGTCTTCGTTCTCGACCACTGAGATACTGAGATCAACATTGGTCCTCAGGCCTCAGCCGGGATAGTTGCAAGTTACAACTTACAGCGACATCCGTTGGCACATGTATGGAAGTATAAATGTTGTGTTCAGTTGACAGCTATAATCCCCTTCTCATATAGGTCCCGAAGTACCTATCATCTCAGAATGAAAGGATTGGACGAATAATCCACCCACCACCCCGTTTTCTCCCCCCATCTGTCCTGGCCACAGTACATACATACACACATACATACCTACAAGTCCGATCTAGATCCCAACCTCTCCAGCCCTCCAGCCCCCAGGATTCACTACCTATGTAGAGTACATACATACGCCCGCGCTGCGCACATGACTGACTGACTGACATGTGCGGTGCTTACGCCAAGAATCTGAAGGGAATCGTCCGATCCGAGTGGGTGTGTGGTTTAACATCTACCGAACAAGAGTTGAGAACGAGAGATGACCTTGGCCTTGACCAAGTCTCGGACATGTGGGTGTGTGTGCAGTGTGCAGTGTGCACTACGAGCTTCTACATACGACCATCAATCGCCGTAGGCCCGCTGTTTGAACGCTGGACGGTGGACGGTGAACACGTCCTCGAACAAAACGAGATCTTCAAAAGCACAGTGACTAGTTCTAGTGACTTACCCACCAACACATACATAGGTACACACCTACACTTCGACACGGGGAACGGGAACAGGAGGGGTGTGAAGGGCGAAGGGGAAGAACGAAGAAGGACCAGGTTCATCACCATCTCTCATGGAAAACCCCGGCGTCCGAGGCACTCCACCTGGCTACGGCATGGCATGGCGTAGTGGTGTAGGTATGTACAACTTAGATCTGTGTAATAGAATAGAGTGGGTACTCAGACACTGCATAAGTTTCTAGAAGCTCCCGACGGAATACTCACACACACACAGCCAATGCGCACTCGCTAACTCTCCCACCACCAAACAAACAAACGGCAAAGATCCGAGTGGGAGAGGGAGAGAGGGAGGGAGGGAGGGAAGGAGGGAAGGAGGGAGGGAGAAGCCGCGGTATCTACTCTACTCTAGATACTGTAGTGATACCCATGCTGGCGATCAAAACAACACACACATAGAGTAGAGTAGTGTAGAGTAGGTGTTTACATGCTGGTGCTGGTGCTGGTGCTGGACTGCAACTCACTGATCCCTGGCCAACCAAACGGAGCTTCCATATATACGAGTAATTTATGGGGGCTAATGTCGAGTATCTAGGGCGTGTTGTGTAGTTCGTACGCGCGTGACCAATCATGAACTTGCATCCGGCCTCGGTGGGTGTCTCGGAGGGGTGAGTACGTAGAGTACGTAGAGTACCTACCTTCCTAGGCTGTATCCAATCGAATCCCCCATGTACGATGATACTTACCCATCAGATTTCCACCAGGCCCACCTGGCTGTTTGTCCACAGCAATAACAACAAATACAACAACAACACCACGAACACGAGTGTGGAGTACCGGTAAGTCATAGATTCTAGTGTCCACCCCGAACTCGCCGGGGCCCGGCCGTGATACCGTACTGCGCTACTGCCCATAGTTAACTAGAGTAAACACGAAACCCGTGCCTCGTGCGTAAATATATATCCGTAGTTATGTAGCTAGAGACTACCGGCAGTTCAGCAGCAGCAGCAACACCACCAGGTGAGGTGGGGTTGGGTGGGGTTTGATCGTACTCTAGGTACATACGGTACCTACGGTACCTAGAGTACCAGGTATGGGAGGCATGTAGAAGGTATGTACCCTACTCGCGCTACCATGTACGGATCCCGCCCCCCAGTCCGGCGTTCAGTGAGTCTCACCGGGCTCTATACGAATCGGAATGTTGTCCGCCCCATATGACCGGGACTCTAGTTAACTAACTACGGGCATCAGGAATCGGGATTCGGATAAACACCTTTTTGGGGGGTTTAAAACAATAAAAACAAAGCCCAACATAAGAATAGGAATGATAATAAGAATAAGAATAATATTCCACACCGACTCCATCGCTAAATAAGCTGCTTACCTACGTCCCCCAGCCGTCACGGACGATAACTCGCAACCTCAAACCCAACCCAACCGAACATAAGGACCCAGCCAGAGGTTTCGACCATCTCGACCGCTGTTCACTCGTAAGAAATGAAAAGCAATACGTAGAGTATAGAAGCGACTGGTCGACAGGCCTTGATTCTCAAGCTGGACCTTGCCCATACCTCTCGCGAGTATTATACGATGAAGGGCTGGCACAACTCCAAAACGCGGTCAATGACCGGTGGAGTCAAGTAAGCAGCAATAAGTACTTGGTTGCACTTATTCAACATTGAAGAGCAAAGATATCTACACCAAAACGGACGTGCCCGTCGTCGAACCAAGACATGCCCATTGACCGTAAAGAGCTGTTGGATCACTGGCAACCTAGCATCGCAGAGTAAGACCATGTATGTACACCAAAACCAATGTCCATCAACACGGCAAGATATGCCAAATAACTACACCACGCACCCGCAGTCTATTTTACATAGGCGGGAATGCCATAGACGACCGGTGCTGCGCCATTGAGGTAGCCAAGAAGACACTTCTTCCTCGCGCTCGTCACCGCCTCGACCAAGCTCATACCCGGCTTGCCACGGTCCCCGATAAGTCCCCACTTCTCCAGCGTGTCCTTAGTGAACCGATCGATATCCTTGTCTGTTACATCCCACAGGTTTGCCAGGATGGCAGGGCATCCCGCAATGAGGTAGTTGGTCGGCATGCCGTAGGGTTCGAATTCCCCGGCATCTTTGAGCGCCCCGGAGGAACAGCCCATCAGACACGTCACTGCGCAACGGTCGAGCTTGCGAATGGTCCGTGGCGGGCAGTAGTGGGCGCCCGAGCCGTGGCCGAAGTATAGCATGATATCCTTCGACGTGAGGTTTTCCCTAAATTCCTCTTCTGTTGGGGCTCGGTTGACCACTGCGGTCCAGTTGCCCGGTAGCGTCTTGAGGTCGGACTCGAACATCTTTTGCGTATTCTTGAGGTCCGAGTCCGGGTTGAGGATGAAAGTGCCCGAACTGCGGGCGACGTAGTGGCCCGCACGAGAGGTTGGGTCGTCATTGGTCTGCTGCATTTGGAGGATTCGGTCCCGCAACATCGCCATTGATGGAAGTCGTGACACCGAGTGCTCGCGGAGACAGGGCATCGATTCCCATGGGAGTGTCTGAACGGTTTTGTCAAGGATGAGGATGGTATGGTCAACCTCTGCTTCGATGTCTTCCGGGTTAAGTGCCGCCTCTTCATGATATGCCGACAAAGCACCGGTCAGTCCCACGACCATCTGGAAGGTTTGTCAGCTATAGGGGACCGTGATGCATTCAAGGGAACCACTCACCGAATCTACGTCGATCTCATCATAGGCATTACCTTCGCCATGGAACTGCAAGATGTCGACCACAAAGAAAATCAAGTCTGTGAGTGCCTCGACCAGGTCCTGTCCATCTGGGTTGCCTAGTGCTATAAACAACTCCAGAATTCGGTAATCAATCTCTACCTTTCCACCCTTTTTCCTTTTCCTCGAGGGTAGCTTGGAAAGTATCTTATCGAAAGTCGCTTTGAATCGCGCAAATAGTGCCAGGTTCTTCGGATACTGAGAAAATATTCCCTTGAAGCCTCCGAGCCAGGTCTTCTCAATCCCTTCGAGCAAATCACTCATTTCCTTGTCCAGTGACTCACGTTCCTTCCACCATACCGCGCGATCCGCCTTATTCTCCATGTACTTGGCGTGCTGAGTGCTGGTATTTGACTTCGAGATGATTTCCTTCAAAGTCGAAACAGCCATCTCGTACTCGATCACTTCTTCATAGTCGTCCCGAGAATTGTGGCGGTTGAGTGGTAACCTGACCATTAACTGGCTCTTTCCAGACTGGAAGCGAGTGATGTAAAGCTCCTTCTTGTTGTCACTCATCGTTACGGATACCGCCGCCCATTTTTTCGGGATTATATCGACGTACTCCGACTGGAAGTTCAGAAACTCGAACGGAATGATATCGAATCGTGCCGTGTGAGCGTGCGGCACACCGACTGAAGGCCAATGTAGGTCTTCTTTTGCAGTAAGGACGAACTTGTCGGTTTCGACAACCAGTTTCTCCCTTTGCGTTGCTAGCACCTTTTGCAACTCTGTTTTTGTCAGTGGGGTCACAAACGAGCATCGGATTAATTACATACCCAACGAATAGCTAGCATAAAGAGGATGCTCAGGACCTGGCCCCTTGGAGTTTGTGAGGGCGGAGAGCAAGACAATGATGCTGGTGAGAAGCGAAGCAACTCGGGGTATTGTAGTGGACGACCCCGCTTTCATAGCCTTGGAATGGACTCTGAAAATGCAATCTCTGGCACGTTCAAGTACCATGATAAAGTCTTTGGATGGTTTGGCGGCTTCTCTGCGCGTGGATTTCTTGACCGGGGATGCCGCAGCAATCTCAAGAGCTCTTACGACACTCGGCAGCGATATTGTTGAATCCTGTAACACGCTAAACACCGGATCCGACGCAACCAGAGAAAAGGCTTCATGAAACTGTGTTGTGGCTTCGACGAGACCTTGTGAAATGACTTCTTGGGTTCCTACTGGCTGCTTGGCTGCTCGTTCCAGGATCTCTGCAGCAAGGTCGCATTCCCCTTGTAGAGCCAGGCTCTGGGCGATCAGTCGTTGGATGTCACCCTTCTGCTTCAACAACGATACACACTCGCTGGAAATCGATGAAGCCGATTCTCCAGAAGTTGGTTGAGCAGCAGCGGCCTTTGCAGCAGCAGCCTTGCCACCTCTCGTAGGTGTCTTCGCTCGAGTCGGTGTTTTTGCACGGGTCGGCGTTTTTGCACGTGTCGGTGTTTTGGCCCGCGTTGGGGTCCTGGACCGTGTAGGCGTCCTTGAACGAGTCGAAGGTTTCTCCTCATCGATATCCATTGCGTCCTCTCTGGGCGCTATTAGTATCAAGCAGACAGGAATGATGCATAAAACCTACTGATTGGGCAACTCCTCCTGCACTTCAGTGTCTCCTGTCGATTTGTCCATAGCCTTGGCAAGCAGCTCGTCGATCATCTTTTCTGCGGCCCGATAAGCTCCCACTTCCGACTCGAAATCTCCTTGCATTTTTTCCAGATTGCCTTTGGCCACATGGAAAGAAATCATTGCTCGAGTTGCACTCATGGATTCTTCTACAGCCCTGAGAATTGCCTCGCCTTCCTCGGTCTCGCCACACCTGATCTTCAGATCTCCGAGCCATACATTCGTCCAATCAATGATTGGTTTCGCGTCGACAGCCTGGAGCGCTTTGAGAGCTTCATTGACGTAATACATTGATTCCCGGATCATGCCAAGGTGTCGATATATGTTAGCGGTCTGCATATACCCCTGATGAAGGGCCGATACGAGCGACCATAGAGCAGGTCGATTCAAAGCATCGGTATTGTCAGAATTCTCCTTCGCCAGAGAGAGCGCCTGCAGATTGGTCGCCAGGGAGTCTGTTCCTTGGGATTTTGCAGTATTACTCATCATCTGTAGCGCAGTCCAAGCTCTAGTATTAAGCTTGATACATCGGCGCGCATGGACAAGTGATTCGTTGGCGTTTCCCTACAGTCGTTAGCATAATGACCGGTACCCTTTAGAAGACGGGGCTCACCTTCTCGAAAGCGAGTAAGCTTGAGACATATGCAGCGTCGGCAATCGCCCGGTTCACTTTCACACGTTTCAAACTTCCACTGCTGCTGGTTTTGTAGGATTCGAAATCCTCATCTCGAGAGGCGATTTGACCCGCCACATCGAAATACTGCAACCCTTTGTCCAGGTTTCCGATACTAACGAGATACTCCGTATACGCAAGATGCCATTCGAGCTGGGTCGCAGTGGCAACATCGTCGCCCAACTTTTTGAGCCATGCTTGGGCCCTTCCGAGTGACATTCCCGCTTTTCCAGAGTATCCCAGCCGCAAATACTGGAGACCAATTTTAGAATATAGTCCAATCAAAGCTAGAGAAGTACCCCATTAGTTTTAGTTGCGAGATAATGGCCCAAAAGACTTACCGTCGTAATTCGGCGTAACCTCCATTTTCCGTAGGCCCAGTTCCAACTCTAGAACCACTAGCCTCACGTCGTACTCCCCTTTCATGTCGAAAAACTCCGCAGACATTCCCAACCGTTTGATGGTGTTTTCTGGATGGTCGACCCTGCACACAATGCCATCCCAATGTCCTTCGTGTTGGATGATGCCGTTCCACAATTCACAGGCCCCTAGCACGAGGTCCGAGCGATTCGGCCAGTCAGACAAAGCCAGTCCCATGCAGCAACGGGCGAGAACATCATCTCTAAATTTCTCAAGACCCGCATCCTCGTCGAAATCGCAAGAAGCAACACCGGTTGCCCACTCGAGGACTTCGTTTGCCAAAAGTCGCACCTCCTTTAGGTCAAGCAATTCGGGTTGATCAACGACTAGCTCCAAGAGATTGACGACGACTCTGCTCCGGCGGATCGGCATTTCCTCGAGTTCGTAGACATCCAGCAGGCGTTCCCCAAGCACTCTCACCACCGAACCATCATCCGTCATATGCTCTTGAGCCAGAGAGAAGCACCATTCGAGTAAGCAGCCTCTACTGGTGGTGTTGAGACCATAAGCGTCAAATCGCAATTCTGCAGCGACCCTATCCTTCTTCTTCGTTGCTATCTTGACCAAACCTGTCAATACCGCGCCGACCGAGGCAATCTCTTTACCAGAGCTGCTGATTAGTTGCTGGATAGATTCGCCTTGCGTTGCACGCTCTCCGAGCTCCTCTAGTAGGCCAGTCGATGAGGCAATCTCCAAGGCTTTAAGGTAGGCCTGTTCGCCGTTCCGGTATTCCCGAACACTCAGGTATAAGCCTCCCAGAATCTCCCATTTTCTTGCAATCGACGCACTGATGAGTTCGGGAACCGGTCTATCTTGCATTGCACTTATGCTATTCCGGAGGGCCTTCACGGCTTTATTCTCAGACCCAGGCGCTTTTCGTAGAAGCAGGAACATTTGCCAAAAGACCGTCGAAAGCTTGTTGTAGAAAGTCTCCACCGTTCCGGGCTTCTCCCTCTCAATAGAGTTCACCGTCGTCCAGCAATCTCCGAGAAACTCTTGGATGTTCGTCCATGACTCTTCATCTCGGATATCAAATCCCCACAGACATGCCGAGACCACGGTATCTACTGCAGGGAGTAGAATCGACTCTATTCTTTCCTGTTCCTGTTCGGTAGTGCCCAAGGACATGATTTTGCGGCAAAACTTCACCACACCTCGAAAGGTTCGGTCACAAATGTTTCGTAGCTTCCGTTCTGCTTGGATTGTTGCGTCGCTTCCGACCTTTCGTCCTTCGTGTGGTAGCGCAGACAGAAGAGCAAGACAATGACGTCTGAACTGTCCTGCTTCCTCAAGTAAGAGGTAGAGGTCTGGCTTTCGCCCTCGTGAAATGGTCCCCAGCCCTTCGGAAGCAAGAGCAACCCTTGTCTCAATAGTTTCTAGTTGATCGAGCGGGGGTATCCCTTGGGCGACGAGTGCTAGACGTAATGATTTCAGTTCCAGAACAGCCAACCTAACTTGACAAAGGACCGTCAGGGCCTCGTCTATCGGATCGCCGCCCTTTTGCAACGCATTTAGCCATTCTCTGGTCCATCGTTGGGATTCTGCGGGGAGATTCGATTCCGATGCTGCCAGGGATACCAGTTTGTAGACTTCAAGAGATAACGCTTCCTGTGTGAACTTCCTTTTCACTTTTTCTATTGTATCTCTAATGAGTGTATATCGTTCTCGTTTACGGTTCGGATCCAACGATTGTGTCCTCCGGATATAGGTTGCTAGATACTTCCCATAATACTCCCACAAGCTTTTGGGGTTCGGTTCTGGACGTAATTTCCGTTGGATAAACAAACACTCTACGCTCAGGAACTGAAGAAGAAATGCGGTATTCGGTGCGCAGAGTGTTTGACTAGAGGACGAGACTGAGTCCTCATTCGAAGAGATAGATGGTGGTAAAGTAAGCAACATCTGCAATAGGCTGGTGATATGGGATAACGCCTTCGAAGCCGACGATTTAGCAAGTGCTTTGGTGCATGCGATAGGGCCGGTCTCAGCCGACAGTGAGGGTAGGATAGTCTGATACGGAAATTAGCATCCAAGGAAATGATCTATGGTGGTGGTTCTTACATCTGCTAAGCCGGGCTTCTTCATCCCTACGACGCAGCGCAAAATTCCAAGTTGGCATTGAATTACTAGAGGAAATGCTGAATTCATTGCTGAAACCCCGGGAAAATCCAACAGTGTTGAGAAATCCTCCTTGGCCACTTTCTTTCTAACATCAACCAACCAACTCTCACCACCACTATCCCCTCGCATAAGACCCAATAGTCTCCACTTCAACAGCTTCAGCTCATTCATTGCGACGCCGTATCTCCCAAGCGCTGTCAACTTCCCCGCAAGACTGAGTCGTGCATTCTCCGTCTGTAGTGGTTGCGTTGCTTGGATGCCTTCGACTGATTCGTTGGATATCAAAAATGATATCGAAAAGCTACAGCACATTGCCAGGTAGTCGACACCATCAGAAGCACCAAGTGACATGTCGTTGTTGTTTCCGGACCGTGCCTTTAGCACCTTTTCAGGTTGTGTCATGAGTCTGCGTCCTCCTTTTGCAACGTCTTTGCCCGGCGGTGGCGTGCTATCACTTGATGATTTTGCCTTCGCAGCTTCAATATGGGATGCCAGAGAGCGTAGACTGCCATTGATGACCTCGACTGCGAGCCTTGACCGGTCGGCGATTGGTAATTGGAGTGGAACATTCGGCCGGGTTTTCGAAGTTGATGCAGGTCGAGCACTTCGTCCCTTTTGAAGTGACGAGGAAGGGCCTGAGAGGGTTTCGGTGAGCAATGCTAATGTTGTACTCGAACAAGACTCGGCGGAGAGAGATTGTTTGATTGTGATATATGGGTTCGGAGGAGCCGCTGCTTTCGGAGGCATCGTGGAAGGAGGGGTCGGGAGGACGGCAGTGGAGTAGCCGGTAAAAGGATCTTTATATATATCCTGCCTAATAAGCCGGTGTATCGAGAGGACGTAGGCGGGAGTTCTGTTCTGTTAGTACGGCGTATGGGAATCTTTTGCTGTAAGAACAAAGACAGGAAGTAGCGGCGCGTAAGTGTGTGGAGCGAGCAACTTTGACGCGCTCCGCACTCAGTTGCTATGACAACAGGGTAATGATCAACACAGAAACGAATGACAGCTCGAGTTACACAGGGCTAGTTCTCCAAGGGGATGGGAATGCGACAGAGCCGCCCGTGGTTTGCAGTCAAGCTCACTCAGTCAAGCTCATCGAGTCTCTCTCGCTTCCCCGGTCTCCCGCCTTTGACTTCTTGACAGCATATCTCAAGTTATTGTTCTCACAATTCAACTGTCTCCCAGGCGGCACATCACCATCTCCTTGTCAATGGAGGAGTGACGACCCACGCGTGTACACAAGCAATCCCATAGCTCCTATCCCGAACGCCCAACCACCACCGGAAACCTCAAGATGACGGGCACCAGTCTCAACGGAGCTTCCATTAGGACCACAGCTAGCACTGCCGGTACTGTCGTCTCTCGAGCCAGCGTCGGAAGCTCACGAAGCGTTGGCGGTAATGGGCATATGGTCGGAGGCGGATACTATGTTTCAGCGAATCAGCAACATGTCGACTACATTCTCGTGGCCGAATTCTCCATCGATAAAGGGTCCATCATGGAGCACCAATATCCGAATCCAATTAGTGGCGATGAACAGTAAGCCCGTGCAATGTAGCCAATACTTCGCATGCGAACACTCGCTGATCATGCCGACTCGCATAACAGCATGTTGGCGGAGCTCATGCTTCCGGATGGAGCCCATACTCGCGATCAGGATTGGACAATCTTCTTCCTACACAAAGACGCCGAGCAAACCGAAGAACAGCAAGAACCCGGTGTGCAGGCGCCGTTAATATACGTCCTTAATCTTGTCATCACGAAGCATGATAAAGAAGCAAAAAGGTGGGGTAGGGCCGACTATGCATGCACAGACTTGGAAGCTAATAGATATTGCATAGAGGTGCAATAGTGAAAGCGATGGCGATATGTACGCGGCATTCTTTCCTGCATATCTACAAGCCATTACTCCTTTTTGCGCTGGAGGATTATTTCAAAAACCCGTCGGTTGATATCCTGACAAAGCTGTTTACCTCCGTAAACAGCATGGACCTCTCAGCCATGCCGCGGCTGTCCATCTTCGAACGCCAGATACTTTCCGCGAGCGACAACAAAGATATGTTCTCGGAGAAATTTGAAGAGATGGCACAAACCTCACTCACTGCGGCGGCGCTTGCGGCATCGCATGTTCGCTCACCCTCAACATCACTGGGAGTACCGGGGACGGCGGACTCCGAAGGGGAGAAAAGACCAACCACGTACATTGACCTGGCACCTGGAAGAAACAAAGTAATGAATGGAAAAATTACAATAAACCGGGATAGTCACGAGTTCGAAACAAAGGTGGTGTACAATGGCATACCTGTACCGATCCGAGTGCCCGTTGCCATCGTGCCCGAGACCGTTGGTGATGTAGGTCCTATATTCTCGAGCCGTATCCTGTGGTGATAATGGGCTGACATCGGTCATTCGCCAGTTCTCACTGATCCAACTGATTACAACATTTTCAGCTCCGCATGCACAGAACCCTCAGCCCTTTCCACTTCACCCCCACCTCACAACAAACGGTCCATATACACATCCAGTGATTGTTCTGATAAACGGCCTTCTCACCGAGAAAAGAATCATTTTCCTAAGCCATGACAGGCCGTCGGGAGAAGTAGCAAACCATGTGTTAGCAGCGTGCGCGTTAGTAAGTGGTGGCACTCTTCGTGGCTTCACTCGCCATGCGTTTCCATACACAGATCTCTCGAAGGTCGACGAGCTCCTAATGGTGCCTGGCTTCATCGCCGGTGTCAAGAACCCGGCGTTCGCTCACCACCCCACTTGGTGGGACATCCTATGCAATATCGATACGGGCCGCATCAAGATATCTACCGAAACAAAGCAGCCAGGCCCTAGCGACAGCGCAACCTTATTCGGCGCTATATCCACTGTATCAGGACACCACGATACCGGTGATAACGCGTTCATGGACGACATTGTGCACTGTATCTCGTCTCGCTTTGGAGAGAAAGCTGTCAGGGCAAAGTGGAGAGACTATGTCATCCGCTTCACGCACATGGCCGCTGCCTTCGAAGAGTTAGTCTTCGGCTCAAGCCAGCTTTGGATAGGGCATGAGGAGAATCATGTCATCCGCGGACACGGCCATGTGTGGCCAGATGAGCAGTCGAAACACCGGGATCTGTCGGCGAATATGATGCGCATTGAAGGCTGGAGAGGTACGCGAAGTTATCATGCGTATGTGCAGGATGTCCAGTCGTTCTATGTTGCGAAACCGATCAAAATCATGGACCTGCAACATCAAATTGATCGTTTACGGACGTTGAAGCTGTCAACTGAAGAATCCGCAAAGATATACCAGTCTTTGAAGGAGTATGTGAATGATTACGAGGAGATTAACCAAGTAAGCGGCTTGCATGCTCGTCCAGATATGATTGATGTCTAACCCCCTGTGTAGCTGCTTTGTGCACTCCCGGAGAGCCAGGGAGGATTATTCGTCATATCGATGGGTCTATTTCACCCCTCTCAGAAAGTCCGCTTCGCAATCGTGGATTTGCTCGAGCGTATATCAGTCCACATGGTAAACACCCCGGCCACTTAACCCCACCACTACCTTTTCTAATACGTTTAGGCTGGCCGCCATTTCTACAATTCCCTGAACCGCTTTCAAAAGCTTGCATTCATACGACTCCAACAGGAGAAGCTTAATGCTGTGGAAAGTCCCGTGGCTACAAATGGATTGACTATGTCGGGACTGAATCTTGGGGGATCAATGGTGAATTGAATGTACAATCGGTTGGATGATGTGGTGGAGTTATGGCGTTGGGTTGGATATATGGGTTAGATACTGGTGTATATACCCACAATGTGATTATGAATGCGAACCCAATGGCGATCAGGGGTGAGTTGGTGGATACTGAGTCTGGGCGCATCATATGACTCACTGGCTTTGCATCAATTAAACCATATCACCGGTAAAGGACTAAGAACAAGTGTTCGCACGCCAAGTCAGTCCTGGGGGATTAAAGTGCGGCTCCGCTGCAAGGTGACGTAAATCTTCACTTTTGGCTTTGAGATCGTGATAGTTTCGAGCCAGGTGCCGAGCCAGCAACCCGCCGCGGAATCCTTCCCGTTGACGAGGCGCCGTTCCTCTCCCGGGTAAAATATCTCGGCTAGAACGCGTGGCGGTGACACAGCCAAACGCTAGATATCTTCCCTACGGCATCCAAACGGGTCATCGACTTGGGACGCAGCTTGCCGAGTTGAAGTTCGTTGATCGTGGGGTTACACTGCATCCAGTCGGTAGGCACAATAATCCTGACCGTTGTACAAGGTGTAGATTTCTTGGGGGCTGATCGAATGCGAACTAGTAAAAGTCTCCAGAAGAACCGAGCAGAAGGAAAGCCGTCATTCCGTACGTCGTCCGTATCATGCTGCCTCACTCGTCCGTCCCTTACGAGCCGTCGCAGTATCGGTTTACGTGTAGCGAGAAGTAGCGAGTAAAGATCCGGGACTGAACTTCTGGCGTGGCGTTGACAAGACGTGGCCGTTGAAAGCTCTTCCATGCATGCAACTTCTGGCCAGATAGGCCTGAAATATCGAAAATTGCATTCTGAATCACCAACGCACATGGATGGTGTTTCTAACTTGTTGTAGAGTATCCGGCTAGAGTGACTTTTGTGGTTGTTGTAGGTTTACACGACCTCAAAATGGACCACAACGCTTAAAGGGCTACCTATCACGTGCTTCGAGAGTCAGAGGTGGTCCAAGCGTCAACGATTGCCCCACCATACAAGTTAATTCCTTCCAGCTAACAGTCAGGCCTCTCTTCACCTCAAGCAACAGATGCGACGCAACAGAACAACATTTCCATACCCGCCATAACGTTAGACAACCTCTGTCGAAATATCAATATCACCTGAGAACCCCTCTGTGATATCGTTAGTAGCCGCAACAGTTCGATAATACTCTCGCAACCATCGATCGGCACCTGGCGTGGACACATCACCTCCGACAGAAAAAAAAAACCACCCTCTCGTCATAACCCCGCACACGCGACACATCTCACGCGTAACGGAACCGCTACGCTTTTTGCGCCTGCCAAGTCGCTTTCCAGTGATCACGGAATAGCATTCAGCGACGCTGTTCAAGTGTTGCTCGCAAGCCGCAATGGACGTCCAAGTGAGTCTACACCTCTTAGTCCGGCATTCTCCTCGCAGCAGTTTTTGCTAGGGCTATCATCTGACATATTGGAACACTAGTTGGAACAAGCTGTGGAGATCGCGGCGGACCCTCGCCGTCATGCTGACCCCCAGCTCGCGCAACAAGTTCGTCCATTCCCCACGCTCTGAAGTTGCCGCCGAGCTCCAGCTCACCACTGATGTACACAGGCTGTCACCTACATCCACACCGTCAAAGCCTCCGAAGATGGCTGGCAGGCAGCATTGTCGCTTTTCATCCGTACCCCGCGGGCGTCCGAAACAACCTGCATGTACTGCCTTGAGATCCTGAAGGAAGCTATCGATCGACGCTCGCAGCGCGCAGACGACGAATCCATACTGTATATTCGTCGGGTTATTTGGGAATATGTGTTGAAGAGCTATGGGCCCGGGCCTGCTCCCTCGGATAGTGCCTTCATCCAGAACAAGCTCGGTCAGGTTATGACGATGCTCTTCATCGCAACATACATGCACAGCTGGCAGACTTTCTTCGATGATCTGATCGCTCTCGGCAAGTCCTCGCCTGGCGCTGGGTGGGACAACCTCCCGGGTATCCAGTTCTTCTTGCGTGTATGCGCCAGTGTTCACGACGAGGTCGCTGATGTTCTTATACCAAGGACTCCGCAGGAGGGGCAGAGGAATGTTATGATCAAAGATTGTGTGCGTGAGCGAGACATGCGGAACCTAGTCGCGACATGGCAGGAGATCATGGAGGAGTGGAAGGGCAAAGAAGATAACTCAGTCGTAGAGATGGGTCTCAGGATTATTAGCCGATGGGTCAGCTGGATTGATATTTCGCTCGTCGTTAATGACTTGATGTTGAGCCAGCTCTTCCAATTTATGGACTTTGGCGGCAAGGTTCGCGATGCGGCGATTGGTGCCTTGACCGAAATCGTTAGCAAGAAGATGAAGCCCGCAGACAAACTGGACCTGATTACTTTCCTCAATGTTGGACAGATCGCAGATCAGATCGCTCAGTCTCCAGCCCTACAGGACCAGAAGGCGGACGATTATGATACAGATCTTGCCGAAGGGGCGGCGAAGTTGGTCAATGCGGCCATGATGGATATTGTCGCCATACTGGGCCGAGTAGGTACACCTGATATTCCATCTCGGAGACCATGCTGACAATTGCTAGGACGATGTTGATGAAAACAACAAGCACCGGGCTGAAAATCTGCTTCAAATGTTTCTGCCCTTGCTGCTCCGGTTCTTTTCCGATGACTACGATGATACCTCTGCTGCTGTTTTCCCCGTCACCACCGAGCTCCTGTCATTCATCCGCAAGGAAAAAAAGGTTACCGGGGGACTCATGCCCGGGCACGCAGCTATGCTTCAGCCGATTTTGAACGCAATTGTGATGAAGACGAAATACGATGCCGACACGAACTGGGGGGATGAGGATGAACAGTCGGAGGAGGCAGAATTCGAGCAGCTGAGGAGGCAGCTCAAGACTATGCAAGATGCTATCTCGACAATCGATGAAGGCCTCTATATCGATCTGATGTCCCAACTTGTAGAAGGAACTTTCGACAGGATGCAAGGTGGCAACAACTCGGTTGACTGGCGTGATGTGGACTTGGCTCTTTATGAGATGTCTTCCTTTGGAGAGATGGCGATGCGTTACGGTGGTCTGTTCGCGAAGGGGCAACCTACCGGTCTTCCAGCGGAGAGACTCGTCAACATGTTGGGCAAAATGATGGCTTCTAGTAAGGCAACTCTCAGTACGATGGGTCGAGCTAGTTTGCTGACCTTTTGCGCGCAGATGTCGCGGATCATCCTCACCCAGTTATCAAACTCAAGTCTATGGAAATCTTCATGCGACATACCGCATTTTTTGAAGTGCACACGAACTACATCCCACAGGCACTAGAGGGGTTCAATAAGTGTATCCATGACACCCATATCCGTGTTAGAACTCGATCGTGGTACCTATTTCATCGTTTTGTCAAGAGCCTGAGACAGCATATGGGTGAAGTTGCCGAAACGATCATGAGAGCTATGGGCGACCTGCTCGTTATCCGTGCGGAATTGCCAAAAGATAAACAAGACGCAGATGAAATGTCAGAGTCCCAGCAGACTGGGGATTCGACCTTCGAGAGCCAACTCTACCTCTTCGAAGCAGTCGGGTGCATGTGCTCGGTCCCAACATTGTCTGTCGAAAAACAGGCCGTCTTGGTCAAATCGGTAACGACACCAATGTTTGCCGACATGGAGAAGAACCTTGCATCGGCAGAGAGTGGAGACTTGATGGCCGCACTTCAGATTCACCATGACGTTATGGCACTCGGCACACTGGGAAAGGGCTTCTCCGATTGGGTTACGGGTAGTCGTCCGGACAAGAGCTGTGCTCCAGAAGTTGCAGAGGAGTTTGGGCGGGTTACTGAGGCCATCTTGGTCGCTTTAGAGCGATTGAGCAACTTTGCTATCATCCGAGAATCGGCGAGGTTTTCGTTTGCGCGCATCGTTGGAGTTCTGGGTCCGAATATCCTGCCGACACTGCCTCGGTGGATCGCGGGATTGATGGCGAAGAGCTCTACTAAGGAGGAGGTCTCTATGTTTCTCAAGTTGATGAACCATCTCATTCATGGTTTTAAGGTTTGTCTTTGTTGTTATTCCCTTGTTTTTGCCATAGCTGACCCGTCTTCCAGAACGTGATCTTCGACATGCTGAACGATCTGCTCATGCCGCTGTTGCAACGCATCTTTACGTCACTCTCAGAACCAGTGACCGGGACAGACGACGAGGTCCAGCTCGCCGAGCTTCGAAGAGACTTCCTCAATTTCATTGTAGTCATTCTGAACAATGATCTTGGCCAGGTTCTTGTCAGCGAAGGTTTGCGAATTTCCCCCGACGTCGAGTCCATCGAGCCTACTGACACTGTTTCCAGCCAACAAGGACCAATTCGAGACTGTCCTGAATGTAATTGAGCACTATGCCAAAGAGATTTCAGATCCGACCACACAAAAACTCGCCGTCAACCTTCTCAACAAGATGTCCTTCGTCTTCGGTCCTGCCGTTGGTAATAACAAGATAGTAACAACCCTAGTGGGAGCCATTCCCCCTCAAGAACAGCCACTCTCCGGCTTCGAAAACCTCATGACTGAGCGCTTCTCCCTCCTGTGCTGGGAAATCCCGTACACATCCGGCTTCAACCCCAAGGATGCCCAAGGGAGAGCAGTACTCGGCGAGATTGCGTCGCTGCAGAAGATGCTGTACCTGAAGCTAGGCGAGAGCTTCCTGGACAGCCTCAAGGGCGCCATCTTCCCCCGCATCGGCGTTAGCAGGGGTACCGAAGAGTACTGCGACAGCCTAAGACAGACAGACGTGAAGCAGTTCAAGGCATTCTTCGTGGTAAGTTCATCCCTCCATAAACACTACAATGATCGGTTCTAATCTCTTCCGCGATACACAGAAGTTCGTACAAGAAGTGTTATAGTCGTCGCTTTTCTTTTCCTTTCTATATCGATTTTGTACAATATCACGATCGTACCATTTTCGCTGCAGCATGCTCCATCAAATATTCGGAATATGTTGTGTTCTTCATCCACGGAGTTTTTTTCATTCTTAGTTTTTTTCACCTTTCCTATATACTTAGCGACAGATGTTTTTTTTCTCTTTGATACTTATTTGGAGTACTTCGTTTTTTTAGAGATCATACGGAGAGGATGGAGGAGCATTGGTCGGAAGAAGTGTAGGAATTAGATTTCGTGATGACGATGAGGGCCCGGGCAGATGAAGAAAAGTTCTCGTTTTTCTTCAATTTCCTGGTTGGTACTTGGTCTGTGCATACTCTGGATTTCTTCTCTTTCCGACGAATAACTACTGGTATCATAACATGGAACTTCAACTTCAGGTCTTCCGCCGGTAAACCTGGTGGAGTCGAAAGAACATGACATCCGGCGCCATGGTCCAACGCTAAATAATCTGCAAGAACGCGGGTACTCTAGGGATGGAGACAGGTACTTGAACGTGGATGACACCCGAATGCCAAGGTGCGAGGCAGATTTTGGGTGGTTGTTGTTTTTGAGTTTCAACGATTATCTCGTCGTTTACCGATTGCCAAAGCGTCCAGTCTGAGTTTCATACGCTGAAATATGTGCTCACGGCTGCCACGGTTCACGTCTGAGGATGTATCTGAGTTAATTGGACGCAGTTTTGGTTGACTTCACGGTATATATAAAGCCTAAGAAAGTATCTATTCCCATCAGCGGCCGTCGGAACTCGGCCGAGCCTCACTGACGATCTCCCGCCAAGTACATAGAGTTCCACTGACAGGAGGCTAAAGCGACTTTAGCGTGGCAGTCGTGGGTGCATCTTTACTCTAAATTCTAAATCCTCCACCAAGCTTAACGCAACCTCTCTCCACCACCCACCACCCCACCACCCCACCACCGCCCCACCCACCCCCACCACGGCAGTATTTATGTCACGCACACTCCGGCCGCTCCTCCACTCTCTCCGGCGGCAAGCCCTCGCCCAAGCGCAAGTCCGCAATGTCTCCTCCAACATCCCCTACTTCGCTCCCGGTGACCGAGTTCTTTTACGGCACACCAACAATCCAGAAAAAGTGTACCTGACGCAGCCGCTGGCAGCACACAAGTCCGCGGAATCGCACCACGGCTCGATCCCGCACACGGACATCATCGGCCGCGGCCCGCGCGACATTCTCGCTACGCGCCGCGGAACGGAGTTTCGCCTCACCTGGCCGACCCTTGATCAGTATGTTACCAGAGTCCCGAGAATTGTGACGCCGGTATGTCTTTTAGGTTTGGGCGGCGGAGCGGGGGGTGGTGGGGGAGGGGGACGGGGCTAAGAGGGGGGACCGGTAGGTTTATCCGTTGGACGCGGCGACGATCGCGAGTTTGCTGGATGTGCATGTGGACGGCGGGGCGCTAGCGGAGGGCAGCGCGCCGCTGGAGATCTTCGAGGCCGGCACCGGCCACGGAAGCTTAACGCTCGCGCTGGCACGCACCGTGCACGCGGGGAACACGCACCTGGCCAAGCCGCTGTCGGAGGAGGACAAGGCGCGCCGCGGGGCGGTGGTGCACTCGCTCGACATTTCGGCGAAGCACTCGGCGCATGCCCGTGATGTCGTTAAGGGGTTTCGCCGCGGGATGTACATGGACGATATCGAGTTCTATGTTGGTGATCCGAGCGTGTGGATACGCCAGCAAATGAAAGAGCGCGGGTTGGAAGCGAGGGATGGCGAGGGGGAGGCTGAGGGGTTCCTCTATGCCGTGCTACTGGACTTGCCCGGACATGACGACCACCTGGCTGCTGCGGCAGAGGCGACGCTGACGGATGGGATTGTCGGCGTGTTTTGTCCGAGTATAACGCAGGTGGCCGCGTGCTTGAAGATGGTGAAGACACAGAGGCTGCCGCTGGTGCTCAGTCAGGTGCTTGAATTCCCTGGTGGGGCTGGCACGGGTGCCGGGCTGAGGAGCTGGGATGTTAGGTATGCCCGTGTCAGGTCGAGGTCGGATAAGAAGTTGAGCATTTCAGAGGCGGAGAATAAGGATGATGCCGGAGCAGTGGGTGAGGGGGAGGAAGGCAGAGAGTCGGAGTATGAGATGGTTTGTAGACCTACAAGCTTTGAGAGAGTTATTGGAGGTGGGTTCTTTGGGATTTTTAGGAGGAAGGCGAGAGGGGGTGAGGGGCCGGGCCACGCGAAGAATTTGAGGGTTAAACCGGCAGTCGAGGTTCCCGATGCTACTGTTGAGACACCCGCGGCCGAAGGGATACTCACTGCCGCTGAAGAGGAAGAAACGATAGCGGCTCCCACTGCTACTGCTGAGGTCCCCGCAGCCGAAGGGATACTCACTGCTACTGAAGCGGAAGAAACGATAGCGGAGGAGAAGATCGAGGAGAGCCAAGTGGAAAATAGTGGGATTACCGGCCGGGAGCTCTGATCGATCACACGAAAGAGATCATGTACAATATCAATGTAAAATAGAACGGATATGGGAACGTAAAAGTCACGGGCGAGGGGTCACTACATCTCCAAATATCACTCGGTTTCATGTCTGCAACCAAACGAATGTATTCTTCCACCAGTTTTTTTATCCACAGGCACCTGTCCTTCAACTCTCCACCCGATTGATCAATCCTCCCCCTACATAAAACAACAAATTCGAAACTAAACACTTCCAATCTCTCTCGTCCCCTCGTCCCCTCGTCCCCTCGTCCCCGACGGCAGCGGGCTAAGCATTTAACCAATGGTCAAGCTGTTACCAGCGTTGGCAATGACGTACGCCTTGGTGGTGCTGGTAGAGCCGAGACTGTACGAATAAGGCACGGTGGTGAGGGTGCCGGCGAGGGCCTCGTTGGCGCCAATGCCAAAGTCGTTTCCGGTGGCAACGGCGTAGCCGTCGTCGGTGGAGTAGAGGGGGTCGCTGGTGTCCTCGAACACGTTGTTCTGGACAAGGAGCTGTGCACCCTGGCGGGTGTTGATGCCGTCGTTGACGCTCAGGAAGTAGTTGTTGTACACATGGCCGGTACCGAAGCGGAACGACGGAGTGCGCGAGTTGATGTTCTTCCAGTAGCTGGGGGTTGTTAGCGGGGGAGATAGAGGGGGGAAGATGAGGGAGTTACTTGTGCTTGTAGGTGACGGTCAAGTGGCCGGTGTCCTCGTCGCCGTTGCTGTCGGAGTGGCCGACGAGCGAGGCCTTCCAGTGGTCGTGGAAGTAGCAGTAGGAGACGGTGATCCAGTCGCCTTTTGCGTGTTAGCATGCATCGTTCGCCGGTGAAAGAGATGGAGAAATCTTACAAGCGTGGGTGATGTCCAGAAGACCGTCGTAGTAGTCCTTGTCGTGGTCCATGTCGGAGAAGAGCTCAACGTGGTCGACCCAGACGTTGGTGGCGAGCTGAAGACCGATAGCATCACCGGTGCCGGCGAGAACCTTGGAGACCTTGATGTTGCGGATGATGACGTTGCTCTCCTTGTAGACTCTGAGTCCGATTCCGACCAGAGCTGGTAGGAAACATCAGCAAGCTGTCTTTGGATACTCCTAGAAGGGGATATGTACCGGCGGCGGAGTTCTTTCCGAGAAGACTGGTGTTGGAACCAATGTCGACACGGGCAGCGCCAGTGATGGTTCCGCTGATGAGAACGATCTTTTTGGCGTCACCGGCGACGGCAGCAGTCAGGGCAGCCAGAGTGGTGACTGTGGTGACGGTACCACCGATTCCTCCAGTGGTGCCTGTAAAGTTTGTGAGTTAGCTATTGTCTGGCTCAACTGCTCGCTAGGAAGCAAACATACCTCCGTTCAAGGTGGCATATCCGACGCTCGCGGCCTCGGCGGACTGGCGCTTGCTAATGGTAGAAGGGGCAGCCTAGAAAACTCTGGTCAGTGTGTGTTCATTTTTGCCAGAGAAGATGTGGAAGAAGCCATACCGAGATGAGCTGCGACAGACCAACCAAGGCCCATCCGAGGATTGTAAACTTCATGATGCTGCTAGTTTTCCGGCGGATGTAGTGAGTGATGTTCAATGCAGTGCTGGAAGCTGGCTTGCTGGACTGGATGAAGAAGCTCAAAACTCGTCTCCGAAGCCTCCCTTATGTACTCGACGATTTTCCATGATGGCCGTCGATTCTCGGGGACAATTGTCACGAACGAAAGCCACGCACCACGAAGCCTCGGTGAAAACTCATGAAGTTGTCCGTTCCCCATCTGTCGGGCTGAAGATTTTTTTGTGCTAGATCAGAAAGAAAAACAGTGTGACGAAATGCCATATACTCGAGGCTTTGGTGTATTCCGTGATAGAGTACAGTACCTTCGCTCGAAAGTAATCAGGTGAACTGTTTTTTCCCTTCGGAAGCATGGCCAAGTACAGCCGTTAATATAAAGTAGTTTTGGAATTGCTAGGATATTGATCCAGCACCACCACCGCGTATACCACCAGCCGCCGTCAATATGCACCCCGGACATACCAAGGCCTTTACCCCAATACCCCACAATAACAATACCCCGAATCCTCAGCCCTCCCGACATGGCCAAGCAATCAAGCGGGCGCGTCCAGGTGGCGTCGGTTACGACCACTATGTCGCTGCCCCGATCCTCGATGGAGTCGTTTGTGGCAGCTGAGGTATTGAGGCCGCGAGTGGGCAAGTTCGCCATGAAAAGGGGGCGCAGGATGCCGGAATTGCAGGCCGTAAATGAGCCTGCAGGTGAGGACGTAGGCAGGTACTATCAAGACTGCGGGGGCCGTAGGTAACTAAAGCGAAGGTATGAGTAGGCCAGGGCAATCCATCGGTTGAACAGGGTCATGATACAGGGTTTTCTAGTGAGATAGTAGGAGCCCCGGAGGATGTGATCCATGGCCGACTGGCGAGAGGTCCGCCGTGGCCATGTCGCCAAGTGCCCCCCTGAGCTGACAGGGCGGTGAACGTCTGCCGTACTTGCCGATGTCAAGGCGTCGTCGTCAACGCCCCGAACCACAAAACGTACGCATGGATGTACGTTATCCGTGGGCAGGCCCCAGGTGAAATTGGCATAAGCAGGTACGTATCCCATCCAGCCATCGTATTGATGTGGTCTCGCAGGCCACTCAAACCCCTTGCTCCCGTCGACGAAAGAGCCACAAGCAAAATGGCAGGCTGCAATAGCCGCAATAACTTTATCTGTCCTATACCGCAATCAAAACGAATTTGCGAACCACGTCACGGGAAGGTAGAGTGCCCACGGGATATAACGGACTGAGTGCACGGTAGGCCCCGGGCTGGGTCGACGTTGGCAGACACTGCGAAGTCCAGGCCACCCATGTTGACATGTGATGGTGGCAAAAGATGTCCAGCTCCAACTCTTGGCTGCGGTGCTGATTGAAGACTCATTCTATGCGAGAGAGGAGACCAGCTCGGGCAAGAATCCTCCAGCAGCGGAAAGACCGAGATGGAGCAGGTGTCATTTGATAGCTGATGGCATCATCCATCCATGGCCAGACGCAAATAGGTAGTTCCACCGCCGTGCTTGGAGAAACTCCGCATTTTGTTTTGATTACATCGCCCTTGACCCGCGGGGTATCTCTGTCCCACTCGCCGACTCCGGGAATTATGCCGGCGGGAAATGGTAGGAACCTTCCGAAGTGAGGAGTATATAAAGCCCGCAGCTCCGTCTCGTGCAACATCGAGAAACAAGCGAGCTGACCCGGTATTATGTTTGGCCGGATTGAGGGGATTTATGATGGTCATGAAGAGGAGAGGAGGAGGAGGAGGAAGAAGCTCGCGATCGAGGGATGAGATGAGCTAGACCAAGTTTGCCGAGTGACTCCACGTGAAGGCGTTCTAGCGGAACCGAGGCGGGGAGCTGCTGTTCAGGAGCAGTTGCCATGGCAGAAGAGTCTTATAAGATCTTCCGACCACGGACTTCGGAGCGGGCTGGGGTTCTTCCGCCAACAGTTGTCCGTGCGCTTATCGGCGCCCGGTGTGTCATGGTTGATCGTCAGGCACCGACGGCGGAAGATCTCTCCGGAAAAACAATGATCCGGGACCACTAGGGACTCGGAACACACCCCAGAGTGACTGACTCACCGGAGTGTATGTACGAGATGTCAAAGTTTATGAATTGATCGAACCGGAATGACTTGGAAGTCCTTTGCCTACCAAAGCAAGAACAGTGCACGCCGCGCCTTTACATTCGTTCAAAGCTCTTCGTGTGATTCCCCATTTCATCAGTCAATGCCGAATAGCGCTGGGCATTGAGGGGTCCATATGGGGCATGGCTGCCCCACTATTCGTTTCAGCGGTGCAGTGTTTCAGTTGGCCGACGGCGCATCGAGACCCACCCCAACGACGCCTAAGCACCCGAGGAGTCAGTCATCGCAACCAGTCATACCTGCATCTTGTACTCGTACATATTCCAACACCACACCATCGAATCCCCTCGTTCCCACCGTCAGATCCAATTTCTACGACCTCGAGTCCGACGCTCTCCTCTTTCTCTTCGTCTCCTCATCCATCGCAATCCCCTCACTTGTAATCCTCTGCTTTTCTCCCCGCATTTTTTTACAGTCAAAACTCGAATATACGCGATGGATCTCGTCAACCAGTTTGTTCCCTCATCTCCCCCGCGACCCACCTCCGAGCCCTCTTTTAACGTGAGCCCCAGCCTGAACGACCGTCTGCTCTTTGCCGTACCCAAGAGTGAGTCCTGCTGAAAAACCGACTCCTCTTCACCGTCTGACTCACCCGACCAGAGGGCCGTCTCAATCAGCAATGTCTTGACCTTCTTCACGGTAGCGACATTCAGTTCCACCGTCACTCGCGTCTCGACATCGCGCTGTGTCTCAACCTTCCGATCGCCCTCGTTTTTCTCCCGGCCGCCGACATCCCAACCTTCGTTGGTGAGGGACGGGTGGACCTTGGAATCACTGGACGCGATCAGGTGGCTGAGGCCCAGAGCGACGTCGAGGAGCTCCTCGATCTCCAGTTCGGCCGCTGCAAGCTGCAGATCCAGGTCCCCGAGAACGGAGAGTACGATGACCCCAAGCAATTGATCGGAAAGCAGATCTGTACGTCCTTCATCGGGCTGGCTGGAGAGTACTTTGCGAATCTGGAGAGGGAAGCCGGGAAGGAGAAGGAGGCTGGAAAGGACCAGGCAGATCTGCTCGATGTCGAGGTAAAAGGCGGCGCGCGCAGTGGCAGCACAATGGGCAGGTTGGCTACGAAGATCAAGTATGTCGGTGGTAGTGTCGAGGCTGCTTGCGCGCTTGGTGTTGCGGATGGAATCGTGGATCTCGTTGGTGGGTTCTTCCTTCCGTTCTTTTACAAGGTGCTAGACTGACCCGTACTAGAATCAGGCGAGACCATGAAGGCGGCTGGCCTCAAGCCCATAGCCACAATCCTCGAGACCACCGCCATCCTGATCAAGTCCAAGCACCCCTCAAACCCGGAGCTCATCAACACGATCGAGTCCAGGATACGCGGAGTCATCACAGCTAAGAAGTACATCCTTTGCACCTACAACGTCCCCCGCAACCTGATTACCGAGGCCACTATCATCACCCCCGGAAAGCGTGCGCCTTCGGTCACGACGTTGGACGAGGAGGGCTGGGTCGCTGTCAGCGCTATGGTCGAGAAGAAGAACATCGCCACCGTGATGGATAAGCTGGAGGCGCTGGGTGCGACGGATATTCTGGTCATGCCCATCTCAAACTCGCGTACCACACGCGATTAGAAGGCTGAGGGCTGAGTTTTCATCGAGATAGACAAAAGTGACTGCTGCAAATATAAGCACCGGGTTGATGTATATTTATAGCGAAGTACTTGTTATCTCGTCACTCAACACCAGTACTTGACAAGTGACGCCTGAATGAAACTCACGATCCAAAAACTCGATCCACACCGCATCACTCTACCAATCACATGACCTGTCAAATCGCGGGGCAGGTTATCCATTGCGGCTCTTCAAATTTTCGATATTCCCACCTCACTCCACGCACCCATGAACCGCCTCACCACAATACCACGAGCACTCTCGCGGCCATCCTCAGCATCCGCCTTCTTCTCAACCACCCCACCCACTTCCGCCCGCGCTCCTCCCCGCCGCAAAAATAATGGCGGCCGGAACCGACGCCCGCGCAAACCAGCGCAACCGCTGCGCATCCTGCAACGCACCGCACCGACCTACAACCCACCAGTGCCTGCCGTCTCACCGCTCTTAAACGCCGCCACATTCCTGCCATACTCGAAGAAGCACCCCAAAGCGGCGCCTACCGCAGGGCCGGGCCTGAGCCCGCGCGAATGGGCGCTGCGGCAGAACCCGTACGCGGCGATCCTGGCGACGCCGATCCGCAACGACGCGGACTTCCACCGGCGGCTGCCCGCGGCACTGCTGAAGCGGTTCGTTGTCAAGAGCAATCCTGCCACTGGCGAGCCGTGGATGCTGCCCGACGGGCTCGATGTGGGCGCCGCGCCTACGCATACCGTCGCTGGATACTGTCTCGCTACTCAGTCGGCTGTTAAGGCGCAGGCGCCCAATATGGGCCGTGGTGGCAAAGTGTGGGCCAAGATGCTGAGTGATACGCAAAGAAAGAGTGGTGTCGTCGGAAAGATCACTTGGAGGAAGGATATGGACGCGTTCGTGTTGATGAAGCTGCGCAGGAGGGTGCTGCAGGAGGCCCAGAGGGCTATGTTGAGTACCGATGTTGATAGGGTGGTGGGGGGTGAGGAGGCGTGGTTGGCTGCCGGGGAGCCAATGACTGTGCTGGATTTCCGAGAGGGGAGGGGGTCGGTGGAGGGGGAGTTTGCGGATCAGGATACGCTCAGGAACATGACCAGTGCTGGATACAGAGCGAGAGAGCCACCACCGCAGATGGATCTGGGGGGAGTGATGGCGCTAGTCGGCGGGAAGAGGTTACCTGTCCATCCGATGTGGGAGATGCTTGATGAGGAGGTTTGCGATGAGCTCAGGAAGCATTGGAGAGTGGAGAAGGGGTTTGAGGTTATGGCGCTCATGACGTCCTACCGGACGTTGGATCTCCAGGTCGCCCTCATGAAGTTGAGGTATTACCTCGAGATGTGGTTTATTCCCGAGGGCCATCATGGGAAAAAGCATTATTGAGCTACACATATGTACAACAGACATAATAGTAGATTTACTCCTGAAAATGCTACCCATCCATCATCTATAATCTTACACAATCATGCATCCTCTACCTCCACCATATTTTGGTATCATTTAACTCGCCTCCTCCTCCTCGCCAACCTTGATCACATCCCCCTCCCTCCCAAACTCCGGCACCACCACCTCACCACCACCCCTAAACCGCCGGTCCGCATACCCCAGCGCCACCTCCCCCTCACCGAGCACCTGTACATCGACCACCCTGCCCACCCAGATCTCATGATCCTCGACCTGGACGACCCTATACTTCCTGCACCTCCACCTCGCAACAACGCCATCCTCAGCGCCTAACTCAGGCACGCCAGTCTCCCCGTCTCTTAGCACGCCCCCGCGCAGGTTCCTCCACGGATCGGCCTTCTCTCCGGGAGCAGCAGCGACCTGTGCGAAAGCGTTGGCGACGAACGCCGCATGCGCCGTCGACGAGAGCACGTGCACCGTGAAGGCGCCAGAAGGGTGCGCGTGGATCGCCGACGACGTCCGCGACGGCGTCTTAATGTTGAAGCTTATGAGAGGGTGCGGGGAAAGCGATAGGCATGTCAACGTGCTGAGCGTTATTCCCACGCCCGTGCTGTCGCCGCTGCCGCCGCCGCTGCTGGGGGTGCTGTTGGCGGAGCCGGTCGTGAGGATTATGACGGGGTGCGGCAGAGAGCGCATCGAGGTTCGCAGGGAGAGGGAGATGGGCGTGAGGGCGGGTGGGGGAGCTGGGGTGGTGTAGGCGCGGCCATTGAGGCGTGGTAGAGGCAGTTTTCGTCGTGGGAGGTGGTGAAGGAGTGTTCGCGGGGTGCACATTGTGGTCTCGGAGGTGGTTGTTGATGGGGTGGTGGATAGAGTAAAGTTGTAGGCTGGAGATTTAGTGAGTGGTGACGTCGTTGGCAATCCCTGTAGTTAGAGGCGGTTAGTGGGAGCCGCAGGCCCAATTCAGGGTCCATGAATGGCAATTATGGTAGTATCAAAATGAGAAGTGCATTATATTCGCAATTAGGTGACCAAAATCATCATTACGACCCTCATGAAAAAGATACAGGTATCCGCTTCAGTTTCACCAATCCATACCCACAACCCCACCAGGATGTTTAACGCTGTAAAGTCACAATCATTAATTCATCGAATTCCGAAAGCACATAAAGCCACCATCCAGATCCCATAGCGCCAATATCTACGCATCCAGTGGAAGAGATCCAGTGGTAGCATTCCGCTCCTTCATACCAGATGCATGACTGATCGCTTCATTCCCAGAGGCAGACGCCTTCTGATCGGTATTCTGCGAGTCCAACTTCGGGATGTTGTCCAGACTGTAGCTTCTGTCGAGCTCCCGCTCCGACGGAGGCGGCGAGTTCTGCCACTTGGCGGCATCTTTCCGAAGCTGCTCTAGCTCCTTTTGGAATCGCTTCCCGAAGACATCAACTGCGTCCTAGTCAGTACAGGCACAGTGGTATTGGGGGATAAGGCATACTGTAGTATGTTGCGCCGTTATAGACACTCATCAAGCCGACGAAGGCGATGAATATCGCGGACAGTTTGCGGTTGTAGAACCACAGCGGGCACGGCAACATGGTGACGACAGCGTACGAATATTGGACAAACATGAACGCGGGCTCTTGCATCGCCGACGGTAGACCGAGGACGATCTTGCCGATCCACGTCTTTTTGTAACTCTTCTTGAGCCATGTAAACGAAGTGGGACGGCCGGCTGCGATCTTTTCACGTCTTCTAACCTACAAACTGTCAGTTGCTGTCGGGTAGAGGAGCGGCTAATTCCCCGGGTATACACATACCGTGATAAAGACATGATAACTCAACTGCCAGATTGCGTACGGAACTGTAGCCCAGATGATCATCTCCCAGAGACCATACAGTTCCACGTGTTTGATCCTACTGATGGCCGGAAACCTCTCGGCGCAGTAGACCGGATCTACGAGGTGAACGAGACAGTGCAGGACCACTGGAGGCATAATGTGAATGAACAGCGAGGTGACTTTGTCCAACGAGTGGAAGACCATCGAGTTCCTCCACATGGCAATCGCCCACGCGTTATTGCCGTACGAGAGACAGTACGCGGATATCATCAGTCTTCGCGAATTGGGGAACACCCAAATGGCAAGAACAAGCATCACGTTGACGAAGTAACATAAGTCTGCCAGGAACTGTATAAATGTCAGCAATCATGCATGCCAAGAGGGAAGAAAGGCAGATCAGTGAGCCCTACATAATGATACCCCATCTGATGGTAAGTGTAGTACCGAATCGGCATGAAGTAGAGCAACTGCAACGAATACCAGACATGCATCCATTCACTACAAACACATGTTAGCAGGGTTGGCACAGCCATCTGCGCCGGAGAGACATACGGATATCCGCCAATCAGAAGTCCAGTGATGAAAATATTCGAGACACCGACCACAAACGACAGCTTCTCCCTCGAAGAAACGATTTTTGTATCGTTCCAGTTCTCCAAGATCTTGTCGAGACCTTTACTATACTTCTCACGGTACTTCTCGAGTTCCTGATCGGTTCTCAACCGTGCCTTGACCCGGGTGCTCTCGAAACCCCGCTTGACTTTGTCTCTTTGCACGAGATAGGTCCTGTTGATCTTCTCGAGACGTTGCGGCAGCGCGAGCTGATCGAGGTAGTCAAAGACCGTGAGCTTGTCCAACGGAGGAAAAAAATCCCAGTCATCGGTATCCTGCGTTTGCCCGGATGAAGACGCGGTTGAGTGTGAGCGCGAAAGCGGAGGCGAGTTGGGCTGCGATGATAGGTCTTCGTCCGCTGCGTGCTCGGGGACGGTGTTGTTCGGATTCGTCGCCGACGAGGGCAGTGGAGTGCTGCTGTCGGCCATCGCGGGGTGTGCCGGAAGTGCGACGATGCGTGAAGCTTGCTAGTGGAGCTGGCGAGAGGTAAGAGCTAGGCGGGTACTTGGATAGGTAGGCGTGTTCCGAGGCGATGGATCGTGTAGGGTTGAGGTTTTGTATGCGGCGCGGAGTTTGCTGGATGAGGAGGAGAGTATGAGAAGGAGCTCAAGAAATATTCCCTCGTGGCTACTGAAGAGGCTGGTACTTACGGGTCCGTCTGGTGTTGTGTTCTTGCAGGCTATTGGTCACAGATTATTTGTCTGTCGCAGGCCCTGGCAGTGACAGCAAGGAAATTGGCGTTGTGTGACGAAACGCGATAGTGAATGTGGCTTGAGTGGCTTGAGTGTCTCAGCCAGGATCAATCAGTGCAGGCACGATGAGGCCACAAGGGCTCGAGGATCGTTGGGTATCTACGGGAACGAGGAGGAATAATGGGAACATGAGTGCAAATTTTCTTTGTGATTTCTTATGGCACAATCATCTTGGCATAGAAGGAGGATGAGGTGGAACTGGCAAGAAACAGGAACGGTCGAGTACCAGTACCATACGATGAAACCGATACAATGTAGAATCGAAACCCCACTATCCTTCCCTACGGGCTTTCTCCTATCACCAATCGCACCAACCTTCTCGATGGTCTTCAGGAGTCAGCAGTAACAACAACAAGGACCACCCAGTGTCGAGCGACCGTGAAAAACCGCACCTCGCTGGGTTACTCGCTCATCGGTATTGATCATCATCAATCACTCGGTTAAATCCTGTAAATCCTGGAAGATAGTAAACTTGGACTACGGAAGTTGGCGAATACCGGTACGGTGGTATTCTGTGCTCGAGAGATGCGGTGGGGGAGAGCGAAACGAGACGGCCATGTGACCGGAGTGGATTGAACGGCTTGGCGGGAGTCGGTCAGGTGCTCGTAAAACCCGACTTGTGGCGATAGTGGCTGCTAGTGGGTCTCAAGGTTCACGTTTCGCGTTTTTCCTGACGGCGAAGCCCGCCATGTGGCTGACACCCCACGCACCCCAGCCACTCTGGAATTTTCTACCTTTTTTTTGTCTTGACCCAACTTCTTCGCACCCGCTCCCACCATCAACACATCTTCTTGTCAATTCCGACAACAACCACACCACAACCGATCTCCCGCTTCAGACGAACGCTGCCCACTAAATACAATGGCTTCCGTTCAGAAGCAGGATAACGAAGATCAGGTCATCAAGCCTCAGGCTACTGCACCCGCGGTTGACTACTCGCAGTTCCCGTAAGACTCGCCTTGCTTCCTCTCGTTCAATTCCCTTCGTTCTTGTCTCTTTCTATGGCGGGGCGGACGATACGCAGAGCAATTCACTGATCGCATGTGCAATGCAGTCTCCTCCTCAAGAACTACGACAAACTCCTCGTGCGCACCGGTCACTTCACGCCGATTCCTTGCGGTGCTCCTCCTCTCAAGCGCGACATCAAGAGTTACATCAGCAGTGGTGTTATCAACCTCGACAAGCCTAGCAATCCCAGTTCTCACGAAGTCGTTGCGTGGGCCAAGAGGATTTTGAGGTGCGCGCTCCTCCAATCGCAGCGGGGTTATGCGTGCGAGAACGCGCATTGACTTTTTGCAGGTGTGAGAAGACTGGACACAGTGGAACCCTCGACCCCAAGGTCACCGGATGTCTGATCGTCTGTATCGACCGTGCGACTCGGCTGGTAAAGTCCCAGCAGGGTGCCGGAAAGGAGTACGTGTGTGTCGTCCGTCTCCACGACAAGGTTCAGTCTGAACAGCAGGTTCTGCGCGCGCTCGAGACCCTCACCGGAGCGCTGTTCCAGCGACCCCCGTTGATCTCCGCTGTCAAGCGTCAGCTCCGTATCCGAACCATCCACGAGATTAAGCTGCTGGAGTTCGACAACGACCGCCATCTCGGTGTCTTCTGGGTCAGCTGTGAGGCTGGTACTTACATCCGTACCCTCTGCGTGCACTTGGGTCTGTTGTTGGGAGTCGGTGGACACATGCAGGAGTTGCGAAGAGTGCGGTCCGGAGCTATGGGTGAGGATGACGGTATCGTCACTCTTCACGATCTGTTGGACGCGCAGTGGGTGATGGACAACACCCGTGATGAGACCTACCTCCGCCGTGTTATCCGGCCCCTCGAGTCTCTCCTCACCACCTATAAACGTATCGTGGTCAAGGACAGTGCCGTCAATGCTGTCTGCTACGGTGCTAAGCTCATGATTCCCGGTCTCCTCCGTTACGAGCAGGGCATCGAGGTCAACGAGGAGGTTGTCCTGATGACCACCAAGGGAGAAGCCATTGCCCTCGGTATCGCGCAGATGTCCACCGTAGAGCTGTCCACCTGCGACCACGGAGTCGTCGCCAAGGTCAAGCGCTGCATCATGGAGCGGGATCTCTACCCCCGCAGATGGGGACTCGGACCCACCGCCCAGGAGAAGAAGAAGATGAAGGCGGACGGCAAGCTCGACGTATGTTACTTCTAAATACCTCTCCATCACATGTACTGACGATATTTACAGAAATTCGGCCGAAACAACGAGGCCACTCCCGCTACCTGGAAGGAGAGCTACACCGACTTCACCGCTCCCCTGACCGTCGACGGCGAGCCCGCCGTCGCCTCCACTCCTGTTGCTAGCGCTCCCGCGGAGTCTGCGGACGTGGAGATGACCACACCCGTCAAGCCCGCCGGCGAAGCGCCTGAAAGCGAAAAGAAGAAGCGAAAGAGGAGCGACGACGAGAAGGCGGAGCGTAAGAAGAAGAAGGAGGAGAAGAAAGCCAAGAAGGAGAAGAAGTCCAAGAAGGAAGAGGACTCTGATGACGAATAGGGGGAAGAAAAAAAAAGTGTTAATGATGTTGGATGGGGAAGAATCTTACGACACGATGATGGTTGTGGTGATAGTGGTGGTATTCGGGTGTTGTGTTGGTTTTTACCCCTTGTGTTAGTCGAACCGAGCCACACTTGTAAAATTAACGGAACGGCTTATTCTTTTACTGCTTCTTTTCCTTCCGCTTCCTGCTGGCTGCTCGGCATGGTGTGTTCGCCTTCAAAATATAGTTCAAGTTCTTGCATTGCATTGCACTTCACAGTTTGTGGGATCTTGCATTGTACGGCATTGCATTGCATTTCATGGTGGGCGAGTGGGGGTGGATCATGAGCAATCAATCATATACCCTCGCAGAATCGAACCACCTCATCCTTTGCAATCCCCAATTAGGTATATCCAGTTCAATTCGAGCTCCATAAGTAAACCCCCAGACCAACGCCGTAATCAATTAGCTATCAAATCCTTTCCAAAAGCCGGTCGAGATGGTATGTAGGTAATCCATCCACCGCCTCCAACTAAGCCCCCGCCGTCGGCGCACTATTCGATACCGTCTCCGTCACCGTCACGGTTACCACATTCTCATCCCGACCCTTGTCATCCGGTCCCTCGCCGAGGACCTGGTACCTCTCCGTACCCGACAGCTCTGTCTTACTGCACAGCACACCATCAGTCAGCGCCATCCGATCCGATCCCCTTGCACAACCGCCCGCCCGCCCAACCAACCAGGAGAGAGAGCACATACTCGACCCACTCATGAAACTTCCGCATCATGACGCCATAGGGATCCCTCTTTGCCTTTCCCTTGAGATGAGCCCAGGCGCCCGCGAAATGGATCACGAAGTCGCCAGGGCTCCAAGGGAGGTTGTTGCTATCGTAGCAGCCGATCTCTTCGGGAAACGAGTTCATCTTCTTCTGCGCGATCCACTTTGCGCGCGAACGCTCCTGCGGTGACGAATTGAGTATGTCCCGGATGCAGTCTTGCTCGCTCGGCTCCTTCGGCGCGTCCCCGCACTTCCACACGGAGGAGAGGAACGGGAGCAGCCGTGGAGTGGCGCGCAGGAGCATCGAGCCGGCGTTTAGTGGCCAGCTGGGGTGGGGTTAGTATGTGAGGTGTGGGGTGTGGGGGAAGCAAGGGAGGCAGACCAGTCAGAGGTGAGAAGCAGGTCGATGTTATCGGGGTTCTTCTCGTCGCGCAGTGCATCGGCAATGATGTCTTCGATCTTGATGGTGGTATTGGTGATGACGGTGTCGAAGTCCACCCACCAGATCCAGTCGTAGTCGCCGGTGCGGACCAGGTACTCGAACATGTCCAGCTTGTGCCAGAACGGCAGTGGGACAAAATCCTTGGGGAGGGCGAAGTCGACTTTGATCGCGTAATTATGCTTATTTACGTAGCCTTCATGGATATATTAGCGTCTGAGGGCGGGAGTGGGGGGACGGCAGGCTGGGGATGGGGGAAGTGAGGTACCGATTTTGTTGGACAGAGAGATGTAATCGTATGTGGTCTGCCCTGTCGTCATTGTCGCTACGACGACCCTCATCTTCTCCTTCGGCACGGGGAGCAGTGGGCGCTGATAGATCGAGATTTCCGGCAGTCCCGCTTTCGCCCATCCCTTCGTCTCGGTGGTGATCTGGATGTCTGCCAGGGAGTTCACGGGGGAGCTGCTGGTGGTGATGGAGGATTCAGTCCAGTGTAGGTAACAGATGTAGCCCAGTAACACGAGGATTATGGCGATGGGGGTGCGGCCCCGCGTGCGTGGGCGCACCATATTGGACCGGTGGGAGGGAAGCATTTTGCTTGCTTGCTTGCGGGTTGAATGGAAATGTGGAGATGGTGAGATGGATAAATCGTTATCTCATGGCAATGGGAGGGTGGGAAGAGGAGGGAGTGGGAAATGGAGCAGAAGATGAGGACGTGGGGAATCCGAATGAACGGACCGGTGCGGGACGGCCTGCACTCTGAGTCTCTTCTGAGTTCTGACTGCCCGCCTTGCTATAGATAGACATGCATTGTTTGGTTGGTGGGTGGGTGGGTTCTGGATGCGGGAGTACGCGGCCGATACAAGAAACAGAAGTACCGTAGAGTACAGTAAGACATGATGTGCTGTGTTCCGCCTGCATCCTCTGGCACAGCGATGCTGAGGAAAGACTGGGGCATGTGACACGAGGGCAATTCGGGTAAATCTTCGTGGGTACGGTCCATCAGTGTCCACTGTCGGGGATTGTCCTGACGAGAATAGAAACAGCAAGGGACATGCCGATCAAGCCTCAAAGGTAGGTGAGCGGGCTGAACGCACGTACCGTCACTCGAGGGCTGTCTGAGAAGTGCGTTTGTTTTTCTGCTCCGTCATTGATTACATACCGACATACCTACATGCGGCATGATTAGATCATGGCAGAGTACTTTGAGAGGTGAGTGGTTGGAACTGAGGCTGAAGGCTGAAGGCTGAAATGTATGCGAGCATGATGAATACACAGACAAAACGGGAAAGCTGAAAGCTGATGTCAACTCTGTCAGAAAGCCATGATAATTCTTTGTCTACATGACGAGGACTGTCCGTTCGATTTCATCTCCGGTAGAAAACCGCTTAGGAAGCCACTAGAACGTGGTGGCGGTAGTGGGGGCGAGGTATGTGCGGTAGATATCGCAACGGATGTTGAGGGAATGCAAGCGGAGGACAAAGCATGGTGCAGGTACATATGATGAATTTGCCCCTGACCTCAAGGATCGCTGAGCATGGGACGTTTTCCCGTTGATTAGTTATGTCTCTAGCCTGCGGATGTTCTCCTATCGCTGTACCTAGGTATTAGCAACCGTTGAGGGACGGAGGGGAAGGTGTACTCACATACAGATGCACCTGGGTAGTAAACGACGGTACGTGCTCGTGCACAGACGCGCGGCGATGAGCTTGCGGTTATGGCCCAATTTATCCTAGCATCCCAGAAGTAAGAACTAACATCACCAAGACTCTTCTCCGACGCCTAGTCGCGGCGTAGCAAACAAGCGACCGGCAAGTTCCACGCGCTTATCCCAACCTCACCACCAGACGCAGCGTAGATATATTTCAGGATCGCAGCCGGCCAAACTCCAGTCGGTCCAAAAACTTCCAATCCTTCCTAGGATTCGATTGGATTGATTGGTCCTTCGATCTTGCTCATTATTTTTTGCAGCAGCCGTTAATGGTTGGCCTCGGTCCGTCTAGCCTGTCGACCGAAAGGATACCGGTAACCTGACTACTTTCACCAGACGGATTAACATTCTGGTTTAGGTAGGCAGTCTGATGCGAGGCAAAAGACTGACCGGACGGGCCGCATCAGCCACCGAACTCACTCTCAATAACAATCACGGACCATTTAAGCTATGGTGCCCACTGCCACTCGCATGCACCGGCCTGTTTCTTTCGCAAGATGCTCAAGCCTCGCTTCGTTCCTTGTTCAGCTTACTAGATATACCGGTGCCTTTTCCTCTCCATCACTTCATCCCAACGCCAGCGACATATGCCAACACTCGCGCAATGATGGCGGTTCCGTCCAATTGGTGGTTGTCTTTTCTACTATGTACACCATAGCGTGGCTAGGAGTTCTAAAGGGGGGTTTTCGACTAGGATAGTAAGAGGCAGTGTACTTAAGCATGTACATCGCGTATGTACCGTTTATCTAAGGGTTTCCGGGTTTTCCGTAGTGCGAACATTGCATATTTCTGCAGGCCAAGATATCAAAGGGGGCTCTGCCCCTAAAGGTCCGCGGAATTTGGATGGAGTTCTCCCAACGGAGTGGAGAGCAACATAGATTATGAGACAACAGCTGAGGAAAATACCTACAGCCATCAATTAGGTGCTGCATGTATTCCGTACGTGCTACAAATAAACTGGACGATGCCAGACAAGGCGGTATACCGACTGCCTCCTTGCGCATGCATCAACGCGTTGTCGTCAATAAGTCCTTACTTAGGTATACAGGTCTGACTCAACCGTGGACACCTTTTCAAGGCGGCCAATACTCCGCCAACACGGAGCTGAAGCTCTCTTGCACTCCCCCAGCCGGCACAGGCCCGAGCAGGGAGACGGTGCAAGCGCTGTCCAGTGGTTGATACGGTGGAGGGGATATGTATGCGCAGGAGGTGAGGGGGTTCGAGAAAGGGAGGTTCGAGAGGATCTTCTTTGCGCTGTGTGCGTGCGGTTGGTGTAAGGGTGATGGTTGGGACAGGACGAAGTCTAGGGTCGGTAAACCGAGGCATGGACCAAGTGAGAAGCTGGGACAGCTTAAGAAGCCTGTGACTTATCCTGCAGAGGACGAGGATAGCCTGTTGCTTGGTAGTCTGTAGCTCAATTGTCATTTCAGGAGAATTAACCATGATAGGGTGTTATTCCTATTGATGATTAGCCAGGGATGGGCGAGTGACAGAAAGAACATCAATCCATCGTCGCGTACGGGCTGTCTAGACTACGGCGACCTCATACCCGACCTTTCCTGCCAGCTGAATGGGCAGAATGCTCGCACCATATCGCTGTCTGCTGCGTCTGCACGAATGATGCTTTGCGACGTGCCAGGAACACACACCATTGATTTCTGACCTGTAGTAATACTCTGGTTTCGTTCAAATACGGGCGTTCAGATGCCGCACTCCGAAAGCATGCTCACTGGTTTGATTCATAGTCGCCTTATATTGCCGTTTTAAAGACGCACAAATCTGGTGGTGGAAAGACAAGAGAAAAACGGCACAGATGAGACGTTACTCTTCTCCCGAACTCGCGAAACCAGCACCCACAACGACGGCCAACAATCACAACAGCAACACGAAACCATCGAAAAGGAAACTCCGAAGTGAGATTTTTTTTGTCCGATTGGGGTTTCGGTTTACTCCTTGTTCTCGAAGTCCTTGCCCTCGACAAGGTCGGGGATGTCATCGTCATCGGAGTCGTCCTTCTTGTCGTCATCGCCCTCCTTCTTCTGAAGGCTCTGGTAGCTCTCTGCGAGCTTTCGCAGCGACGCGAGCGAGTCGGGGCCAAGCTGGTTAAGGATACCGGGGACGAGCTCGGTCAACTCCTTGTCCTCGCCGTTTCCGTAGATGGCGAAGGTGTTGGAAGGGACCGACGCGTGAACTGCACACACACGGATCAATCAGTACGAAGCTCAAGCGATCACTATTCCTCCCCCACCTGGATCGCACAAACGAACCCTTGGGAGCGGCGAAGTGGATGACGTTTCCGTCCTCCTTGAACATGTTGACCTCCTCAATAGCCTGGATGGGCTGCACGTTCAACTTCTTGAGAGCAGCCTGAAGCTTCTTGTCATCGGTTCCGGCGCTCTTGTGCACCTTCTTGACCTTTCTCCGTGGGGTTCCCTTTCCGCTGTATCAACCCTCCATCATTAGCCTTACATTCTCCAGCCACAGTCCGACGGTCAGCCGTTGCTGGAATGAGGAAGGTCCCGGTCGGAGGCATTGCTCGAGGGGTTGGATGGAGGAGGACGGAGGAGGAGTATTTACCCTAAGCAGCAGGAGAATGTCAGTAAACCATATCCCAACATCAATCGCAACCTTCCACCATGCCCCGCCCCAATGAATGTCCAACCCCGCCGCCCTGAAGGAATAATCCCCAGCACCACCAGGGTTCTCCGGTCAAGCTATAGTGTAGGTGTGGTCCGAGGGTTTATTTGACACGTACCGATACGGACGGACGCCTGCATCTTCGCGAGCTTTGCGTGATCCATGATTGATGATGTAAGGTTCGCTTAACGGTCGGATAGGGAGTTAGCAAGAGATCTCTCTGTCTGTGTCGGCGGGAGCGGGAATCGTGGGCGGTACCAAGGAGAACTCGAGGTTGGGGTGGAGGGGGTGGGTTGAGTGGTGTAGTTTGGGTGTGGGAGAAGACGGGCGGGAGGGACCAGAGGTAACTCACTTCACTTCAGCCGCCTTTTTTTCTTCGCGGGGGAAAATCAATTTCTGTTAATTATCGGGCAGAACGATGGAGGGGGGTGAGGCGGGGTTAGGGCGAGTGATTGTGGCAGCACACACGCGATTCTTTCTCTGTTTGGCTAGGTGGTTCACCGCCGCTTTGTGGAATGGTGCAAAATGTGACTGCGCACAGTGAGAAATGGCGAGGGGAGGGGCGTGGACGAGGGAGGGGTCGAGGTTAGACCGACGTGCCCCACTCCAGCGAAAGTCTTGGCACTAATTCCAATTCCTCTCAACCTCCACTACTACCACACCTCTCCGAACAATTCACCTCCCGATTTACGTGTCCGGTAAACCAAATAATTCACTACTCCGTACGCAATCACCTCCCCCAGAATTCCCCTGACTCCCGGCTCCAAATACCACTACTCGATCGGCCCGCTATTTTCCCAGCTAACAAGAACAACAACCGAATAGGCATCTACCATGTCCGACTCCCGCATCGAAGAACTCACCGACGAGCAGGCCCGCAAGGTCGAGCTCGAGGACCACGTGTCCTCCGAGGAGTCCGAGGCCGGTGACGTCGAGGGTGATGAGCTCCCCGCCGGATCGGCTGTCACGGTCCACTCGAGAAACGAGAAGAAGGCCCGCAAGCAGATTGCCAAGTTGGGCTTGAAGCATGTTCCTGGCATCACTCGCGTCACCCTCCGACGACCCAAGAACGTATGTTCGTACCGTATTGGATGTGGAGGGGAACTGTGATGTTGATGTGTGATGGTTCGCCTTAGATCCTGTTTGTTATCAACTCGCCCGATGTTTACAAGTCCCCTACCAGCAACACTTGGATGTAAGCAGCATGGCGCGATTGTGCTCGGAGCTTCAGTAGCAGCAGTTTGCTGACAAGTGTGTGTGCAGCATCTTTGGTGAGGCCAAGATCGAGGACCTCAACTCTCAGGCTCAGGCGAACGCCGCCCACCAGCTCCGTGAGGCCGAGAAGTCCAGCATCGAGGATGACCTTGCTGCTGCCGCTGCCGAGAAGGGTAAGGGAATCGAGGCCAAGAAGGTTGAGGAGGAGGAGGAGGACGACGGCGAGGAGGTCGACGACTCTGGTCTCGAGAGCAAGGACATTGAGCTCGTTATGGCACAGGTTGGATCTCCCTAACTTACGTCAATCACCTAGGCGCATGCAGGAAGCTGACATGAATCATTACTACAGGCGGGTGTCTCCCGAAAGAAGGCCGTCAAAGCTCTTAAGGAGAACGATAACGACATTGTCAACTCCATCATGGCCCTGAGCGTTTAGGCTTTGGTTGGTTTTGGGCTCGGGACGGAATTTGTGGAAAGGTATCGAAAATGAAAAGTTTACGGTTACCAAAAAAAGTTACAAGTCTTCGTGATGTAGAACAGCCGATTTTCGATTAAGCTCTACTGGTGCATTTGAGCCCAGGGGTCTCACATCCAGGGATCGAGAGGCTTTTTAACCTTATAATTTGTCATTTTGCTCTAGCCACAGACTGACACTCGGCAAATCGGACCCTCTAGGGTCTGACATGGACTAGATTCTGCTGTTCCGAAGCGCGAAGTCAAGCGATCCGTTATGACGCATCCGCTGAGAGACAACGGGAGTTTCCTTCGACCCGGTAACCAACCAACAGACTGGATACACGTATCAGCTATAGCTGATTAGGGTGGACCCTGAATTCCTGTGGATCTGACGGGAAGGCAATGATGTGCCCAAGTACTAGCGAAACATGAACCGTCTTCCTCCTAGCTACTGCTGCAGTATCGAATGGTCGAGGCTTTTGTGTTAAAACCTAACCGGAAAAGCTAAACATGTACCATCACTCTATTTGGATTTAGAACTAGTCTTTTGGTAAGGAAAGTCACTCGCATTCACCCGCACCCCCACTGCGGCCTCAATTTTTGTTGGATCATCGAGGTACTAGTAGTACTGCTGATACCTAGAGGGTGACTCTCTCATCGTAGGTTATGGTGTTGTTCCTCGCCGTGTGGAAGTGCATCAGCTCGGTCTTAGAATCGTCAAATGCAACGGCATTGTTTTCTGCCCATTGGAACGCTACGCTGGCTCTCGGTGCGTGAGGCTAGGCGGTGGATTTCAATGGTGTGGGTGCGTCAAGAGAAATCACTAATGCGTGAAGAAGACAAGACTGAATTGTTGGAGATACATGTGCGCGCGCACTCGCGCTTAGGCATCTATTCACTCCAAACTCAATCACGAGTCAGCGTCGACACTTCAGTCTCACCAAACCCCATCACCCACACGAATAGGGTTTAATCCACAACCCTCAAGTTTGACTTCAAGCCAGCTGGTCATTGAAAGTTGACCAAGCCGACCTCCTAGATAAGTTTTGTGCGCACCACACTTCTTCACCACACTTCTTCGCCACAATTCTTCACCCACAACATCGACAACAACCACAGACCATATCACCACAACACAACACAACAGACTGCACAATTTGCACCGACCCCAGAAAGTCGATACTTCACCATGCCTTTGCAATTTTTATGCTGCGGCCAGAGAGACAAATCCCAGCAGTTTTCGACCCTCCCCCGCACCAAGAACACCTCAATGCCTCGAGCAGCGACGGAGACGAAGCCTTCGGCCCTCCCCACCGCCGAACCATCCTCAGCGGCTGAGGTGGAGGTTTCGACCCTCCCAACCATCAAGAACACCTCGGCACCCGCCGCAGCGCCGGAGGCACTGCAGGCCATGCCGCCGGGACCAGTGGTCCCCTCGCCCACCGCGGAACCCGCCGTAGCGGCCCCGGTACCTCACCAGCCTCCGCTGTCACTTTTCAGCGACTTGCTAGCACAGCGGTCAGCACCTTCGCTCGACTTGCTCCCGGGCGACATCATCCACGAGGTGATACGGACGCTGTTCCTGCGGCCGACGCCCCAGGAACTGGCGAGCTTCCTGCACGCCGTGCCGATGGCGTACCGTATCTTTAAGCAGTACGGTATGGCCGCCCTCATTCGCCGCACCGCGGTGCTGGTCAGGGAGCTCGAGGACTTGATGAAAGTAGTCAGGTGCCTCCTGCATAGTTGGAACCTTCCAACGCCCGAGATGGATGAGCGCTGTAAGAGGGTTGAGAAGTGGCTCCGGGTGTGGATTCCGTGGGCGAGGAGGGCGATCCAATGGACGAAGGAGGGGGCGAAGAGGGGGGTGCTGTTGGAGGGGGTTGCTGGAGAGGGGCCGGCACCCGATAGAGAGAAGAGCGAGGAGGGGGACAGCGACGCATAATTTTCTGCGGAGTCCCGGGACATGTGGGGAGTAAACTAGATGTTGATGTACGATCATTTTTGTTTTGTGGCATTCACTAATCAGAAAAATGCGAATGCCGTGCACTACCTACCAGTTGTTTCGTATCATCTGAAGTTGCTGTAATGAAAATTTGGATATCTGGATATGTAAACGAAAATCTGGGAATAAGAATGCATGAAAGAAACAGTATTAGAAACAAGTACAATTACAAAGCTTCAACCTCAGCACACTTCTCCAAAATCTGTAGCTTCCATATCTGAAACGAGTTCTTCTTCTTCTCGGTCAAATAGTCCACTCGATCCTGCAACATTGTTCCTCCGCCACCGGCATCGCCAGAGGAAGCAGTCTTGGTGGAACTTGTCTTGGGTTTCGGCTTCGGCCTAGACTTGGGGACCGCCTTGATCGTCTTTGGGACAGCTGCGGCTTTTTTAGTGGCTGCCTTCTTCTTCGCGGCAGGGGCGGCAGGTACTTTGGCACCAGTAGCACTGCTCTCAGCCTTCACCTTCCTAGTCTTCGCTTCCGGCTGGGGCGGCTGCACCTCCGCCTTGCGCTTCCTAATATTCGTCCCCTTCACCTCCACAGCTTCCACACTCTCCCCTACTTCGCCCACCCTCCCCAGCACGCCGTTCCCCCCGGCACCAACGCCATCCGGCACCGCCTGCATCCAAGGCCACTTCCTAAACCCCTGCTGACTAAGTTTCTGGACCCAATCATCGACAGCATGTTTCAGGGGAGCCTTGGTCCTGGCGACCTCAGCCAGCACGGCCATAACCTCCCTCTGCTTGGTCTTATACCCCGTTCCACGCTTCCACTTGATATTGCCAATCGGTATCTCCGTGTCGTGCGCCGACAGCCGCTCAATCACGAGTATTCCCACCGCCACAGAGATCGCTTCGATCGCCTTGCCGCGCACAGTGCGGTTCTCGGCCGCCGTGAGCACCGCGTGCACCCCGTTGTACACGTATGTGTACGCGTTCGGCGCGTTGAGCCGTGTGCATAGTGCTTTGAGGTTGGCGGCGAGGGTGGGGTCGAGTGCGTCCGAGGCTCGTGCGGGGGCGGATGTAGATGCGGGTGCGGTTGCGGTTACTGGTGGTGGCGGAGGTGCAGCTGCGGGTGTGGGTGCAGGTACGGGAGCATTCCGAGTCCGAGTCGACGCCCGGGCAGCTGGCGCGAGCGAGGTCTTGAAGTACGCCAGGAGCTTATTATACTCCTTCGGCGGCAGGGGGGGATTCGGCTCGATGCTCGGGATATCGATTTTATTCTTCAGCCTGCAAGTAACCCGGGTCTGTCAGTGCCGCTACCACCACAGCCAAGCTCTACGTTCCTTCCTTCATTTACGGGGGGTAGCTACATACCGTTCACATGCAAGATGCGCACACACGTACGATCGCGCGATCTCCTCGTTCGCCTTGAGGTTGCTAATGCGCGTGTGCGACTGCGCGAGGAGTGAAGTCGCGAGATCGAGGAGCTCCGACGGTATAGGCCCCGCCAGCGACGGTAGGAGGTTGTGCAGGTTGGGCTCGAGTGATTTGTTCATTGTGGTTGTAATGCGGAGTGTTGTTGGGTAAGACGCGACGGATGGAAGACGCGTGGTGGGTTGAATTGGTAATTAAGCGCGCGAAGGAGCTTGCAGGGGTGTTTCGCGGCATTATCACTCGGATGATTACATTTCACCAAGAGGACCAAGGATCACATAGTGTGAGTTGAGTGGGAAGGGAACAGGGAAGGTTGCAGATAAATAGGCCGTAGGATAGGTCACGATTGGTGCTGTGAAGAAACATTCTGAAGCAACAGCCAAAGAGATCCGCTCGATAGATACATTCTGGCATAATTCCAGCATAATCACCCGTATAATACATTCGCTCCACCGTAAGCCAGCACTGTCTTCGTTCCATAAATCGTCTCCAGCACGTCTCTCAATCCCACCTCCCCGCTCTCACAATCCCACAGCATCTGCCCGGGATCCTGCAGATACAGACTGGATCGTCCGGTGCTCTCCCCTGTGAATACTCGTTCGAGCGGGTAGAGTCCCAGCAGCATCCCGGGCCGTTCGCCAAGCGCCTTCTGTGCCTCCAAGAAGATGCGCCATTCCGCCGGGTTATCGATATGCAGCAGGAGGACTTTGTCGCTCGGGGTGCTGGAGAGCGCAGGTCGGACGAGCGTGTAGGAGTACGAGGATTTGCTGAGGGCTGTTAGGTCTGCTGGTGGCGGGTTAGGGAGGTAGGATGCCCATAGTGGATCGACGCGGACGAGCTCTTTGAGGATGCCCGTGATGTGGAGTGGCGTGGACGAGGAAAGGTGGTCGCGGATGTACGGGAGGAGCACGTCAAGGGTTGAAGATACTTCCACACGAATGTTGTGGATGCCGCGGGATGAAAGGAAAGCATGCACTACGGCCGGAAATATAGTGGCCAGCTGGTCGTGTCGGGTATCGATTGCTGCCAGCCAGGCTTCCATCTCGCGGCGGGTACAGTGGCCGGACGAGAAAGCGGCCAGGATCGGTGCGTAGTATTGAATCCGCGGTACATCCAACGTGACTGTTGGAGGTGGCACCGAAGCGGGGAGGAGCGAGACGGTGTCCGCTATGGCAGAGCTGAGGCGGAGAAGAGTTTCCAGCTCGTACATTGTGGGTTTTGTGTCGTACGGTAGCGGTGGACACTGATCACTGATCTCGCCATGTTCAGTGCCGAGATGTCGCTGTGAGAAGAGGCAGATTCCACTGACGATGTGGATCGAGGTGAAGTCTGTGAGCTTGTGGCTGGCCTTGAGCGTGGAACAGCCGCGGGTTGAGAAGAACAAGTGGCTTCTGGTAGGACCGGCTGGGCCGAAGATGGCTTCGGTGAAGGGCTTGATGTTGAGAGTGGCTTGCCCTCCTTCTTCACCTTGATTATGTTCAGCGGCTGGCTGGCTTGAACCCCGCGAGAATACTTCCGTACGCTCGACAAAGGCAGAGCAGCCAACCGCTGCCGCGGCATCAGCCCCGGAAAAAAACGAAAACATCCTATGCAACGCCTTGTAATTCTTGAATGCGGCCTTCGCACACGGCGCATAGAAGTCATTCTGCAGAAACTTGGCCGTACAGTCCGGCAGAAAGTGGAAGTCACGAACGTTACGGATTGGCTGGGGTGGCTGGTTAAGGTCGAGCCTGTGATACTGCACCGTAGACAGCTCTAGATTTCTGTCGGTGTTTAGAACGGCAACGCAGCTGTCATTGATAGGAGGAGGTGTCGGATCGCTCTGTCGTCCTACTGCCCCTGCCGCCTGCGAAGTGACTGGGAGTGAGGGTGGCGAGCCGATGCGAGGTGATGACGGTGGTGTGAGGAGGAAGAGGAGGTTGGGCTGTTCCGAGCTGCTGCTCTTGTCCTGGTGTCTGGGTACACGGGACATAGGTATATCTTCGATCCGTGCAACACTTGCTGCACTATGATGAACGAAAGCCATCCGTGATAAAGACGGCCTTCTCACCCGCGTCCTGTTAGTTTGTCCGTCCACGACCCAGCCCCCCAAGATATCAGTACGACATACCGCAGTAAACTCGGACGTTATACACCTTGAAATATGCCACTCGAAAACGATCAAGTATAGTACGGTTAAGAAGTTCGGACCGTTCTGGAGACAGGAAGCTGGCGATGGTTATGCCCTGATCCGTCCGAAAGAACCATCAACATAAGGTCTTTATATTCCCCGGGGCAGCAGTGAGCAAGCAGTACGGCGAGTCCATCGATCACAATTACTTCGGCCTTTCTTGCGTAGAGCTATCCTGCTCGCCCTGTTGAGCGAAAATAGGGCCAATACATGATGGGAACCCCCCAAAGCCTCGAGAGACTGGAGCACGCACATCTGGTGATTGCATGGACGTCCAGACGGCCGCCGAAGCCGACAACAGGTAGGTAGGAAGCCGTCGGACTATCCTTGGGACTACAGTGCGGGCTGTTGGATCTTGACCAGCTGAAACCTAACATGGTGCAGCGAGGGGCTCTAAGTGGAGCCGGGCGTTGTGAGCCAGAAGTCAACACCGACCAGGAGACAGCCCGACGGAACTCTAAGAAGCACCTAAGCCAACCGGATCGTGGCATGAAGTTTCTTTCCATGCGGATAGATTGTTGGGATCGAGAGAAATACGTACGTAAAGACGCACGTATGCGAGATTCGTCGGAACTTTGTAAGGCGGTGAGGAGGGCTTCTAAACCGCAAATTGCACAGCACATTCGAGTAGCCGACTGTTGAAATGGCAGATACGAGGCGATATTGGCATCCTCTGCGCAGCCTTCCGACGCTCAACAGGGGGTCGACAGAGGGAAGCCTCGATCAAATGGGCTTCATCCGAGTAACAACTTATGCAATGCGTTAGCCGTCCATTGGGCAGCATCTTCGCCCACGTTGCCACGCTTCAGAAGAGTCACCAGTAAGGTTCGATTCGCATCGGTGTCTCTATGCCTGCATTGGGAACGATAGCCGGACTACTGACCGCGGATCGCGGACTGTGGACTGTGGACTGTGGACCTGCGGATTGTGGACCTGCGGACTGCGGACTGCGGATCCAACGCTACCGGGGACGTGCATTCCCCGCATGATCACCGAGCAACAACTGCCGACATTCGCATCTCTCATAAGAATGCCGAGATGGTGCTTGATGTCTTGCAGAGATGCACGGGGTGTAACCTGATCGCTTCAGTGCACACGACGCGGCATTTGCGATCGCCCCTCAGCTGCGGCAAGCTTTGGGGACAGGCCGGCAGATAGCTTCCCCGCGGTGAGCGCATGCTAACGGTGCAATGTACAATGTGGGTAACATACCAGTAGACGCGACGCACATTGGATGTTTCCGCTCCCTTATACACGCAGCGGTCGTGCCCAGATCAATGGCCAGATGGAGAACACGTGGTCGCCGCGAATTCCTTCAGCAGTGGTAACGGGGGAAGTCGTGACACAAACAATGACAGCCCACCGGATTGGCTGCAAAGGGATGGACCTCCCAAAAGCGACGAGTGATCGGAACCGTACTCTAGGTTTTTACCTGGGCATGCTAGTAGTCAGCAGGTTACTGCAGCTGTCCGGAAAACCCTTGGGTCCGTCCAGTCATCGAGACGAAAGCTCTCGCGGACCGTATCGGGACCACCGACTGGCGGATGGCCACTCCGTTCCTTCAGCCCTCGGTGAATCATGATATGTACTTCGTACCCAGCAACAGCTACAAACGGGCCCGCGGCCGAATGGCGTTCTAGGCTACGTAGCGCCCAAAGGGAAGTGCAGTTCCAGCCTTGTTGCGGTTGGTCGACAGCAAATCCTTTCCCTCCTCCTCCAGACCGCACGTATAAAGTGATATCCGCGGGCCGGTAGTGTAGGATACCGGTAGAAAAGCTGCTGGTATCTCCCAATTACCGGTCCGTAGCCGACCTTCCGTTCGTGTCAACACAGGAAGCGACTTGTTGAGCACGAATGACCGCGACCTGAGGAGCTCGGCTCACTAACGCAAATACCGCACTTGACCGCAAGCCGTGTTTGGTCCGTGTATTCTGATAGGAGCGGAAATTGCGGAGCTACCTCGAAAACCCGGTGCTCTGTGCGTCCACTGCAATGAGATGCTCACCAGAGACGACGTCTATGACTCCACGAGAGCTTCGAGTGGGTGGAGAGCGGCTTCTGTCGGCAATGAACTCTATGGCAGTCTTCTTCTTCTTTCCAGGACTCTTCTCACGCATGGAGAGTTTCTTTCTTTTTCTGGTTGTCCTGTGGGGCTTATCGGCACTGCTTCAGTTGTGGCGAAGGAAGCTCTGCTATGCAAGACTTGTGCCCAATGGATTCCCATCGTGGGTTTTCCACACAGAATTATCTGTGAGTGATGGGCTATGATCGCGAAGAACGACCATGCCAATCACAGCCCTGTGCAGGGGATAGCCCCACTTCCCTAATCTAGGTTAATACACAGCCCCTCATTATCTGTCACTCGCGAGACCTGATGGGCTGGGCCTACCTTCCTTCATCGACAGTTTCTACACAAAGTAAGGCAGAACCATGGAATCGGGGCGAAAGCCGTACGGTGCGCAGCTCCCGATAGTTAAGATCAAGCCGTACGGTGCGCAGCTCCTGATAGTTAAGCTCAAGCCACAGTTACACCTCCCCAAAGGATAAAACGACCGAAGTATTCAAGCTGCGAGCCACGGAGGGCTGGAACACTGGAAGTGGGTCATCGGACAACGCCGGTAGTTAAGATCAAGCCGTATGGTGCGCAGCTCCTGATAGTAAGGCTTAAGCCGTACGGTGCACAGCTCCTGATAGTTAAGCTCGAGCCACAGTTATGCCTCTGCAAAGTATAAAAAGTCGTAAGTATTCAAGCTACGAGCCACAGAGGGCTGGAACACTGGAAGAGGGTCATCTGACAACGGCGATAGTTTCCATCTGTGTATTTGAGCACGTATTTCCCGGATCAGGGCATGACACTTGAGAACTTAGATATCTAGCGGAAAATGGTCAGGAGTAAGAAGTAAGTGGTACTCGGACGGCGAAGGGAGTCGTCCATCGTGTGGTGCCTGGTTGCTTACCCGGAATACAGCCTTGCTGGCAACAAGCGGGTGGAGAGAGAGTGAGCCGAGTGAACCGCCACGAGACGAAACTCCCCACAGCCGCGCACAAGCATTCAACGATACGGCTGGCAAACTCACTCTTCACTGAGCACGAGCAAGTATGTACATACTGTATAGTGAAGGGGGGGGGGGTAAAAAATACACTTTTTTTCCCTGTACCAGTACGGTCAAATATCGTATTTTTTTTACCCCCCCTTCACTATACAGTACCTAGGTAAAGCTGCATCGTGAGTTTCGGGGTACAGCCTTGTAGACGAAAAAGTAAAAAGTCGTATATACACGATCTAGAAGAACATGCACTAAGAAACTTCAATCAAGGAGGCCACGATCTCTTCCAATGCTTATTTACACATGTACATATGACAATTCTAAAGTCAATGTCCCAAGGGTATCCTGCTCTGCATCGGACATCAGACATCTCCCTCCCATACAAATACCAGCCGCCTCTCCCGTCTCCCCCAAATTTCCCATCGAAACATACAGCAACTCGGAACAGCAACCCCACCTACCAACTCAAGCTCTATATACGCAGGTATGCTACCCTATCCCATCTCCATCTTCAGCACACCAAGGCTCACCATCTCCTCCAGCCCTTCCCGATACCACCTATACACTACCCTTCTCTCAACTTCCAATATTAACCCAAGCAGGTAAGCCGTTCAACCCAAGTCTCACAGTCACAGTCACAGTGATCATGTACTAATTCAATAAGTAGCAACCACAATGTCGTCCCATGGATACTACTACAGCTCGGGGTTCACGAGTGAGAGTGAAATTGATAGTCCTCCCAAGAACCCGGGGTTGGGGTGGAACCACTTTGCATGTGGCCTCGAACGTTCGAGTGAAGATAAGTTGGACATGGGGATGTTGAAGATGGTGCAGCTACTGCTGCTGGCGGCGGAGATGGTTGATAAGAAGGATGGCGAGAATGGCGAGGAGACGGAGGAAGAAGAGAAAGAGGAAGAGAAGAAAGAGGAGGATGGCGAGGAGACGGAAGAGGAGAAAGAGGAGGATGGTGAGGAGACAAAGGAAGAGGAGGAAAAAGAGGAAGAAGAGGACGAGGGGTATCTCGGGGGTGACGAAGACGACAATAGGCCGCCGAGCGGAAAGGCCAAGAGGTCACGCTCGGAAGCCTCATTCTCGACCTCGGCTTCGAGCTCCAAGCAGCAGAGAATCGATTCCGAATCGGGCCCGCATGCGAGCGCAGAGCAGGTGGATCGTTTTCACCTCCTGCTCCGTGCGGCGGAGTCAAAGCGGTATATGCAGTGAAAGAGCGGTTAGTTTTCAGCTTACCTACCCATCCTTCTGAAGCTGTAGAAAGGCAGAGACTGATGAATGTCGGCTTTTATAGGCGGTTTCCTCAGCAGTGTATCGTGGTAGGACACGGGGCCGGACGCTTCTGTGGTAGACGACTGTGGCTTCTTCTGGGTGAAGCTAGTGACTACCTCGGTCAAGTGTTTTGTATGTTTTTTTTTATCGTTTTGATTGTACTTCAAGTAGATTGTACACGTATCTTTCCGGCATTGCTATCCATACTGAGGGAAAGGGTTATAATCAAGAGTACTTCAGAACCAAGGGAACCAACATGCCAGTGCAGTGAACACGGATGATGGGCGGCGAAGCAAGCAAGCGGGCAACCGGGCAAAGCGCGAGATCTGATCAGAGGTCCAGACGGCGCAAGCGGTATCGCCGCTCGGTGAGGTTCAATAGCCCCGCGAGGCTACTACTAGACCTCCCCTCACCATCTGCGATTGTGTCTCGTCAGCCTCAGATGTTGAAGCTTCACCACCACACCTACAAAACCCCACGCCTACCGACTTCTCTTCTTCTTCTCTTCTTCTCTTCACCACACACATCGCAAGTTGACACAACTCTCTGAGCCAACCCCAACGCCATTCGAAAACCAAACTTTCAGTAAGTGAATCCGTCTTATCACACAAACTCACTCGCAACAATGAATGCTAACACGATATCTACCAGAGATGTCTCCGAAAAGATACGACATCCGCAAGCGGGCTCCGAGGCCCGCTGCTGCCGCCGTGAAGCCTGCCCGCAACGCCCCCAAGGTAAGCACGACCCGCACTTCTATCGCACTGCATCTGACACGGCTCTCACAGATCACCAAGGCCGCCAGCGGCATCTCCAAGTCCGGGCGCGCCAAGAAGTACATCTATGCCCTCAAGGCCAGCACCATGGCGCGGCTCGCGGACATGGAGTTCGACGTGCACACCACGCTCGTGGAGGGTGCGCGTTTCTACCTCCAGCCTGGAGGTAGGAAGCGCATCCCAAGCGGCGTGGTGTCCATGGTCATCACCACGCCCGCTGGGGTCGACGCCCAGTGGCCGGTGGAGCTGGACTTCGAGGAGATGGACTGGGAGGCGGTCAGGGGGGAGGCGCAGCAGCAGGAATTCGAGATGGAAGAAGACGACGAGGAAATGGAAGACGAGGATCAGGATCACGACCAGAATGAGATGGAAGACGAAGACGAGGGCCAGGATCACGACCAGAATGAGATGGAAGAAGAAGACGAGGGTCAAGACCAGAATGAGATGAAAGAAGAAGACGAGGGTCAGGATCAAAACTAGAATGAGACGGAGGAAGAAAACGAGGATCAAGATCAGAATGAGATGGAAGAAGAAGACGAGGAGGAGATGCAGAAGGAGGAGGAAGAATAAGGGCCTTCTCGGTTATTAGCTGCTTTTTGAAAATAGATACCACACAAAATTGAGATACATTTTGAAACCCTCAGTTCCCGGGCGCTAGGTGACCGTTCGGCACACCAGTGACCACCCCAAGTTAATAATTTGAGAAACTGCGTGATGTCAACTGAGCCACAATACATATATAAAGAGTGTGGCATGCTGTTGAATATCTGGGTTGTCGAACAGGTCATCAGGGAAGTTGATGGTTTGTAGCTGCAGCTTTGGTAATGTTCAACTCCTCAAAACCGCGAATTTTGAAAATCCTGCTGGCAACCGAACAGGCCCTACGAGAAGAAGCAGCAACATCAGCAGGAGAAGCAACAAGAGGAAGAAGCGGAAGCGGTGGAAGGGGAGTAGGAACCGGCTGGCAGCACCAGCGGCCGTGAGAATGAATGAATGATCAATCACCAAGTGAAAGAAAGACCTTTCAGACTTCCAGTGGATTCAAGAACACGCTTCTGTATATAGTAGTAAAGCTCGGGCTTCATTAGAGTAAATACCCACAGCCCAAGCCCACAATTATCTATCCTTTCCTCAGTGCTGTGCCTCAGACAACTCCTCCCCCTCCCCCGCAAGCCAGATCCAGAGCCCGAGTGACCTCCATAACTCCATTTCGGCCTGTTCGAGTATCGACAAAGATTCCCAGTCCATTCCAGCCAATCACGACGAGTGAAAACAATCGACGATGAGTGATCGTCCATGAATAATGATACCCTCCGTGCGGAAGGTATCATATTATATACCCCTCTTCCCCCACACACTCTCCGCGTGTTCGAATATCTACTCTAGCTCCCGTTGCACTGACATGATTGACCTCCATCTGCCGTCTCCCGCCCCGCCCCGCCCCGATCCGACCCACGACGGAGACTTTCTTGAATCTTCTTCATGACGTTCGAACGCCTCGCTGTATGTATCTACAGGGAGCGAAGCAGAGCAGGTACCTGGTACTTGGGAACTCGATTCCACGCGTCTTCATAGTCTTCATGCCTATACATAGTATTACCGATATGTAGGTGTGTATCCACTTGCAAGTTGCGCTCGCCGTTTAGTTACATAAAGCAGGGTTTCCTATGTATGATCCTATATGATCCTATATATGATCCTATGTATGATCCCATCATATCTCCTACATACATACGGTATCTCCTGTGGCGGCGGCGGCGGCGGCGGTGGTGGTGGTGGTGGATTGATAGCCATCCATCGATGATCGCACAACCCTCCGACCCTGCTCCGCCTCCTCCTCCTCCTCTCGCTAACTAGAGCACATCGATAGAAAATCCACGCCACGCCAGTGACGCCACTTACCGGCCGCCCCCAAACTTTTTAACTGGAGCAGGCAGACACCGGTGTTCCCCGAATCCCCGGGGTCCGAAGACGGTAAGCACGCCGTTATTTCGTTCTAACGGCGAGCTGGATCTTACATGGACTCTGCGTGGACTCGGAGCACATAAAACGCGACAAGGGACCTCTGCATGTGAAAGTAGATGGATGGTTGCGCTAGGTGGGGCGAGGGGCGGGGGGGCCGAGATCTTGCGGATTTTCGATTCGAGGGGGAGAGGGAGAATACCAAAAGCACCTAGATAATCTATTGTCGCATCAGATTTTTGATTCGCTACATACCACGAGGTCGAGATGAGGGGAGGGGAGGGGAGGGAGGTTACACGCGTGGTGTTCGCGTGACAGTCCGGCAGACCCCTCAGCACTCAAGGAGTGAAGGAGTCAAGCACTCAAGGACAGAGAAGTCGACCGATAACTCGGCATTCTGGGACTGCCTAATCGTGCATAGTAGGTAGACGGTAGGTGGTAGTTAAAGTGCAAGATCTTGATATTTGTTCCTTCAGGACTACCTCCCGGTACCGCGGACACTCCATCTCTGTCTCCATCTACATCTACATCTCCGCCGCCGCCGCCACATGACATGACTTCCCCGTCCCCGTCGCCGTCGCGAGATCTAGATTCTACGTTCTGGCGCTGCAGACGCGCACCGCACCACACCGCACGCACGCACAAGAAGAGCCTGCATAGCGCAGCCACCTGCCACGGCCCGATTCTGGCAGGTCAAATGTAACGCAGCGATGTCTGCCTTCGGGGCTTGCAGCGGTGAACCTGATTTCTGCAGGATGGAACTGCAACTGTGCTTCGTGCTTCGGTTCGCCAATGATCGCTTTTGGGTGCCAAGTCGTGAGATTTCGGCACGGCGGCGGGCGGGCGGTATAGATAGCATCTATAGTACCGTATCTACCGTATCCATGATCTGTGGGGCTGCTCGATCTGCTCTACCGGAGTACCGTAGTTATCTATGTAACCGTCAAACATCAGCCGCGAGTCTACTACCTATTCTAGTCGGCAGTAGAGGAGGGTTTTGTGGGTACATAAAAACCTCTGGCCATACCGTATCATATGGAAGTGAGTTTTTCCGTCGAGCCCGTGCTAGAACAGAGTACCTAGGTACACAGCAGGCTTTTGCCGGCTCCGAGTGTGGTTTCCATCCCTGATTCGGATCTGCCTCCAGATTTCATTATATAACGCAGGCCCGGCGAAGAGGAGTGGATGCCAGCGGTGGACCCGGCCGGGATACCTAGGTTGGATGGGTGGAGCGGTGGAGAGGTAAGACTGCGAGCCGCTGTTATCGCGCTCGCGATGGCCGAGGTGACGGCGGTGGGTATGGCCAGTTGGTACATGTTACATATCCTCACGCGCTCACCGCTCGTATCCCCCCACAATGGAAAACATCTCCAGATATGATGTACGTGGAGTGGCCTCGATAACCACTTGCACTCTCCACGGATTGATCCGCAAGCAAGACCCTGTTCGAAACCGGGAACCCGTGAATTCCCCATGGTCATCGCTTTTCGTTCCTCTGCTAGTAAGTTAGCCTAGCTCCAGACAACTGCGAGAAGCGACCCCAGTTCAGACCTCACTTGCCCTGGTCGGACAAGACTCTTCGACACAACCACGAAGAAACTCGGAAGCTATCTAGGTACGATGCCCCACGACTCGGCGTCGGGCAGGTGCTTTGCTTGCTTTGCTTGCTTTGCTTGCTTTGCTTGCTTGCTTACTTTCGGACCATGGGCATGGGTTACCTAAGTAGAGGGAGACGCTTACTAGTATGCATAGTAGTGCTTTCGCTCCCCCCAAACAACGCCTCCCCGACCACCCCCGGGAGCAGAAAAAAAAACACACAGCACCCTCGCACGCGGCAAGCAGCATCGATAAAACCTGGGCTGGCCGCTGCAAAAACTGGTGTCACGTAGATCGGACCCCGTATCTATCGCTACCCTCTCTCTCCCCTACCTACTTTCAAACATACACACACATTCGTTGTAAAGTGGGAAGTGGAAAGGAAAAGCGCCCTCCCTCCTTCTGCGCCAAGCTGCCTTCGATTCCTTTACATTAAGCACATATCTCGCTCCCGCTCCCGACCCCCGACTCTCCTTTGCAAACATTGCACTTCTCGACCGACTCGAACTCGACCAACTCGACTCGTGTGAGCAGCACCCCAACTCAGATCTTCACATCGCATACACGAACCGAACCCAACCCGGCGTGTCATCATGGCCGAAGCAACAGCCACCGGCACCGACACCGGCACCAGCACGGACATCGTGCGCAAGTCAATGGATAAGAAACATCTGGCACTGCACGACCCGGAGCTGTCGTCCATCGATGTGGACGCCGCTAAACTGGCAGGTTAGAATTGCCCTTTCCCTTTCGTTGCGTCCCCTGTCTGCTTCTGCCGTGAGTCGTGCCACACCAAGGAACCCATTTGGCCCGTGAGATCTTTGATCTTTGATCGTCGTCGTGATAAGATTTCTCCGGGGGGTTGGGGGCGGCGGCGGCGGTGGGGGCACGTGCGGGGCGTCATCGCATCGCAGAGGGAGATCGATATTGCGCATGGGTGTGCGCGATCCGGCAGGGACTTGTTGCTGACCGAGCGCCATTTCGGTTCGCCGTGTAGAAATGGGCTACAGCCAGGAACTGGAGAGAAACTTCAGCAAATGGTCGCTTCTCGGTATCTGCTTCGCCCTGACCAACTCGTGGTTCGGAATCTCGGCGTCGCTGGTCACCGGTATCAGCTCCGGCGGCCCGATCGTCACCGTCTACGGTATCATCATCGTCACGCTTATTAACGGTTGTGTGGCCGTCTCGCTCGCCGAGTTGATCTCGGCGTTCCCGAACTCCGGTGGTCAGTACTTCTGGGCCAGTGTTTTGGCCCCGGCTGAGTGGTCGAACGTGCTGGCCTACTACACCGGCTTCATCGGTTATGCCGGCAGCATCTTCACCTGTGCCAGTGTGGCTGTGTCCATCGGTACCTCATTGATGGGAATGATCCAGATCAACAACCCGGAATTGTAAGAACCGACTTGTTTTGTGAGCGGACGACGAATGAGGGTAATGGACGGCTAACGGGGGAATTCAGGACGATCGAGAGATGGATGGTGTTCATCGCCTATCAGCTTTTCAACTTTGTCGCATACCTCTTCAACTGCTATGGAAAGACCCTGCCGGCTGTCGGAAACTTTTTCCTCTACGTGTCACTCGTTTCGTTTGTTACCATCACCATCACGGTGCTGGCTAAGGCGTCGCCGAAGCGGGAGCCCAAGTTCGTGTTCGCCAACTTTGTCAACAACACCGGATGGGAGTCTGGCGGTATCGCCTTCATCGTCGGATTGATCAACCCCAACTGGTCCTTCTCGTGCCTGGATTCCGCCACTCATCTGGCCGAAGAAGTCCCCAAGCCCGAGCGCAACATACCCTTTGCCATCATGGGCACCATCGCCATAGGCTTCGTCACCTCATTCTCCTACGCGATCGCCATGTTCTTCTCCATGCAGGACCTCGACGAGCTGGTCAACACTCCCACCTGGACCCCGATCATGGCGCTCTACCTCCAAGCCACCAACTCGATCCGCCTCACCACCTTCCTCGAGTTCCTCATCTGCTTCACCGGACTCGGTTGCCAGATCGCATGCCACACCTGGCAGGCGCGCCTCTGCTGGTCCTTCGCGCGCGACCGCGGCCTCCCCGGCTCCCGGTACTGGGCGCAAGTCCACCCGAAGATGGGAATTCCCTTTTACGCGCACACCATGTCCTGCGTCGTCGTCGGCATCTTGGGGCTGTTGTACATAGGATCTACAACTGCCTTCAACAGCATGGTGACAGCGTGCATTGTGCTGCTGTACATCTCGTACAGCATTCCGGTGATCCTGCTGCTGAAGAAGGGCCGCAACAACATCAAACACGGCCCGTTCTGGCTCGGCGGCTTCGGCCACTTCTGTAACTACGTCCTCCTCATCTGGACCGCCTTTACGCTCGTCATGTACTCGTTCCCGTACGCGAAGCCCGTGACCGCCGGCAGCATGAACTACGTCTCGGTCGTGTACGCCGTCACGTTCGCCATCATTGCGATCTACTGGGTCGCCCGTGGAAAGAGGACGTTCCGCAGCAGGGAGGAGCGCGAGGGCGTCGCGAGTACCATTCCTGTACCGCTATAGATTCAAGGATTACTGGATTACTGGGGTGCTTTTGGCGTTGCAGTGGCGGTTCATTTTTTCCTTTTTTCTTTTTCCTTTTTTCTTTTTCTTGCCACGACTTGACTTGACTGCTTTGAACGATCTGACTTGACTGGACTGAACTTGACTTTGCTTTTGCTGTAATGTACATATAATTATACCTCCCCCTTAGCACACGGTTACTTAACTTGATTGGACTGGACTGAGGTCTGGGCGGTGGTGGGCCGGCTTTGTTTGTTTCTGTATTATTTTTTGATCTTGTAGGTTGGCTCGATGGATGAAGTCATGAACTTGTAGTTGTAGTAGCTGTTGTAGTTTGGCGGGTGGCTGCGTTGGGTTTTCATTCAACATGTGAATGCCGCACGCAGAAATCGAAAGGTCGCTATCATACATCATATCATACACGCTTCCCCCTGGGTTCAAAACGTCTTATTAAAAAACCTCCAAACCTTCTTCGCGGCCTCCTTCCCCACAAGCTTCGCGATGTCCGCCTCGTCCATATTGCTGAGCTCAGTGAGATTCTCGACATCCTGCATGACGAGCCTAGCGTTCTTACCGCTGATGCCCGGGATGACGCGCAGCATCTCCTGCGGCGCATTGTTATAGCTACTATTTGGGTCCTCGCCGGCCTCGAGCCCGACGACGACCGCCGCGTCCACGTCCGGCTCTGGATGGCCGCTCTTGAGCTCCGCAAATATCTCCGCGGTCTGGTGCGGACTGCTGCTCCAGATAAACGACATCCTCGGGAACGCGATGGTTAGCAGGACAAGCTTGGCCTGGATATCGTCGCCCCCCGGCGCGGCGGTGGAGGAGGAGGAGGTATCTGCGCCCGCAAACGGCTCCAGGCTGAACGATTGGTCTTTCTCGAACTCGATTAGTACCATCGGCTGCGCGTAGGATGCGCTCATCGCCTCGCACTGCGTGTATAGCCGCCCGTTGCGGAAGGAGGCGATCAGGTCCTTGATCGACTTGCGCTCCACGCAGATCGTGGGCGTCAGGATGTAGTCGCCCACCGTGAGCGTGACGGGGACTGGTGAGGTGCCGCGCGCGTCCAGCAGTGAGGGCAGCGACGAGCGGAATTCCCGGATGTCCACGATTACCCGTGGTGGTTCGGCTGTGGCCGAGAGTTTGCCCCCGCCCCCGAGTCGCGTGTTGGTTATTGTCCGCAGGAGCTCAGCTTGGTCGATGTCGGTGTGGGCGTCGGTGGTCAGGGTTACGGCCATGGACTACATATGGAGGTCAGTGGGTGCGACTACTGGGGATAGGGTGGAGACGTACGCCTTTCTCTTTGATCAGTTTGGAGAAGGCGTCCTTCTCCCGTCGTACGGCGCTCAGGAATCGCTGCTCCTCCACCGAGTCACCGTAGTAGAGGAAATAGACCTTTACCTGGCGGTCATTGTGGGAGCTTCGATACACCTGTCCACGCCATATCAGTCACCATTCGTCACCAGTCACCACTCGTCACCCGTCACCCATCGCCAACCAGCCATAATACTAACCTCAACCCGCCGTACAAACGCCGTGTCGGGATTATACATGACTATCCACCTGGGTCGCAGCTCCTCAAGCAGTCGATCATCCATATCCCCACTGAACGGGTGGACAACCACCAGATTCTTCAGCTCGAAGAGCTCATAGAAGTCCTCCATGTGTTCCAACGGATCGACGGCAATCTCCTGTTTCGCCGCCGCCTCCTCTTCAGTCGGTTGGAGACTCTGCCACAGCGCTGCCACATTGACAGCCTGTTCATCCGAGGGCTGTGCACCCGCCGTAGCTTTAGAAGAAGAGCCGACATTCCCACTACCGCGCATTCGCCGGCGTTTATTGGCTGGTGCTCTCCCGCGGAAACTCTGGGGCTCCTGCATCCGTTTCTGCATCTGCGCACCCCCAGTACCCCCCCCGCCGGTGCCTCGGTTCATCTCGTTATACGCCGCCTTGAACTTCGAAAGATCCTGTTTCCACGCTAGATACCCGCGGAGTCTCCGCCGCATCATGTAGTTTGCTGAATGCGTGACCCTCCCGCCCTCTTTCTCCTCCCCATCATCGTCCTCCGCATCGTCCTCCCCATCCTCCTCATCCTCGACTGGCCGATTGACAGTCTGCAGGTACTCCCTCAGCTGGCGACACTCCTTTGCGTCCGAGCACATGACGAGCACAGTCCCGTTGGTCCCATGATCAAGCTGCGGATTCATTACCGCCTCGCGCTCGATCTCATCGAGGATCCCCGAAAGCGTCGCCCACTTCGGCAGCTCCTCAAGCACCGGGTGTAATGTGGCGGGGATTGTTGCTCCACTACCCCCATTCTTCGGCAGAGTGCCCACATACGCCCTTCTTTTCGCGGTTTCAAAGATCGTCTGCGCAGCGTCGAGGTACAGCCACGGGGACTGGTTCATCCTCCCCATTCCCATGCTTGTGGCGCCCGAGCTCTGCGTAGCCAGGATGCCTTCGAGATACTGGTGGAAGCTCACGGCGTCGTACGTCACCAGGTACGAAAGCATATCCCTTAGCTCCTTGAGGTCGCCCACGATCTGCCTCGTCTTCCAGCTCACCCTGTGCCAGACGGGATCCAGCTGGCGGCGCAGCGTGACATCGAACGCACGGTGCAGCGCCGCCTCCACGTTCCAGTCCTCCATATCTATCTCGCGGGAGTTCCCGCCCTTGCGCAGCTCCGACAGCGAGGACTCGATGCACTGCAGGATTGCGTTCTGGATATCCAGCATGGCCGGGCTGAGCGGGACGTCGAGCTCGATTACCTCCGCGGTCTTGCTCTCGAGCGACTCGGCGACGGCAACGTGGAAGCGCGGGTACAGCGTCGGCGTGCGCAGGTGCAGGTTCTTGAGCATCGTCGACAGCGGAGAGAAGCCGGACGCGAACCCCGATGGGTTGTCCGAGAACGCCTTGATGAACCCGGACTTGTTCTTGCGGCGGTACACGCGGAGGATAAACGCCTCGAGGGAGGTCGCAGTCACCCTACGTTCGGGCTGTCAGCTGCCTGCCTGGCTGCCACTCCCCCCCCCCCCCCCCCCCCACCGTCAGATCTGCTGCAACCTACCGGTCCGCGTGCAACACCACCACCCCCGTAATCCTATCCGACGGAATATTATCTGCCCCTCCTTATCAGCCCCCTCCCGCACCCCGCATCCCCCACCCCCTCGCCATCCCTTGCCATACTCACCGGTCAACAAATCCACCACCAGTATCCTACTAGTAACCGCCATGACTCCCCCCCTTTCATAAGTCTTCCTCCTCCCGGCCACACCCATAGCCTCAGTATTGATTACTCTCAACCCCTTTGCGCAGCCCACCCCGCCCGTCTCGGCCATCGCCTCGCCAACCCAGTCGGTCTCATCCTCGCTCGCGTTGACGAGCAGCACCAGGTTCTCGCCCGCGACGTCGTACGCGTGCAGCAGGTTCGTGACTATGCGCAGCAGGCCCAGGCCGCGCGCAAGGATCAGGAGCGCGTCGGATGTGAGCAGTGATGTGAAGAGTTCTTGCTGGTAGGGCTGAGTGGTAACTAGGTCAGTGATGAGTCGACAGGCGGAGGAGGGGGAGGGGGAAGTACCAGTGGGAGGGAGATTTTCACGGCTGGTGAAGATGCGGGTGCTGGCTCTAAGGCCGATGTGGTGGTCGAGGCCATTAGAGTGTCGTGTACGATGCGCTCCTCAGAGCGCAGCTTGACGCGTAGAGTTGTAATATCTACCTGGAGCTTGCTTGCTGGAAACGTGACGTCGCGGGCCGCCAAGAAAGAGCTGCCGGCCCGACTCCCGAGTCACCCACCCGGCGGCGGAGCAATGATGTACCGTATTCCACATGTTTGTGATCCATCCAGCCTATTTTGTAAATGCCTCCAAATGATATGTAATAAAGCGAACATAAACACAGAGCCAACGAACGATATATACGGGTGGTGATACCAAGCTCTTAAGAAGGGCTCAACTTGGAGAGCGAAAAGGAAAGAACATAGAGAAAGAAAGAAGAAAAGGCCCCCCAAAACGCCAGTAAAATTGCAGTGCAGACTCCAACTGAAGCTCCCATCCCCATCCCCATCCCCATCGCCCAAAAGATACAAGAAAACCTCCTCCCTCGCCTCGCCTCGCCCAGCCAAAATAATCAATCCGTGGAATGATTTCTCAGTGTCCGGTTCTCTCCATCTTCACTTTCCGACGACTCTTGCCATGCATCTCCATCCCTCGGTTCCGTCCGCTCGTCGACGGTAGATGGTGGTGCCGCAACTGAATTATTGGACGACGTCTGGTCGATATTCCCCCAGCCGGCACTACTGGTGGGCGAGAACCCGGGCAGTCCCAACTTTCCACCGCCACCGATGCCGCCGCCGCCGCCACCACCGCCGCTCTTACTATGGCTCGGCCCTGGATGATTAGCGGTGAATCCGCCGGAAAAGATGCTATTCGCATCTTCATCGTCATAATCTTCAAAGTCCCCATTCTGGCTCAGCGCCGCACTCAAGCTCTGATACTTCCCCTCGGTCGCGGTGTTCCCACTGGTGCCGGAGATGGATCCGGCGCGGGAAAGCGCGCCGTGTGGGCTAGGCAGGATACTCTCCGTTGGGAGGATCGAGAATATCTCACCGTTGTCGCCCGGATTGTTGCCGTAGCCGGTATTGAAGGGGTCTGCGGCGCGGGTCATCAACTCCTCGAGACCCCCGGACGAGTCCCAGCCCTTCTGTGCGATCTTCTCGAACACCTCGATTTCGGCGCGGACGACGAGTGCGGAGTAGTCGAGGATCTTGAGTGAGGTCTCCTGGGAGAGGTCCAGCGCCGTTCGGTAGTGGCCGTATTTGAGGTTCTCCAACTCGTCGATCTGATACGTTAGATCCACAAGAGCACTTCGGAACGCGGACAGATCTATCCCCTCCAAGTCAGCCAGCCGCCGGAAAAGCCAACTCACACAGCGTAAACCGTGCACACATACTCCTCTTCTTCTGCCGCGCAAGCTTAAGATGTTGCTGCTCCCTCTTCCTGAGCTCGCGACTCTTAGCCTCAGCTTCCTTCTTGTACCGATCCTCATTCTCGGCATTCTTCTCCTTGTAGCTATCCAGCTCGTGCAGCAGCGGCACCTCAAAGCCTCGATACACACTTTCCGAGAGGATGTGCATATTGCTGGCGACGAGGTACTGCAGCCCCCCAGCACCCATCATTCCGTCTGCATTATCGCCCGCGCCCTTACCTATGTACCCCACACATCAGCAACCCTCCTCCTTCTCCTGCTGCTGCCCCTCAGCGTAACCAAACGGGAACCTACATCTCGCGCAAATTTCCAGCGCCGCGCCGAACGCGGATGCGGACTGGGCGAGGACGGCGAGTGCCTTCCGGTAAGCCTTCGCCGCGTCCGCGAGCATCTCGTACGCCGAAATCGACGCTTTGACATCCGTCTGCGTCAGGAAGTGTCCCGGCAGCGGCGGCAGCGGCGGCGCAGGAAGGTTTATCGACCCCCCCGCGGGGAAGCTGGTCGACGCGAAGGACCGTGGCGGCGATGGCGGGATCGGCGGTAGGAACGCTGCGTGCACTGCGTGCGGACTCGACGGTAAGGGCGAGGGGGAGGGGGTGGAGGTCATCGTGATGAGGAGCTGTGCGGGAAGAGGGAGGTGGTGTCCTGGGCCCGCTGGAGCTGTGGTTTTTGGGCGTGTCTGGAGTGTCGCGCCGAAGGCAGGGAACGTATGTATGTAACGGCGTCGGCGTCGGCAACTAACAGACCCCCGGTTTAGATATGGGTTTATTTTTAAATTTCAATTCTCTTCATAAAGACGTCGACATGCAAATAAAAACACGAAGAGAGCGAGCGAGAGTCGGTGGATGGTGGTGGTGGTGGATGGTGGTGGTGGATGGTCGACGGTGGAGGGAGAAGTGAAGGTGGACACTGGACTGGACAGAAGTGCAGGCGGGAATGGCAGTGGTGGTGCTTCTGCGGCCTGCCTGCCTGTCTGTCATGGGGAAAAAGCAACGCGGTTTCATGACCGGCTACATGTCTGGTGCGACAGCGAGCATGCCCCTCCCATCATACGCAAGCTTCACAAGTACATATGAGTACTCTACGGTGAGTCTATGACCTCGTAACGAGACCATGGGGTGCTGTATATACCGTGTAGTAGTCACTTTCACTTATGCACATCCGCATGTGCTTATCGCGCTTCTTTCTGCACGCTCTGTTTCCGGTCTTCAACAGAATTCAGCACGGGCGCTGGTAGATAGGGCGAGTGCTTATCTTCGTGTCTTTCGTTTAGATAACGAAGATCTTATCGCATCCCGTCGCACGAGATCTCACCCGGTCACTGTATGCAAAAAACGAGATGGAAAGCGATGAAGGCTCCCACGCGAAGGCACAATCGATGGAAGGAGCAATGAGTAAAAGCAGCCATGGTATATTTCTCATCTCTACGCACCCAACAAAAGAAACATATCGAACATTGCAGTAGCCGTAGCCGTAGTATTTCCACCCAAACCCATCCCGAACCCGCTCAGCCAGAGAAAAGTATACAAAAAACACAAACTCCGCTTACACCCGTCCCGAACACAAGTGAACAAATCGCGAGACAGAAAGAAAAAGAAAGAAAAAAAAGAGGCCACACATTAAGAGTTTTGAAAAGGAAAATGAAATTCGTCAAGTGGTGGTTGTTGTGAGTTGGTGGTCATCATCATCTACGGTGCGCGAGCGAAGTAGGCAGGCAGTAGTAGACAGTAGACAGACATGTCATGTCGACCCCGGATTATATGGCCCGCGTGGTTCTACCATGGTGGCTGGTACGGTTCGACATTCTGGAGCGACGGGAACCGGCGCGGCCGCAGGTCAGGAACGAAATGATGATGTTCAGAACATTGGTGATTCCTGCGAGGGTTTGTCAGTAAGAATGAGGGAGGAAGGGAAGTAGCAGAAGGAGTGCGAACCGTTGATGATGGCCTTGAGGATACCGGCAATGCCGTTGATGATGGCGCTGAGAGCGTTTCCGATGGCACGGAAGACGGACTTGATCTATTTGGTTGTTAGTAGGAGTAATGCGAGAGGCCGGCGACGACAGAGAAGGAGAAGCATACGCAAGAGACGACGGCGCCCATTGTGAATTGAATTTGGTGGTTGGTGGTGGTAGTTTTGGTTGGTGGTGGTAGTTTTGGTTGGTGGTGGTAGTTTTGGTTGGTGGTGGTGGTTTTGGTTGGTGGAGGAGGTGTTGTTTGTTGGTTGGAAGATGTTGTAGTGTAGTGTTGTGGTGTGAGTGGGTGGTTTTGATTGTTGATGTGGATGTTGAAAGACGGGGTGGAACGAAAGAATATAAAGGAAGTTCTGCCCTCACCTCGCAATGACGTCCGGGTCGAATCCTGGAAGCCGCTTTCAAAGTTGGTGATCCCTTCCTTGCTTTGGCTACCGCGTGGTTGCACAAAGTTTCTTTGAAGCGCAGGGAGCAGCTCGAAGGATGAGGTAGCGATGACGTCAGGTAGCAAGCGCAAGCAGGCGATTGGCGGTCCCTGGAATAAAAGTAGAGTGTGCACTCTATCCATCACATGGGAGATTCGAGCACCCACCCTCCCATCGTCAAGCGACGTCTGCTGTGACCGACCCCCATCACCGTGCAGCAAAGAAAAAAAGATTCTTGCGAGACATCATGATACGTCCAGTCGGTATGTGACGTACCTACATGCCGAGGCCGGCGCGAATCGAGATTGTACCTGCGGGCACTCGACCCGTCGAGCAAATAGTCCTGTCTGGACGACGCGCGACTGCTGTCGCACCTTCGAGCAGAAGCTGGATGATAAGGGAACCACTCTGCCCCGTAAATTGCAACGGCCATAGATTGCGCCGAAGATCTTGGATACTGTAATTACAGACGGCTGCACATGCAGAGCGCTCTACCTGAAAATCTATCTCGCGATGCTGGAGACTGTCACGGATACCGGTATCCAGCTGTAGGTATTCAACCGAGCTTTCCTCTAGAGTACGCCACGGGTCCTACAGTGTAAGCCACGGGTTCCCGCGCGGCGGCGAACTATCGTAGCACATTGCACTGAGGTCGTTTTGACTCCAAAGTTGTGACGGTGCGCTAGACAAAGAGGGGCTAAGTGAGCACCGAAACTGGGTTGCCGACCAGCTGCCCGGTGGTACATACCGGTACCGTCGTTAGAGAACCCACTCCCCGCAGACCACAGTCTTATCCACCACAACCACACCAGGAGCCAGAGCCTTCGACTCACTCACTCACTCACTCTCCGGACACTTCGGAACCTGCCAATATACGCGATTTGCCATCCACCGTGAAGTGAGCGGTCGCCTCCGCCAAAGATCCGCCAAAGATCCACCGAACCTGACATCGGAGGGCAAACGCAAACGCAACGTCGCCGCCAGGCAAGTTAGCCCGTGTATGTAAGTACTCTAGTGTTCGGACCGGCTGGTGATCTTTCGCTCGCTCGCGCGTTCGCACGGCCCTGGCGCCTGTCTCAGAAGTCTAAAGTCTAAAGTCTGACTTCGTCAGTGCCCATGGTAAATCATGATTCAGAAGATCTTGAGACGAGTGAGGGGGGCTTTGGGACTTTGGGGAAAGCTGAGAGGCGTTGAATCGGTAAGCGAATTGTCTAGCTACATACACTCAGACAGCGCTACGATTACTGTACACGTCTCGCCACCATCACCAACACCATCACCAAACCAAACCAGTCGTTCAACACAAGCACGACGCTTGAGGTTAGGATTCGGGTACAAGTACAAAGTTAATCGTTAATCGAAGTGAAGCTACTCCAATAACTCCCAACTCCCAACTCCAAAGAAGAAGGAGAAGAAGAAAAACAAAAGAAGTAGCGAGTGATACCAAGTGACGCTCGACCGCCCTTCCTCCACATGAACTGCTGCCCGAGTCCGACCCTTATGGTATCCTCTCCGCGAGCGCCTCTCGACATGTCCGTTTCTCAGTTTCTTAGTACTGAGGGATGCTGTTTGAGGAATCTCGCGGTCTCGTTGAACACCACGCTTGCCGTGTACCTACCGGTATGTACTCTAGGTGGTAGTGAGATCACCTTACCTTACCGTGCTCACCAGCTCTGTGGTCTGGAGGAAATCCTAAGTTCCCAACACGTCACGCCATCCTCCCCACATTATTGACGACTGCCTTTTCTCTCCCCCAGAGTAGACGGAGCGCTAGTCTCGCTCGACCCTTGCCAAGAAAGTATAGCGTGCTCAGCCTCGCTTACGCTAAATTCTATTGAATATTTTTTTCTGTGCAAGGGTCTGGAAGGAAAAGTAGACGTCCTCAAACCTTGCTGGGTGACCTGGCCGGTTAGGTGATTAGGCATTTCTATTGGTTTGGGGATCTTTCAGGTTCCCGGCACCGCTAATTCCTCCAGCTCAGAAAAAGTCGTCTGGGTGACTTCAGGAACTCTAGCTCGCCTCTAGCTCGCCTTTAGTTCGCCGTGAAGGGTAGGTGGGTTGTGAGTAGTTTCAGGGATCGAGAACTAGACTCTGATATTCTCCATCCTGTAAAGAATGCCTCATGTATCTACAAGAAAATTTGTGCTCCAGTTGCTCGACTTCAACATCCACGCGCAAACGACAGTCGACTCCATTTTCGAACCTGATGATGGCGAAGTGGATGTGCAACTCAGCACGCGGCGGAGTGTTACGCCCAGCAAGCTGGCGACATACCTCCTCATACACACGGAAATACATTAGTATTAGTACAGATACCATTGGCCTTAAACTATTGGTAGTTACCCAGGAAGCATTGCAAGAGTCAATCAACTCCCACAGTTGGAGTCATTAAAGTAATGACTCTAGTCACCGAGCAGGATTGACTCTAGTCACCGAGCAGGATTGACTCTAGTCAGCGGGTAGGAGGATGGGTGGTGTAGAAAGCGCTTAGAAGTCAGGGATGTACCCTGGATGTACTCGAAGCTACTCACCTGGCCAGCCAGTCCCGCAGGGCAAGGTCCTCAAACCCGGATTTCATGGCTGGACATTGTTATTGGTCAATCTGTCTTGATGGGTTTCCGGCTGGCTAGATCACCCGGCAAGGCTTGAGGACCTCTAGTCCTCTTTAGACTATACATTCAAATTCCCCGATAACCCCAAACCCCGAGACCACCCCCAAACGACCCCTAAACGCAACCCCCGACGCCCAAACACGACTTCAGAAAAAAAAAATTGACTACATCGCGAGAACAAAACACCACCTCAGACATTTTATCATTAAATCCCGTGAACAAAACACCACCTCAGAAATCTTTACAACTAAATCGCGTGAACCAAGCACCGCTTCAGACATTTTATGACTAAATCCCGAGATCCAACCTGTCTGGCAGCTGTCTGAGAATTGCAAAGGCATCTCTGCGTTAGTCTGGATGTGTGTGCTTGTAGCACACCGAAGGCGCACCGGAGGAGTGGAGCGCGGACACGCACCTTGCACCTTATCGGGCCGTAACCAGCCAGGGCGCGCCCAGCACAGACTGCGCTCTACTGATCTGTAATGCAGACTACCTACCAGTACCGGAGGCCTTTTACTGCTAGGCAACCGTACTGTCTGGTACCTACTGGACACGCAGTAACAGACTACCGCCGCGTATTACCTGCGTATTACCTGCGGCCGAGGCAGGCAGGATACGCTGGGCGGTACAGCTCCGGGACCATCAGTACTGCTCGGTAGACGGCGGTACTGCTCTCGCTGCATCGCCTGCACTGCTCGGTATACAGCAGTACAGCTCGGAAAAAGCAGTTTTGCTCGGTAAACAGCAGTACTGCTCGCGCCGCATTGCCAGTACTGCTCCTGATACTGCTCGGAAAATAGCAGTACTGCTTGGAAAATAGTAGTTTTGCTCTGGATACTACTCGGAAAACAGCAGTTTTGCTCGGAAAACAGCCGTACCGCTATCAATGCATCACCGCATCATCTGTACTGCTTCGGATACTGACGCATACTGGCTACAGCCGATGCGGGCACGGGATACTGGGCGTTACAGCTCCGGAACCATCAGTACTGCTCGGTAAAGAGCAGTACTGCTATCGTTGCATCGCCAGACGCAATAATGTCCCGTACTGGCTGGAGCCGCAACAGGCATGATACATTGAGCGTACGTCTCCTACACTGCACTACCATCAACATGTGTCCTCACTGCGGCCTGGCGCCCACAGCTACAGCGTGTACGTTCTAGTACCATCGGCGGTAAAGGCTTGACACGCCCTAACCTAGCCAGGACTGCAGCGAGGCGATCCTAAAGTTCCTAGTCACCACAGATGTTGGACGATGAGTCCCACCGCTCGGCGTTCAAGACAATCAAGATTCTCCGAGTCAAACTTCTGACCTAGCAGTGGCAGAGGCAGACCCCGTATTTCCCCTAGCAGGGCCGGAGAAAGTAGGAGGAAGAATGGCGGCAGCGGAAAGAGCGTCGAGGGCGGAAGAAACGAGAGCTAGGGAAGCTGTCTTAGAGCAGCTCACAGGAGGTTGGAAAGGGCGGGACTAGTACCTTCATTTAGTCTTCTTCTTTTTCGCTGTCTGTCTTTCTCTCTTTCCTTCTGTCTGCCTGCCGGGTTGTGCGGGGCTTGCGCCGGGAGAGTTGAGCGGCGATATTTGAACGGGAGGTTGAGTGCGGAGGTTTTACCCCCGGGAGGGGCTCGGCGGAGAGCACTGCTGTTCTCCGAGCAGCACTGATGGTTCCAGAGCGGCACTGATGGATCTGGAGCAGTACAGGCAGTGCGGTGATAACAGTACTGCTGTTTGCCGATCAGTATCCGAAGCAGTACAGATGATGCGGCGATGTGGCGAGAGCAGTACCGCTGTCTACCAAGCAAAACTGCTTTTTTCCGAGCAGTACTGCTGTTTACCGAGCAGAATCCGGAGCAGCATAGGCAATGCGGCGGGAGCAGTACTGATGTTTCCAGAGCAGTATCATCGAGTGTATCCTGCCTGCAGCGGCCGTAGCCAGTATAGACCTGAGTAGATCACGACGCCTACACCAAAGTGAGCCACCGCCGCAAGTCTAGCTAAGTCCGAGCCTGGCGGTCATCGGGAGTTAAGCTTTTTTCTCGCGAAGCGCGTAAAGATATTATTTGATGGTCGCGTTATTTTTCCGAGCTCAGTTGTTCATGGGTTTATGCAATTTTTCTGTTGTTCCTAACCTCCGAGGCCTGGCCGTCATCGGGAGGTTTGCGCTATTTTCTCCCAAAGCGAATCTCATGAGTTTTATGCATTTTTTCTGCTGTTCTACATTAATGGCTGGAAAACCTATTTGTTTTTTTTTGTTTTTTGGGCATCGGAAGTTTATTTGGGTGCTCGGGTTTTTAGAGTTCTGACTTTTCCTTCCAGACTCCCAGACACAACTTTGGCACGTATACAGGATCGATTATTTTGCGACACGTGACCTTTCAGCCACATTTTATCACGTGATGCCACTCTTACTTGTGGCTGAGAGTCAGTGAGACTAACGGAGCGCCACACGCTCTGGATGGGTGGTATGATACAGCCACGGTAGCGGCTTCGCAGGAAGCCTTTGGTTGCGTGGCTTTCGCGCTATGGTGTGGGGTGTGGTTGCTGGACAGGATTTGGTGGATTCGGTGGAGTTTCTACACAGGTATGTGATGGCTGCACCCCGTTACCAAGAGTAGGTATCGCTGCGCCACTGATGTGGCGGATGGGATTCTGAGACTCACGCTAGCGGGAAAGTAAGCTCGCTGCTCGCCATCAATACACGCATAACTAATGGAGTCGAGCACAGCAGAGAATAAGAACAAGAACAAGTATCATGTCAGCACGAGCAACGGCAATGGTACCGGTAGTTATTTTTTCCGGCGGAGCCTACCCCGCCGTCTCCAACCTTCAATCTTGGCTGTTGGCTGGGCTTTTGTGGCTTTTGTGGCTCGGTGCCTTGGGTAACCTGGAGTGAACGAGAGCAATCCCAAGTGGCGACATTGATAGGCATCAAGGTGGTCGGCTGAGCACCTACATACGATCCGCGTACCGTACTGTATGCCAGATCTGAGATCTGGGCGGGGCCGATCCAATGCCTATCCTATCCAGACCACAACCCCACAAACTTCCGCATTCCAGTCTCCGAGTGTCCTGGCCATCTTTATAGTGGGGGTGGGGGTGGGGGTAGAGGGCGAATGATGGCGAGGAGGAGGCAACAAGACCTTGAGCTCGGGATGGCCTCGGCTTCATCCTTTGCCGGTACCAAGTTAGAACTTCGGAGCCATCAGAAAGGGTTTTGAAGCTTTTGTACATAGAGGCTTCCAAATTACTCTACTCTACTCTGGAGTCTGGATGGTATGTTCACGGGGAATTCAGCTGGTGATCCTAGAGCTTGATAGGTTCAAAGAACGCCGTCTGAAGTAGGTAATTCAATATGAAGATACTTCGTAGCAGTACTGAACCTTATCCCCATATGTCACTCGCACTCGCCCTCTCCGGACCAGCCCTTCGATCCAAACGCCCTCCCAGTCTCTCACAATCTCTCATTCACCCACTCCAATTGCCACCAGCACCGCAAGTCAACAAGCCTCGCAGCAGGCCGCAGGAATCACATCCTCATCACATCTGCTTCACCAAGCTGGCCAGCCTACAGCCTACAGCCAGCCTACATCCAGCCTATATGCACACAGCTACACAGCGAACGAACGAACGACCGAAGAAAGTCCTTCAAGCAGCACACGGGAATATAATCGTAAAAGCAAATCAAAATCAAAGCACAAGCACGCGCACACGCAGCAAAACAAAAAATCGAAACACCCGACCGAAACACAACCAAAAACCATGAACAAAAGAAAGAAAGAAAGAGATTGATAATAAAAACCCGCATTCATATTAGATCGATCGATGCATCTACCACACCCTAGGCCTGCACGCACGTGTACATGATTGATGAAGATGATGATGCCCGATATCTAAGGGAGAGGAATACCCTCGTACTCGTTGTATCCCAACGCCAAGTTCATGTTCTGCAGACACTGGGTGGCAGCGCCCTTGAGGAGGTTGTCGATCGTGGCACAGATGACGACGCGCTTGCCCGAGGAATGGACTCCGAAGCCACCGATTTCCTAGGAAGTCACTCGGATTAGTCCCCACTCCTAGATTGGTATGATACATCTAGCGAAGAAAACTTACCACTCCGTGCTTGCCAGAGATGTTCTTGACCAATGGGGCCTCGCCCACAATCTTGATCAGACGCTCGCCGGCGTAGCGGTCCTGGAAGAGATTACGGATGTCACGCGAAGTCATCTGCTTGTTGAGCGGGATGTTTATCGTGTGGTGGATTCCCTGGAACCAGGCGGCGACGTGGGGGACGAAGCCGACCGAGACGCCGAGCTGGGCACCGATCTCGCGCTCGTGGATGTGGTCGGTCAACGAGTACGGCATCAGGTTATCACGGAGCTGCTCGGTGTCGTTCTTGGACGAAGGCTTAGTTCCGGCGCCGGAGTAGCCGGACACACCGAAGATCGATGGGTCGCCTCCGAGGTAGGGAACCAGCGGCGAGATGGCTAGCTGGGCAGCGGTGGCGTAGCATCCCGGGTTGGAGATGCGGGTGGCCTTAGCAAGCTTCGAACGCGTGACCAATTCTGATCACCAGTTAGTGGTGACTAATGAAAGTGAGCGAGATCATAGCATACCGGGCAGACCATAGGTCCAGTTCTCCTCGAATCTGTAGTCCGCGCTCAAATCGACAATCACGCTCTTTCCGCTTCCGACCTCGTCGACGGCGTCAACAAAGGGCTTGCAAACGCCGTTGGGCAACGCCATGACCCAGCAGTCGACCTCGTTGTTCTCCTCCATCCGTCGAATGTCCTCGACTCCAAGGTTCTGGTAGATGATGTCCTTGCTGGTATAGCCCTCAAGCTTCTTGCCCGCAAGTTCGCGGGACGAAACGTGGGTAAGATCAAAGTTGGGGTGCGAGTTCAGGAGACTGATCAACGCCTGGCCGGTGTATCCACGGGCACCAATGAGGGCAACCCTGGAAGGCTTTGTGTTGGAGGCATTGCCCTTGCCCATTGGGGGGTTCGGGTTGGTGGTGGCGAAGCCGCGGCGTCCGGAAACGTGAACCCGCTGGATCGACCCGCTGAGCCGGGGGCGTGCGGAAGTGGAAAATCCACGAGCCTGCTGTTTGATGCCGGTGACAGAGTTCGAGAAACCGCCAGCAGCAGCATCTCCGACGCGATCACCGATGATGGTGGTGACCTCCTCGGCAGACTCAGCGCCGTACCAGAACAGCACCTTGCCGCCGTGGGCGAAGCTACCCTGCGCCTTGTCGAAGTGCCATCCCAGGTTCTCGTCGCCTTGCTCAACGCTCCATACGAGCTTGGGGTAGTCCCGCTTGACGGCGTTGAAAACATTGTCCGCAACGTTGCCGAGCCATCCGGCCTTGGTGGATGTGAAGGTGTCCAACACGGCGGGTGCGGATCCTTCATTGGGGAAGACAACAGCCAGAACATCAAGCGGCTCATCGGCATACGCCTTGAAAGACTTGGACCCAAGGTCTGCAAGGTAGCGACCGCCATCGGCTTTGGCGCGGATCAACACATCCCTCAACTTATCCCTGTCGGAGAACTCCTTCAGACTGGTCTTCGCGGTGAGCTTGTGTCCTCTGCGAATCATAGTACCGGCTCCGGTATCCGTAAAGAGTTCCTTCTGGAGGTCATCGGTGTGGATGATAGCCACGCTGGAAGTACGGGGAAGGGTGTCCAAGAGCTCCTTGATCTCCCTAATCTTCAACCGGGTACCGTATCTGCACCACCACTGCGACATCAAGTGATCGTACTCCTCGTCCAAGTTGATAGTCGAGATCTTCTCATTGGTCTCCCCGTTGAACAGGCCACCCTTCTCCGACAGGTAGACGATCTTGAGCGGTTGCAGGGCACGAGCCAACTCTCCAGCCGCAACGTCGGCATTGACATTGAGCAGTTGACCTTCGGGGGTCTCGGCGGTAGACGTAAGAATGGGAAGACAGCCAGCCTGGATGGCAGCCTCGATGGGGTTCTTGTTGACCTTTCCGATTTTACCGACGAACTGGTACTTCTCACGGTCCAAGTAATCCGCCTCGAAGACACCACCAGTGATGGGTCTCGCACGCACGCCCATCTTCTCCAACGCCTCGACGAGCTTCAAGTTCTCATCCAGGAACAACTTTCTAGCAATGGCTAGCGTCTTTCCATCGGTGACGCGGATTCCCTCCTCGAACTGGGGCTCTACGCCAGCATCTTCCAGGAGCTTATTGAGCTGGGGGCCTGCCCCGTGGACAACGACTGGGTAAAGTCCGACATGGTTCAGGAACGCCAGGGAAGAGGCGAGAGATTCGAGCTGCTCGGTGATGATGGCACCGCCGACCTTGATGACGGCGAACTGCTGCGACTGCACCGACGTGAAGTGCGAGAGATACTGCTCGACCTCGCGCTTGGAGCCGATGTTGTTGAGGAGCTGGATCACCGTCGACCGGGTCGACAGCGGGCTGCTGTCTGCGGCGGAGGTCGAGGCGTACGCAGTGCTGCGTCGGAATGGGGTGGTGGTGGCGGCGACGGCGGCGACACTGGGTCTGCAGGAGCGGAGGCGGGCCGGTGTGGAGCGGAGGCTCCGGCCGGTGCAGCTGCGGAGGGCTGAAAGCATTGTCATATAACGGAGGAGGTTCGAGTGCACAGGGCAGATGAGTGAGTGGGACGATGAGAAGGGACAGACGGGAGGAAGTCCGTGAGAGCACTGATTGACCTAGGTAGCTAGTCAATCCGGGGCAAGAAATCAGATGGGCCCGGCAGAAGGCACGAGAATGAGGGGGAGGGAGGGTAGCAGGAAAAGCGGGCAGGAGCTGGAGGGCGGCGGGGCGGGGACGACAACGGGGAACGGGCCGGGCTGGTAGATCTCACCCCCAGTCAAGGTAGACGCAAACCGCAAGCTAAAAGCAGCCGGAGAACCGAAAGGGCCGCTCAATTCTGACACCTCCGAAGCAGCGGCAGTGGTGCTCTCTGAATCCCGAGAAGTGGTTGGATATCTCGAAGCAGTGTACGCGAATTGTTCGTACGATTATCTGTCTTCTCTGACTCTCGTGATCGTGACCGTGGATATCAGAATTTTCAACAGCAACGAAAAAAATGAATATCCGCGGACAGAGTGCAAGGTTTTGCAGGGATCTCTCAAAAAAATTCTGCCATGCGTTTCTCCACCCCACAAGTCCGACCGATCTGCGATGACGTGAAACCGAGCCCAGAGGGAAACAGACGACAAAGGGAATTATGACACCAAATCAAAGCTGTGGCGCGCTATGACATGAGTTCAAGGCCCGGGGAGGTCGCGGTTCTCATGAGGAGCTCCGACAGGTGGCAGGGTGCCCCGCGCGCGAGGGCGGGCCTATGGCCCGTGATGTAGGGACACCTGTATATATCTCCAGAGACACGATGGATAGACGGACAAAACAATACCACCCCATAAGAATACACAGCATTTCGCAAACATATCAATTGAAGCCCATGGCAGGTCGTTAGAGAAGAAACAAGACAAAAGAAAGAAAAAACACTTAACCTCATCAACTCCCCGCCCTCCCCCAACTGCTTCATCGTGAAAGTGGTCCTTTGCCGGGAAACCTGGCCGCGAGGCACATTGATCTACGATGCGCAGGCCGAGGAGACCGGAAGAGCAAAAGACGCCTTCACGCGGCAAAGCAGCCGTGCAATGGAACAAAAAGGAAAGTCATACGCAAAAAGAAAAACATCAAACATAAAAGGTACACCAGGGGAAACCCAGAAAGTTCACCGCTCCGCCTTCCCCACCATTATCTACCCCTCGATGCTACCAAAACAAGGCGTTGCGTGGTCTCGTGAATTGTTTTTGATGGGTTTAACAGTGTATACCCCTCCCTTCCCAGTTCACGGAACACTTTACTTGCCCGTCCTGTGGCCAACCAATATCAATACGGGGTGCTCGGTTTGGGGAAACGGAGGGCTACAGCCGACTTACGTGTGTAAAACCACCGGAACGATGATGATCACCAGCAGGATGATGATACCAACGGCTATCCACATGCGCATCTTCATGTCCTTCCACCACATCTGCTTTCGGACCCTGTTGGCGCCGCGACGGAATCCCTGGGCAGAGACAGCCAAGTTATCTGCAAGCGGAATGTTCAGCAACCATCTCGAAGAAAAAAAACCCGCACTCGCGAACAGGCGGCTGTAGCCGTACAACCGGTCCTCCTACGTACCGGTCTTGTCCTGGAGACTGTCGAGTCTGGCGCCGCGGTCCGCGACCTTGTTGATGTTCTCGCGCATAATACCGACGGTGTCATCAATTTGCTACATGATGGCGACGTTCCGCGTCAGCAAGGGTTCCTTCCAAAAATAAACTCCTCAGCGAGCTCAAGTTCTAATGGTGTTTCGAAGTCATGATGGCTGTGTTCTGCGCGGGCGGGCGCTATCTATCCTCAGCCCAGCCGCAACCTCACATGTTGCAACTGTGACGACGTAGCTTCACCGAGCGCAAAATTTCCACAGAGCAGATGATGAAGCTCTCTCGTGGTTGATCGTCGAAGTCGGCACGACGCCCATCGGTCGCTGTGTCGTAAAGTGACGAGCATAGATTGCGCGCCCGTAGCCGACGAGAGCAAAGGGGGCGAATAGCACATCGCAACCCGAGCAAACCCACACCCCCCTCCCCCCCTCTCCGCCATCATGACCTCGAAAAGCACAACCGGAAGCGACGGAAACAAAAGGTGGAGCGGAAACGAACCTGCTGAATAGCCGCAGTCCGCTGGTTGCCTGGCTGGCCCTGAGGGTTGCCAGCACCGGCGTTGCCGCTGGGAATGTACGGGTCGTAAGGCTGATCGGCCATTGTTTAGATTGGTACGCGAGGCGGTTTGGGATAAGTAGCGAAGGGGGTATAGAGGCGAAGAGTCGACGACGGTTCGGAGCCGTTAGATTCGTTCAGTCGTTACTTGGCGGAGGTGGTGGAGTGTTCGTGAGGGGGTTGTAGAAAGAGAAGCTGGCGGAGTGATTGTTGGTAGGTTTTGGGGGGGTGGGTGTGTCGATGAAGCAAGTAAGCACAGGCCAGGCAGGTGTGAGAGAGTTTGGGTGGAAGGTTGCGCTCGGTCACAGGGATTATTATGGCAACAGGAGATTAGGCAGGTTTGAGGTTTGAGGTCTTGTTCCAAACAACCTTTGAATGTATTCAAGTGAGAATGATATTCAAGTGAGCGGAAGAAGAGGAGGATGAAAGAGAAGAGGAAAAAGCAGAGTAGCAGATGGGCGGTTCGTTTGTTTTGAACTCAGTTCCGTTCAAGATGGTGGGCTGCCCTTCTACCTAAAGTAACACTGCTTCGGTGGAGCTGACGACTGCAATGCTTCCGGTATGTAGTGGCAGTGCTCGCTGATCACGTGGGCTAAGCCGGAGAAGTGGCTGTGGATGTAGCCAAGCCACTGACCAACGGCGGAGTGGAAGAACACGTGAGAATCATTCGTAGTGAGGCCAAGCGAGTACTCATCTACCTATTTATCCTGGAGATTCATCATGAAAGAACCCATAGCATCCGGCTTCGACTGCATTCGCTGTGCAAGAAGGCAGAAGGCGAGTCGTCATCACCGCACCTGTTTATTTCTCTTCTACCAGATGACATCAAAGTAACCAGACCTCTAACCGAGTAGCAGTGCCGTCCGTAAAACCGGGTGATGTATATCACAACATCGTCGAAGTCCCACCACACGAAGTCCCCAGCAGTTACTCGTACACCTAAGTCGGCGGTGGCAGGCGGCTCACTGTCCGCACAACCATAGGAGCTGCGCTTGTTCGCCGTTGCTGGGCCCCCTACATCCGCATTAATGGCCTCGTGATGCACGCTACTGTTCGGGATCCTTTTTCTGGATGAAAGAATCGACCCCTATTTGCGTAGCTGTCCCAAGCGACGGTGATGGGGATACTGGTGGCCTTTGTCACCTGTGGGAAGCCGGTTACTCTACATTCTCGAATACTCCCCACCGACCACCGAGATAACAGGTGTCGTCCGAGGAACGTGAACATCACTCGGCAGACACCGGCGCTAGTTAGGCCCGCAAAATCTGCTTGGAGGAGCCCGTGCTGGAGCGGTGAGTTGGGAGGAGATAGCGGGGCCGCGTGGGGCTACCCGATGCCGGAAGACCCGTCTGAGGCTGGGGAATACGGGACCGACCAGTGCCATCTCGGCAGAGCACAGGGCCACCAGTGCCAGGGGAGATCCCAAAACTTCGGATGGATCGACCGTCAAGCACACAGGGAGGGCGAGCATATTGTTTGGCACAATTCAAGCTCTCATCTCACGAGATAATATATCCCATGAGCTGAGTTTGTTCGTTTGTTTAATCACCTATCGCCTGTGACCTAGCCAGATCATGGCAATCCACGCCCCTCCATCCTATCCCTGGCCGAGTTTGAAAGCCAGGGGAATTACGAGTGATTCGTATTGACTATGTCCCAACAACAATCATTGGCCATGGTTTGCCGTTCGAGTGCGCCGATAGCCATGCCGATGGCGAAGCTGAGGGGAAGGAGAGTAACGGTGCAGAATAGTAACAGTTATATACTTCCAGAAAATCCACGAGGTCAGCGATCCACGTTGATCAAGCATCTTGAAAAGCGCCCACAAGCCGTTATCCCAAGTGCCACGGACTCGCACATCAACAGATGCAAGACCATCAATTCATCGCCATCCACCACGCCGTACCCGCAACCGCCGCCGAAACCACCGCGGTCAGTATCCACGCTCCAGCCTCATCCGCCATGGTGGCCTTCCAATGCACAGCCTCATCCGCGGCCGCTCCTCCCGCACCCGGACTTCCCCTATTCGCACCGGGGGAGACATGAGTGAGCGGGGGCTGCACGTGGAATATCAGGTTGCTCTGGATAGTTTCGAGCGCGGACAGCTGGTGGCCGACATCGCCGGTGCCATCCCATTCTCCGTCCAGCGTCCATTTCATCCCGCAGGTGTTGCCGTCTGTGTACCCCGACCAGTGCTTTGCCGCGGCGATGGCGCTGCTGCGCAGCTTGGACATGATGCGGTCGGTGAAGGGCGCCATCTTGGCGGCGAGGGCGAGGAAGCGCGACATATACGCCTGAGGACGTTAGTTGCTGGCGAGGGAGTGAGAATGAGCTGGTGAAACTGACCTTGAACGACTTTTGGTCGATGTCGCATACGCCCCACCGCTCGCACTGGGGCTCCCAGAGAACGCCGTCGATGCCGTAGTGGGGTTGCGCCTTGAAGAAGAAGTCTGTGGCGTTCAGGAAGCCGTCGACACGGTGCTTCCATTTCGACTCGCCGTTGGTCTGGTCACAAAATCAGCCAGGAACTTTGTCAAGATTGGGTGAGTGTGCCTTGCGTAGTTGTAGAGGTAGACAGAGCCCGATAACAGTATCCCAAGATTGTAACTCCAGCGGTTATCGTCGAGGCCTTCTCTATTGTCGGAGCAGTCCGTGGCGGTCTGGTGGTCATCGTGGACGTCCCAAGTTGTGGCGTTTATCAATTTGACATCCCCGAGCCAGTCGTACGTCTTCTCAGCCCAGACGGCATAGGGATCGTTTCCGGTATATCTAGCAAGCCTCACAGCGATATTGAAGAAGCATCCATTAGAAATTGTGTTTTTGTAGTTATATCCGTCTGCGATCGCGACTGTCTGCCAGCGGAGACCGCCACCACACGTCCTCGGGTCCCACCGTGTCGCCTGAGTGTTGAAGACAGCCTGGGCGAGTGCCAGCCACTGCGGCTTGTCGGCGGGGGTTGGCAAAGTTCCTCTCCGCGGCGGCCATGGCGGTCAATGCCCAGAAGCACTGGTCGTCGTTTCCCTAATGGTAGATTTCATTCATCAGCACCCGTAGTCAAGTTTCAACCAACTAGTTCCCGAGAAGCAAACCATTGTGTGCGATTGATTGGACGGCATGAAGTTCTGCTCTTCGCCGACCTGGCACCGGATGGCCTCGGAGACGACATCGTTGTACCCACTGTTGCCAGTGTAGTACCAGTAGTCAATCAAGCTTCCGAAGATTGCGCCGGACTCCCACTATGTTCTAGGTATCAGTATGTACCGTTCCCGAAGCGCATTCCGTGCAAGAGGAGGGTCGAACACGGACCCAGAAGATGGGCACGCCGAAGATTCCGGGGGTGCCACCGGTCCGATTGCCCGGATAATACTGCATCATCTTGTATGCTACTCTCTCCGAGACCATGAGACCGATTCTATGAGGAAATTGGATAGTTAGGAATGCAAGGCGGCGAGAAGTCAGTGATGAATGGTGATGCGGTGAGCTCACCCTTGTTGGTGGGGTCCAGGTCATACGCCGTCACTGCGAGCAGATGTAACATGGCCACGGTCAACCGCTCAATGGTGCGAAGGAACCGCATGTTGAGCAGTGTTTGTGGCGATGTTTGTGGGTTAAGGTGTGAGTATTGGTGATAATTGTAAGGACGGAATCGTTCGGATTCAGCCGCAACAGAAGAATGTGTGCGTGAAGCGAGCGACAAAGGGTCCAGAGAGCAAGCAGTGAAAGAGCGAATTGCTAGCCGTAAGACTTGTACTTTCCAGCAGAACCTATGTTGTTTTTGGCTCTGAGGCAACCTGTCGTCGAGGATGTGTTGAGGAAGTGTGAACCAAACAAAACCCCATGCATCGTATCGTTTCATGACATCATGGCTGTGTACTCCATTCGAGGTTGAAGGCTCCGTAGGATACAATTGTATGGATGAAGGGACATCCGCTCTGTGCCGCTCACCTTCAATTGATGGCTCGTGTAGGTCGTATATACGGTACATACATTATGAAATTAACTACCATTCACTAACTCTCACACTAGCTTCCTTGAAAGGCTAGTGAAATCGCATCAAAGTTAACTAGCTCCGTACTACACTGACTAAGGCAGGGACATGCGCTAGTTGCTTGGCTGTTGCAGGCCTTAACGGGAGCTTGAGTCTCGAACATGCGGTCAAGAAGTGCCTCCTCGATCAACTCTGCACACCGGAGAGAACAGTAGCAACAGCCGAACCCACCAAGAAACAACCTTTTCGATAGGAACCCGCCGACGACTGGGGTAGGTATACTAGTGCCCGCTCCTCGTATCCATCACTATATCTACCATGGGAGTTCCCCTCTCGACAAGCCTAGATCTCTGTCGGCCAGCGGTCATATTTGATTGGGGTAGTGATGGTAGGGAAGAGAGGGATAAGTAAAGTACGGGTCTTTACGATTCACTGACTGCGGTTCCAGTATGTACTTGCAGACACATGCATCCAACATCGACTCCAGTGCTTCAAAGTTCAGGCCGAACATCTTGAATTCGCTTACACGCGGCTGGAGTTCAGGCGTCCGTCAGGCCCCGCAGGAGGTCGGTGTAATCAGCCACCCAACATTCTTCCCGCAGATAAGTGCGTGTGTGACCTTGAGGCGCTTCTCAGTGAGGGTCCGGATCTCTTCGGATTGGGACGAGAGGTACATATAATCCAACGTTTGCATGTGGAGATGTCCTCACCTGAAGGACGAGAGCTGGCGGGACTGGCGGGACTGGTACCGCGTTCTGCGCAGTCATGGATGTACATACATGCTGGCATCAATTCCTTCTCACGCACTTTGGCCATGATCATGATGTGCGAGTACACACGTTTGACCGAAGAACTTGATCCGTTATACCCAATTGCCGATGTTTGCACGCCATCCATGAAACCTATCCCGTGAACTCCTCAGAATGAGGTGATAGAAGAAAAACGACCCATGGATAACTCCGAACACCAAGCCCGTACGGTATATTTACAGCGTAGAAAAGAAATCAAGCACCACGCTCTGCCATCGGCGTATTTTTTACCGCAGCAACCCCGTGCCCTTTGCTCTCCTCCAGCTCATCGCAGTACACCGTTGGCGACTGCACCCTCTCCAACTCCAGCTCCGGCGTGCCCGCCCTGGACACCAGCCCCTTCTCCAGAAACGGTCTTCCCTCGCCCTCCTTCCTCTCCTCATTGACTATCAAAGTCGGCACCCTCACAGCAATCGACTGTCCAGCAAAGATGCTCCTCCTCCTGGACTCCCTAGCCTCCTGCATTTCCCCACTCTTGTCCCCATCCTCCGCCTTTAGGTCTCCCCCCGCACGCCGCTTCTTGAAGCAGAACAGGTAGACCGCATACGTGACTACCCCCAAAAACAGCGTGCCGCCGATGAGTCCGCAGACTAAAGCGATCGTGCGGTTTTGTCGTGCGCGCGCACTGTTGTCGTTGCCTGCCGTCGAGGAGGCGGGTTTGACGGCTGTCAATGGCCGGGCTGAGACGGTGGCGAGGAGACCCAAGAGGAGGAGGAGAAGGGTGGGGCGGCGGTGGTGGTGGGCGACGGTGCTGGTGTAGGATTGCATATTTTTGGAGGGGATCGGCGGGGCGGGTGATATTTCGTGACGACTGGATATGATGTATGTACCCAGGGACTTGGATGAGACCGATGCGAATTTCTCGGCTGGGCTCTCGAGGATATATACATTTCGCAGCGCTCCACGGCAGTCCAGACTCCTCCCTTCTTGTCTCCGTCGTGACCACTCGCGCCCCCCTGTACTACTACTGCTGCACTGCACACTCGCCAGGTGAGACCTGCTGAAGACTAGGTACCGTACCATCGTGGCTCAGCCGCAGACCAACCGACCGACGACGAGATCAGCATGTCAGCCAATGGGGCATGTGGAGGCAGAAATCCAGAAGCTGGAGGGCATATATGATTGTGCCTACGTGAATGCGCCAGGTATTAATACTAGGTAGTCGTGTGGGGTGCTGACCGGGCTTTAGCCGTGTGTGGTAGATTAGCGATGTGGGTGAGCTGCGCCTCGAATCATCGAAAAAGGGCAGAAGTCTATCCTCAGAAGAAGGTGGAGTTAGCTGCGATTCTCGTGATTCTGTGTTCAGTAGAGGTTAGTGAGAGAGGGAAGAAGCTCGCTCTTGAATCTCAATCCCAGCTTAGGTTCGCCCCTCTCCCTTACTAACAGACACCATTCACCCTAGCCACCCCGCCACACGAGCGTGGCTACAGTCGAGTTGCTTCATGCACGCCAAGCCGAACCTTCTATGTACCAGCACAACACATACAGTCTCCATGGTACTACGGAGTGTATTCCGAATCCAGTCCAACGAAAACCCCCAACCTTCTCCCCACGATCAAGGATTCTATATTTCCAGAGCCAAGCAACCACCGATCACACCAGAACTCACCGAGCCCACCTATCCTTCGCGACCGACCGTTCTCCCAGTGTCAGCAAGTTTCATGCTATGATAGCAACAAGCACCAGGTAGGTAAGTATTTACTTCCCATCCGTGTGCGGCCCCATCTCTGATTCTCCTCTAGCAAGCTGGCGCCGAATTTTCCCCCGGAAAGGACACCGCAGAATGAAACAAGCACTTAGAGTACCTACCGGTATGTACCTACAGTACATGGGCATGCATGAGAATACGGGTACCTATCGAGAGTACCCAGAAACCCTCGAGCGGTGCCTGACCGGACAGGACAGGACAGCCCTTGCTCGCAAGGTAATACTGGGCATGTATGTTGGAGGGTACATATTTATGTACAATACAATGCGGAGGCTCCTTGAGCGTTTGGGGGGAATCACACCAGATTATTCGATATGCGCCGGATACCTAGGGAGGTGGCACTGCTGGGTCCTCACGATGTTCGGTCGGGCAGACTGGCACGAGATGATGCTGCGCTTCTCGAATTAGCACTGTTTCGTCTGTGTATATCGTATACCGAGGATACTCTGGACTACATGCAACCGTGCGACTTGACTCGGTAAGAGTATGATATAATGAAGGGTGGTTTTGCGTGGAGAAGCTCTGTTGACCGGCGGTGCGGTATAAAATCACGTGGCTTCTTCCCCAGAAGTCCGTATCTCAGGAAAACAGGAAAACAGAAAAACAGAAGAATAAGTCGAGCTATTATTTGTGCAGTCGACTGCAAGGCTTCGATGTCTGTACATACTACCTGGCACTTGGGTAGATGTATTGCTGCTGGACGCCTCGGAGTGAGAGGTGGAGGTGGAGTAAGCTACGCGTGTAGTTGCCGATAGTTAGCTGCTGGTTAGCATGTGATCGCGGTTGTCTATGATAGTACAATACAGCGACGAAGCTCCAAAGATGCTCCCGTGGGCAACTTGTAGTCTCTCAATGCATTTCTCCACACATAACCGTTTCGTTACTCTATGATGCGCCGTACTGTGCATATCGATCGACCGCAGGGACTCTCAGCTCCGTTCGGCCTACCTCGGGAAGCCCTGGGTAACCAACCTGCGGGGGCGGGTGCTAGAGTACTTACCCAGGTAGGTGGAGTAGGTATATGGTCATCGTGGGGAACACCAAAGCCCACGCTTCTGCCCCACCACACCGCCGGCCGCCTACTGTTCCCACCACCACTACGCACGTACCGAACACACACCATGCTCCGCCAGCTCCCGCGAGTCCGCGTCCCGCAGCTCCCGCGCATCCTCTCCACGACCTCGCATGCACAATCGGCGTTCACGGTCGTCACCACACGCATGTCCTCCACTGCCCTACACGTCGCTCCCACACCGGAACAGGAGGATGCGCTGTTGCGGAGCGAGATTGAGGCCATCGAGGAGTGGTGGAAGAGTCCGCGGTGGAAGGGGATAAAGCGACCCTACAGTGCGCGGGAGGTCGCGACAAAGCGCGGCACCCTGAAGCAGGATTATCCCAGCTCAACCATGGCGAGGAAGTTGTACAGTCTGCTGGAAACGAGGGCGAAGGAGGGGTTGCCGGTGCACACGAGTGCGTTTCTTTCCTACTGTGCTGAGGGATTGGCGGAGGCGGGGTGGGATGTGCTAACGGAAGTGCGAAGTGGGTGCTATCGATCCCGTGCAGATGACGCAGCAGGCGGAGAACCAGGAGGTCCTGTATGTCAGCGGATGGGCAGCTTCGAGTATCTTGACCACTACCAATGAGGTCTCGCCGGACTTGGGAGACTATCCGTACAACACGGTGCCGAATCAGGTGCAGCGATTGTTCAAGGCCCAGCAGTTGCACGATAAGCGGCATTGGGATCAGAGAATAGCCCTGTCGCTCGAGGACAAGAAGAAGACACCGTACATCGACTACCTCCGGCCCATCATTGCCGATGCGGATACTGGGTAGGCTCCCACCCCCCAATGGATCAGGTGTCCTTCGGTGCTGACGATGGCCAGACACGGTGGACTTTCGGCGGTGATGAAGCTCGCCAAACTCTTCGCCGAGAACGGCGCTGCGGCAATCCACATGGAGGACCAGATGCACGGCGGCAAGAAATGCGGGCACTTGTCCGGCAAGGTCCTCGTCCCCACGGGCGAGCACATCAACCGCCTGATCGCCACCCGCTTCCAATGGGACCTGATGGGCACCGAGAACCTCCTCATCGCCCGCACCGACTCGGAGACCGGCAAGCTCATCAGCAGCTCCGTCGATGCCCGCGATCAGCAATACATCCTCGGAGTGACTGAGGACGTCAAGCCCCTCAGCGAAGTCCTCTACGAGATGGAGCGGTCCGGCGTCAGCGGCGAGAAGATCGCCGAGGTGGAAGCCGAGTGGGTATCCAAGCACAAGCTGGTGACCTTCGACGAAGCGGTAGTCGAAGCCCTTCAGGCCTCCTCCGCGCCGCAATCCAAAATCGACGAGTACCTCACCAACGCCAGCACACGCAGCAACAGCGATGCGCGAGCCGCCGCCAAATCCGCCCTCGGCCGCGACATCTTCTTCTCGTGGGACGTGCCGCGCACGCGCGAAGGCTACTACCACTTCAAAGCGGGCATGGCGGCGGCCACCAAGCGCGCGCAGGCCTTCGCGCCCTACGCCGACCTTCTCTGGCTCGAGACCAAAAAGCCGTCGATCGCGCAGGCGCGCAGCTTCGCGCGCGAGATCCGCGCCCCCGGCTCCCCCGGCGAAGGGAAGTGGCTCGTCTACAACCTCTCGCCCAGCTTCAACTGGCTCAACGAGGGCTTCGACGAGGCCGGGCTGAAGAGCTTCGTCTGGGACATGGCGAAGGAGGGGTTCGTGCTGCAGCTAATCTCGCTCGCCGGACTGCACTCGGGCGCTGCCGCCACGTGCGAGCTCTCCCGCAGGTTCAAGACAGACGGAATGCTCGCGTATGTAGAGCTCGTCCAGAAGAAGGAGAAGGAGCTCGGATGCGATGTCCTCACCCATCAGAAGTGGAGCGGCGCAAATTACGTCGATGGAATCCTCCAGAGCATTGCGAACTCCTCGGCTACTAGTGCCGTCGGGAAGGATAGTACTGAACATAGTAAGTCTGATTGTGCTCCTGGTCGTGCTCCTGGAAGACGAGTGATTGCTGACAGGACGAAGCCTTTTGATGCATAGATTGTCACTTGCGGGGATAGGTTGCTGGTGAACGAACCGTTGGCTGGCTGGTTGTACAGTGAAGGGAGGGGGTGTATATAGACGCAAAATTGAGAATCTACAAGTACCATACAACTCCAGGCGCCAGACTGTGGAGTCATTCACTATCCCGTTCTATCCTATACACCCGAGTCCCATATTCCTACAGCCCTTCTAAGACTCTACGTAAACCCCGCCCCCTCCCCACATCTAACCATCCCCTCCACCACCTTGAGCACCACGTCCACCCCAGTATCAACACCATACCTCTTCCCCTTCGGCGGCACATGCAGAAACAGCACGCGCGCCCTCTCCTCCTCGCCACGCTTCTCCGCCTCCAGCAGTGACGCGCGGAACGTATACCCGCACAGGAACATACCCGGATCGCCGCTGGCGACGATGTCGACTAGTGTGGCGTCCTCTTTGGCCTGTGTAGAGTCAGCCTGGCGACCTGGGGGCCGGGGGGCGGGGGCGGGGAGGGGAAGGGAAGTGGGGGAGGGGGGGGATGGGGAGGGGAACGCACAGTAACGCTCTCGCCGACGAACTTCGCGATCGCCTCAACGTCCAGTGCGGTGTACAGCTGTCTTCCAGGGCGCTCGTCTAGCGGCAGCGCCTGCTCGCCGCCATGCACGCCCTTCATCTCGACGCCCTTCTCTTCCCCCTTCCCCTCCCCCTCCCCCTTCCCCTTCCCCTTCCCCTCCCCCTTACCCACCCCGTCCCCCACCCCTCCATCCCCCGGAAACCGCCCATCCACATCCCTGAGCACATACCCGTCTACCCACGCCCTTCGCTCAAGCTTGAACCCACCCTCGCGGCCAACGCCAATATGCAGCACGTAGTCCCAAGCACGCGTCCCTGTCTCCCACAGGCTGGGGACGAGCGCATCGATAGTCGCGTAGCTGACTTTTATGGCGGAGGGGTGGGGGAGGAGGTGGATTGTGTAGAGTGTGGAAGGAGTGCGGATGGTAAGTGGTCCGCTGGATAAGAGCGTCTCCACGATGGACCATGACGGGTTGTCGCTTATTCGTACGAAGGGGCCGAAGCCGGTGAGCAGGATTGTTAAAGTCTTTTGGGCTTGCTTTTGTGGCGGAGGGGGAGGGGGAGGGGGTGGGGGCATCGTGCGTGGTGTTGGCGGGTGGAAGTGGGGATGTCGATGGCGGGATGGGGATGTCGAACGTGCAGGAACAGCTAATCGTGTGAAGTGCAAAGACGGTGCGGGGTAGTACCTGCATACCTACCATACCAGCCCGTACATGAGATGCATGGTTCAGTGAGTGATAGTCGGTCAGCTTTACGCAGGCGGATTGGAGATCATCGGGCGAGGTCACATGAGATGGTGCAGTAATCGGGCGTTTGCGAGTGTCTCGCCAGAACGAAGTGGATGTTATATTTCCCGCGGTGTATTCCCAGGGCTGTGATGAAGCTCAAGGTAATCGTGTAAAAATAGGTATAATATCCACCATGTCCATATAGGTATCTTCAAGACTGCCGCCGGATTGAAAGCGACCGCAGAGGCGCACGCCGATGTCATTTTCCATGGACTGGAGCCGGTAGACATCGCGGGTGGGAGTTGCGGACTCGCGATAGCTGTGGCCAGAAGACGACAAAAGACGCGGCGATAGCTCGTGGTAGAAACACTCGGTCATCATAGGTGCACTTGACATGCCTCCTAGCGCTTGCATTGCGGATGATTGGCCCGGCGACCGGTTGAGCAGCTCGTTTCTGCCGTCACGCGGATTTGGAATTCGCCGCGATGGCTCTGGGCAGCGGTGGATGAGATACCGGACTGCGGGGTTACGCCTCGGAGGCTTGATTCTTGAAGGCGAAACCCGAAAACCTTCATCACGATCATTGATGAGTCGGACCGAATAGTGCAAATCGGGACTCGGTGGTCTCTGAGAAGTGAGAACTCCTTGGTCGGTTCGGAGGCTGTGCTGGCTCTCTTTCGGGCTAAGTTAACTATTTAGTCCTGTCAGTATCGATCTCGAATGCCCGTGCAGATAGCCTACCAGCCACCTCTGTTGTCGTGATGCTTCCAGCCGTTGTCGTTGTCGATTCGTCGTGGTCACTGGTCAACAAAGGGGGCAGGGATAGGGACGTGCAACCGGGCGGCCCATCTCCATCTGGGGTGGGTGGATGGGCGATCGCCCACCGTCCGCTTCCATGGGGGCCGTCCATGGCACTAAACCCAGTCAGTACATCGTTAGTGGGTAGAGTACCGCATAGTACAGCCGGACTTGTTTGCGTCATAGGAGAGGAGTAGCATAAAGAACGTAGGTACGGTAGCATGTTCCCGGTTAACTTTGTCACCACCGAACTCCGCAGAAACGCGAGCAGTACACGGGAGAAGAGAAGGAGCCTTTTCACTTCAAGTTCGTCGTCGGGCACGAGAGAAAGAAAGCGAGAGAGAGGGATACACCAGTCTTGACGCGCGATTACCACCACCGTTACCACCACTAGTTACCACGCTTCGTAATCCGAATCAATGACAGGCCGCACGCTTCTGCAGCGACGACAGTCGTCCTACCACTACCAGACCTTCCCCGGCGTCGTTCCCCCGTCAAACAGAGGCCGTCCCCCGCCTCACTCGAAGCTCAACAGCGGTTCCCCAGACGCAATAGGCATCGGCTCCGGTTCCTCATCTCTTCGATCGATGCGCAACGACGGCAACAACGGCGGCGGCGGCGGTGGAGGCAGCGAAAACTCATCCGGCACCCCGATCCCGCGGCGGCAGCTGATCATTCTCGCGGTGATTAGTCTTGCCGAGCAGACGGCGCTGAACTCGATCTCGCCGTACCTGCCGGAGATGGCCGCGACATTCCCGGAGGTTGATGAGGGCAGGGTGGGACTGTACGTGGGCATCATCGCGAGCAGCTTTGCCGCGGCACAGTTCGCGACGAACGTCTTCTGGGGCAGGCTCAGCGATAGGATCGGACGCAAGCCGGTGATCCTGATGGGCACGTTCTTGACGAGTCTGTGCTTTTTGGCGTTCGGCTTCTGTCGTACCCTCACTCAGGCTATCACGGTGCAGGTCTTGATGGGTTTGGTAAATGCAAATGCTGGTGCGTATTTCATGGGCGAGACCGTTGTATGTGTGAGGTGTTGATGCTGACGCAGAATAGGCGTCGTGTCCACTGTCCTCGGCGAGATCACGGACAAGTCCAATCAAACGTCAGCCTTCGCGTGGCTACCCATCATCTACGGTCTCGGCGCAATCACGGGACCGATCGTCGGCGGATTGCTCGTCGATCCGGCTCCTAATCCCAGTGGGCCAATCTCACACCTGTTTCACAAGTATCCATACCTACTTCCGAACATCGTCGCATTCGGGCTGCTCCTGGTGGACTTGGTGATGAGCCTCTTCATGCTCGACGAGAGTCTGGCCGAAGCGCAGGATCTGCCGCCTCTGGGTGAGAGAGTCAGGTGCCTGTTTACCTGGCTCTGGCAGTTTTCCGCCTCTTACTGGCCTTCGTACTTGCGCGTGGGACGGTCGGCGGACGGAGAGATTGACGGCAGTAGCCGGGAAACATTGGCTGAAGCGTGTCCCGTCTTCATGCCGGAGCGTGGCGAGGAGGTTTCTTACCGGGAGATTCTGGTCCCGCAGATCGGTAAGCTGCCTCGATCAATATCCCTATTTAAAACCATTACTGACCGATTACCAGTCTACCTGTTGATAACTTACACCCTCTTCAACCTGAATAACATCGCCTTCAACTCACTATACCCGATCTACGCCTCCGGTCCCCGCCCCAGCGGCCGCGAACTGAGCCCGAAGGAGATAGGACTCCTCCTCTCGCTCTCTGGCGCCGCGGGTATCGTCTTCCAAGCCTTCCTCTTCACGCCGATTGAGCGGCGGGTGGGCAACGTATGGTGCTACCGCCTTGCATTCCTCGGGTTCGTTCTCGCCTTCTTTGCGATGCCACTCGTCGGCGTAAATGCATCCTCGCCCAAGGCTCTGATCTGGACGCAACTCGGCGGCGCACTGCTGGTCAAGTCCATCGCCGCGGTCACGGGCCTCACCTGCGCCATGCTGCTCGTTACCAATGCTAGTCCGAAACCTAGTACTCTCGGCACGCTCAATGGCTTCCTGCAGACCGTCAGTGCTGCCGGCCGCGCCATCGGACCGTTCGCCTCCGGTGCTCTGTTCACGGCCGGGTTTCAAAAGAAGGGAGGCGAGTGGCTGGCGTGGGGAACTTTTGGCGGCATTGCGGCTGTGGGATTGGGGCTGAGCTTTGCGTTGCGATGGAAGGAGCTGGAAGGAGAAGACGGAGAGGAGGCTACGGCACTGCTGGGCGCTGAGGATAGGGGGGGCAGGAGTGAAACTTGATAGTTACGCGGGCATGATCACCTTTTCGAGTTCGCTGTGGATGTTTGCTTTGAGTTGGCTGGCTGGCTGGAGGTCGGGCGTTGTTTGGTCATTTCTACTGTAGTACCCTTGAATGTTTGTCCCTTTGACGTTTGTACGCTTTTTCTAATTTTCTTTGCATCGTGTGGCGGCTTCTTCTTCTTCTTCTTCTTCTTCTTCGGGGTCGCAGCAGTGGATAAATAGGTGGATTGGCGGGGTGTTCGTCGGAGACCATGGATGATGGGACGAGTAGGTATACGATACATTACTCTAAAGTAGAGTAGAGTAGAATGGGACGTTACGGTTGGCAAATAACTCATGTTTTACGGATGGCTTCGGGATGGCCACAGTGGAAGTACCTAAGGAGTGTTCTGGGTATGTGGGCGAGTGATATACCACCTACTCGTAGACAGACTCAAGAGACGACGGGAAGACAGGAAGAGTCCGAATAGTGAAAGAAACTCCCGTAAACTCAGAATCTGACCGAATAACTGAGCTATTCGGTCAGATCGGTTATTCGGTCGGTTTGGTTATTCGGTCGGTTTGGTTGTTCGGTCGGTTTGGTTATTCGGTCGGTTTGGTTATTCGGTCAGTTCGGGTAGATATTCGTTCAGTTTAGTTCGGATCAAGCCACTCAAGAGTCAAACCTGGCAATCATACTCGCCAGTGATCAGTCATTATCCTTGCCCATCGGCCCATGATCTCATCGGCCCATGATCCCATGATCCCATGATCTCATCGTCCCATCGTCCATCAATCAGCAAATCTACCAGCAGACCGAAGCCAAAGCAGCAAGAATCAAGACAAAGAAATACCTACGGCTTACCAACGCTCCCATCCATGATCCACCGCCGCCGAACCTACCAGAGCGTCTTGAATCTTGAACAAGGCAAAGGAATCCGGAATCCGACCGAACGCCTTTCCCAAGTTTCCTTTCCTTTCCAGACTGGACTAGGAGCGGAGCGGTGGTATAACGGTAGTACCGGTACCCGTTATACCCTCGAGATGCCAGAGCCAGTGACGGACAAGTGGAATAATTCCATGGATTGCTCTGGCTTCCACGATGGACTTCCGCAGGGAATGGACCGTGGACCATGGGATTTATGATACATAACTAGCCACAAGGCCTGATCGGAGTAGGCACATACAAGGTGTGTATTGCCGGTTCCCTTCTCCTTCTGGCGGCAAGAATTGGGCGGTTCGGGAGCGGTGAGTGCCGCAACCTCACAGGTAGGTATGCCACAGTGTAACTATGTCCTAACTCCTGAGAGAGGTGTAGAGTATCCAGCCCCAATCTTGGCCCGCGGTGATAACTATCGCCCCGGCGTTCCCGAGACCGGGACCGACACGGTTGGATGGCTTCTCACGGCTCTCGTAGCGGCATGCTGTAGCTGGCTGGTCACTGCAAGCCCTGTGCCGGTCCGTCCTTTCCACACAACCCTCGTACCTACCTACATATCCGATCCGTCGTCATCATCCTAACCAGGAAAATCATGTCAGTCATCATCAATCGTTCACCGCCGAGTACCTACACTCACCCTTAGTTAATGATTCCACATACATAACGTCAAGGTCAGATTACTTACCCATGCAGTTGAGCATCCAGTAACTCGTGCCCAGGAGTCCGGGACCACCACTGCCTACCTAGGTATTGTCGTCTTGGGTTCAATTCCACAAGTCTACCACCGCCGATGGGGAATCCGCTCAGCGAGGCATCGGCCGAGACGTATCGAGAGAAACGGGCCAACGCGGAAGTACTCTAACCCCCGAAAGAAGCCGTACTGGGAGGAGTGGGATACCGTAGGTTGAAAACACTGTAAACACTGAATATCACACTTCAAGCGCAAAAAGCATTTATCCATTCCCAAGTACAAATACGCCAAACGCCATCAGAAAAAAAACAGAAAAAACAGAAAAATTAGAAAAATTAGAAAACAAAACAGAAAAAACAGTAAAAATCAAAACAAAACAAAAAAACAGAAAACAAAATCAACAAAGAAATATCCGGATAACCAATCCAACTCCCCGAAAAATCCGAAAAAATCCGAAAAAAACAAAAACAGATGCAAAAACAACAAACATCGTCCGGTAACACCGGACGCTACCCATCTGTAGTGGGGAAATTAAAAGGAAGAGAAAAAGATCATGATCGGCTCATCAGAACGCCCAGACCATAAAAGAAGGCGAAAAGAAAAGAAAAAGAGACGCGGGCAAAGTATTGCCAAATCCTGTCCATCTACAGACTGTGCTGCAAGATGCGGAACATCTCTCAATCCTTCTCCTCGACCTCCTTGGCCTCTGCCAACTGGTCATGGACGACGAAGTTTTCGTCATTGATCCCGCCCTGCGGAGCCGTAGCCCTCGCATCGGACTTCGCACGCTTCGAAGTCCTGGCCGGTGGCCGCATCGACTGCGCACGCTTGCGGCTGGTCGATTTCGAGCCGGAGGAAGGGGAGCCATCGTCGGGGCTGTCGCCCATATGGTCGTCGCTTCCGGAATCGGCGACAAGGTCCGGCACATCGGTGTCGGCGCTCGGTGAGTTATGGAGAACGTGTTCTCCAGCGGCGATGTCCTCGGGCTTAGGGATCTCCTTGCCCTTCTTTGTCGCCGGCTTGCGACCCGCGGGGTGACGCTTGGCGACACGCACTTTGTGCGGCATGTAGTCGCTATCCTCGTCACTCGCAAGATCGTAGACCTCGATGTCGTCCTGATGTTCTAGGACTTCTTCAATAGTCTTCTTGCGCTGCCTCTTGGGCTTGTCGCCCACCTTATGTTGCTGTGCAACCGTGGGGATGGAGGGATCAAGTCCCTGAGGCTCAGAGGCCTCCTCTTTGACCGCCTTCCGGCGCTTCCTCTTCGACTTCTCGCCCGACCCATGTTGCTGTGCAACGGCGGGGATGGAGGGATCAAGCCCTTGAGGCTCAGAGGGCTCATCTTTGATGGCGATGGTCACTTTCGTGACCGCCACGTCCGATGGGCCCCCATTGTCGCCATCGACATTGACCCCATCCTGGGAATCGGCTTCCTCCTCCTTGATCCCCTTCGACTTCGGCTTCCGGCGCGGCTTGCGGACACGGTTGACGAGATGGTTGATGACGCAGTCATCGTTCGCATCCTCATCGTCCGTTCCGAGCTCCACCATCCTCTCCTTCATCAGGCCATTGCCTTCCCAGACGACCTTCATCTTCTTGGCCTTGATAGGGTTGCCATCCTCGTCAAGTTCAGTCTTGACTTTCTTCGGGGTCGTGGCTTCGGCACGCCCGGCACACTTCTTACATGACCGCCCATGGCGGATCAGCAGGTTGTGCAACGAGTACTTGTACTCGTCAGGAATTCGGACATCTAAATGGTAGAAGCCCGTGACCTCGGTAGCGTTGGGTGGCACCCATCCGAGGAATTTGGTCAGCCTGTGCACATGAGTGTCGACAGGAAAGACATCGCGGTGAAGCGCTGAATCACATTTAATTAGTCACTAATCGGTTGCCAGTAGGACGGAATACTCACAGAATAGCATCACACACGCGGCGGCCTTCGGGCCGATGCCATCGAAGGCAGTAAGATTCTTCATGAGTGTGATGTTGTCCATCTCATGGAAATGGTCCAACGACAACTCTCCATCGTCATCATCCTCGGGGTCCGAAAGTTCGGAGCCCGAGTCCTCGTCAGCGGCCATAGGCCGGGAACTGCGAGCCGCGGCTCTCTCGCGGTACTTCTCGAACCACTTCTGACTGCGGCGCTCTTTCCCCTCGTTCCACACTTGGCGGAGGATGGCTTGGATCACCCTCGCCTTCTTGTTCTGAAGGCCCCCAACCTTCAGAGCTTCCTCGACATCTTCGACCCTGCTGGTCCTGATAGCGTCCCAGTCGACGCTATCTACACTCCCCTTGGTGTATCTTCCCTTCTTCGAGGGGTCGAGAAATTTCTCGACAGTAACGGTCCCAAAATGGGCCAACAGGTCCTGAAAGGCCTTCGCTGGAGTTCAAGTCAGTATATACTCAGTATCCAAGGGTGAAGTATGCTTTCCGGCGAACTTACCCGAGTTTTTGGTCGTTGTATTCAAGGACATGATTGTCCTCAAAAGTGCATCCAAGACACACGGCACTTCGCCGCAACCAGAAACTTCGTTATTAACTAGAACAGAAGTTAGCGCTATCTGAAAGCTCTAGAAAGGGAGATACATACCGATAAGTTTGTCCGGGCGTTCCGAAGGGCCGTGTGCCTTGGTCAAGAGTTGCTGGAGCTCAGCACACTCTTCTGGAGTGGGGTGCTCCAGTTCTGGCCACGGTGATGTGCCAAAGCTGGCTTTCACGCGTGGCGTCTTCTTGGCTGCAGTCGCGACAGCTGCAACGAGGGAGGAGGAGGAAGAGGAGGAGGCAATGATGACATCGCTGGCTACCTCGGTCTGATTAACCTCTGTAGAGGAGGTGGCAGCCGATACGCCTGCAGAAGGGAAAGGAGTCGGGAAAGAGGATGAGATAGTGGATGGGATGGAGGATGGGATGGAGGATGAGATGGGGGATGGGATGGAGGATGGAAGGGAAGTTTGGAATCCCAAAGGTGGGTGAAGGTTAGAAACGTCTGAGTGTGCGCCTGCTTTTCCAGCGACGGAAATAGAAGAGCTCTGTGGGTTGCCGAGACCAGTGTTCGCAGCTAGGCCGGTCCGGAACCTGATGCGAATCTTGACGGACGTCGTTTGACCAACGAGACTAGATGATGATGAGCCAACGTTGTCGTCGTTATCAGCCTCGTCAACTTCAGCTGAGGAATCAACAAATCCGTCGACCGAACCGTTCTCGTTAATGATTCCGCTCTCGTTATTGACTTCGTCATCGACTCTCGGGACACTGGGTCCCATCCTGGATGCAGCCGCGTACAAAGATGTCATCAGTGAAGCAGAAACTCCGCCTTCTTCCCGGGGCTCCTTGAGTTCCTTCTCATGTGAAAGCGGAAAGGGATGTTCGGAGTCAGACATTGATGAAAGGATTATAGTTTGGCGATGAAGAAAAGATGGGAGGAAGGTTAAAGTTTGTATTAGATTCGTGTGTAGACTGTGGAGGATGATGGTCGAGGAATGGATGGGAGGTAGAGAAAGAGGGAGAGAAGGAGGATGAAAAGATGACGGGGATGTAGGTGACAACAGGAAGGAAATTCAAAAGGGAAACGGTAGTGCCATGTTTCTATGGTTGTTCCTGATCCGGTTGTGTGCAGCAGGCCTTCAACGTTTGTAAAGTCGCATTGAAGTGGTTGTGTCTGCTTGATATGGTATAAGCAGTCACCAGTGTCTGCCGGCGAGCCTATTCAGCGATGCATTGGTTAGCCAAGTCTGCCTTTATGTATGAGAGAATATCTGAGCTCACTTACTTCCAGTGTACATTTGCAACAGCGTATATGTGAAGCTCGTATTCGAAAAGAGTCAATAATATCATACTGTTGTTCGTTAGTACAGTCTTACAGGTTGTGTGCGGACAGTGCTGAGGTAACCGGTCCGAGTTACATACCAGAACGAAGATGATCAAGGCCGACCAAAGTCGACATAGGTATGCTTCAGACCTCTGCAAAGGGCAAAAGTGATGTATGTACCGAGGGTAGCTGTCCGAAAACAAGTCATCCACTCGCTTTTTGATGCTGGTGACAGTGGGGGGTTTTGGTGTTTTACGGTACCTCATACTGGTTTGGCAGCACCGGTGGCGGACCACGGACTCTTAGGTATTCGTCAGCAAAATTCGCCACAGAGGTCCCCTTGCTACCTACATTTTTATACTCGGCCGTCGCGGGATCTACATGATGGATGATCTGTGCGCTAGTCAAGCTTAGCGTCCCAGACGAAGAAAGCCTAGAACGATTTATCTCCAGTGCGCGAGTGGACGCCCGGGATTTGCACTCCTGACCTGTGCGAATACCGGAAAAACTAGGTATCTTCAGACTTTATGGTCCGAACTGTGTTTTCCTTCGGAACCACAGATTTAAATCCACGGCGGAAGCGATCAGCATCATGCGCACAGAGAGTAATCCACACTGACGGCCCGCCAGCAAGGCTGCAAAGGACTTTCTTCGATGGCGGCAAAGAGTCGTCGACATTGATACCAAGCCAAGCCAAGCCATTTGGTGACATCGGCGAAGGAAGCATGGAAGACTTTAGACGAGTAGAAGTTAGAACCAAGAAAGTATTTATAGTCTCATCGTGCGGGATATCCGTTTCGCATCGCCTGTTTACATCTCGATTTATGCATAACAGAGTGCCCAATGGCCGTGATGGTAGGCTGAGATAACTACCAGTAGTCTCGCCCTATGTCTATAGGCCATCTCGTCTGGCGCATGGCAAAATACCTCACATCGAATACCAGTACCATGATTGGATGGGTGCCTGCATATCGCATCTCACACGCCCGGGAGGATGCCACGGCTGCGGGTCGTCCATCTGACGGTTCTAAGCCGACCGCCACACACCACTGTGAAACGTTACCGCCTTCTCGGATCAACACGAGTCTTACTAAACACTACCGCCTGCCTTCCAGTCGCGGCATGCCCGCTTCTTTATCCGCTATACGCACTCAGACCCCATTGCCACTGTCTACCTCCACGCTGTGGACTCACCAATGAGCTATCCGCTTGAGTACCTACGCCGAAGGGCCTGGTCCGTTCTCTGGCTCCCTGGATTTCACACATCAAACATGCTCTGTCGGCCTCTGCTCAGCAACAAGGCTGTCCTCCAGATGGGCTCCCCCGGATGCTTCCGTGCCCTTCTTTTCACAAGGGGCTCCAGTCCAGTTTGATGGTTCCGTCTTTGTCGACTATGTTTGCTTCTTTGTGAAGGGTAGAATACTCCACCTCTACCAATCATAGCCACCGGTTACTGCGTCCGCATCCCACTTTCTGCTCCCTCCATCTCTACAACATATAACACGTCCCACATCTGACGAGTCCTTCAGAAAATTCTGCGCCAATATCGCATCATCAAACCGTCCCCCGCATCCCTCGGCCGACCTCGATGGTGTCGCTTCAGCCGCCGCTTCCAGCATTCAGGCTCAACGGAGAAAGCATCGGTATCGACATGCTTGTGGCACAGCATGGTCATCAGAACGTCGATCCCGAATTGCGGAAAAGGATCGAACTGGAGGCAGAGTACCTCCAGAAAGGTTACATTGATCTGAGCGGCGAAGTCAAAGGCATAGGTGGGATCAAAGGGCGAAACGTTGACAGTGAGGACTGGCAATACTGACCGTACTCGTAGAGTTGTTCGAAATTTCCGACGATGAATCGCAAGTCGAGGACCAAGGTATGACCGTTTCTTCATGGTTTGGACGGGAAGAGAGAGAGGCTGCAGCAACGTGTTATGTCCTCATCGGTGATTGCTGATATTCCGCCAGTTCTGAAGGCCGACGCAGGTGTTCAACCCACTTCTCAGAAACCAGTGTCAACTTCATGCAGCTCTCCTATTTGTTGTGAATACCGGACGATCGAACTTCAAGAGCCTCGCGGGGAAATGCGTATTCATACGCTTCCCGCGAAAATACGTATTGGCAGCAACGTAGAGCTGAAGGATGGCAGCTTTATCCGAATAAACTCCATCAAACAGCTCTGCCTCAATCATGGCGCACGTATTGTATTGAAGGGGAAAAAATTCCTGCGTACTCGAAATCTTTTGGGGTATCTTCATTGCAGACTAAACGAATTGGTTATGATCTCTGCCGACGAGCAAGTTGAGTGCGACCAGCTCCTGAGAGGACGCAAAATCATCCTGACGAATGCCAACTTCCCGAACCACAGACTTCGCGTGGGTAGCGACCGCTTGACCGAGCAGCTTGGTAGATTGGTTTGCAGATGGTATATGGAAACTAACGGCACGACCTCGCTCCACGTACGCCCCGAGAATCGGAAACCCGGGGGTACTGGCCTAATCCGCCGGCTGAGGGAAGATGAGGCGGACGCCATGTTCCGGGTTCGGGAACGTATCTTGAAGAAACCTTACGTTACTACCAGGGAGTGTTCGTCGAACGATTCCGAAGAGCAACAAAAGGATTACAAGTACACATTCGGGGACGCCTTTTGCGGAGCCGGTGGCATGTCTTGCGGCGCCAGTCAGGCGAAATTCATCAATTCGTGGGGGTTCGACCATGATACGGATGCAATCGCGACATTTAGAAAGCGATATCCCGAAGCTCAGGCATTCCATCTCTCGGCGGATCAGTTCATCGCTCTACCCGGGGACTACCATGTGGATGTCATGCACCTGTCCCCTCCTTGCCAGCCACATTCACCAGCCCACACGACACCTGGACAGTTCGATGAAGATAATGAAGCATCTTCGCTCTGCATCTGTGACTGCTTGAAGAAGGTCAAGCCTCGGTTTGCAACACTGGAGCAGACCTTCGGATTGACACACAGGCCGGTGTGGTTCAGGGCTGTAATCAATCAGTTCACGTCGGCAGGATATTCCGTCCGGTGGAGTATTTTGCCATGTGTAAAATATGGCGTCCCCCAGACCAGGCAGCGGCTGATTATCATGGCTTCTTGGTAAGTTTTTGTATTCGATTTCTGCTGTTACAATTCTAACAAACTCGCAGTCCAGGGGAACAACCGCCCAAATTTCCCGAACCGACACATTGGTACCCAAAGCCGCCACCAGAGCCTACCCGACTGAAGCCCGCTCGCACACTTGGGGATGCCATAGGCAATCTTCAACCTGGCATCAGTGCTCACAACCCAAACGACCCGGCCTTGCGGTTTCCCGACAACATGCGACTAGACACCAAGAATGTAATGAATCTACCATTCATGCGCACGATCATGGCTGGCGGGAACCACAATGGAGTCCACCCCTCTGGTCTCCGCCGATTTACGTTGCGCGAGATTGCATGCATCCAGACTTTCCCGGAGAATTACGATTTCGTTGGCGGGACGACCAACGTGAAGCGACAGATTGGGAATGCTGTGCCACCGCGCATGGGGAAGATCCTGATGCGTGAGGTTTTGAGGGTACTGGAGGAATCGGATAGGAAGGATGCCGAGGAGAGCAGTGAAACCCCTCCACTGTCTCAGTTTATCGATATCGACGAACTGGATGACTCGGATACGGATTCTTTTATGGATATGTGGGGTACTGAAAACCCTCTATTTGAGACGGCAGCGCCCCAATTCATTGATATAGACGAATGGGATTCTTCAGACTCGGAGCTTCCGATTACCGGTAGAACGCCTGCTAAAACCCCTTCACGCGAAAGTGTACCACCGCCACCGCAGTTTATCGACATAGACGAATGGGTTGATTCGGATGTTGAGGTTACGGGCGAGCGACCCGCCGAGAAGCCGCTACAACAGTCTTCGCGCTCTTTCCGGACCCCGTATTCATGCACCTCATCTTCATCGCCGTCACCAGGACACTTGCGAAATGTGGTGGACTTAGACACCCCGGGGAGCTCGCCGGCCCCTACATCACCCCGACCATCGCAGCAATCGTCCCCACAACGCCACAATCCACACTCGGAGCCGCCGCCTCCATCTTCACCGTCTGGCTTCCGCACACGCCTTCCGTCGTCTCAGCCGAACTCGCGTTCCGCAACGGGTGATATTGGTGCTACCAGTATCGGTGACCGGTCCGCATCGCTTCCGCTGCAACCGGACCCCCCATGCAGAAAGCGCCGCGTACTGACCTCGCTCGACGCCAGAGAGCTACAGTTTGCAGGCGACACGCCCTCCTCCTCGGCGTTTCCGTCCGGATTCCAGCCGGACAGTCGTGAGCCGGCGCGGCAGAGGAAGAGGGCGAAGGTTGTTGTCACGGTCGATGATCATATCACCGATAGTGAGGAGGACACTGCAGTCATGAGGAAGGGGTTCGCGCATGTCGTTATCGATTGATAGGTTCTTTCGGGACGGATTTGTTTACGTTACGATGGGATGGGACGGATGCGATGCGATGGATGCTATGGATACGAGAGATGGGATGGGGGTACACTGCTGTTATTTTTTTTTGACTGCTGGCATTTCTAAGAGCAATATTTCATTGATTATATGGGGGAGAAGTGTTGAGTGAAGGGTTTGTTTTTGTTTCCTTGCCATTTTTTTCTTTCATTTTTCATTCTTTCATCGTTATTATTTTTTCTTTTCTGTTTTCTACATACGGCCATTTTTCTCGATTTTACTAGAATGCTGGGATACATAGAACCGGAGTTCCGGAACTTGGATAGGTTGAGACATCATCAGCATCATCATCGTCGTCCGGTGACTTTATTTTCCTGCCATGATCGGAAGCTGGAGGTTGGAGTGGAATCCCTACCACAGCTCCAAGCTGCAAGCTGCAAGCTCGGAGCTTTGAGCGCTCGTGTAACAAACTGCGTCATAGCCTGGTGGGGCGCGGTGGGGGGCGGAGGGAGGTAGTTAACTCCCCCCCTGTATCCCACGTCACCTTATAAGCACGCACCATCCGCCCCTCCAGCAGCTCCATTTCCAGCTCCATCTCATCGATACCATCCTCACAACTACCACAACCAATATCACTGCACGAACTACACAAACCCCACATCTATACAAAACCACAAACCACACACACAAACACTCACCATGCCCCTCATCGTCCCAGGCATCATGCAGCAGCCTGCGAAGCACGGCGAGACGGACCCGAAGCAGCAGGCGTCGGTCCCCGGCGGCAAGGACGAGAAGGCGCAGGTGCAGGATCTCCAGGCCAACCCCGGCCCCGTCCTGCCCAAGGATACTAAGCCGTTCGAGAGCGAGCTCGGAACTAGGGAGGAGAGGGAGGAGAAGGTCAAGACTTTGAACGAGTCGTAAAGGGGATGGATTCAGGGTTTCTTTTCTTCTGTTTTGTGGGATGGGGTGGGATGGCATAGGGATGGGATGGGTTTGTTTGATGGCTTGATACGAGATATGAATTGTACTACACGGCTGCGAAGTTGAAGTTTGAAGATTGCACTTGGCTTGAATACTTGACTGGGAATCCGTGCACGTGATGCGTATGTCCGGTATATAGTAGATAATCATCTAGGTATCGGTCCACTTCCGGGTCTTTGTATCCTCCTCCTCCTCCTCCACCGCCAACCAGCTGCGGTATCACTGCCCATCTACGTGTCTGTACTCCAACATTAGCTTCCCCACTCCCCCACTCTCACTCTCACAGATCACATACCAAGCGGCGGAATCCTCTTCTCGAGCCACATCTGGAGGTGATTGATCTCCTGGGGGTCGGCGGAGTGCTCAAGGTTGGGGTACGAGTGCCACTCGATTTTTTTCCCGTAATCCTTGATTAGGATATCCCTCGACTGCTCCGCCCACTCGATACGAATGAGCGGATCGATCTCTCCGTGCGCCATAAAAATGGGCGTGTCCTTGTTCGCGTCCTGCACCAGAGTGCTGACTTTGTCGTGGCACGCGAGCCACGTCGACATCGCCACTATTCCGCCCAGCTTGTGCGGGCAGGAGATGCCGCCCTATCGCTCGTCCATCGTTAGCGGGATGTGGATAAACAAAGGAACGTGGGGTGAGGGTAGGGGAGCAGTGTACCAAGAGCGCAATAGCGCCGCCCTGCGAGAACCCTCCGACAACGATGCGCTCGCTCGCGACTCCCTTCGCGATCTGCTCATCGATGATCTTATGCAGGAGCTCCACACTCTTCATGATCCCCGCCTCGTCCTCCTTGTGCGAGATATCGCCGAACGACGTCTTCCGGCGCATCAACTGTTCAGCTAAACACCCACGTCCATTCACACTGTTTACGGGGGGAAGAGGGGGGAGCTTACGACGTCGAACCATCCCGGCATCCGCATCCCCATGTTCACGGTAATCGGAATGCTCGGCGCGTGCGGGAAGATGAACGCGCACTCGTCGAATTTCCGCCGCAGGCGGAAGTTCTCGGAGACCGAGACCCTATCGCACGCATCGCATCAGCTCTATCCCCCCGCCCCGCCATCTCACTCGCCAGGTGCGCGTGCGTACCATCCGTGCCCGGTATCACCAAGGCCGTGCATGAAGATCAAGCTGCGCGACCATTAGCTTTACATCCGTTTCTGCCGTCGGTAGTGAGGTCGCACGTAGAAGTGAGCCGCTTTGCGGCGGGGACGACGACGGCGGAGACGGACGTCATGGTTGGTTAATTGCTGGTGGATCGATCTGAATCTGGGTCTGGATCTGGTGGAAGGGATGTTTTGCGGGACGCGTGGATGGGAATAAATATGTAGTGGTCGCTGGTGGCGGATCGCGGATTGCTTTTTGGCCCCCCGGCCGAGGCCGGGGTCGGGGGTGAGGGGCACGCTGTGCATGGCTCTTTGTTTGGTTGGCTGGTTGGCTGGCTAGTGGGGCACGTGAACACGATGATAAGTGTCCATGGGGTTCTCACTCGCGGGTGTCAATCGGAAGTGTGAGGTATGTCCTTTGTTATCGTTCGCTGTCGGTATCGCTGTTCACCATAGATGCACGCAAAGATTGGCCATAGCGATGAATGCGGAAATTCAGAATACACATTCACTGCATAGCAAGTCATCCATCGAGTGACTTCCTATGTTGCAGTGTACTAGCAGCACCACCAACCAGCAACCAGCGATCACCAACCAGCAACCAGCAATCACCAACCAGCAACCATCAGCAAATAACGGACAATTACGAGATGCCCGCCTACTATACAGCGGATCAGAAATATCTGCAGTGATTGAGCCAGTGCTGCAATGCACTCGTGTGGTTCGACTTTTCCCACCACTGACTCCTTCGATGAAATTAAGATTGATAGGTAATCAATATCCAGCCATTCCCGCACTCCCCCAACATGTCAAGACCACCCTCGTGTTGATCACTATCACCATCACCTACATACGTCCCACCAAGCCGCCCTCTCGTGAGACTAGCTACAAGACATAGTATCTAGCTATATCACGATCTCGTACTCCCAGTCCCCTCCCCCCCGCCCGCCCCATCGGCGACTCGGATGAGTAAGTATCAATCAGCGTGAGCTAAGCGGCTATATCCACGCCCAGCAGTGCTGCATTCAGATTCAGACTCGGGGACCCAACAGCATAGCCAAGGACGACAATTTGTCAATTTCCCGCCAGCCAGCCCTGAGCTAGGTAGATGGAAGTCCAAATCACCGTTGAGGTACCGTACCGTGCTCGGGAGTGATTTGATTGAGTGATAGGCAACCAGCTCGCCAAGAAGTGATAGTCTTCGTTGAGTCCTCTCGTGTGTAGTCCTCTCGTGTGTATGCATATGTGGTATTGGATTTCTCCCAGGACCAGGACCAGGATCAATCCAATCCAATCCAATCCATCGACCATCATGTGCAACAGGCCGTGAAATCCGCAAACGAGTCGAATCGAAACCCGGCTAACGGCTGTAGGTCTGACAGTGACAGTGACGGATGCGATGCGAAAGCAAAACCATGGCATGGTATGGTATGGTATGGCTGGCCCCAGCTTCCGCAGCTCTTTGCGTGTATCTAGGTGTATCTAATGCATGCAAGTGGCGGTTGACCGAGTCACGTCTGCTGCGGCTTTCCCGGGCGGGGGGCAGAACACATAACGGTTGCGAGGAGGTTAGATGCATTGCATTGATAAGTCTTTCCTTCCAATGCGAGATCGATCGGATCGCATGTTGCGTTATGTACTGTAGATAACACGGATAACATGCAACTAACTGGTCGGCAACGGGGGTGGGGTATGGGGTGTGGGGTGTGGGGTGTGGGGTGTGGGGTGTGGGGGATGGGGGAGTGGGTGATTCGGAGAAATAGAAGCTCGAGTACCTATCGGTGCGCCGACGACTGACGACCGACTAGACGACCGAAGGAGCGAAGGAGCGAAGGAGTGAAGGAACGATCATCCCGCGCACGGCTTGCTTGCTTAATCGATCGATTATGAAACATTTCAAGATGGCGGCAGGATTTTGGTATGTGGATGTCATTTCCTCCAATATCTCCCTCTCTCTCTCCATGGCTCACGGAACCACTATACGTTCGAGACCACTCATTCCTAATTCCCCAAACCCCCTGCAACGGTTCCGCACTGGAGACTGAAGCACAAATGCACAATGCACATGCACACGTCTGCGTACAAGGTACCGGTATGTATCCACGGCTATCCGCAACGTGGCGGCCCAAACCGGGTCGACTCACGTTTTGGAAGGGCATGGCAGGGCAGGGCAGCGAATGCGTTACGGCGGCGTGGTGATAATGCTGCAGGGTCCCACGTGGTCATTCGATTTCGAAGGAGTCGAGTCGAGTCGAAGGGAAGGGAAACAAACGGTGCGCGCTGAGGAAGGCGGATGGCGGGAGGCGGATGTGAATGTGGGAAAGCGTGACAGCTACATACGGCGGTCAAGCGGGTATGCACCATCAACCATGTAGTTAGTCGGCGGAAGGCAGCCCGCTATGCAAGGGCAAGCGCTGCTAGCATAGATGTATGCACGGCGGGAAGTCTCTCGAGCGTCTGGGCGCGGGTAGGCCTGGCAACGACAGTTACGATACCGACTCCTTTGGGCCTTGCAGTTGCCGCACACACGCACACCCACATCAGTCACTGGGCACTGGACAGTGGACAGCGCTCGAAGACGATGTTGCAGTACGTAGACTACAGGCTGTGGAAGAGTGGAGATGTGATGTGATATGTGAATCTCCCGGCTGGCTGGCCGAATCCGGTGGACGTGATGTCACTGGGGGGAGGGGGCATTCGTATTCCCTGTGCCTGCGGTGACGGTCGACATACACTCCACTCCACTTCGGGGGTGGGGGGTTCGAATCTCGATACAAGCCAGAGGAGCATGGCGCCGAGCAACTATCTTTGCAATTATCGGAAGAAGTGGGCACAAATCACGTTGTGTTTAACGAGCCCGGCTGTGCCAGCGCCGCTGTGGTAGTGCGAGATGAAAATAGGTTTGAGGAAGATCGAGTTGTGACTTGCTGACTCCTGATGCCGGCGCTTGGCCCTGTTCGGTGAGCACTGAGCCCATGCAGTCAGGCCAGTAGGTACCAGTATTTGGGACGACGCAGTAGAAAAAAAAGATTGTCTGTTGGTGTTCGTCTAGAGTAGAGTATGCAGAGTATCTTCCGCGCAAAAGGTTCCAGAGGTTCGAAAGGTTCCAACCAGAGTTCGGTATATAGTCCGCAGTATAGAGCACCCGCCATGACCGGGGATCGCGAATAGAGTAATGGCGAGCGCCGTCAGGCCTATGTGTGTAGTGTAGGTACATACCGGTACTACCTATAGTATAGCCCGTCAGACCTATACCTATACGCAAGATCAAGAATCCCCCCAATGCTCACTCGAGGCGCACATCTTCCAAAGTTTGTGTTTGTGATGGCCGAGAACGTGGGCCGAAAACGTGGGCCGAAAACGTGGGCCGAGAACGTGGGACTGCGCCAGCTGCAGATTCCGGATTCCGGATGGGAATTTCTGCCTCGCCTGGACTCTGCACGGACGTTCCGTGAGCTTCTGGTTAATGCGGTACGGTGTACCGGTAGTTATGAATCCCATTGTGTTATTTATATATCCGGCCGCATATGTATGAGGACTGGAGGCTGGAGCATGCCGTGCGGCGGCGTGGAAACAAGCAATCGGAGTATTATATTAGAGTACCTACCGACATACCTACTAGGTACCGAAGTATGTCGGCAGTAGGTACCTGTAAGTATCATTCCTGCCCTGGTGGCCGGAATTCAGTTGCCGCCGTTCACCAGCATTGCCGCCATCCATCCATCCATCGGAACGCGTCGAGTTGTCCCTGAGGCTGGAGGCTGCACTTGCCAGCTTTGTTTGACGCCACCGAACGCCGAACGCGTTAGTTAGCATAATCGCACACGTTACGTCCCCAGCGTCTTGGAGACGACTGACGAGATGGGCTAACTTTGTGACTAGTTAAGGATGATGGCGATCCACACTTTGCACAAGCGTGTGTCCACTGGCTGTTGGTGTGGGGAGTAGTACTAGGTACCTGTTAGTACATACCAGCTAATTTGGAGGTGAACTGGCCGTTCAGGATGTAAGTATACAGGAGATATATCCTGTGGTATAGAGCAGTAAATGGGTGGTTATGGTACGGTGCTCTACCGTATGTACAATACATGTGTGCAAGAACCACCGAGTTCCCGTATGGTTGAGTGTTGTCTAGGACTATGGGACACAGCGGAAACGGCGGGCATGGCAGATGCACGAGCGGTGAAATTTCGCCGACCTGGCTAGACCAGATTCGGTGGGGTTAAACGTTTAGAGAGAGCTCTTGTATGATATACTTTGTCGGCTCGTCTGTCTGTTTTCATCTGTCTATCATTGCTTTCATCACTCTCATTATCGCTTTCATCAATCTCATCAGTGTGCTTTCTCGTTATTGTTTGTCTTGATCTGACTATTCAACTCGCGAGGTTCTACCTAGGATCGCCTGAAGAACACAGGAGGCTCTTTTCTTACTTGTCGATTCCTCCCTCGTGAAATACAATCGGTTCTCTCTAGGTATTTTGTTTTTAAAGTTGCCAAAGGGCCCCCCGGTCCCACTGCTTCAGTACCTATCGTGGCAGCGCAATGCAGTGAAACACGGAGATCCCACGGATTCCCACCCAACCCATCGAGAGGAGAGGCATCTCACATGCTGCACTTAACTGAGTACCTTGCCTTCATACCTACTACATATTATTCCAATCGATAATGATATTCAATCAGTGCCCACCAACCAATCAATCACGCCAGCCCGGCGTTTATTTCCAGTTATTTGCATACCTGCAACCGTCACACTGCTCGACTGCAGCTTCTGAGGCTGTGAGGACCCCCGACTGCATCTCCACCACCAGTGGCTGATGGATTGGGCCTCACTGGGGGCCAAACTCAAACAGACAGCGGCGGCGGGGAGAAGGATGGATGGATGGCATCTGTGAGTAGGGAAACCGCTCGATCTCTTAAGTCTTCTTCGCTAACCACCGTAGGTACATAACTGGCAGTATCACATCAGCCATGGGCCGGCCGCCGGTCGTGGATATAAGTCTCCTGGAAGCGCCGCCGTTGTGCCTGTTGAATGCAACGAGTGTTGGGCAATAAGTGTGTTAGGACAACTCGCGATCTTTGATTTCTCCCGCTCTCTCTTGGTAAAGCTACTCGTGGCCTCGCCATCTTGATTTCTTCAGCTCTCTGCGTGTTCGTGGCCTCGCTTTCCTTGGCTATCACCTGCTGCCCAGTCACCTAGCAGATAGACAGGTCGTAACTACACATCGAGACGCTGCCAGGACAACTGCAGAGAAAGGCCCAGACGCGGGAGAAGCCGAAGAAGAAGAAGCAATACTATCGTATACCTCGGTGGGGGTCCCAGGTCCCCTCACATCTACTAGGTCCTACTTACTCGGTAAGTAGAGTGGAGTACTCGCCAGAGCGGCTGTTGACCTTCGAACAGACCTACCGCGCGCTGCCGCCATCCTTCGAAACGAAAACCTTCAATCTTCTCGCCGGCTCCGAACGTCTCGATCCACACTTTTTTGTCTCCAGGCATTTGCCGCACGTCAACATCTTGGCCAACACCCAATACATAGCGAACAGCAACCAACATTCGCACATATCATATCCAACTAGCCGACTGGGATCTGAAGAAACCTCCCCCCCACAATCTCCCACCCCGTAGTTGGATAGTGGTATGTGCACACTCTAAGTAGGGAGCTCCCCCCACTCCCCCCCGTGTCTCAACTCTCAAACCTTCCAGGCCCCGGAGAGAGATAGAGAAGAAGTCGATTAATTGCAGTTGGTACACTACTAGGAGGTGCATACCCAAGGAATTTACTTACTCACCTACGGTAATGTCGAACCCGGACCTCATACGATTCCTACTTATCCGAGGAAGCTACCCATCGTCAAGCTCGAAACCGTTGAAGCATCCCTACAGCGATACCTTCCTACATACCGGTACTCTACATACGTTTGCTGCAGATAATCTCGCAGTTGGATCGGGAGGATACATACCCAGGTAAGTACTTGCTTGCTCGACGCATGTACGCTCTGCCCTCTTCGAACGGCCGTTCAGCATCGGCTTCTCGCATCCATCAATTCGCTCGCTTGCTCGCTTGCCCGCTCGTACCTACCGGTATCCTGCAACGTCCGGAGCCGTCGCTACCCCTTCCTCGTCTTCGTCCTCATCCGCCTCCTTCTTCTTCTCCTCCTGTTCGAGTACAAGCACAGCACGAGACGAGCAGCAGCACACCGTTCGGACTCGACAACCGGACATCCGTGATTTGCACTCAACATTTCTCTCCCGGACACCATTCATACTTGTTTATTTCTCACTTACACAATCAAAAAAGAGAATCAAGAATCAAAAAAAAAAAAAAAAAAAAAAAACATCGTCCATCGGGTGATCCAAGATCGGGGGAGGAGAGGCAGCACAAGCACAGGGCGCGATTCTTCACGGTCTCGCTGTAACGTTATCGCCATCTTGGGGAAACCCAGTACTCTACATGCCCACGGAAATAGTTGCAGACTAGCGTCACGCGCGCCCCACCACCACTTGCCCGTTTGCTCGGGCTCAAGACTGCGAGAGAGATACCAGATACAAGAGGTACATACCTCTAACTGACTGACTGAGTAAGTACCCAAATTAAGTACCTAGAGTACTTACCCACCCACTGATAGCCGGCCCACCCGGTGCTTTCGCATCGCCGTCGCGCACGCCTTGATCCATCACTCATACTCCACCACCACTGCTACCACCACTACCACCACAACCTTCACCACCTTCAACGGCGGCTGCTTTGACGTTATATTAATCCCCTCGCTTTGCCTTAACGTACCAAAGTACTTGCCTACATACATCGTCTCCACCCGTTGTGCCGCCGTCTCAATCAAGATACGCCTCAAGCGAGAGAGCTAGCTGCAGCTTCTTAGCTCACAACATTATCATCATCGGCCGTCAACCGATGCAGTCAATGGAAACCATGTCACAATCTCCTCCTCCTCCCAGCTCAAACACTTCTTATGCACTCGTTGGCAGCAGCATCGTCTCCGACATACCATCGAAGAATGGTAGATCCGCCATTGATGGCACCGACAGTCCTGCCACCAAACCGAAGCAGTCAAAGAGTAGGAATGGTATGTTGACTGCGGATCTTATCGTGCATATACACATAAAAAAGAAAAAAATATAGAAGAAAAAAGAAAAAGATGCCCTCCAGCTCCGATTCCAGTCTCAATGGTCACGATGATTTTTCCTCCAGCTCCTCGCTGACGATGACTGGTAGGATGTGTCACATGCAAGGCTAAACGGTTAAAATGCGATGAAACGAAACCAACATGTCTCCAATGTAAGTAGCGGTACATACTTCTCACTCAAGTACATACGTGAATCCAAGATTCGGTCTTGCTCATTGTTGTCGTCAGGTCACAAGAGAAGCGTGCCTTGTGGAGGCTACAAGAAGGATTTCAAATGGAGGCCCTTTGAGGAATCGGCAATAGCCGGGAAAAGTCTCAAGACCATACGAAAAGGTACCGGCCTCGTGTCTCCTCCGTGTGGATCGTTTGTTCCGAAAGTTGGCTGAAACGACGGTGTAGGAGGGATTCAAAGGTCCAAGAAGTCCTCGGCAGCAGCAACAGTGCGAATGGGTGGAGGTGGGCAGTTGGATCTGTCACAGAATCCGTTCGCTCAAGTGCGGCCAATGCAGTGTCCGAGTACCGCAACGGACGATGTTTTCCACGTTGATCGGATTTACATCACCCCCGATACCGCTCTGGATCGATTACCGACTCCGCCCCCAACTACGGCTCTGCCGACTAACGTTGACCTTCTAGAAGAGCTCTACGGCGATACGTGCATCGGCGCCCCTGGGGCACCGCTGGAGGCTGATGTCCATCAAATGGGGATGGAAATCGCGAGCAGATCACCCGTCGGTCACATCGAGGAGTTGCTGGACTTTGTGGGGAACGAGACGGAACTGTACCTTCCGGGGACTCGATATTCGGTAGGAGGAAGCGTCAACGAGGTCGATGGCGACGCAATCGAAGAGATGATACGAGGCGGCGCGAGTCAGACTCGATTGGTTTCGTCGCCGACCCCTTCCATGGCGTCGTCGTGTTCCTCCGACTCCCGCTCGTCGCTGGGGGAGAATTTCGTCCACCTCCAGGACGTCTTCAGACGGCCAGCAGTGATGGTGGAGTCACCCGAACTGCTGCTCTCTTATTTCGACAAAAACACATGCGGCATCATGTCTATCAAAGACGGTCCAACGGAGAATCCATGGAGAACCCTCATCTGGCCACTGGCTCGCGACTCGCAGGCCCTATACCACGCCATATCATCGATGACCGCGTTCCATATGTCGAGGCAGCGACCACAGCTGCGGGTGGAAGGAATGGAACACATGCGCCGATCGATCCGCTTCCTGGCACAGGGTCTCTCCCACGGAAACATCCGGGAAGATGCCGCATTGGGGACTACGTTGGTTCTGGCCTTCTCGGAGGCATTCGATACTCACATCTCGACGGGAATCGAGCACCTACGCGGTGCAAGGGTTTTGATCAATCAGGCCCTGGCCAGGATCTCTCCGCTGAGCGTCAATTCCGAGGGATTCCAGCGGCTGCAGTTCCTGTACAACGTGTGGGTGTATCTGGACGTCCTCGCCGGGCTCACATCCGACGCCGAGGAAGACAGCAACAACATGAACCCAAAGATGTCCTACGCCCCCCTGATCTCCTCCTTCTCGATCGATCCACTGCTCGGTTGCGCGGCTACCCTCTTCCCGCTGATCGGCCAAGCCGCCCGTCTCGTCCAGCGCGTACGAAAACTCGAAAAGAACTCGGTGGGGATCATCGCTGCCGCCATGGATCTCAAGCTTCTACTCGAATCGTGGCAGGTACAGGAGTACTACGAACCGATCGAAGATCCGTCTAGCGACGTGGTACATTGCATCACCACAGCCGAGGCCTACCGCTGGGCAACACTCCTGTACCTCCACCAGGCGGTCCCGGAACTGCCGTCACCGGATGCACACGAGCTCGCGGACAAGGTGATGCGACTGATCGCCTCCATCCCCCCGGGCTCCCGCTGCTGCATCGTACACATCTACCCGCTGCTCGCGGCCGGCTGCGAAGCCGTCGGCGACGAGGAGCGGATCTGGGTCAGGGACCGATGGGAGGGCATGATGAATCGCATGTGGATCGGGAACATCGACAAGGCCTGGCAGGTCGTCAAGGAGGTGTGGTATCGCCGCGATGCGTTCCAGGCACGCCATGCCGCCATAACCCCGTCGCCTACGCTGTCGCCCTCTTCATCACCGCGCTCAAAGTATGCATCTCCGACGACGACGCCGATGACAGATGCTATGGTTGCGTGGGACGCGGCGTTCGAGCCGGACAACCGACGCCCGGAGCCCCAGCGGGCGAAGAGGTGCAGTACTGACGATATACTACGCGAGCATCGGAAGGGCGAGTGGGATTACGAGGTGTCGATCAGAGGGAGTCTCCACTGGCTCGGAGTGATGAAACACTGGGGCTGGGAGGGTGCGTACTTTCCTCCTCCTCCTCCTCCTCATGAATCTCGAGCAACAACAACTAACGTACAGATCGACAGTTCTGTTGGGGTAAGTTGGCTGTTGTGGGTCTTGTCTTGTTTCAGGGGGTTGGTCACTGGTGTTTTACTTATTGGCTATTTCTTTCCTTTGCTTTTCTGTGGATTCTGGCGTTGTGGTTTACCGTTTCTCGCGCGGACATGTACTTTGGTTTGGATACTTGGGATACCTACTACTTGGCAGTTGCTCGCGTGGCGCAATTCAATTACTGTTTTACTACATACACAAGTACTTGCTCGTGCTCACTCTGTTCCGTGGAGATCGATCGGTTACATATGTAGGTGTTTCAGGTCCACAGGCCTGTGTGATATGATCGTGATATGATCGTGATTGTGGCCCTATCAGAGACATTCTTGGCCATCGATGGCATCGATGGGATTCCGGAGGGATCGATGGGATTTGTGATGATGATGACGATGATTATGGTGGTGGTCGTGATGTCTTGATGTCTTGAATCTTGATGTTGCTCGAGATGTCTCTCGTTTTCGGGTTTGAAGCGATCTCACATCCACTTCCTCACATCCTCACATCTTCATCCACTTCCAAGTTCATGTTCCAGTCATCATCATGATCCAACCGCAGGTCGCATGATTCTTGTTTTTTACACAGTACACAGTGCTTCCACAGAAAAGAAGGAAAGAAAAACAGAAACATGGAGTTCTTCGCCGTATCCAGAAAAAAGTGGGATTCCCATAGGTATTCCCATATGCCTCGAGTGATAGTACATGACGCAGTCAGTCCGCAGCACACGGGTACGAGGTATGAGGTATGAGGTAGGTACCGACTATATAGATAGTACTATACTTATCGCCAGTGCCACGGCCGCCGCGCAGCGCCATCACCTATCGCCAGTCGCTCTCGCGGAGCAGACATGCACATCAGATAGCAGCGCGGACATCGGAAAGTGCCCGTCGCATCGGCCTCGCTGCAGAAGTGGCCGCAGAAGTGGCCGCAGAAGTGGCCGTGTATCACCCAGCTCCAACTACTCCAACCTGCCGTACAGCTCTTACCCACAGTGCACTGCAGTATAGAAGTGGCCGTATCACCACCTCGGAACCAGAGTCAACCATCTCACAACCAGCTCCAACCAGCTCTAATCTGGTATGTGTAACTACACCGTGCGGGGAAAGGAAGCGGAAAGCCAGCGTCGCAGCTCGTTCACCAGATTCGGATGCGGATGCAGTCGAGGACTTGAGGACTCAAGAACTAGAACAGGACAATCTGTGCATCTGTACTGCTCCCAGAAATCACATATAACCCCCCCTCCTCCCCGCCCTCATCTCCCCCTCCCCATCCCCCTCCTCCTCTCTCGTCTCCTCCCATCCACCCATCCCCGCCTTCATCATCCCCCCTCCCCCTCATACCCTATCCTTCACCCCTCGAAACCAAAGAAACCAAAGATGCCAATGCACCACCACCCCCTTGCGCAGACCCACTTCAAGCCCGCACTTTTGGCCGGCGACAACGTGTTCCTGCAGGACATCTACAGCAGCGACAAGCTGGACGCCGACAAGCCGATCTCTGCCGGGTTCTACCGGCTGGAGAAGGGGGAGCAGCTGGTTTATACGTATGGGTATCATGAGATGAAGGTTAGTCACCTATAGTCCTGCGGGGGAAGGGGGTCCGGGGGGATGGGGGGATGGAGGGAGGCCCTGCGGGGATGAGAGGGGGCTGATGGGAAAGGATAGATTATTCTCGAGGGCGAGTACCAGATCACCGATGAGACCGGGCTCAGTGTTACCGCGAGGCCGGGGGATGTGTTCTATTTTGGTATGTTGCTCTGTGCACAGGTTGCTCTGTGGTAGAGGTGCAGGAGGGGATGGATGGGTGGATGGCTGACGCTGTGCTGTGTAGAGAAGGGTGCGACAATCACGTTTACGACGCCGGATTATGGGCTGGCGTTTTACACTGGGCAGAGGGCTATGGGTGTTGCTTAGGCTGGGGGAAGAGCTACCGTAGTTGCGTGCCACAGCGGAAGGAATGAGAGCAAAATTGAACTGTCCATTGCATTCGTTGATCTCGTGTCCGAATCTATCAATTCCATCGTGTCCACCAGTGTAATCCAAAGCCTGATTCATCACCCATGATCCATACTTCCAGCACTCCAAAGCCATGCCATGACACAGCAAACGCAAACAAAAAGCCGTGCCCCATCTCTCTGTCTACACCGTCTCCATATATCTCTTCACCTCCCAATCCGTAACCGCCTGCTCCCACAGCTGGAGCTCATGCAGCCTAGTGCCCGCAAAATGATCGACGAAGACGTCGCCAAACAGTTCCCTAGCCACACTATCCTTCTGCACCATCTTCTGCACCGCCTCGCCCAGCGTCTTAGCCAAGCGTTCACCACCGCCCGTTTCCTCGCCCTTTCCCAGCGGGGGGATGGTAAGCTTCATCTTCTTCTCGACGCCGCGCAGGCCGCTCGCCAAGATGGCCGCAAGGACGTAATGCGGATTTGTATCGGCACCGCACGTGCGGATCTCGAACCTAGTCGCCTTCGGCGATGCAGTCGGCGGCGAGATGAGCCGTATACTCGCCGAGCGGTGCTCGAGCCCCCAGCTGACCGTCACGGGCGCCCAAAAGTTCTCGACGAGGCGCTTGTACGAGTTGATAGTTGGTGCGAGGATGGGCATGATAGCGGGCAGGGCGTCGAGCACTCCCGCCAGGAAGTACTCGCCGATGTCGGAGACGTACGCGAGGTCTGGGAAGGTTGGGCTCGGGTTCTTTTCCGCGCGGGCGAAAAGGTTCTCGCCCGTGGTGGCGGAGGCGAGCGACACGTGCACGTGCCCGCTGTTGCCCGGAAGCCCCTCGATCGGCTTCGCCATGAAGCACGGCGTGATCCCGTGCATGGCGCCCAGCGCTTTCACGGCGTACTTGAACAGCGAGGCCCGGTCCGCCATTCCGCTGATCTCGCCGAATTCGAGCGCCGCTTCGTACACCCCCGGTCCGGACTCGGTGTGCCAGCCTTCGATCGGGACGTCGAATTTCTTGCCTGCGGGAGGAGTGCGTCAGCGGCCGGAAGGGTGCGCCCCGGAAGAGAGAGAGGCCCCCACATGCGTCAAACACCCCGTAGTAGAACTCCCGGTTCTGCACCGGCCTGGTGACCGAGTACCCAAACATGCCGGGCGTGATGTGTTCCAAGGCCTGTCCCATATTCTCGCTGAGACTCTTCGGGGTCGCCTTAAAGTTATAGAACTCATACTCAGTTCCCGCCATCGCCTTCCACAGCCTCGGCTGCATCTTCGCAACGACCTGTGCCAGCAGGCCACGGGGGCAGGGCGCGATCGGCTCCTCGGTCTCGGGATCGTGGAACGACACGAGGAAGAACGGGATGCCGCGGCCGGTGCCGACGTCGGTCTCCCAGGGGATCCGCCGGAACGAGGTGAGATCCACCTTCGCTAGTATGTCGCGGTACCCGTTCGCCGCGTTCGATACCGAGAGCTCCCGGAAGTACGTCTTGTCGTGCATGTCCCACCCGAACACCACCGAGCAGAAGCCGAAGCCCGCGGAGGCTACCGAGAGGAACTTTTTTTTCGAGACCAGCTTGCCTGGAGGGAATGTGAGGGTGGTGGGGTGTACGGAGTGCGGTGGTTACTCACCACGGAGGATGCCGTCGGCATCTACGCCCGCAAGCTTCACCTTGTCGTCATCTGCGAGCTCGGTCGTGATCGTGTCGAGAGTATACTCTGTCATGGTTGCTTTTTCTGTTCGTTTATGTTGTTTTTCCGTGTTGAGGGTCGGTAGCGGTGGTAATAGATACGGTATTCTGGAGGAGTCCTTGTTGAAAGGGACTATGGGGAGGTAGAGTTACTACGGTAGGTACTGGGGAAGTACTCGAGTAGAGTTATGTATGATCAAGGAAATGATGGACACTGCTCAGATGAGTGATGACGTTCCTCCCCTTCCTCACATGTCCGTAGGGATGCCCCTCGTCCAGGCCCCGCTCTACTCTAGTTAGTGCTTATCGGCGTGAGGCTCAAGGCAGGGACATGGGGGAGGTATCTAGGCGCTGCATGAGGAATCGATATCCGCTTCTGTTTATCTACTATCATAGAGTACCGTAGATGACTGCGATGGACACTCTCTTCCCGAGCCTGTCTGCAGTCCAGATAGCTGGCTCGATGCAGCACCTTGTTTCCCTTTCCTGAGGGCTCCCGCCGAGCCGCCGAGAAGATGTGGAGTCTGCTAGGGAAAGTTCACGAAGATGACCGAGTCGATGGGATCCGCCTGTACTCGGCCGCAAGCCATGGAGTCTCCGCTTCACCTCCAACCAGCCCAGGAACTCATCGATATATCATATCCCTCTCGTCATCCGTTTCAGACAGCGAGCTGGCCACCTCCTCCTCGTCATCCGCCCCCAACGTCGTGTCTCAGTACGAATCAAGTAAACGTGCTGCTACCATTTGGTCTCCATCTTGACGGCAAAGGAAGATGCCTCTGAAATTGTCCTCATCAGCATAAATCTCGACAGTGTCCGAAGCCTGCTGAAGTGGTCGAGGGCGCTGGGACTAATCTCCTTATGTGGCGATACCCGTCGAGATGAGAATACCGGTATGGAGGGGCCATATACCTATACAGGTTTCGCAAAGAAATGCACAGCTGAGGACGATAGAGCTCTTATCACTGTTCCCAGTGGTACATACCTCTACGGACACCAGCCATATGTACTGTAGAGTACTACCTATACTAGCCTATCAACAGCTCTCGCCGCTCTTAACCCCACCTTACCGTACTCTGCAGCACCCTACAGTAGTTAATGTCCTCGCCGGAGCTCACCTCGCCGACCTGTCTCTCACTGCACCTACTCCCATACCCCACCTCACCATCACCGTGTCCCCCATCACCACCATCCTCCCCATCCCCCTCATCCCCCGCCATCCCCACCCCCCCCATCCTCATCGCAAGCAGCAATGACCCGCCTCCAATCCAAAAACTGCATCATCACGGGCGCGGCAGGCGGAATCGGCCTGGAGACATCGATCCTGTTCGTACAGAACGGCGCGAACATTGTCATGGCCGACGTGAACAAGGAGCAGCTTGACAAGGCCGTCGCCACGGTGGGGAAGTTTAACACCGCTGGGGCGAAGGTCGTGGGTTACGTAAGTACTCCCTCGAGGGGTGGATGATGGGGGAAGGGGTGAGGGGGTGGGGTGGGATAATGGAGGGTGGGGTTGATGGCAGTGTGGGAGTGCAGGTCTGCGATGTTTCCAAAGAGGACCAGGTCAAGGCCATGGTCGAGTCTGTCGACGAGTGGGGCGGTCTGGACGTCATCTTCAACAATGCCGGGATTATGCACGCACAGGTCTCTTCCCTCCCCCTCCGTTCCGCTCGCTCGCTCGCTGCACTCGCTGATACATAGGTACGTAGGACGACGACGCCATCAACACGCCCGAGGCGATCTGGGATCTCACGCACAACATCAACGTGAAGGGGGTGTGGTTCGGGTGCAAGCACGCGGTTTTGTCCTTCCGACGGCACAGCAAGCGTAAAGCATCAGTGATCAACACGGCCTCCGTCGTCGCACTCGTCGGGTCCGCAACCCCGCAGCTGGCGTACACCGCGTCGAAAGGCGCAGTCCTAGCACTGACGCGGGAGCTGGCGATCGTGCACGCGCGCGAGGGGTTCCGATTCAACAACCTGTGTCCGGCGCCGCTGAACACGCCGCTGCTTCAGGACTGGCTCGGTGACGATGCCGCGAAGAGGCAGCGCCGCGAGGTCCATTTCCCCACGGGAAGGTTTGGTGAGGCCATTGAGCAGGCGCATATGGTCGTCTTCTTGGCGAGTGATGATGCGAGCTTTGTTACTGGACAGGAATTAGTCGTGGATGGTGGGATGAGCAAGGTTGGTTCCCCCCCCCCCTCCCCCCCGAAAAGGAAATGGGGATGGAGATGTGTGGGTAGGCAGTGGCTAATCATGGTTGGTACTCGGTACTATAGGCATATGTCACCCCCGAAGGCCCGCCAACTGCTGCACCGAAGAACAATGCATTGATTCAGAACCCCCACGGCCCGTAGACGAGTACCCGCTGAATGGCCTCCGTATACAAAAATAGCTTAGGACTGGTAGCAGGTGTTGAATCGAGCGTATATGTTTTTTGTACCTTACTTGAAAGTCACTCCTGGTGTGAACAAATGGGACCACTTGATACACTTCACAACACGCATTCTTTCGACCGCGCCCAAATTTCCAAATTTTGTGTTCGCAGCAATGTGATCTAACAACAAACTCCGCATACCCACCCACCAAAAGAAACCCACTCACCCTTCCAAAACCGCCTCTCTACGCCTTGGTAACGTACATGTCGACGTACTCATCGACACTCATCTTCTGCAGCGCCTCCAGGTTCTCGCTGGCGGCGTAAATTCTATCCGTCTGCTGCTGCCCGAGTCTTCCAGCGACGTGACGCTTGAACTTCTCCACGAGCAGGGGGATTCCCTCCGCGCGGCGGAACTTGTGGCCGACGGGGTACTCGACGGCGACCTCTGGCAGCTCGGTGCCGTCCTTAAGGGTGACAAGGAGGGCGTTTCCGATGGAGCGCTTATCGGGGTTGTGGTACTCGAGGGAGTAAGTCTTATCCTCGACGCACTCCATCTTTGCGCGGAGCTCGTCGATGCGCGGGTCCGCCGCGATGTCGTCGTTGTAGTCGGTGGCGGTGAGGCGGCCGTAAATCAGCGGGACGGCGACCATGTACTGGATGCAGTGGTCGCGGTCGGCGTAGTTGTTGAGCGGGCCCTTCTTGTCGATGATGCGGACGGCGGCCTCCTGCGTGCGGATGCGGATCGATGCGATGTCGTCTGAGGACTTGCCAAGCTTCTTGAGCTGGCCGTGCAGCGTCATGGCGGCTTCGCACGCCGTCTGGCTGTGGAACTCGGCCGGGAACGAGATCTTGAACAGAACGTTCTCCATCACGTAGCTGCCGTATGGCCGCTGGAACTTGAACTCGTTGCCGTTGAAAAGTACGTCGTAGAAGCCCCAGATCTTGGCGGTGAGCACCGACGGGATCCCCTGCACACCGCCGTTCTTGACCATGAGTGCCAGGTTGACCGCACGGGAGCAGGCATCGCCGGCCGCCCACGACTTGCGGGACATGGTGTTGGGTGCGTGACGGTAGGTCCGCAAGGACTGGCCGTCGACCCACGCCTGGGACACGGCATCAATCGTCTGCTCCTTGGTCAGGCCGAGGAGCTTGGACACCACGGCGGTGGTAGCGACCTTGACGAGGACGACGTGGTCGAGGCCGACGCGGTTGAACGAGTTCTCAAGCGCGAGGCCGCCCTGGATCTCGTGCGCCTTGATCATCGCCTCGAGAACGTCCTTGATGGTCGGGACCGGCCCGCCGTTGGCCTTGTTGGTGCGGGCAAGCCAGTCCGCGACTGCGAGGATGCCGCCAAGGTTGTCGCTGGGGTGGCCCCACTCGGCCGCCAGCCAGCAGTCGTTGTAGTCTAGCCAGCGGATAGCCGTGCCGATGTTGAAGGCGCCTCGGATCGGGTCTAGCTGGTAGGGGGTGCCGGGGACTTTGGTGCCGTTGGGGACGACGGTTCCTGTGTCGCTGTGAGTATTCTGCCATCCACCAAAACTTGGAGACAAGACAGCGTACCCTCAACAACCGGGCCTAAAAGCTTGGTGCACTGCTCAAAGTTCAATGCCTCCAGTCCGCACCCAAGGGTATCGATCAAACACAGACGGGCGGTCTCCCACTATCACAGTAGACATGTCAATTGCGATCCTCCTGCGCATCCCCACAAAGGATTGAGCATCTTACAGCCAAATCGGACTTGATCTCGTAGTCGTGAACATAGTCGGCGATGTCCTGCACGACCTTGTCGACGGCAGGCCTAGTGTTGTCCGCGGTGGGAGCGGGGATGGCGTGGGCACTCATTGTCGACGAGAAGCTGCGTACACTGCTGAAGGCAGGCGCGAGTTTTGCGAGCGGAGTGGAAGTGCTGGTGGAAGCAGGTTGCCGAGCACCGGTAGCTATCCGGAGCAATGCAGGAGCGGGGCTGGCACGAGGGACGACGACGCTGCGAGCAATAGCGGACCGTGTAAGAGAACGAGCGAGCATGATGTAGTGTTTGTGGGACAATATACTCTGAGCTGGAAGCCTGACTGGAGTGAGTCCGATCCGTTTTCTTTTATAGTGATGCTTTTTGGGTGGGGAGTGGGGGAGGTGGGGACGGGATGGCGGGGAGGGCAAGGCGGGGGGAGAGGGCGGAGAAAGGATATGTGCGCTCGACCCGAACGTTCGTTGGCTGTAACCACCACTGCCTCCACGTCCCTGTAGTTACGGCCACCCACGATTGCCGGCGACAGCCGCTCCCGGGGGTACGACCGAGGAAGGGCGAACGGACTGTACCTCCTCCCTCCAAGCCCACAACTCGTCAGCTTCCCCACGTCCGCTGGCCGAGTGCAGGCAGCTTCCTCTTCCACCGAAGCCTGCCAACCTGGAGCTCTAAGGGTTAGGTCAATGCTTCCGGCACGGTGCCGAAACAAGCCCGCAAACATGTGAAGCTCCAGTGCTCCACCCCCTCATGTAGGCAGACGGCTAATATATAAATCTACAGTAGTCCATCCGCCTGAACTTCGCTTCGCATATTGGTCGACATGCGATTTGTTTTTGAGTATATTCACACCCTGACCCTTAACGTCGATCATCAATCAATGCTATGTACGCGATGGTTGAGACCATGGCGTGTCACTCGAGCGCTTGGCTTCAGCATTGGCATCGATATCGGCAGATTGGTAGTCTGTATGCGACAATAAAATGATGTTCTATCTCTCGCTCGGATTGGCAGCCTGCACCGCTGGCGATGGAAGAGGGATTGAGTGGACAACAGGTCAGACAGTTATTGATGACGAGGCTACATTTGTGCATTTGGGACCAATACCAGTGCGGGGGCTGGAGGGCTAGATGTATCATGTACCCACCACACTGCATGCTGCAGAGAACCCATGGGAGAATTGGCTGAGGTAACAACTCGTATCATGTACACATCGAAGGATGGTGATCGGCGGGTACGGTCACGATCCTTTTAATCAGAGCGCCGATTCGATTCGCAGTTGGCTGCATCTCAGGCATTCCTACTGTCCCATCGAGATATACAGCGAGTGATACGGGGTGGACTCGCGCTGCTATCCTGGAGCTCCTGGATTGTAAAGGGCAAAGAGCTAGGTACGCGTATACTCGTTCAATCTGTGAACGTCGTGATGGGTTCACTCGGAATCAGGCCAACGTCGGGCTCGCTGCACTGTAAACTGCCGCCGGCACACGACATACGTCGCTCTGGTTGGTTCACTCGCCCACGGCAAAGCACATGAGAAATCGCTATTGATTTCCAAGCTGCACCAGCCGAGTACATCTGGCCCGCCCTCTCCCCCAAGAACTAAAAGGTGAAAATGAAAAGTGATATGTAAGAGACGCAACGCACCGCCTCGAAACGAAACCGGGTTACTTCAAACAGAGGTATGAGGGATCGAACGACATGACACAAGAAATCATCCGCGCGCGCAAATCAGTCCCACGACCTCTTGATCTCGAAAGTCCACTTGAAGGACAGGTGCTCCTTGTGGTCGTCGTCCATGAACTTGCTGAGCGCGTCGTAGGTTCCGCGGTAGAGCATTCCGGCGGGGGCCTCCTCCTCGGCAACTATTAGGAGCACAGGATCAGCTCTCATTCCAAACAACGAAACGCCTTGGAGATGACGCGAACTTACAGGTCTTCTCGTAGAACGGGTTCTCCTTGGTGTTGGGACCGTAGCTTCCCTGTTGAACAGTTAGCATCACTCCTGCAGATGTCAAGGTATATCGGACAACCCACCATCATCTGGTCCGACTTGTCGACGGGGATCTTCTTCCTCTTGACGAGCTGGAGGTATCTCAAGCCCGAGATGACCTCGTGCTGAACTCTGAACTTGACCCTCATCCGGTACTCGGAGCCCTCCTTGATGGTGAACGGGTTCTCTCCGAGCTTCTCGACGGCGCTCGTCTCGTCAAGGTTGATCACGACATCGGGACGTCCGTTGATGAGGAGAGCGAGCTCGAGAATGACAACCTACAAAGCCACAGTCAGCAAAACACGGTAGATGAAAACGCACAGTGCACATCAACGGGTATCTGCATATCGGATGCAGGCGCCGGTACCATCGAGGATGAGTGCGGGGGGTGGAGGATCTTACTGTGCGCTTGTCACCAGGTTCTCCGATGGAGCCTTGAGCTGCAGCTGCTCCGACACCGAGAGACTCCTTCCAGCGGGCGAGGGATTCATCGTGGGCATCTATAATCCGGCAGGAATTGAGTCAGCGGCGGGCTCGGCAAACGAACGGTATCTCGTCATCTCGTTGGAGACTCGGAGAGCGGGGCGGAGGTGCGGTAGGTTTGTTCGGAAGCTCGAGGAGATGACGGACCTAGGTTTGCATACTCGGCGACAGACTTCTTCTCGCCAACCTTGTATCTGAATGTTCCTCAATCAGTCGAAGATCAATAAGAAGATGAAGTTGATTGCGGCGATGATGGGGAGATGTCAATAGACAAAGCAGCGGTCAGTAGAGCTATGCTTACCCTTCGGTGACGGAAGGCTTGAGTTCGTCGTCGGCGTGGGCAGACATGGCGATGTGTTGAGATGAAGCAGTGAGGAGTAATGAGGATCTGTGTCGATGGGAAGGAAGAAGGATGAAGGAGGGAGGGAGGGGAGGGTTGTTGGTTGCGGTGATGGATGGGGCTCAGCGGTGTTGTTGTGATGGGTCGAGGACAAGAGGGGAGAAGGATTAAAATGTCAGACCGCGGTGTCTTGCACCTCTCGCTCTCACCTCACGCAGCACGCTCTCCCCCTTCTCTCCCCTTCTATCACTCAACGCTCTCTCCCACGCATTGACTCTAACTACATCTGTATTTCTGCGGCAGAAGCCAGCTTGGGGGTCGCTTCTTTATGCTGGGGGTTCTTACCAGCAGCAGCAGCAGTGGCTGGTGAGCACCTGGTGGTAGCTGCATCTACAGAGCGCTCTAGTGATAATAGCAGTATCTCTAGTATCTCTACTATCTACAACTCAAACGCCCGCCTGCTTAGACAGCGGTGCCATCCGCGTTGCGGGCAAGGCACTCCGCTTTCATCGCGATCGCAGAAGCCTCTGGTGCGTGGGCATGTGCCCTCCGACCTGTCGCTCTGTGTGTACCTGCTTACTTTGGTCGACGATCGAGGAGATAGCACGATTCGGGCTGGGCGGGTCGTCAGTCGTCAGGCCTAAGGGTTCTCAGCAATCCAGAGCGGCCGTTGTCGTGACGAGCGAGAAGCGGGGAACGAGGGGTTGCATTGGATAACATGTACCCAGCAATGGGTCTAGCTGCATGGGAGTGCCTATCCCAGCCGGAGTCCAGAGCACGGGTACCTCGCTGTGTGTATGGTGCTCGAGATGCAGTGGTTGCCCCGGCAACGGTCATTGTTGTTGTTCTTGGACCCCGTGACCGAAACTACGCCCTTACTTTCCCGCCCGCCCCGCAAGTAGAGTGCGGAAATTGGCGGGAGAAACTGGACAGCAGCACTCCAGCAGAACCCGTCAACAGACCGCTGTGAAGAATCTCTCCGCTGCCCACGATATCCTCCACTTCTCACTCACCGCTCCCACCCCCACTTGTCCGCGCAGAGACCAATAGGCAATCGCTCCCGAAGCATACAACGCAGCGGAGGGAAGGTGAATAGAACGGAACAACACAGCACTCACGCACGCACACGTTCCACTGCTCAAGGACCCTGTCTATCTGGCTAGACCCGTCCCCCATTGCCCGTCCCCCAAACCCTCTGCAACTCCTCCGGTCTGCATAAACCTTTTCTCCCAACCCCAACCAGCTGCCAACCAACCTACATCGAGCTACATCCTCAACCCCCCCTCTCCCCACTGCCAGAAAGCGCACAATCCTAACCCCAAAGCTGAACTCCCGACGTTTCCAGGTCCCAGGACTCACGCTACCCTGACTACTCCACACTCTCCATCCATTCCACATTATCCGCTACCATTTACCCACTATCATCACTGGAATACTTCCCTCTCTTCTTTACTTCTTGCTTCTCGCCCCATCCACATCCTACCCTCTATATTCCCGCCGCTTCGGTCCCAACATAACCCGTCCGCTCTGACCCATCATCGCCCATCGCGAAGAAAAAAAAAGCGCCCGAACCCGACCAGACGCGCATCGCTCACTCTCCCCTACCCCGATCATCTGTCGACAGAACTATGCGTTTAGCATCCACCGCCGCCCGCGTCCTACCGGCGCGCCCGAACCCAGTGCTGAAGAGCCCTCCATCGTGTACGTGGCCCTTCTCCTCCCTCACCTACAACCCCCCTGGTCCGCTACCCGGTTTGGCGACCGAGGAGACACAGCGCGTGCGCGCGCATCTGTGAACATTCGTGACGACATGGCGTCATCACTCGCTTCGACTCGTGGCGCTTCCTTGCTGACGATGAATGTTCCGTCGCGCGCGCAGTCAATGAACTCGTTGAGAATCGTCGCCTCGGCCAGACGAACCTCGGAGAGAAGGCTACCAGCAACAGTGGCCCGTTCAGCTATGTGCACCTGCGCGTGTCGCTTCCTCAGAACCTGGAGGGTCAAGAGCTCTTTGGGGCTGGCGCTCCCGAGTCGTACTTTTTGATGCGCAGGAGCAAGGACGGCTTCATCAGTTCAACTGGAATGTCAGTCTCTTCCGCTCTCTCCCTCCTCTCCCCCAGTCCGTCCAATTTGTGGCTCGGGTTCTCGGCCTCGCGGCGTCGCAGAAAAACAAATTTCCGGCCAACCCTTCCCGATGATTTCTGGATCTGGACTGGGGTCGTTTGGGGTCGATATTTTGGCAAAGAAGAAAGGAGAAATTGACACCCTGTGTTGAAATTTAGGTTCAAAGCATCGTTCCCGTGGGCTAAAAAGGCTGAAGAGGAGGCCGAGAAGCAGTTCGTCAAGGCCCACTTTCCTAACACTTCCAAGATCGAAACCGCAGGGAACCTTTGGGTAGATCCCGTTGATGGTGAGTCGCATGCGTCATTCCCCACTACCACCACCGCTACCACCGCTACACCCCCTTCTTTCTTCCCTCATCCTTCATCTTGTGAACACTCCATGAACTTTCGACTAATAACTTTTCGACAGCATTGATTTTGGCCGAAGAGTACGCAATCGCCTTACACCCGAAAGCAACACCGAAGAGGTGAAAATAGAATAAGAAAAAGCGGAGCACTAATAGAATCCTGCAGATACGGAGTCAAGCCTTGGATCGAAGCTCTCCTTGATAACGAACCCGTTGTCCCATCCGACCACCGCAAGCGCACCATCACCCCACCGCCGCCTTTCTTCCGACAGGCCGAATCCGACGCCGGATCAGTTGCCTCATCGACCGCACCTCCATCCGCCGGCACGCGCAGACGATCCACGCGATCAATGTCTCCCGGAAAGCGAATCATGACCCCACGCAAGTCCCGCGCGTCGAAGGTGGCATCTTCTAAGGACAGCCCGTTGAAGAAAGAGATGGGTGCGATTTTGGAGACGGAAGAGACCAAGACGGTCACCACCGAGTCCACTGTTCTCGCTTCTACAGCGCCCATTATTCTTGCTTCCACAGCCCTCGCGGACGCCGTCGAAAACGGGCCGAGCGTAACGACGCCGGTCAAGAGGGAGGTAGCCACGTTCAAGGTGGAAGTGGACGAGGAGGTCCAGACGACCGACGATGGTGAAACGAAGATTACCCACGTCAAAGTGGAACTTCCGGCCGGCGAGCCCCCGTCCTTCGAGTCCACCGAGGACATGATCGAGAAGGCGCGGGCCATGGTTGCCGAGGCGCGGATTGTTGACGGCGAATTCACGCCGGTCATCAAGCGGAAGATGGAGGACATCGAGGATGCCGAGGAGCAGGACCAGTCCGAGGAGGACGATGAGGAATCCAAGGAGCGGAAAGCCAAGCGCACAAAGGTGCTCGAGGACCAGCTCAGGCGAGAGAAGGTCAAGAACAGGGCGCTGCTTGGACTGTCGGCCACCCTGGCCATTGGGTACGTCTCCGCATATCTCCGCCTGGCACGGAAAATGACTAATCCCGTACAGGGCTCTACTCCCTTATGTGCTGTAAGGGTGCACCGAGAACGAGGGGAATCGAAAAGCGTAGAGCCCACGGGGGTGTTCAAGCACACCTGAACATCCATCCGTTGGGCCACGCGATGCCTGTATCAAGTGAGCATGTGGATGGCAGATTGTTTTCCTTTTTTCCCTTGGACCTCGTCGTGCTTTGCTACGGTTAGTTGTTTTTGCGAATCTTTTATATTCCTTTTAACTTGTTTTTGTGACTCTTTCTGAAGGCGTCAGAGGGGGGTGATTGGATGTGCGTCTCTTTTTTTTCGGTGATGGGGAAGACTCTTTTCGGTCGTTTCTGGTGGCAGATTTATTGTGCTGTTTTTTTTTGGTTCTATTGGTTTTGGTTTGTTGTATGATCCTCTCGGTTCTCATTATAGGCACTACATATATCTCTACTTCTGCTCCTGCTCCGGCTGTATGCTGTATGCTGTATGGTTCTACGTTGGCAATGGCAATGGCAATGGCAATGAAGTCTCGAATGCCTGATACCGGTACCGTAGGGAGACGTTCGAAGTGATGGACGAATTGTGGCCGGTTACATAGCTGCATGGATTAGCTATGATGGCTTGGAGGAGCAATCTATCGCTGAAGGGAATGGGAGCTATGTACCTACCATACATACCGGAAGTGTGGGGGTGGCGTCATGAATGTGGTTGATCAAGATTCAAGCGCGATCGACTACTCTCCATACCCACATAGGTTGTCAAGATTTCTGGGGCATCAAGCGAGTTATCATAGATGCTCCACACATGTCACAAACACATGTCACAGCCATCTCGTTCTCCAGTCCCGTGACGTAGGTATGTAAACAAACCCTGTAGATACTGTAGAGTACTGTACCCCACAGCTCCAGACTCCAGACCCGCTCTCATCCCAGGTATGAGGTATGTACCACCGTACATCATAGAGTTGTTTATACGCCATGCAGCTGCGACTCTGTGAGGAGGCGAGAAGGCGAGAAGGCCGATTCGCTCGCCTCTGGAGGTGTGAAGGCAAGGTACATACGGTATCTATATAGAGTGGGGATTCCCGATGGCTGATGGCCGATGGGAAGTTCTCATCTATGTACCGGTATGATGTATGTAAGCGGAGATGGGTTGCGGCATATGTTGTGTTCAGAGGGAGTGAGGATGGACGGGAGGAAGGGAGCCATGGGCGGGGGAACGGAGGGGCGGGAGAGGCGGGGGTATACGGCCACAACACCACCGCTCTCGGTGATGGGCAAAGTTTGAGGCAACTTGATTCACATGAAGGAGCCATTGGATGTCCCCACGAAAATGGGACTAAAGCCCTCTAATCCGGCCTTCGGGTCAGGGATCTATATCCTCCACAATCTGACTACTCTGCTCGGCTACTCCCGAACTGCTCGTTCGCGGGGAAGCTCCATCCTCCGGAGTCCGGGGATGTAACACACTACTTCGGTTGTGCTCGGCCACATGCGGCGTTTGAAGGTGCATTCCCACTGCCATTGCCATAGCTGCTGCTGCAGTCAAGTCAGCTCGCCATCCTCCTGTTGGTTACTCGTCACAATGCCAATCCACCACCTCCTCTTCCGCCGCACGTTTTCATCCACGGTGCGTAGAGAAGCTACGTACGGCTTCATCGGCTTGGGGAAGATGGGCCTGCCGATGGCGCGGAACCTGCGGCAGAAGCTGCCAAAGGACGACACCGTCTACGTCTACGACGTGAACACGTCCGCCACCGCCGCGTTCGCGGGCGAATTCACGAGCGGCGTCGAGGTGGCCGAGAGTGTAGCGGAAGCGGTAGCTTGCAGCGTTGGTCCCCGCCATTCCATTCGCCGGCCTCGAGGAGGAAGAGGAAGATAGCTGACACCCCCTAGGAAACCGTGATCACGATGCTTCCAGAGCCCTCGCACGTCGCTTCGGTATTCTCTGCGATCGCCGCATCGAACCCGCCCCCTCCCCCCTCCGGCGCCCAACGCCTCTTCGTCGACTCCTCAACCATCGACATCCGCACGTCGTTGTCGACTTCGCGGCTCGTCGCCTCCCCCGCCATCGCGGGCGCATTCGTCGATGCCCCCGTTTCCGGGGGCGTAGTCGGTGCGTCGGCGGGTACACTCGCCTTCCTCGTCGGCTGCCCGCCCGAGCTGCTGGAAAGGGTCGAGGGGGTGCTGGCGCACATGGGCAGCCGCATACTGCACTGTGGCAAGCCCGGTGCCGGGCTCGCGGGGAAGCTCGCGAATAATTACGTCCTGGCGATTAGCAATATTGCGGTTGCGGAGGCGATGAATCTCGGCCTGAAGCTGGGGCTGGACAGTAAAGTGCTCAAGCAGGTTATTAACTCGTCCAGTGGCAGGTGCTGGGCGAGCGAGGTTAATAATCCGGTCGATAATGAGGCGAAGGGATTTGCGGGGGGATTTGGGACACCGCTTATGCTGAAGGATCTCAGGTTGGCGGTGAAGGCGGCGCAGGAGAGTGGCGCAAGACTGGAGATGGCGGAGAGGGCGGAAGGGGTGTATCAACAGGTCGTGGAGAAGGAGGGGGTGAAGGACTTTTCCGTGGTGTATAAGTGGTTGAAGGAGGCGAAGTGATGAGGTTTGTATGTGTAGAGGAATGGAGATACCAGTTTGCTCACGTTGTGGCCGGGCTGGACAATGGGGTTGCCGGTTTGGCTTGCAGATAGGGAGCGATACGAGATGGATATGGCTCAATATCTAAGTCCTTTTTTAGAGATCAGCCATACTGCGCATATGGTACACCTCAGAGGTGCAATCACCGCACAGGAGCCTTGACATTTGCCCAGAAGCTTAATTCCTCACAAGTATCTGGTGGCATCAGACCTCGGTTTACACTTCAAAGGCTTTCCTATCGCTACGAGTTTGGGCATTCAATATGCTCCACAGCAGCAAGAATGAACGAGATAGACGGTCGAAAGTTCTCCGTGGCGCCTCCGAAGCCGAGATTCATGGTGATAATCAGTGAACCTCGCGAGAACCCTGTCATGCACGCTAAGCACCCGAGAAGTCTTGACACTTTTCGTGTTGATTATGGATGGCATCACCGACCTGATCCCACGCCTCACTGACTGTGATTGACGCATTTCACGATATCTTGTCAACACTTCTAACAAGAGGTACTAGTGCTTCTTGTGCACGGCTCGCCAAGCTTCTAATTGTGCTCTGTGTAGTAATTACTAGCTTGCCACGGTTTGGCGACGCGTCGCTGAACAGGTAACTAGCCACCGTGCCGTATCCGTCCATCGCGAATCCATTCACGACGACTCACGCGGCGACATCATACCTTCACGGTGCGCCCCCGTCGATCGCAAATCCATTTACGACGTCTCATCCGTCGACATCACATCTTCGCAAATAACCCCCACCGACTCAACCACTTAGGTTCAGCGCCTCAAACGGCCGCTTTAGCAAACATGACTTCACCTTCTGGACTCCTCGCACAACCACCACCCGCAATATCAACACCCGACATGCCCAAACGCAAGACGACCACGGTCGTCAGTTCCCAGCCCCCGAAACGAGCTGCCGGCGCTATCAGCAACGGCGGTGGTACGGGAGCGACTCCCCGGGTGCAGATGCTCCAAATCAACCGTTCGGATGGTACGGAGGTTTGGCAGGAGGGGGACAATGGGCCGACGCCGGATATGTTCGATGACGCGCCGGACGAGAAGGGCGGCCAATGCTACATGCGGCCCATTGGGCAGAACGAGAGGAAGAGCCTGGAGTGGCTCAAGTTCCTGGCCGAGGGCGTGCTGATGGAGGCATCGACGGATGAGGCCCACAAGAAAGCATTTAGGGAGGGGACAAAGTTCTTCTTCGTGGCGTTGCCGAAGGGGTACAGGCTCTACGAGCAGGTGAAGATCACGGTATGCTATCTGCCTGTCCACTGCTGCAACCAGTGATCGGTGCTGACGGATTTAGGTTGGCGAGAACGCAAAGACGAGGCGCGACACCTACCTCTACGGCCACCCCAAGGGTCCGCGCAAACGGTACCGGTCGCCCGCGGATTTCCTCCCGCACGTCAAGTGGCTGGCGCTCGATACAACGCTCAATCCCGCCAATTGCTCATGCGGCGCCTGCAAGGGTGGACCGCCGCCGCTGCCGCCGCCACAGGCACTTCTCCAGGGACCGTCGCCGCCAGCTTTTGTGCCCCCGGCGATTCCTCCGGCCGTCCCCTCTCCGGTGCTTCGCAAGCAAGCTGTCCCGACCACACGCCGGGCCGCAGCCGCCGCCGCGGCTGCCGCTGCGGCTTCCGCTGCGGCCGTCCAGTCGCCAGTGCTTGTGCAGTCGCCCATGCCTGTGCAGTCGCCCATGCCTGTCCAGGCGCCAGTGCCAGGGCCCGGACCCCCCGCGGCAATGCCGTATGCCGCACCACATCCGCCCGTTCGGCCGATGATGCTAGTGAATAGCCTTATGACGAGCCCGACTCGCTTGGAGAGGGAGCACGACCTGCATTTCCCCGGGCTTGACATCTACCGTTTCGGCGAGATGGTGTGGTTCCAGATGCACCCGCACTGGGCTATCGGAGTTGTCGTGGAGGTGCCGGCCTTAGCCGACAGCCATTACAAAATCCAGCCGCTGCATTCAGCACTGCTGTGCGAGCAAACCCAGCCACATACCGATATTTCGTCGATTAGACTCCGTCCCTGGGTCGCCTGGAGCACCCCGCCAATTACGAACCCGAACTTGGATCGCGGCGGAAAAGTGGACTACGAGAATCTACCTTGGCAGCAGGAGGCCCATTCCGGCTCGGTCGAGGTTGATGCTAGTATCATCAAGTCCCGAGATGTCGATATCTCGTTTTCACTGATTGATAAACTTACCAACCAGAACCACTACGCGGGTACGTACTACGGCGCCGAACGCTTCTGGATCGGCGATGCCGTCCGTCTCAAGGCTAGTAGAACTAGCAATCTCGAGGTCGTCTCCGGCCGCGAGATCATGGTCGTGGTCTCGATCCAAGACACGACGCCCACCGCCCCGGCCGGCGTGCGCACTCGCCAGACGGGCGTGATAGTGACCGGAGACGTGTACCGGCTCGAGAGCCACAGCCAGCTGATGCCGCCACCGGCGGAGCTCCCCGCCGCCGTCGGCGCCGACCTTTCTGCTCGGAGCAGATTCGTCATCGCCAGTCCGGAAGCGCCGTACTGGACGTACACGCTCGTTGCGCGGCACCTCACCGTCAAGCTCGAAGACATCAAGGGCCGCTGGTACCCCGGCTCGAGTCTGTTCCGGATCATGCAGGGCCACGAGCGGTTCCAGAAGCTGGTCGAGACCCGCGGCCTCTCGCTCCAGGAGTGGGACGAGACCGGTTCGAAGATGAACGAGATGGGCACGGGAGGCAGTGGCTCGCTGCTCGGATATCGCCGCTATGAGCACCGCCACCAGGCGTTTCACAAGGCTATCCCCAGTGCTGTCGTGTTCACGCCGCTCCTTCAGGAAAGCATGGCTATCGAGAATAATATGCAGTCGCTCGGTCTGGCTTCCGCTGAGCAGCTGCCGAATCCGGCTGTGCAGAATATGCACGCCCACTCGATCAACCCCGCCTCCCCCATCATCGACCTCACCGGCGACGATAACGAGGGCATGGAGTTCCTGGCCGACCACGACTCCGTCGACGAAGAGTTCATGAAGCGCATGGGTGAGGATGCGGCTAGCTTCCTTAACAACGACGGCGACTTTTATGGCGGCCTCTAGTCAGTTAATTGCTGGATGGATGGAGGATCGAGAACAGCGAGCACGTGCTATACAATGTTGATGCTCGCCCGGTTTTCGGAGAGTTAAAATGCATTTTTTCCTGGTTGTTTTCTTCTCTGTGTGTGTGTGTGTGTTTCTTTTTCTTCAGGGGTTCCGGGAGCAATGTTAGATGATGCGGTTTACCTTTTTTTTATCAGGGCGTTTTCGTTTTCTTCTCTTCTGTCTGTCTGTCTGTCTGTCTGTCTGTCTGTCTGTCTGGGGCATTCTTGTTTATCGCCTCTTGTGGCTTGTGCCTGCGGCTTGTGCTGTGGATTTCATTATAGGGGTTCGGGATTTTGTTTTTATGATATCATCCGCTGGGTGTGAGGCCTGGCCCACTCACTTGCCATGTGCTCTGGGGGAGACGGGATGGGATGGTGTAAGTTGCGAAGGGGGGGGTGGAGCCTCGAAAGTATGATAGTGGAAGTGATTGGGGATTGTATGTAGAGTACCCAGATGAGACGGAACGGATACGGATCTTTGTAATGCCGTGCAAGTGGGAAAGGTTCATGGTGTTTCGCGGGATACGGATTTTTGGGACGAAATGGCAATGGCAGTGGCGAAACACGCAATTGATCGTTTCACTGGCACGAGCAAGATAAATAACCTCCTATATTTTCTATTGCATATTAACCCAACATTTTTATGGACTCTATCGTCGCCTTCTAATGGTATATGCACTCTGTATCAGTCCTCGCCAGCGTCTACGCCTTCGTCCCATTCACCAACTTCCCCCCAGTGCACTCCTCCTCCATCGTCTTCACGGCATTACACTCCTCGACCATCGTCTTCACCGCACTAGCCTCCCTCACGGCCGCCTTGACCGCGTTCCCGTCCTTAACCATCCCCTTCAACTCTCCCAACAGGAACATGAGGAAAACGGCGGCAATTTCAGTGCCGTGATGTCCATTCTTCAGCCGCGCCATCATCTCCTGCCACTCCGCCATGGAGAATATACCCGCGTCCCGCCGCACCGTCAATATCTCCGCCACGATCTCGGGCGTGAACTCCGGGTGCCCCTGCACGCTGATGTACCGTCCCCGCGCTTCGTCGAACATCCCCTGGATCGCGCAGCGCGAGCTGCTGCCCAGGTTCACGGCGCCCCTGGGAAGCGCGGTGACAATGTCGCGGTGCATTTGGTTGATGCTCTGGGACCGCTGGCTGTTAGCAGTTGTGGTCGTAGACAGTAAGAGCGGGGGCGGGGGCGGAGGGGGTAGCGCACCAACACATCCCGCCCAAAGATCTCCCTCCCAGCGTGCGTCATATGCACGTTTGACACACTGGCCTCCCACCCATCGCCGCGGCGGACCTGCACGCCAAGGGCGCGCGCAATGATCTGGTGGCCGAAGCAGACGCCGACGACCTTGACTTTTTTGTGGTGGTGCAGCACGTCGCGGACGAACGCCACCAGTTCCACGATCCACGGCGTGTCGTCGAAGGCGCTCGCTCGCGAGCCGGTGATGATTATGCCGTCGAGCTGGGCGAGCGCGGATGTGCTGGGGAAGGTGCCCCCCACGGAAATGGCGTGGTATGAGAGAGAGAGGGAGACAGGCGGGATCAGGGTGTGCGCTGCTTGGTTGAGCACTGAACTGAATACCCCCCCGTAGCTGCCGTGACGCTGGGCGGTGCCTGCCAAAGGCACGTCCGCTTCGATTATCGCGATGCTGAGTTGCCGGGACATTGTGGTTGTTGGTAGTGTGAGTGTTAGTGTTGGTGTAGGTATTGTTGTTGCTGCTGCTGTGGCGGAAAGGTTGAAGAGATGTGCTGAGGTGGAGGTTGGGTTCCCGGGTCTCGACAGCTTGCTATGACTCCATGCTTATCAAGCCCGGTACTAGTTAGCATACATAGCTCGGCAGCTCCCCTTCAAATCAGCGACCTGGCCACAAGCGGGCCTTGGCAGGGCAGGGAGAGGACCCGCTGGAAGCCTGTTTGAAGGACCGGAACTTTCGTATCTGGGATCCATGGAGACGAGAACAGAGAAATCGGTGGTCGACATGTCTCTCCCTCATCGATTTGACGGAAAACGTTCTATGTCTGACGTGTGCGTCGAATCTAGATTCCTTCCTTCAGTGAGACGCAACGTATCGTTGGGGCGATCAGCGGTGCCAGGTCTGGTCAGTGGTCTCACGAGCCATTGCTCCATGAGGTTAGCACCGTTTCCGTTTCCCTCAGCCCTGAAAGTTGAGGAAGCTTCTTCCGCTAAAGCTAAAGCTTTTGGATTGGATTGGATGCAGCCCAAAACTTCTAGAAGCTGTCATGGGTCAGTCATCTCAATCGCAATCTCGTACGACCGTCGTTGTGCTTCTGTGCTTTTAGGTGTTTAGGTGTCTCAATCATCACATCAAACCAATCACGACTCCGCCGTCGCCGGATCTCTCTTCTTTGCGAACGGTTCGTCTGATCTCTCAACTTCCAGCCCCCACCGACTCCACCCCTCACACCCGCCAGTCAGGCTTCGCGGAATCTAGATCTTCAGGTCGCCGACCCAATCGGCGCGACCCGAGATGTGCGGCGGAGCGTCCAGATCTCACGGGCATTTTATCCCGATGCGGACAACTGCGGAAGAACGTGATGAGTTCGTACAATAAGCTTTTTCGCTTGGGGCGGGCGGGGCGGGCGCTGGGCGGGGTGGGGGTGGGGGTGGACACTGGACACCGGAGAATCGACATGTCATCCGTGTTATTAATAACCCCCACAAAAATGAGGAGAAAAATGTGAGAAAGACCAGGCTTGACGCCGAGACAGTCAGCGAACGACTGGCCGGCCGACCGATCCGGGGGAATCGGGCTGTGTCGGTCGAGGGATTCGGATTCCGAAGGATCGAAGGACGCAGATTAAATGGTGAATAACTAGAGAACAGGTTTATGCGCCATTCTCTCTGCGTATAAATTTTCCATCGGTAGCGGGGCAGGTGGTGATGTGTGGGACGCAGGGTTTTGGGTACGGATACGTTCTGATCGCGAGCGTTGGGCTGGGGAAACCTACAGATGAAGGAATACACATCTGATATATCAGAAATTCCTTCTATGTAGACTCCGGAGATGGTTGGGTACTCGAAGGGTCCCACGGTGGGATGGAGCGGATGAAGAAACGGATGAAGGACGAGGAGGAGGAGGGGCGAAGAAATACTCATACATGCATACGAGTACCTAGGAAAAGTACATGCCCGCAAATGAACATGATCATCGTTCTTCACGCCCCGCTGGAGCCTGGATTCTTCATCCATACACACATACGCAACCTCTGCGGTGCATCACGTAAACGCTAGCGCCTTGGCTTCGAGGTTGGGTATCCTCTCCAGATCCTCCAGCAGTTACATAAGTATGTACTTGGTACCTGGTACCTAGTTTAACTGGGTGGAGCCAACGAACTGGTTCAGTTCGCGGGTAGATTGTATGTGCTATGTAGGCAGTTCAGTTGGGTTCTCAGGCGTCAGATCTTCAAGCGGTGCAGTTTGCGTGTGATTTGTAGCCTAGGTACCAGTTAGGTATCAGGTAAGTAGTTTAACTGTTTAACTGCTCACACTGGCGGTTGGAAAGAGGGCTTGTCATGTCAGGACGGTAGGTATCCGTCAGCTGACATTTCCATTCTCTCGGACGATACCTGAGTACCTGCTTGCACGGAAAATTCCAGCCGATCGAAAAAGCGCGGTATGTAAGACGTCCTGGATCTTCATCCGGGACTATGGAAATCTTGATATGTACTGAATTGAGGGTTTACTATACCGGTAGCTACAAGTGTATTGCGAGAATGGAGTGCTGTACAACTATCTGAAATATCACTATGTACAAGAGAGGTGGGTGACTACTACCTACCGCTGCCGAAACGAGGGGACTTGATTGAAGGATATCATGATTGATATGCCATAACCATACCACAACCGTTCCACAGACAAGGAGTCAGTTAAGTTGTATCTATAAGTTTGCTATAGGTATTCCGTCCGCTTCGACCAAAGATCCGCCCAAAAGTCTGCTCGACTACCCATAAGTTGGATAGAGTACATTCATCCCAGCACTTTAGAAGATGCCCCACTCGCCGTATCAACCCTCGCCGTGGGTACACACGTGGTTTGAACCTTGGTTGCAAGTGCAGTGGGCCCTTAGCAGGGCTACTGGTACTAGTAGGAGAAGGATTTCTCGAAGATTGAGGACCTAGATGGATGATGGATGGGGAACATGTAGACCTAGGTATAGTAAGGAATCTGAGGCCAATACCGTATGCCGTAAAAGGCGGTGGATTTCTGGGCTGACCAAAGCGTCAGCGGGACGACGTAGAAACCAGACCTCGGTATGATCATAGGCAGTGCGTTTTCTGCAATAGCTGCATTGTTACCTGGCAAGATCATTGGCATACCTAACCAAGGGCTCACACTTCTGCTTTAACGGTGGGATCGCTTCATAACGGATCACTCGAACATGCCATCCCCAACCGCCGAGACGATGTGCAAATACCTTCGCCGTCGCAGCGGATCCGGTTGATGAGTGACGGCAGGTGGCTTGTAAGCTGCATGTGCAAAGCGGCTTGAGCCTTGCATGCCCAACGAAAGAGGCTTGATCATTGATGGCCCCAGGCCCGCGGATTCTCCAGTCAGCCAGACAAGCATACTTGAACTGAAGGAATAGGCTGTAGTAGTAGAGGTTTGATGTTCTTCGACATTTCTGGCGGGCGGTCTTTCAGACATGGACGGGCAGATGACTCGAGCCTCGAGCCTGGTTCTCCGTGAACCACGAACCACGGTCACCAGGACCAGGGAATCCGATGCCCCATACCTCCTATGCAGCAATGCAGCATCTCCATATGTAATGTAAACTGTGCAGTTCTCATTCCGAGTAGGTAGTGGAATTCCAACCAATACACTGAAAGGCAGCTGCATACATACATGGTAGCATGTGAAGGAATATTTCAAAGAAGCCGTACCATCATGACAGCGACCAACGGCGCAAAAAGCACAAAAGCACAAAAAGCAGCAAAAGCAGCAAAAACGCGAAACGCCCCAACCAAATCCTCAAGGAACCCTTCCCCCCACCATTTCTGCTCTCCGGTTGACCGGTTTTCTTCGTGTCGAGAATTCCAGTCCATGGTGTGCAATGAAAAAGAAAAGAAAAGAAAAACATAACGTAGGTACATACCGCATTTGACGACCGATTTCTAAGAGAGAGTGAGAGAGAATGAGCTGTTTATATATATGCAGGAAAGAAACAGCAGTAGCCATACGTGCTCTCCTACACGAAATCGCCAAACGCATCGTCGTCGAAGCCCATTGCTGTTGGCGGCTCCTCTGTCAAGTTCCTGCTCTGCCGCCGCTTGATATCTTCGGCGCTCGGCGGGGGTGGTAGGAACGGTAGCGGCAGGCCTTGATTGCTAGTATTATTCGCAGAGGGAGCTCTGCGGCGGCCCTTATTCTACGCACGCGGTCAGTCAGCCAGTCCGTCCGTCAATCCGTCAATCCGTAGTCCACCTCCGCCTCACCCCCCTCTCACCACCCAAAGAATGAATAAGTACCCCGATAGTAATACTAATAGTCTCCCCCTCCTTGAGGCTATAATCAACCTTCTCCGCGGGCTTGTCCCGCGCCCCATTATCCGCGCCATTTGCACCCATTCCCTTTCCCTTGCCATTACTCGCCGCGGCCGCCGCGGCATCCATATGTCTGCGCACCTCCTGCAGCGCAACGCCAAAGTCGAACGCATCGCTGCGGTCCTCAAAACCAATGCCCAGAATCGCCTTCCGCGCTCTGTCGACGACCCGGATCGCAAAGAACCGTGAGGAGTCCACGACTTGCTCGACGCAGAATGAGCCCTGCCACACACACATCATTGTTAGTGACGCTCTTCGGCGGTTGAGCTCGGGCGGCGGGGGACGGGGCGGGGGAGGGGCGGGGAGGGGTGGCGCACCTCGTAGGGACAATTCGCGAACAGATCGCCCGTCTTGGGATCCTCGAGGCGGACATCTGTGCGCACGGTCTCCTCGTCGTCTTCGGCGTCCGGGGCGACAGTGGCAGTCTCCATCACCCGTATGCGCGCGGTAAAGATGCGGGCGCGCTCGTTGTCGACGTTCCATTGCGCGGCCTTGTAGCCTTGATTCGAGGCCAGCGGCGGCACGGCGTAGATGTGGACTTTGGGCGCGACGAAGAGGACGCGCTGGATTGAGTCTGTCATTGCTGGCTGTGCTGGAGTTGTGGTGGTGGTGGTTGGTTGGTGGGGGGGGAGGGGGGAGGTGGGGGAGGGGACGGGGAGTGGTTAAGCGTTGGTACTGGTACTGGTACTGGTAGTGGTAGTGGGAGTGGCGGTGTGCTGTGGTAGGGCGGCCATGCTTTGGGGCCCGGTTCAACTCAACTCACTTTTGACCGTGGAGGGGTGCGGAGGTGGGGGAGCTGCAGTAGATGCGTTGGCATTCTGCAGGGTTTAGCTCGGGAGTGCACTGCATACTATACACGCACCAGCTTCTGGGCTCGAAGCCACACTGCGGCGGTACGGTACTCTACTACGTACTCTACACGCACGTGAAAATGCCCATCACAGGGGTGCGTAGAAATCGTCACATACGGTACTGTGGGGCTCGGGAGAGCCAGGCCCGATGCGGTCACCTCAATGTTGAACTGTGCTCTGATGCTACTTTTACATATGTTCGTTTGGTCGGTCAGTCTGTCGTGGCTCGTCGAAGAGACGAGACATAACACACGAGACATCAGACATTATCACCACCGCAGACATCATGATCAACACCGCAGAGGTACTTTGAGGTTGTTCGGCCCGAAGGCTGAAGGCTGAAGAACACAGGCTGCTTTCTTTTCTTGTTGCTTTCTATGTAGTCAATTCAAACAGTCTCACCAGTTGCCCGTACATACCCGGCGGAGGTCTCTCACTACTCTAGAAGACTGTCCGCCAAACCTCGTTTCACCCTCCGGCGCCCCCATTAACAAGCGAGTCACCCCCCAGCACTCACAATTCCATGCCGATCCCGCGGACCCTTCCCGAAGCCGACACCGATGAGATCACCGTGCTCCCTTGCTTGACCGCGGCGTGCACCGACTATCTATTACCATTGCATGACGTTCATATTCTTAGAGCGTATATATCCCGCGGCCCAACCGCCCGCAATGCCCACCGTTCTCTTATATAGCTCTATTATGCTCCGCCGCCTTTTCAGCACGCACCCGCACCTCCCGTTCAGCAACACCCTCTTCAGCATGGTTAAAGACAAATCCACGGTGATCTCGTACGGTCTCCCCCCATTCCCATTCCCAATCTTGTCCGGAAACCATAGAATTGACTGCGAATAGCGAATTCAACGACCTAGTCAACATGACCCCCGCCGCGCTGGAGCAGTGGCTGCACACGTCCGCCTCGACGGGCGCAGGCTGGCATAAGGACGGCGACGGCGACGGCGAGACGGTCGGGCACGAGAGGCAAGTCCCCAAGTGGTCGGTCCTTCTCCTCAGTCTTTCCAGAAACTAACCACAGTCGACCTCCGCAGCGGCCGCCACATCGTCGACATCCTTCAGCGCAACCCCTCCAGAGACCCCAGCAAATATGGCGAAGACGATATCGCGCATATGCGGAAGGTAGTGTCCTACTGGTCTGTCCCTCCCTTCCCCCCCTCCCTCCCCTCCCTCCCTTCCATACCAGCAGCAGGTTTGAAGTTTCTCGCGGCGGAGTGCTGGCTGACAGTCGGTTCGGTGGCCGGTGGGAATGGGCAGCAAGCGGCACCTTGCGCAGGAAGAGGCCGCAAAGCAGAATACCGAGAGCAAGAGCTACAAGTCGCTCAAGAACTGGGGACATGATGCACAGCTCGAGTGAGAGAGCTCGAGTGAGAGAGCTCGAGTGAGAGAGCTCGAGTGAGAGGGTGAGAGGGTGAGAGGGTGAGAGGGTGAGGGAATACATCTTCCCTATCATGTAGTATTACATATCATGTCCGAAAGAGAAAAAAAAAGAACTCCAGCCAGATACACCAATTACATAAACCCATACCACCAATACATCCCCCCCCCCCCCTAACTATCGCTATCCTTCAACTCCTCCACCAACCTGCTCAGATAGAACTTCCGCATATCCCTCGGCAGATCCTTAAAATCAGCGACGATGCCATGAATCTTCTTCCTGCCCTTCTCATAGACCGTCACATCTCTATTTTGATACACATCTCTGCCATGGGTGTACGCAGCGCCATCAAATCCCCTAAAGAAGAGATCGATACTGACACAGGGCGTGATTGGTTTCGCAGCGCGCATCCAGAACGGGGGGATGTAGAGGACGTCTCCGGGGGCCAGCTCGACATCGTACTGTGTGGTGCCTGGCGGCGACTTGTAGGCGAAGATGTCTGAGATGGAGGACGTGGTGGAGCCGTGCGAGAACGACAGCTTGCTCACGTCGCCCGGTGGGTATAGTCTGAACGCCTTGCGGCCCGATATGTGGCACAGCAGGTTGGGCATCGCGTCGTAGTGCAACCACATTCCAACATCGGCACTGAAAATGCGGAGTGTGGAACTGAAATGTCGCTCCATGGCGAGCGCGAGCGACGGTGGGAGGACGAAGTCAGGTGCGAGTTCCGGGAAGTCCTCAACGAAGCTGGCTGGTGCCGAGGTCGGATTGCCAACAGATAACGAGCGGAAGTACAGGCGTGCGTGGGGAACGGGAGTAAATGCGGCGTCAATAAACTCCCCAAATGGGGCTTTCTCGTATTTGAAGTTTTTGGGTTGAAACGACACATATGACTCGGCCACATGAACCACAACTGTGCGGTCCGCCCCCAACGCAGCCTTGAGGTAGTCTGGTGACCAAGAGGTGACGCAGGAACCGATATCGACTCCTTCGAGGAGCGCGGGCTCTCCTGCTGCTACAACCTTCTTGAAGTCTTCGTCCGAGTCGATTCTGATCCTCTTGACATCGACGATCCGAGGCGGTGGACCATCAACCTCGACGGGCCCCTCGAATGAGTCCACCATCGGCGTGTCAAGGTCTCGTGGAATATCCAACCCCCTGCCTTCTTCAAGGAACTTCCATGTATCGTACTTCTCGCTGTCCGACAGGGTCCATATTCCGTCGTTGGTATAGGGACCGAACTTGAAGCACGAGCCACCTCCGCCACATATAACCACCCGTTCCCGGAGACAAACGACCGAATGGCCTATGAGGAACGGCGAGGTCTCTTTTGGAAACGGTGCGTAGATTGCGGAGACTGTGACACGGTTGCAATCCACCTCCAATATCTCGTTTTCGCTTCTCATCAATCCGCAGCCGCTGATGCCGCCCACATACAATATGCGGCCATGACCGGTGTATAACATCTGCCCCCCGAACCGTTTCCAGAGATTCCGTGTCGACAGTATGTTGACCATGCTCCAATATGGCTTGATCGTCTCCGTTCCGTCGTCAGTCTCGTGGAGCTCTAATCTCCACATGTCGTCCAAGACTTCTCCGTGTGCATCCAAACCACCGCCAAGAGCACCATATCTCCGATCCGTCCAACATATGCCAGAAGAGAATCGTGGTGTGGGTAAGGCGGAACCGACAGCCTGTATTGTTCTCCAGCCCTGGCCTTCGGACCACAGCAGCCAGTCCGCCAGAACTTTTCTTCCTTCCCCTCGTCCTCCATACACCAATATCCTATCACCATCGACCGCAGTAGCAACATGCCGATATCTGGCTACTGGAATATCATCCACCCTCGTCCAGACTCCACCAGTGAACAGCCAGGCATCCTTCATCGGCTTGTCCGGCGAAGTTCGTCCTCCGACCAGTAATACTTTGCCGTTGGGCAGGGTCGTCATCGTGTGGCACATTCTCACACCGGGACCCTTCCCGTGCAGTCCAATGTCGTCGTCGGAATGCGTAATACAAACTGATGTCCCTAGCCTAGAGGTGGGCCCTTGCCCGCCATGAAAGACCAAACTGTCGGGACCAACCGCTGCCGCCGCACCAAATCTCCGTTTTAGACCGCGGGCCGCCGTAAACTCCGCCGTAAATCCCGTAGGGTGATCTTCTGGGCCCTTGATGTCGTCCATTCCCCGGCCCCTCGGAGGGTACCGCCGGTACTCTCCGCCGCCATTCCAGTGGTGCCCTGGGCCGTGAAAGGGGGTGTGTGGATTGCTGCCGTTATGTGCGTACAAGATGAAATAGTGCTGGGCAAAGCAATACAGCTCTTCCCACTCGTCGAATCCGTCACCCACCGACTCGATGCGCTCCCATTCGGAGCGGCGGATGCGGTTACTCCAGAACGCAAGAAGATCGCAAACATCAACCGAATTCCACCCTCGGGACGAATAGCGGCGGATCTGGTCCGTCAATCGCGGGTACGCGATTACCGAGTTCAACGGAGTCTGGAGTGTTTCGAAGTATTTGAGCATGGTCCGTGCAAACGGGTGATGTGGTCCTGCTGGAATTATCTGCTCCAGGACGGAAAAACGTGCTGAGACGATGGTGTGTTAGTTAGGGAAACAGATAGGTGAGGACCTTCCGGATTACCGTCGGGTAGCGTTGCGGCCCACTGGATGAGTGCGTCGACGGCCTCGCGGGCCATAAACGTGAGGGAGACCTCCGCCGTGAAGAATACTGCGGCATCCACCAGCCTGTGAGCTTCGAAGAGCCTCCGGATGGTGTCGAGATCGCGCAGATCGCACCCAAGCGCCAGATATTGTGTGCTCTGGTAGTGCACATGGTCCACCGGGGTTGGGTGATGTTGTCGTTCCGAGAGGAAGTCGTGCAGCTCGGGAGTCTGGGCTATGACGGCGACCTTGTCGGTGATCAGGGCCGGGAAGTCGATATCAACATACAGGACCTCCGCATTCGCTTTATCCATCGATAGGCAGCGGAAAGGTAATGGATCACTGCACAACGTCAGGAATCGAGATCGCCAGTCGCCGGTCGCTTGGCAGCAGCACACGGAAAGGACGACAGACTATCCACAGCCCAGGTTGACCACAACCTTCCTCTTCGGCACGGCTATGGGCGGTAGCTCTTCATTGAGAAACGAATCCACTACATATTCCACCGCTTGCATTCGCAACCAATAGCCCCGGTTCACTACCCGTCAAACGACCGTAAGCCTCACGTCCGTTTCAAATGTGGATTCCCGCTGCTAAGCTGGTGGTGAACTTGCCGGTTGGTGACCGGCGCTGAGGTTTCTTGACAAAATGACGGAGAAATCGGTGTTCGTTTTCCCGCGCATAAAGTCTTTCGACGCTCCGTTTGGAGACTATCTGGTTTCCGTATACCTAGAGAAGGTGACACAAAGCCCATGTCAGTTGGCAACATACGTATGATGCGATTCAGCGGCAGCTAAGCAAGCAAGCATACATTGATGACGGCGGCATCGAGCCTTGTCTTCTCGCTGGGTCTTCCCCTCTCTTTTGAAGCGGACACTGCTGCTCTCGCTGCGTCGGCGGCAGCATTTGTAGCGAGGAGGGGGGTGGAAGGCATCTGGAGGAGATCGATAGTGAGCGGATCGGAAGGCACGGTGGGATTTGGCGAGAGAGACGTCGTCATGAAGGGGAGAGGGGGCTTTCAGCGCCGAGTAGATCTCTGAGCGGGAGGGTGGGGGGAAGGCGTCGGGGAAGAGAAGAAGAATGGCGTCACGAGTATGAAACAGCGACACAGGCAGTAAGTTGCGGGTAGCAAAGTGGACGGATGGGAATGGGGAGCAGAAGAGATTACAGATGGATCATGGGGATGGGATGGGATGGGATTTCGCGAGCAACAATGGAGAATATAATTGTCCGGTGGGCTAGAGGCTACTTACTCTAGAGCAGATGGACGCACCACGCACAGACACGCTGGGATAGCCTCTTTAAATTGTACAGGGAAGGGTTACGGTGGCGGGGCGGTAGATCGGGGGAGGCGGTAGGCGAGGCAAGGAGGTGATCCAGCTCGCGGAGCATACGTCCGACGGGTGCAGACGAATCTTCAGGAGGGAGCACAGCTATCGAGATGGATGAATCGGAATGCAGGGTATGTATGGAGCTGGAGCCTGGGAGCATGATCCACTGGCGGCGGAGCCAATCAGGCCGGGGATGCACGTAGTAGTAGATAGCATAGGGAAAATCTCTCGGCATCGCGCGGTGACCACTGACGAGGGAGCGAGCCCATCGATTTGCACCGCACGTGGGAAGCGGTGTTCCGGGCCAAGACATGAGAACGGGGTTACACACGGTGAACTAGGTGCTCTATATCTCCGTCACATATGGCCGGACGGGCACAAGATCGTGGCGCCAGGGACTTCCCCACACAGTTCCCAGTGGGTTCTGCCAAGTCGCTAGCGGCCAGGAGTTGGGAAAACCCCGGTGGGGCCCACCACGCTTTGGCGGTGAGTAATACGGGCCTCGGAGGTATTTGCTAGCAGCATCCTTTGGGGACGGTGGCCCGAAGGAGAGACATCTCTTGGCTGCTATGCAGGTGCCGGGCTGCTATGCCCTAAGCTGGCCACGAACGGGACGGCCCAAAAGATCGTTTGCAGATGGTCGGGGGCCATGACCACCGCGAAAGAAAAGAAGAAAAAGAAGAGAGAAAAAGCAGTCGCAGGACTGCTTGGAGAAATGAAAGTGCACGTTCATTCGGACGAGACAAGTAGGGACAGCCGTCGGCAAGTTAGAGAGTACTGCTGAGCCCCGTGCAGCTGTTTGGTGGCAGTCTGGGCCAGTCCTTCGGCAGCCGTACCGCTTTCTCCGTTCGGTGTGCCGTGTGCGGTGGAACCGGACCACCCGGCCCGCGTAGAACAAGTCAGTGGCTAAGCAAGCTCGGCAACTCCGAGACCCATTACCGGTACTGCTCGGGATCATCGTGATCAATTAAAGAAAGTTCGGAGAATCGAGTGCTACGGTATGATGGATGGGAATCGCCAAGGTATCAGCCACTCGTCTAACCCAGCAGCCCAGCCACACCAACGGCCTACTCTAGAGTAGTTAGGCCGGCCTGGCCAGCACTGGACCTCCTCATCCACTAGAGCCACTCTTCTCCTCTCGTGAATTCTGAATGTCCCCGATGTGCTCCTCCAAACCTCCAGGCTCGCCGATTTCAAACTCAGCCAACACCGACACCGAGTCGTGAAGCGGACTGCTCGAGCTCCATTCGTCCGCCCGCCCAATCACCAATTACCCACCGCCATCGCAACCGCTCTGTCCACCACCTTGCTGCTGCTCGAGCCGCCTGCCATCGATCGTACGCCTGTTCAATCGCCAACTCGCCGGTTTGCTTCCAGACCTGCACTTCTCTTTTTCTCTCTGCCAACCAAACGCCCACCGCCTCTGCCGAAGCTCTCTCGAGGCACCCACTACCGAAAACCCCTCTTGCCGTCCCAAAGCTTGGTGCGGGGTGTCGTCATAACCGGTTCTTTGCTCTAGGCGACAGATACGTGCTTCCTATCTGGAGTCCGCGCGCACGCACGCCATAGGATAGCATTCGCCAACTCCCAACATGGCTGTCCCCATGAACTTCGTTACCTTTAATCAGGATCACTCCTGTCTCGCCGTCGGCACTCACAACGGCTACAGAATATACAACTGCGATCCGTTCGGCAAGGTCTACGAGAACAAGGAGGGGGATGTGTCCATCATCGAGATGCTCTTCAGCACCTCATTGGTGGCTCTCATATTCTCGCCGCGGCGATTGGTGATAACAAATACGAAGGTTCGCTCGGAGGTTTCATCTGTGTGCACAATCCAAATCTTCCTTGCCCACCGCATCCCCCCCCGCATCTTAGAGTTGAGGAGAGATGGTGGGGGCACCAGCTGACGTGACGGGCCGAACAGCGTCAGACGACAATCTGCGAGCTCACGTTTCCGACTTCGATACTGGCGGTCAAGCTCAACCGGAAGCGGTTGATAGTGGTGTTGGAGGAGCAGATCTATGTCTACGACATCAGCAACATGAAGCTGTTGCACACGATCGAGACGTCGCCAAATCCCAATGGTAACTATGTTCCGCCCTGTGTCCTGTTGAAGACTGCGTTGATCGCGACAAAGCTATCTGCGCGCTATCCCCGTCCTCCGATCGATGCTACATCGCGTACCCGCGTCCGAGCTCGTCGAACCCGTCGCCGTTTTCGCCGCCGTCGCACGCGCCACCCGCCGCCGGGCAACCCGCGCCGTTGACCGGAGACGTCCTGCTGTTCGATGCCATTCAGCTCGAAGCTGTAAACGTGGTTGAGGCTCACAAGTCACCCCTCTCCCACGTGGCCCTCAACAACGAGGGCACGCTTCTCGCCACGGCTTCCGACAAGGGCACCATCATCCGCGTCTTTTCCGTGCCCGGCGCGCAGAAGCTCTACCAGTTCCGAAGGGGCACATACCCATCCCGCATCTTCTCCATGTCGTTCAACCTAGTGTCATCTCTGCTGTGCATATCCTCGGCGACCGAAACAGTCCACATCTTCCGTCTGGGTGGCGGCGCGCCCCAGATCGTCGACTCGCACAACTCTGGCAACGGTGGCGGCGGTGACGCCAGCGGCGGCTACTCGCCAACCGACTCCATGTCCTCGTCACCCTCGAATCACGGCGGCCCCGCAGCAGCCGGCTTCGAGCAATACGAAGAGAACGCGCGACGTCGAAACGGCGCAGGAACCTTCGGCTCGATCATCCGCCGCTCGTCGCAAAGCATTGGGCGCACGCTCGCCGGCGCCGCTGGCGGATACCTCCCCAACGCCGTCACGGAGATGTGGGAGCCCGCTAGGGACTTTGCGTTCGTCAAGCTCAAGAAACCGGGCGTCAAGAGTGTGGTCGCGCTCAGTAGCACGAGCCCGCAGATCATGGTGGTTACCAGCGACGGTGACTTTTACGTCTATAATGTTGACATGGAGCGCGGCGGTGAGTGCGTGCTCACCAAACAGTACTCGCTTTTGGACTCTAGTGAGAGGATGGGTCAGAGCTTGATGTACGAATAATCGAGACGTGCTGTGGGTGTGGCAGGTGTGTGGATTGTGGCGGTGGTAGTGATGGCGGTGATGGCGGTGATGGCGATGGCGATATCGGCCGTGCTGGGGCTAGCTTTTTCTTTGACACTGATTCTATCTGAATTGCAATTGGCGTTGGTGTTGACTTTTTTATTTGATCTATTATTATTTTCCTTGCTTTTTACTATGGAATTTGATTATGCAGACGTCAACATATGTTTTGCGTCAATGTGCTTCGAGTGATCACTTCGCGGAACGGTGTAATGGCATGGAGGCTTTACTACGACTGCCTTCTGACGATGGAATGTGGAAATGCCACGTGAGAAACCCTACGAATTATCATCAACAACACAAACTTTGAGGTCCTACTGATTTGCCATCAACATTGTCTAGCCATCGTGTCTACCGCCTAAAACCCGAAGAAAACAATAACCACAAGAAAAAGCAGCAGAACCCCATCAGATGTCACCAACCCCAGAAACTACCCAATCCGCCCGCACACCTAATGGAACGTCTTCAAGCTCTCGACCAAGCTGCGCACCTCCTCGACCGACTTATTGAGGGGCATGGCGCCGCCACCGCCAGTGCCTTCCACCACGCCCTTCGCCGCGTCATCATCCAGTTCCAGAAACCGCATGACAAAGTCACCATCCGCAATCCTAAATGGGCCGTCCATGACTCTAGCGGGGGAGACGAAGCCCCTCCACTCATCGAACGCGAGGCCGCCGACGCCGCGGACGACCTGTGCGAGGTTCGCCTGCAGCTGCAGGAGCAACTGCGTCTTGTCTTCCGCGATCTTTGCGAGGAGGAACAGCCCGCCGTCGACGGTGGCGAGGTACGCGCACGGCTGCAGGACGGCGTTGGGCGTCGCGTGGTGCTCGGATACGTCCGGGATCCGCCGGATCCGGTTGATCATCTGCCCCAGGTGCAGCTCGCCGGTCCGGGAGAGCCGCTGCTGCTGCTGCTGGTCCTCCGAGAGCAGCGTGGTGTCCCGTGACCAGATAGACAGGTTGCCTTCTGCGTCGGCGTTAACGAGCGTGTTGGCGTCGATCATGTCGATGGCGGTGCTCCACTGTGTGCCGTAGGCGCGCGAGATCTCGGTGAGTGTCGGCATGGGCGTCCGGCTGTAGGATAGCAGCGAGGGGCCTTTCATTAGGTCTGCGACGCAGATGTGGTTGCCGGTCACGCCAATGTCTTGCGGCTCGCTGTGGCAGCGGAAGGAGGCGAGCTTCTGGAGGAATTGCTTGCCGTGCATGGCAAACTGGTAGGAGTACACTTCGATCTGGGAGCCGTTAGCTAGGAGGTATGATGGTTGATCGGCCTGTGGAGGATCTCGCACAGTCTTGTTCAAGGCAATCACGATGTCCTCGCCCACCATGTCTATGCACTTGACACCGCCCTTCAGCTTCAGTTCGGCGAGGAGCAGCAGCTTGCGGGCTTCCGAGATCTCGAAAATCAGTAGTCTCCCCTCCTTGCACTCTGAGTTTCCGTCCTCCATATCCGCATAATCTGGAATCTTTCCGGTGCCCACCAAGAACTTGTCAGTCTTCTTGCCATCCCAGTCGCCAAGCTGAACACATATTATAGATTCAACCAGTTCGTTTGGCTCCAGCTCGTACGAGTTCACCACACTAAACTCGTAGTCGTCGACAATCCTCACAAAGCAGGTATGTCTCTCGTTGACAGTCGGAAAGGTCTGCCAGGCAGCAATCGTAACGATGCCGTACAGTTGCCGTTCCTTGGAGTAGGCAACCCTACGAACCACATCGCCCATGCGCAGCGTCTTGTAGTGGCTGTTTCGCGTCGTCTCGATGGTCGAAATCTTCACCTCGCCATTCGCCACGAGCACCACCGAGTTGGGGAATCCTTGAGCGTTGAACGGCGCCAGATACGAAACATTCTCAGCCGTGACTGCCGAGTACATGATGTGGCCCCCGTCGCTATAGATCAGGCTGGGGTTCGCAGAAGAGGCAAACACACTGAGACCCTCGTCCCGCTGGATAAGCTGGAAGGAGAAGGCTTGAGTGCTCAAGGAAATCGACTTCTTTTGCGACAGCGTCCAATTGTCGTTGGTTGAGAAAGTAACAAGTGTTCCATCTCCCATGGCAACCAGCAAGGTCGGGGACTGTCCTTCAACGATGGTGGCTATCGCTATGGAGCGTGGAACCGTGACATCACCACCCAATGACTCTTCGGCGAGCGTCTTCAGACCGGGGAGCGATAGCAATGCAACCGCGGACGATGTCCAAAAGCCAACAGCGCAGACAAGCGGATAGTTCGAGAGAGCGAAAAGGCAGGAAATCTCGTTCTCAAAGGTGCGACGGCCGACTTCCACGATCTCATCCGCGTTCCCACCCAGATTAAATACTGCGAGCGTCGTGTTTCCGAAATTGCAAACAAGGAGGTCGCAATTGACATCGGCTGCGACAATCTTGGAGTCAGACACGTATTCCGAGTGCACCATTCCGCCTGTTGCATCCACAATTCTGATCCGGGAAGGCGTGACTTGGAGTAACCGCTCGTCCGATAGAAGGCATGCGGCCAAGGTCTCTTCCTCCATGGCGAATCCATTAAAACTGTCGAGCTCTTCCACCTCACCCTCGTCATCAAACCTGAAGGCCCTCGTTTCGTCAATAAATGACACCAGCAGAGTGTCGTGAAACCTATGGGACTAAGTTAGCTTGCTCGGAAATGCCCCAAGAAAGGTCACATACGGGTTCTGGAGAGTGACCCCCAGTGGTATCAGTTTCTTGACGCCCATCATATCGCCCAAGATAGCTAGATCCTTCAGACCCACGCCACTCTTCACAGATCGTAATCCCCCGGCATGAAACCCTCCACAGCCTGTCACGATACTAGTTTGGCCAGAGCTATAAAGATTCTGTTGCTCGTCACCACTGGAATGGCCGGTGCTGATCACCTGGAAATCCAGGATCGGAGCGAGACTGGGGGAGATCTGGATGATCTCGCATCTCGGATCCTTTGCAGACAGTTTTATCAGCTGTGAGTCGCCTTTAGACGATCCGATAAACACATGGCCGTTATCCAGGTAAATCAACTGGCTTGCTATCGACGCCTATTTCGGTCAGTCAAGTAGCCCGGATAATGCAGTTGTGCTTGAACCTACCTGTCCAATCGTCTCAATTTTGATCTCGAGAACTTTCTCGTTTGCATCCACATCCAGGAATAACAGCTGGAGCTTTCCGGTGTTGTCACTCAGTAAGAAACGTTGTGCGTCGATCTTCCCCCAGGCCACAAATCGGGTTGGCTCGGCGACCCGATGAAAGACCCCGAGACCTTCCTCCTGTGCCGGGAAATACGATATCTTACTATCGCCTATTACCATCACTCCACCCAGCGGCTCGGGTACGGGGATCAACATCCTCCCCTCTTGCTCAAGAGGGGGAGCGCTAGTCTCCCATGGTTGAAGTTCCCAAGTCCCTCCTCCGAAGACGACTTTATATGTCGACAGTATAGCAGAGTCCGGTCCATTGCCCTGGTGGAGAACCGCCAATGCCGGGTGGTCAGTGCTGTGGAGGAAGACGATATCGATGACCATCAGGTCTTGCATCTTGATGGGATAGTGGCCCTCGAGCTCTCCTGCGACACACACTGCCCCCGTCTTTCTCCGTTTCCTCTTGTCGGTAATAGGCTGTATCAACGGCAATGCGAGGAACGTCCCTTCATACGAGTGTATCCCCAGCATACGGCCCGCCGGGTCGGCAATGTACTTGATCCCCGCGGGGGAGTCTCGTAAAAAGCGGTCCGCAACATCCTCGGCATATTTCTCGTTGCGAATAGTCTTTTTTTCGGGTTCCCACGAGATTACGAAGTAGTCATGGCGGTCCGTCAAGATGAAGATGTGGTCTGTGGGACTGGTTTCGGGGCGCAACTTGAGGAGCGCAACGACGACACCGTAGACTGTGAATGTGGTTCGTAGTGACAGCCCGTCAATGGCGAACGCGTACACTTCAACTCGATTTGATTTACTAGGCCATCATATGAGTATTAGCTGGCCGAGCAAACGTAAAGCTCATGCGGTTTCAAGCAGGCAGGTGTCTATCGTACGCAACCAGCAGAGACGACTCATCCGGAGCAAGAAAGTTCGCCTTGATCGCGTGCCTGACAGCTGAGGCTGGGTGTATAGATGCTAGGTAGGACATCTCTCGCGCCCGCGTGAAAGTAGATTGAGCTTTCCGAGTCGGGGTTCGTGTGATCTTGTGTGCTGGGGGGTGAACGGGTGCGAAGGTTGTGAGGAGACGATGACGTGGGTGTGGCGTAAAGGTGAAAGAGTGGCTCGTGCTAGCGGGCTGACACTAAATAGTCGACCTGCGCCACATTTGAACAGATTGGGGTAGCCTTCTTTCCGAACGTGTTTTACGTAACGGAACTAGTCCTCGTCTTCACAGTTATCCTATGTAAACATCGGATTGGAGTACCTTGAGCAAGCTATTGCTATCCAGAGTAGCAAAGCACATAATGTATAAAGTCTAGGAACTCAAGCTTTATCATCTACATCATATTGTAGAACGCATAATCCTAACACTCCACAGCCACCTGACCTAGGTACCGTAAGAAACACGTCAAACCTAGCTCATCACTCGGTTCCTTTCCTCTACGAAGACTGCATTATTTCGCCCTTTAAGCTTGGCTGCAGCTGAAACGTTTCTCCTTACAGCTCATCTGGACGTATTTGCCTTGAACTGCTCATGTTTACATGAAACGGCAAGCTTCAAGTTGAGATCGACAAACGGGAATGAGTATTCGTCTTAATGAACAAAAGCAGATGAAAATACACCACACCCGTCGCCAGTCTTAGCGGATTATACTCGACCGTCAAAACAACTCAACCAAACAGCTCGACCAAATTAACCGACCAACAATTGCAAGCATGCCAATCCTCGAAGTCCCCGTCCCCCTCCCCTCCGAGCTCCTTCGTCGCGATGCCCTCAACTACGATGCATGGGAGCCCTTCCTCATAAAGATGGTGGAACATTTCAGCCACGACTTTGACGAAACGGTACCTGGTTCCATAAAACTGTATTTGCCTAAGTCGGTCCGCGCTGTGCAGGCCCGGCTGAACATCCTATCTTATTGCGAGCCGGCTCTTGCACAACAGATAACTGCGTTTGAACAGACAAAGAATATCATTATGGATCCGGATCAAATTATGATGGAGTTCAAGAGGATCTGGAACAAATGATTATGTTTTTTTTCTTGATTACTGTATACTGTACACACACCCAGTTCCGTGCCGCTGCCAAACCTGGCTTTCATCGAGCGGCCCGATGTGGCTTTCTCTGCCCTCCGCCCTCTACCTGACCTATCCTAGCGATACAAGTAGAACTCACGGAGGCAAATGACTGTGTTTTTGGAAATTTTGGGACCGCAGATTAACTGGCCGAGTGACTGTGAACGCACAGACTTGCTTGCACTGCAATTTAACGGCCTCGACCAATGGATGAAAAGGCGGTGAATCGGAGGAGACCCCAATGAGGACCTACCAAATACACATACATCGGTAAAGGGTAGGGTGGGTGGGAACTTTGGAAGCTGAAGGGTGATGGTGAGGATTATGGTGATGCTGAAGGTAGGGATGACAGTTCAAGTTGTGCTATCGGAAGATCAAATGTCTTTAGCGACTGTATATAATCGGCGGGAAACCGGCGACATACGGAACACGGGTCGTTGAAAGAGGAAAACACCAGGCAAGTAAGAAGTATTCATACAATGGGTCAACGCCATGGCCAGTACTCAGCCAATGTACCTCCTACCCACTCGGTTCCCACGGGCCAAGAGTGTCTTGTCCTCCCGCGATTGGCGAATCGCGACCCAATAGCATTCGTTTTATACTTGTACGGAGACCCAACACAAATGGTGTGGTCATCTTGAGGCTTCAATTGAAGGTGGATGCGGCTATCTCAAGCGTGCAGACGAGTTGGAGTCTTGGAGATGAGACCGGTGCCTGACCCTTACCTTACTTTAACCCCGCACTAACAGCGTAAAATAGCTAGCGTGCTTTGGTGGGGTACGATCATGCCTTGTGAAACAAAGCATCCAGTCACCATCACCATCAGCCATTCAACGACACCTCAACTCAACTTGCCCCACGACCGCTCAGGCCGCGACCCACCTCCAGACACCGCTTGATACGTCCATTCACTCCCTCATATCCGACCGACGCTACCGCGGACAACAACGTACAAAACGCCATTATGTCGGAAACAATATCCTGTGAGTCGCGCTCCCGACCCATTCGCTGCCAGCATCACTACAACCCTAGGATGCGAATAGGCTGTTGATCTGACATACATGCGTCCGAACAGCCTCAATGCACATCTCGCCCCCGTCGACGGCATCCTCGCACTCCCACCCGAAGCCTGGTGTTGTATACTCGACAAAAGGCGAATTTGACATCCGAGAACACTATTTCAAGCTCCTCTCCCAAGACCCGTCGAAATCTATGCCCATCGCCGCAATAGAATCACTATCGGCGCTCTGTGATGCCACAAAAGCCGGTACCATCCACGAGTTGATGTCGGCAATCGGTGACGGCGCCGACGCGCTCAAGAAGTCGATTCCAAACGCGATCTCTCTCACCGCTGGCTGCGACCTGTTCAAGCGCTTCATCATTGCGCACGCTCATGATGACCCTAAGGATTTCGAGGCGTTTAAGCAGCAGCTTCAGGCGAATGGACATCTGTTTGCGCAGCGCGCAAGGGAGGCGCGAATCAAGGTTGCCGAGTGTGGAGTTAAAGCTATCAAGGACGGTATTACGGTATTCTTGCACGGGCACTCGCGATGTGTGATCGCAATGCTCCAGAAAGCGGCGGAACAGAATATTAGATTCAACGCTATCGTCACCGAGACTCGGCCCAGCCTTCTCGGTCTCAGGACGGCGAAGGAGCTTCGCGCTCGAGGGATCCCTGTTGCGGTGGTCGACGATAATGCCATGGGTTATGCACTCAAGAAATCGACGATGGTGATCATTGGAGCGGAGGGTGTTTTCGGAGACGGCAGCGTCCTCAACATTGTATGCAGCGCCCCTCCTTCGATGGCGGGTACGCCTATACTAACTTGCCGAATAGTTGGGATCATACCAGCTTGCCCTCGTTGCAAAGACCTACAACCGTCCGGTATATGTTGCTACGGAGACACACAAGTTCGTCGATATATTCCCATTGGACCAGTTCAACATGCCCGTGGAGCAAAACATCATCGACTTCGATCCACCGCAAGGCGTTGAGGGTGCCACACCGCAAGATCAGCAAGAATTCGTCGACCATGTTCCCAGACACCTCATCAAGGGGCTCATCACTGAAGCCGGACTTCTTACCCCCCAACAAGTGTCGGACAAAGTTGTCGCAATGAGGTTTGAATAGTACTTCAAGGGACACCGTGATTTGGCGTTTTTTTTTTGAGATCGCGTTAACCCTATTTAGGGGGGACGGGGTTGTTCTTTGGTGGAGATTGGGTTGGAAGAAAAGCCGTTACATAGAGGCGTTTTTGTTGTCTCTTTGATTTTGATGTCTTCGTTCGGTTCAGTTTGGGTTATGTATGAGTGAATAATCATTGACGCTAGTCCCAACCTGACATCTGTATTATCCCCGCCACGGGGAACTAAAACTTCCATGTGACGGTTGACTCAACTATCACGCAGAGCTCCCTTCCCACGCGCACGGGGTATAAAAGCCACCCCGTCGATCCAAGTATGCGCCTATTCTGGCGCAGCTTCACATCATTGCAATCCTGTATGCCATATCCCATTTCCTAACGCCTAATGCCACCCACACTGACCCCCGAGCATCACCAGTCAAAATGGCATCCCCCGCCGCTTCGTCCGTGATAACAGCGCTTCCCGAAACTACCGATCCTCTAAAGATCTACACCACCATAGCCTCCCTCCGTTCCTACCGACATCCCCTCCTGAGCACCAAATCGCTCGGCTTCGTGCCGACGATGGGCGCCTTACACGCCGGCCACCTCTCCCTGATCCGCACAGCAGCAAAAGAAAACGACTCAGTAGCCGTCAGCATCTTCGTTAACCCAGCTCAATTCGCGCCCACGGAAGATCTCGCGGTATACCCGCGCACGCTTCACACCGACGTCGCCCTACTCGAGTCCCTGAACGCCGAGTTCTCCGCCGACAGCACGACCCGCGGCCGTATCGAGGCACTGTTCCTCCCCTCCGTCGCGGAGATGTACCCGCATGGTATCCCGCTGGAGGAGAACGCGCAGCGCGGCGCGTTCGTGACTGTCCAGCCGCTGGCAGCGAAGCTGGAGGGGATTACGAGACCACACTTCTTCCGTGGCGTTGCGACCGTCGTCGCGAAGCTGTTTAACATCGTACAGCCGGATATCGCATATTTCGGTCAGAAGGATGTCCAGCAGAGTATTATACTCAAGAGGATGGTCAAAGATCTGCATTTTCCAGTCCAGATCAGAGTTTGCCCCACCGGCAGGGAGGTGGATGGATTGGCGATGAGCAGTAGGAATGTCTACCTGGGCGAACGCAGGAGGGCCATCGCGCCCGTGCTGTATCAAGCTTTGCGGGCAAGCGAGGATGAGTACCGCCGACTTGCGGCGCAGGGGGGAACGGTGGACGCAAAGGCTGTGTTGGCCAAGGGACTGGAGCTTTTGCAACCGGGGAAAGATGTGCCGTTTGAAATCGAGTATTTCAGCCTTGCGGACCTGCAGGAGCTTGAGGAGCTAGGGACGGTAGACCCAAAGAAGGGGGCGGTGTTGAGTGCTGCTGTGCGGATGTCACCGGTCGAGGAGGGACAGGGTCCGGTTAGGCTCATTGACAATATCATTCTGGAGGCGGAGGAGTGATTAGCGATACCCGTTTCTGGTCTAAGAAGGACGTTGTATGTTTATGTGTATGATATGGATTCTGTAGACCGGTGGGCTCTGGATGGTTCTGACGTGCTGTTGAGTCATTACAGTATATCACTCGATTCCTGCTTCTTGATCCACCTGTGCTAATTGCTTACCTACCTATGTCATGGCGAGAAATCTATCCACAAAAAGCCTGTACAGCGAGAGCTGAAAAACGAGCTCGAGTCACCACATTTCGCTCCGCCACTATTTAACTAAAATATGCTCTACTTTCGGCGGTATTCTCGCCTTAATCGTATTATTTTTTCCTGAAAATCTATCAATTTCCCTCCATAGACTTCCTCAGATCGTATTTATCCTACTGTGGCGGTGCTATGTATCGTCGAGGAGCTGTTGGGCTTAGCATCGCATGTCACCGGTCGAGCCGCGTACTCAAGCCAACTTTAGAGATGGAAAGTCCCCGGTGAAGAATACAAGCACAACAGCGACTACATACCGAAAAGCGCAAGGGGGCGATAGCTTTGTACTCATTCTTCCAGTCACCGGGAAACAGTATTAAAAGCAACACATCTGCACAGTTCTTCCTCTCATCATCGTCGCAAGCCCGTCCCAGGCTGCGACATTGCGCCAGTCTCCCAGCCCGGCCCAGTCTAGTCTAGTCCAGTTCAGTCTTGATCACTCCTCACTTACCTATCATCAACGTTGCACGATGTCTGAGTATGCTCCTCCCTCCGTGAAACCCCAGAAGTAGCAGCGTGCTGACGTCGAGTTACCAGTCCAAGCTTGGACCGACTCGAGTCCGCCATCAGCGCAGTTCCGTTACCAACGTTGCCCGAATGGAGGATTCAGCCGCTTATTTACGGTCGCCCCAGCCCCAGCACCACGGCTCCGAAACCCTCACTTGGGCCCCCGCTCACGACCCTTCCGGTAGAGCTCATGTGGAAAATTGCCGGCTACCTGTCCCCCTTTGATATGTACCGTCTACACGCAACATCTTTCGTGTTGCATCGCAATCTGGAGCGTGAACTGTTCACCCGGGTCTACAACTCAAAGTTCACCGTACGCCACGAGATTCCCGAACTCGACCAATACCGGGTGAAGTACCGTTGGGAGGACTTTGATCTGCCCCTTCCTCCTGTCTGGTCAGACATCACACCCTTTCATCTGGCTGCGGCCACCGGCAGCACCGGCGCAGTGCGGAAATATCTCGACATGTGTGGCATCCCCATCGACTCACGCTGTCCTGGACGTCGAAGCACAGCACTTTTGTATGCTACCATTGGCGGCCACACCGCTACAATGAAATTTCTCCTGGGCCGCGGAGCCAATATCAACAAAGGAATGCTTCGCGGAAATCCCATTAAAGAAGGAGATATAAGCGGCCCTTATCCGGAATGGTGCGACGTTGACACCCCAGGCGGTTGTTTAACACCGCTACGCTTTGCCATTGAGTACGCCAACCTGGCTTCACTCAAAGTTCTACTGGACCACGGAGCCACATTGTTGGATGATATGGACTTACCCAAAGACTGTGCCGAGTGGGAGGGTCGGGAGGACGAGGGTGGCGTCCTGAGACCCGAGTCATGTCCGATCCACGTGGCGGTTACCCATAGCGGCCACGACTACCCCAAGGACAACTTGACAGAGAAGCGAAAGGGGATCGTGAGAGAGCTACTCGCATGCGGGGCCCCGGTGGATTATCGCGATCTATATGGCTGGACAGCCCTACACCACCTCTGCGCCGATGACGGGCCCTGGAAAAACCATCCCCTCTGGCCCGGGCCCCGCTATTACGATACCCCGGGAATGGTGTGGTTCCTAATCAAGAACGGCGCCAACATAAACGCGCGCTCGTCATCAGACAGCACCCCGCTACACTATGCTTTTCATGCACACAATTTGGTACTCGTGAAGGTCCTGATCGAGGCCGGCGCTGATATCAATGCGGCGATGGAAGGGGGTGAGACCCCACTACATTATGCTTCCAAGGCAGACACACACTATGCTTCCGAGGCGGACAACCTGGCAATTACAAAGCTCTTGATCAAAGCCGGCGCTGATGTCAACGCGCGGAATGCAGAGGGTGAGACACCGCTACACCGCACCTCTCACGCACACAATCTGGAAATGACTAAGGCTCTGATTGAAGCCGGTGCCGATGTCAATGCGGCAGATGAGCTGGGAGTCACGCCGCTGCTCATGATATGGTCTTCTCACGCAAACCACGTTGAAATCGCATCGATGTTACTCGAAGCCGGGGCCGATCCAAGCGCACGAAGGAAGCTGTGGCGTTCGGGAGACCCTATGTGGGATGGGGATTCGCCAGTTCTGACTCTCCTCGACCAGATCTCCATAGAGATTTACGAATACAGCCATACGGAGAATATTCACCAACAGTACAAACGCCGCGGGGGGTCAGAGACAACAAGCTTGTGCTACTATCGGTACGACCATCAACCGAAAGAATGCAACCAGCCCAATTGGGTGCGCGATCTCGGTCCCATATTCTCACTCCTAAAGGTCCTGCTGAAATACGGGGCGAAGACGTCGTGGCGCCATGAGAAGAGTATAAAGGACTTCCGGATCCTCCTGAGTCTGTGGGGGAAAAATGGTGTCGATTGTGGTGCGCACCTGTCAGGGGAAGATGTGGCGTTTTCGGGACCGTGTGACTGTAACCAACAATTTCCTCCAATACCATAGCTCATGTACAAAATGTGGGACAAAGAGAAGCCCGGGTGGTTTGGCGGTGACGAAGTGCGGCGGCGGGTGATAGCGGAAAGCCTCTTGTTGCACGGTGTGCGGGCCGGCGGTGGAGGAATGGGGGGGGAGACATAGTGTATATGGGAGGTCAGGTGTCCAGTTTTTGGTCTACCGTATGGGGCGGTCATGCCCGGCGAGACCTAGGTGCCTCGAGCTCATATGTATCAAAATACATGTACTGGGAAAAACTGCGTTTGGTCTATACCACTACAGAGACCCCTCGAGTTCTAATGCCCAAGCTGTCGCCGCTGTTGCTTTTACGTGCTCTACTTCCATCCCACCGCCGTTCGTAACCGTAGGAAGGCTTATGCTATGGTTTACTATGTGGAGAGGTAACAGTGTGCAGGCAAAATGGAGAGACATAGTCATAATGCGCCATGCCCGAGCACCCAGGAGGTTTTGCGGCGCTTGTCCAGCACATATTTTCTCTTCTGTCATTTCTTTCACTATTTCCTGTGTCACTTCTACTCTGATGGACAGTGGGGAATGAGGGAGCCCTGTCGGGTCAGCCGCTTACTCCTCCTACTGCTGCTCCTACTGCTCCTCCTGCTTTTGCTTCTGCTTTTGATTTTGCTTCTGCTTTTGATCATTCTTGGAGTCTTTAATGTTTATTTTGCTTTTGCTTTCGATCTTCCCCGGAGTCTGCTTCAATCCCCAGCTCTTGATCTTGCTTCCGCTCTTGATCATCCTCCCAGCCTTCTTCTTGCTCCTCCTCTTGTTCATCCTCCTCGTCTTCTTCTTGCTCCTGCTCCTGCTCATCTTCTTTCTTCTCCTCCTCGTCTTCATCTATCTCCTCGCCGTCTTCTTCCCTCTCGTCCTCCTGCTCCTGCGCCTCCCAATCCATCTCCTCAAAATCCAGCTTGCGCAGGTTGTAGGAGTGTTCTGACATCTCTGGTTTTTTTTTTGTTTTGAAAGTTCGATAGGTATTCGAACTTTGCTTTGTGGTTGGAGCAGGGAGTTTTTTGAACTCGAGATCTGTGCGATGAAGAGAAGAAGAGACGAGAAGTGGGTGGTGGGTGTGGGTGTGGGGTTTTATAGATGGTTGGTGAAGCTTCAACATCTGAGGCTGGCGAGATTCAATCACAGATTGTAAGTGAAGTGAGGTTAGGTCTCTGGCGAGATTCAATCACAGATGGTGAGTGAAGTGAGGTTAGGTCTAGCCATCACCTCACAGGTTAGTGGATATCACCGAGCACCGATACCGCCCACACTGTCCGGACCTGTGAATGATATCCCCACAGATTGCACAGAATTTTCTAGAAGGCTACCATGATGGAGTAAACATCTCCTTTCCCGTTACACTTATGTGGGTTCTTGAGCAATGAAGATATTACGGATATGTTGTTTCGGCGCGGTTGCAAAGGCGTCGAATGACTGAAAATGGTAGGCCTATGAAACAAGACTTTCGTCATGATCAGTAGACCGATGTTCGTAAAGACAAAGATGCATTCGATAACGCAATTGAGGACTCTTAGTCTTCACTCTGGTAAAAGGGAGAGCCACTGCATTTACAAAGAGCCATATTTTCTGGATACGCCCGCTCGTTCATGAATGAGCCGAGATCGTGTCGACGACTCTACCAGACAGAGAGCCAGCACGGATGAAGCGATATCGTTGATCACTACGGTTGTTATCACCGATTCTGATATGCGAGACACGGAATATTGGAGCCATGAACGGCGAATATCTAACCACGCCGAACTCTGCTCTTGAAATGTTGAGAAATACTAAACGTTTCTACATAACGATACAACTTAGGCGGCTGGTGTTGCCCGCTGGCCTCTCCTCTTCCTCTGCTTCCGCCTGCTGCTCCTCCTCCAGCTGTTCGTTTTCCGGCTGTTGCTGGAGCTGCTGCTCCACCTCCTTCTCCTCTGCCTCCCCCAAGACCTCCTCCTTGAAGTCCATCCACACCGGCCACTGGCCTTCGACACCAGCGGGCACGGTGATCACCATGGCCACCACGCCGCTGGGGGCGCGCTTCCTACCTCCAGGCTGGAGGTAGAAACGCGCACCCTCCACCAGCGTGGTGTGCTCGTCGAACTCGATGTCCGCGAGCCGAGCCATGGTGGTGGGCTTGAGGGCGTATATGTACTTCTTGGCGCGGGCGGACTTGGAAATGCCGCTCGCGGCCTTGGGGATCTACGAGCGCCGTGTCAGATGCAGTGCGATAGGAGTGCGGGTCATGCTCACCTTGGGGGAGTTGCGGGCAGGCTTGACGGTGGTAGCGGCCTTGGTGGCGCGCTTCTGCAGGTTGTGATTGTGTCCGGACATCTTTAGTAGATATCATGTCAGCATACATTATTGCGAGTGAGTGTGTGTGATAAGATGGATCTACTTTGGATATTCAAATTTTGCGTTTTGGTTTACGCAGAGAGTTGAGTGAATGTGCGGTGTGTGTGATGAAGAGAAGAGGAGAAGAAGAAGAGAAGTGGGTGGACGTGGGGATTTATAGGTGTTGGTGATCCAGGCTTGAGGATAAGCTTCAATACCTGTCAGAGGCTGACGAGATTCAATCGCAGATGGTGAGGGCAGGACTAGTAATAACCTCATGGGGCTATTAAACCTCACCGAGCGGCTATACCGCTCGCGCCGTCCGGACCTCATATGACTGCCGTATTCTCCCCCTAAGCCGCTCTGTAGTACTATCAGCCCTTTCTCGCCGCAGATACCACACTCTCTTCGCCGTGGATAGCACGCTTTCCTCGGTGTCCTTCGCTGTCGGATAGCCTCTGATCTTCCAACTACAGCCGCTATGTATCATCCTCATATGCCTTCCTACAGTATTTAGCCTGTCCCCCCGCGGATACCACAATTTCCTCGCCGTGGATACAACACCTTCTTCCCCTCGCATTTTTTGCTGGCTGCTAGCCGGGTGTATCGCGTCAGACTCGCTTTAAATATGTAGGATTGATTAGATAGAAAAAATGGAACCTCAGGTTGAGAAGATGTATTGCGCCTCGAAGGCTAGACGCAATATATGTTTGGATCAGTGAATGTTCATCCCTTCAACCGATGAAGAGGGCAAGGAGTTATACTGTATCTGAAGATTCGAAGACCCAGCGTGGAACCCCAAACGCCCCGCTTGCTACGTTCAAACTTGTCGAGTGCCTCGACCGTCACGTCCGGATAGAGGCGTTACCGTCTAGTGCCTGTAAAGAGGCACGCTGGGAGTGCTACGTTTTATACTGCCGCTGGGCGTTAAATCGCGCTTAAAGAGTCAAGCGCTCCGTGGGGAACACCAAACAGCCTGCCATGCTGCGTTCAAGCAAAACCCCTCGACTAGCCTCGTACGGTAGAGGGAGTTACTGTCCGAGGCCTGTCAAACACCTCGGACACCCGGTTGTATCGGGCGTGCACTCTCTTTTTTCCTGATGCAGATCTTCCCATAGATTGCACAAAACTTTCTAGAAGGCTACCATGACGGAGTAATGATCTCCTCCCTCAGCAGGAATTACTTATTACGCTTAGGGCAGAAGAAATATGAAGCCAGCAGCAGCGGCTTCCTTCGTAGCCCACCTTGGACGTAACGAACATCCACCGTGCAGCAGTTACTAGCTGATCATCAAAAAGGGAGCGCATGCTCGCTTGTCCGCTTGTCCGCTTGTCCGCTTGCTTCGCCGCCCATTACCCGCGTGCACTGTGCAGTCCATGGCGAGAAGCGGTGTCTGTCACTTCTGCTCTGACAGTGGACAGTGGGGAATGAGGGAGCCTTGTCGGGTCAGCCGCTCCGGCAGCTTGGAGGGGCAGGAAACGGATTGTGTTCTTGCCAATCCGCCTGTGGACCAAATCAACCACACGCAGCCGTTTAGGATGCGTCGCGAGAGAGAAGCAAAAATAAAGAAAATAGAAAAGAAATTAACCACCGTTGGGGGATTAGTCTAAAGGAAAAAGCACGAACTCCTCACAAATAACGGCTATCCCAATACAGGCCCACATCCGCCGCTTCTTCACCCCTCCAGACACTCGCTGCGTCGTTGCATTCCGCGACTGCAACCCTCAATTCGCTCGCCATTCCCGCAGGCCCACTTGCCAGCACCTGGGATCTACCGCCACCAGTGGTACTCCCCATAAACGCCGCCACCACATCTTTACACATGGGGCGGACATAAACAGCATATTTTTCCAGTCCATCCGCACTATCCCTTTCACTCAAGCTTGTGGATACCGCTTCGCCATCTCTAGTGATATAGGTTACTGCCGAGTGCCATCTCAATCAATGCCGATAGCTCCGCACGGATCCAGGCCAGGGAGCAACAGCAGATTCTGCTCCTGCTCTTCGCCGTCGTGTCCGGCAACCTCCTCGATTGCACGGCGGGCTTCGTCGGATATGAGGGGCTCTTCGCTCTCGGACTCAGGGTCTGAGTCGAACCGGATGATACAATTCTCGGTTCCCTTGTGTCTTCCACCTGGTGCCCGCCTCCGCCTTCCCCGAGATCTCCTCCCCCAAGTCCATTACTACCGGCCACTGGAGGTCGACTTCAGCTGGCACGGTGATCACCATGGACACCACGCCGCGTGGGGCGCACTTCCTGCCTCCAGGCTGGAGGTAGAAGCGCGCACCCTCCACGAGCGTGGTGTGCTCGCCGAAATTTATTTCGGCGGGCCGAGCCATGCTGCCGGGCTTTAGGCAGTAGACGTGTGTCTTCGGTGCGCGTGCGCACTTGGAGATCTGTAGGCACTTGGAGATCTGTGGACACGATGTCAGATGCGGCCGGATAGGAGTGTGGGTTGGGCCAAACTACCTCGGGAGCTTTGCGGCCATGCGGAATGGCGGTAGCGGGCTTTGGAGCCCGCTTGCGCAGGTTGTAGGAGTGTTTTGACATCTCTGGTATCCGAGTTAGCATTTGTGATCTGCGAGTGATTTGTGTGATAAGACGGATCTACTTACTTTGGATATTCAAATGTTGCGTTTTAGTTTTCGCAGAGAATTTTGTGAATGTCCGATATGTGTGATGAAGAGAAGAAGAGAAGTGGGTGGCGGACGTGGGGTTTTATAGGTGAATATGTTGGTGAAACTTCAACATCTGAGGCTAGCGGGATTCAAAAAGAAACCCTTCTATGTACACCAGCGGGCAGCGCGGGGCTAGGTCTCCGGGAGGGCTTACCCTGGCGCGGCCCTCCAAGGCGTTTGAGCGGGAGGACTAGGCACTTCGGAGCTTGAGCCTGCGATACCCTTAGTAGCCTGCAAACCCAATACTGTGATTTGTGCCTGTAATACCAGTTGCGAATACGCAATAGTAGAGGCTCCATTTCCTCGTTATCACAGACAAATCGATTACGAAAGCACGCTGTTTGGTTTACCAGCTGTAGAAAACTACAGTCGACATATAAGCCGGATGAGCATATTTCGCACTCTTCAGTAGATTCGGACCTAGCTGCTGGTCACAATCTTGGTACTGGCCAGTGATTGCTCGGATTCAGGCCGTCGCTTCAGTGATACGTTGTTCCATCGGTATGAAAGAACTGTTCAGGACAACCATACGGCGACTACTTCCCGAGGACGTAGCCGTGGCAGAGTCAAGCGCCCATCTTGGCTATAGGCTAGCTACTGCCAACGCTGCACACCGGCGTGCCTCCAGGCCACTCTTGGTCCCTGTGCTCCACCGGAGGCTCCCGTGCTGCTGCTGGTGGTGGAGACTTTGATCGTCTGGCGTCTTCACCGGTGCGGCGATGGTCTTTCGGATCAACTGCTGCGTGTCTCGATAATGGGCAACGATCCCACACACCCGTCGCCGGATGCTGATGAATCACCGTGCCGATCTGCGACGAACCGTGATCTCCGAGCCTCTCCGCTACCACCCTAGACCGAGAAGAGCCAGAAAAAAATCTCACCCCCTCGCATTGCAGCCAGGAAGATGATGTTTTTTATGAGGAAACCCGTAGGAAAAAAACCTCGACCACGTAAGGGGCGTTATATCAATCCGCTGTGCTCTTGCCACTGCTGTGCTTGCTCTTTACTCTTGCCACTGCTGTTGTGCTTTGCTCATGCCTGTGCTTGAAGAAGAAAAAGGAAAGGAGAGATGGAAGGAGGGAAGGGGTGGTTTTATAGGTGGTGTGAGCTTAGAATCGTGCAAGCTTCGAAGCTTGCTAGTGTGTTTTCACGGGGTTTTGGCTTTAGCACTTTTTCTACAGATAATTTTAGGCTCGCGCCTCGGCCGTGACGATCATCTTGCTTTCGTTCCCCATACCTCGTTCATGTCGTGGTAGAGAGCCGTTTCATAGTGTAACAGCTGCCGTCCTGAAGCACATTGTCATCCCTCAGAAAACACTATTCCACGCAATAGCCTCGCGGAGGCTATTGAACCTCACCGAGCGCCGTCAGGGCCTCTAATCAGATCTTCCCACGGATTTCACAGAACGTTCTAGGAGGCTACCATCACGGAGTAAACATCTCCTCCACACCGCCGGTCAGTACTACCCAATCATTAAAAGCGAGCGCTTTGCCCGCTTGCTTGCTTCGCCGCCCATCATCCGCATGCACTGAGCAGTCCATGGCCGTGAGAAGCGGCGTCTGTCACTTCTACTCTGACAGTAGACAGCAGCGGGGAATGAGGGAGCCCTGTCGGGGTTAGCCGCGGGAAGCAAAAAAGAAAGAAGATGGAAAAAAAAGTAATGTCTTCTACATTACGATGCAACTCCGGCGGCTGGTGTTGCCAGCCGCCTCCTCCTCTTTATCCACTTCTGCTTGCTCCTCTTCCCCCAGCTGTTCATTTTCCAGCTGTTGCTGGATCTGCTGTTCCAGCTTCTCCTCCTGCTCGTGCTCCGCCGCCGCCGCCTGGCGCTCCTCCTCCATCACCTGCTCATCCGCCTCCCCCAAGAACTCCTCCTCCAAGTCCATTTCCACCAGCCACTTGGCGTCAACTCCAGCGGGCACGGTGACCCTCATGGACACCACGCCGCTCGGGGCGCGCTTCTTTCCTCCAGGCAGGAGGTAGAAACGCGCGCCCTCCACGAGCGTGGTGTGCTCGCCGAACTCCAATTCGGCGAGCCGAGCCATGCTGCTGGGCTTTATGCAGTAGACGTATGTCTTCGGCGCCCGCGCGGCCTTGGAGATGCCGCCGCTGGCGGACTTGGGGTTCTGTCAGAGCGGTGTCAGATGTCGTGCATTGGGTGGGAGTGCGGGTGGGCTTGTGCTTACCTTGTTGGCCTTGCGGCCGGGAGTATTGACGGTGGCTGCGGGCTTCGCGGCGCGCTTGCGCAGGTTGTATCGCTGTCCGGAAATCTCTGGTATCCGAGTTAGTATTTGTGATCTGCGAGTGATTTGTGTGATAAGGCGGATTTACTTACTTCGGATATTCAAATGTTGCGTTTTAGTTCTCGCAGAGAGTTGTGTGAATGTCCGATACGTGTGATGAAGAGAAGAAGAGAAGTTGGTGGGTGGGAGTAGGGGTTTTGTAGGTGTGGGGGTGAAGCTTCAATATCTGAGGCTGGCGAGATTCAATGGCAGATGGTGAGGGAAGGCCTAGTAGTAATCTCGCGGGGCCATTGAATCTCACCGAGCGGTGATACCGCTTGCGCTGTCCGGACCATTGATCGGATCTTGCCGCGGAATGCATGACAGAACATTCCGGAAGGCTACCATGACGGAGTAAACATCTCCTCCAGACCACCAGGCAGTAGTTACTGGCTAATCATCAAAAAGCGAGCGTTTCGCCCCGCCTGTTTGCTTGCCTGCTTGCTTCACCGCTCATAATCCGCGTGCACTGTGCAGTCCATTGTGGGAAGCGGTGTCCTGATACCTATCCACAGTCCAGAAGACTGGCTGGTTTCCCGCGCTCTACGTAGGATCCAAGGGCACCAGCCCCAAGAGAGCTCCTGATAGTGATCGGATCGAGGAAACTCCGCCGTCGCCTCACCCTCCCGTCACTGAACCTTCCGTCACTGAACCGCCTGCTCTGACCGGTCCAGAGCCTCCTCGATGTCCCACACAGTCTCGTCCTCCACCACTCCTCCCACTCCATTGACGCCGTTATTGCAGCGCTGGCATCCCCATCGTCCATAGAGGACGGCTCATGGGCTGGGCTGGCTCCTCGTCTGTGTGGCTTGGCGTCATGATACATCACCCGCGAGGTGAAAGTGTGGAGCCGGGGGACGAGGAGCTGGCAGCGGTGTGCGGAGGATGGACGGGGCTGAGTCCTGACTGATGGCGGCTTGTTTTTTCTGTTCCCCATTTCTGTATGTAGTTGCTTCGGCGCGTTCAACAGCAGCAAAATCCGTCCAGCTCCTGCATTCCGCAATGTTCTGATTTTCGTTCCGCCACAACTACGGGGAGAACCCCGTGCCGAAGTTGCTCTCTACCCTCTATCCTCTACTCTATATCCCCGAGGCGAGACAAGAGCGGGAATGTAACAGTAACGCTGGTACGCAGGCTGCGGCCAAGATCCAGTACGAAACACAGCTGCGGAGTTATTCAGTGAGGCGCGGGGACCGCCAGCACTGTATGGAGTGGAATAGGCGTTGGGGATATGCTAGTAGAGTACATAAGTCCATCCAGCTCCGTACATGCACGCCCTGAGTGCGGATGAGATCGAGGACAACAGCAGCGTCATCCGAAGACACGGCGTACTACCTATTGGCGAGCCACTGACGGGAGAGACGTGAGGCAGAAGATAGGTAGACTAGAAACGACATGAGCGGGCTTGTTTGCGAAGCCGTTCATTCCGAGGCACGCAGCGTTCGTTGGTATGTACATTCGGCTCCCAGTTGCAGCGCGGGGAATCACTCGCACCGCACCGGACCATACCGCTACAAGTCCGGTTTAGTATTGAGTGCCCGCAACACACGGAAGGCTCGGCCGAGCTAACCAGCGCTGTGTGTGAATTCGGGCGACGATAGGAGGTGCGGGCAGGGCGGATCACAACTGATCACTCGCGCGGCGCATCAATCAACTCTCGGTCATGTACTCTACCGCGCCCGGGGGATGCCGGAGCGACTGATCCGGACAGAGCGATCCAGACCGACGTGATTACTCTAACTACGTGCGCACAGGATCTGGTTTGGGGTCGAGTCGCATACGCGAATCATGGCCGCTCACTCCCGCCCCCGGCTCCCAATACATCCTAAGCGCCGGAATTACCGCGCCGACTTTCCGGCCGTTTCATCAGACATGAGGCACGAGGCATGAGGCATCAGTCGGGAACGGTACTGGGGACACCTGGGGACACCTGCCATTTCGCACCGGAAATCTCCACGTCTAACTACCGCATAGATGATGGCAGCTCTGCCGTGAAACACTCACACTCACACCCACACTCAGTAACCGGCGTCGGAATCTCCACAGCCGCTATGGACACCGCAACTTCACGGGCACTGGCACTCACGGGCGTTACGCAGCAGTTTTCTCCTCCGAGTTTGCACGCCTTGCCCGCGATTCGGTCGACCGGCGCGGGACTGGACGGCGGCATTATCGCCACTATCGCCACGCAGAGTGGGCAAACAACACTGTTGCGCGATATCCCGCGCTTCGAATCGAATCCAACCCGCTGTCACTGTCACTGTCTGGCAGAGTGCTCTACTATACCCAGATTGAAGATATGTCGGTACATACCTCATACATACAATCTACACATGTATTCCTGCCCGTTCCTCTCGGCTAGTTAAGGCTAAGGATGTTTTTTTCTCTTTCTCCCCCTTCACCCCCCGTACGTACGTACGTGCGTGCGTACGAACCGCATGAGTGAACGTGAATACTTACACAGGCACTCCGATTAGGCAGGCAGGCAGGCAGACAAGCGGCCGACGTTCACGCACCGCAAAGTGACAAGTGTGCGGGAATGCATGTTATGCATGGCTTCGCACATGGTATGTATGTACCTACCGATGTATTCGGATTCCCCCGTGTGTATTGTACTATGGCTTACGCTGCGGCTGTCTGGCAGATATCTTCTTTGTATGTGCCATAGGTACAAATTATTATCGCCCTGCAGAAAGAAAAGAAGAAGAAAAACTGGAAGCGATACAGCGAGTCGACCGCCCAGAAGAATAGAGTAGGATGCGAAGGGAGGATGAGCGCAGCAGACGCACGATTTTATGCGCGCAGCCAGTTGCATCCGGTTTCGAAGTTGCCGCCGTACCCCCGCCGCGCCGCGCTGCGCTCCGTCCCGCCCAGCTAGTACCGTACCGGATATATTCCCGATGTGCAGTAACTACGGGAGCTGCAAGTTGGCTTCCCGTCACTTGTTTAGGCCGCAAAGAGAAGGGGAGAAATATGCGCTGGGTAACTTGGGAGGGCCACGAGGCATGTTGCTCCAGACGCGGTAACGTTCCCTTCCTGGATGGGGGATGGCATGATGGCATGGTGGTGATGGGTCCGCTATGTATGGACAGCTCTAATGCTCAGATCGAATAGGGTAACTTGAAGGACTATCCATCGAAACACCAGCACTACCACCACTACCCGCTGATGGCCGGTCTCCACTGGCTTTCGGTCGTTGGCGTGGTTACCTGCCTATCGGTTGACCTGCCCGGTGGCGGATCGTCCCATCGAGTCCATGTTGGGAATGAAACAGATGTCTGCTGCTGCTCCAGCCCACCTACGACCTGTCAATGCACCACAACATCGGTGGACGGAGCGTTTACGTTGTTTGGTGTGCCCGTGTGATTGGAGTACTCATTATCCGGTATACCCGTGCAGTTGGAGTACCCGTACTCCGCGCCACACTCCCTGCGACTGCCGTTCGAATATGGCTGTGTTGTCGGAAGGTCAAGGGAAAACCCACCCGCCGTGGTTGCACGTCGGTCGGTGCGGCTCGATGGAACGGTTCGATCTCGGGTGCGGCCCGTCCGTCCGTCCGCTGGGCACTCTCCGACGGCTAGTTGCGAACGGCCCGAGTGTGGTTCCGGGACTAACTAGCAGCCGAGCTCGTACAAGTACATACCGTATTTCGGACGAGGAGATTGGCAGGGCGAAGGGGGGCACGATCGACGGAGCCTCATCTCGAAAGGCTACTACCACACGCAAGTCCACTCGTGTCAATGTCCACATTGTCCACAATGTCCCGATGAACGGGCTTGCTATCGGGGTATCCCGCTAGGTAGTTATCACCGTCTCTACTATACGGATCGTAGAGTAACGTGGGATTTGATCTCGAGCTTGTCGGGTGCAACTTCCGTTGGCGGTCTTTGCTCCGGAGCGGTCATCCCTGGGAAAACTCGTGGTGATGACGGACGGGACGGCGACCTCTAGACTCTCACAATACCTCAGTCACGAGCCAAGAGACTGCTGGTGCTGGTGCTGGGGGTGCCGGCCTGGCGGTGCTGATGTGGACGGGGTTAATGAGTTAGTCGGGATCGTACTGTACAATACTGTACAAGTTAACCATGTAGATGGACCTAGATGGAACAACTAACCAACTAACCTGTCGGCGCCGGGGTTTCGCCAGCACCGCACCACACCGCACGGTCAGAACTTAGAAGTGGTGAAGGCTTCCAAGTCACCACCATCGTCCCATCAGCGGCCTACCCACCAAAGTGCCGAAGGAATGCTCTGTGGAGTGATTTCATCTGCCGTATGTACTTATCATATGTACATTCTTCCCTCGGTAATGATGGTAACGATGGTAGCCTCACCCCGTCGATGGTCATGGTGCGCACGCCTCATATGTGTGTACATGGCAGGGTTTTGCAAGGTACCGTAGCAGCGAGATATACCTACCACCGTAAAGCAACCGCAACCTCGGAATTGATTCTCCATGAATGTCAGGAACGGCCTGCCGCGGCGCATCGGGACGTCGGGGTTAGTCCACCACGCCGAATTGTTTAAGCTTCATGATCCGCTGTCGCTGAGCAACGGCGAACGGCGAGCCGCGAGTGGATTGACAGCAGTTAACATGCCAACACCGGCCTCTTTCAGATGTGATCGCAGCCTCTCGAGCCTCGTCGGTGTTCGAAGTCTCTCGATGTAGGCACGTACCTAGTACTTAGGTAAGTAGCTTGAGCTTGCCGAGTTCCGAAGGTGAACCAGCCAATTGAGCACAAGTCGCCCTGCGGATGACTACTAACTACCCATCCCCAGTCGTCTCGATGGACACCGATACCTCTACACAACTATTACTTTTATACGCAGTACCTAACCAAAAGCACTCGATAATAGTAGTAATCGTATCGTCGCCAGCGGCCACACCGTCCAAACGGGGCGATATCGCCGGTTGGCCGGCCAGTTTATTACGAAACGGCGAGTCGAGCCCGAGAGGCCGAGACCTCCCGCCCTGCGATCAGCCCACACATCTCCTCCTACGTGTCTTGACTCCGAGATGGCGGCGGGCCCTGTGATGCTGCTGATGATGCTGTGGATGCTGTGGATGTGCGGACGGTGGGGACGGTGGGGACTGTTCATTGGGAAACACTCACATCTGAGACATCGCGAACCCAGGTTGTGGGAATTGCGTCGCTAGTTACTACCTATGTTACATACATGGGAGCTCTATGTATGTATGTATTCGGACGGGATCCCACCGGCCGAGGCTGACGCACGTGGGTAAGGGAGCGAGAGGTTTGTTGGATATGGGGACGTGGTACCTATAGGATAGGTATAATAGTACCTGCTGGTTGGCCACGGCGAGGGTGGCAATTCCGAGAGCAGCAGCAGGGACTCCGTCATCGTGCGATCGACTGCTGGAGGAGCTGGTGCAGGAAACGAGGAAGAAAACCAGCACCTACCATGTGAAGCTCTCCCTCTCCCTCTCCACCCGTGATCTTGGGAGGTTACACGAGACGAAAGGGATGCGATCGCGCGTCGCAGTGGAACTCGAACGACCATTACGACTTCGCTCCGTCCATACGGTATTCGCAATCTACTATTTCCGATGCCTGAATCCCCGACTTCCCGACTTCCCGAGAGCATCCGTAACTGCGACTGCGACTGCGAGCAGCTCTGGCTGCTTTCCGGGATACCTGAGTAGAGCAGAGTACCTAGGCGAGAGTCGACAAGTCGAGAGTACGCGGCGGGGTGCGTGTGAGCGGATGACCCGAGCCAGACTGGGTTGTCCTCCGACCCCGCTGCGCTGTTTTCCGTTTGGCGATAGTTACCGGTAGTTAGGATCGAAGCCGTTTGGCAGTCAGCACGAGTCGCACAACGACAACGACAACGAATTGATGCTGCTGCTGCTGCAAGGAAGACTCGAGAGTCGAGAGTCGAGTTCGCCATAGGATAGGCCGTCGTACAGGTGTACATACCGACAAACAAGGTATACCCGCAACCCCACCCACCCACCCGACGGCGACCGGCATGGGATGGGATGATGGAAAAGTAAGTTCTGTGTCTGTTTCTGTGTCTGTGTCTGTTTCTGTGTCTGTCTGTGTCTGTGTATGTGTCTGTCTGTGTCTGTGTCTGTGTCTGTGTCTGTGTCTGTGTCTGTGTCTGTGTCTGTGTCGGTGTCTGTGTATGTGTCGTGGTGGCTCGAGTTGGACAGACGTCGACGGTGGACGAGACACGACATGGCACGACATGGATACGTGAGCAACCTGTAGTTAAGTGGTCGTTTGATATTCTGCGTGTGATGTACGGTATGTACCTATGTTACGTACATAACCGCTTCCATTTTCCTATGATACCTAGCAGAGTACATGGATCGCGGCTGCGACTGCAAGTTTTGCGGAGATGTCCGCGGGCGGGCGGGGTATATAGCATAGGGTAATAGAGTAGGTAGTAGGGTAGAGTATCCGGAGAAAGGAAGGAAGGAAGGAAGGAAGGAAGGTACAGGACGGTGTGGAATGTCCATCGGTGCGGATTTCGGTGTCGGTGTCGGTGTCGGGCCGACCGATCGCAGGGCGTCGGACCCATCGCCTCGACACCTATGTAGGCCTAGGTACTCAGGCATGTAGGTATGCTACACCCATCGAATTGCAGAGCGAACAAACCGGCTCTGTGGGAATCCGGCACCTCTGGAGTAGAGTAGAGTACATCCATACACACATCCATACATACCGGCGATCAACCGCCAATGGCAATCCTCGCTGGCCCCCTCGGTCAGCGGTCAGCGGTCAGCGTCGTATCTCGACTGCGTTTCAGGGGGGCATGTCTGGTGGTTAGGTAGGGTACTTAATGCGCCCAACTATGGAATTCCGAGACCATGGTTGCGAGTCTGCGACTCGCAAGCCGGTGCTGTCCTCCTGCAGTGAGCACCGGCCGCGACCGGGATCTATCATATGAGCCTTGAGCCTTGAGCCTTGAAAGCGGCGAGGAATATAGTTACTCTACATACTCTAGAGGTAGGTACATGGCCAGGCAGGCAGGTACATACTCTATGTACCTGCTCTAGGTATGCGACAAAGGAGTGCATGGACCACATGAAATCCCCAGGGAAAAGAAGCCGGAAAAAGAAAAAAAAAGAAACCTGGGGTTGCGGGTGCTGAACGATCCGACAGGATCACCCCCCCCTTCCAGTGCCCACTGCCCACCTCTCTCCCTCTATGTACCTCTCCCTCTCCCTCTCCAGAGTCTCGAGTAGGAGTCCTATCCATGGGTATTTGCCCGCACCCGCCACTGGGACCTGGGCAGGTACCTACCACGGTACAGATTACCCAAGGACACATAGCCGTGTCCGTGTCCACGTCCGGATAAGAATCTGAGGCAGGCAGGCAGGCAGGCAAGCAAGCAAAGGACCACAGCGCCGGCGGCGGCCCACAAGCCGGGCGGACGGACGCGACTCGCCAGTATGTACCGTAAGCAACTGGCTAAAGGCCAGCATAGTCTAATAATTATTATTACATAGGGGAGGTAAACAAGCAGAATGGCATGACCATGTAATATGCGAGTACCGTATGTACCAGCCATCACCCGCGTCACCGCGTGTCATGTCAAGCGCTCAGCGGCGGCAGTCCCAGACTGGAGTTCCCGGGTGCTCCGTCGACAAACGCGGATGAAACGGGGCATACTATGGCGTGCTGCCCGGCTGTTGCCGGGCCAGGAGATTCGTACGTACGGTGGGGCGGTCGGGAATTCGCTGGCGGCAGCGGCGGGTTGGTGGTCCTACGATTTTTCTTTGTTTTGGGGGTTTTCGTTTTCTTTTTCGGGGTTTTCTTTTTTCTTTCGGCTAAGCGTCGTTGCTTTTGTTGCTTTTGTTTTGGTTTATGGAATAACCCGCTGGGGTATCCTGTAGTACTCTACTGGAGAGCACAGGAGGAGGGTCGTTTGCGCACAGACTTTTCGAAAAGGATGGCCGTGCGCGGTAGATGTGAAGTAAAGCAGAGCAACCAAGGACTTGCCTAGAGTGTGTATGGTACGCACGCAAGACACGTTGTGCATGCGATGCGATGCGACGCGACCGTGAACTCTACCGCAGTCAACACTCAACAGTTGGCAACCCGCCGTCTCGATTTGCTTTCCTCCTCGTCCCTCTCCTCCGAACCTTTCTCGACACGATGGTTACCGGTACACGTACATGTACATGTAAGCAGGAGGCCAGGCGTCGCCGGGGAGAAGTCGAGGCACGATCCTCTCTCTTTCTCTGCTGCCGCTGCCGGCTCGTCTCGCGACGAATGAGCGACTGAGACGGAGAGTACCCGCACCGCACCAGACTGTGCGGTGGAGTAGATACAGACTGTGCGCCTGATCCGTCACATGCCGCGGCTGAGCTCTCATTTCGGCGATAAAAGCGCAGCAATTGCCGACCGACCGGCGACAGCTACTGCCATATGGGTTGCGAGTACTCGAGTCTCGCTCTGCTTGCTATGGTTACTGTATTTACTCTGCTCACTTTGGTTACTCTGTAAAAACTAGTCGGACCGTGTTGCTGGAACCTATCGGGACCATAGTTTGGTATGTCGTTACATCGGTGGAGCGATTATATCGACATCGACCTGCTTTGGCGCACAATTGCCGCTTTGCATCGGTTTGCTTTGCTTCGATTTCTTCGATTTCTTCGATTTGCTTCGATGTGCTTTGATTCGATGTACTTTGCACCGATTTGCTTCGCTCTGCTCTGCTTGGCTTTACTTTGGTTTGCGCTGCTTGCAAGAGAGCGGTAAATACTCTTCATGAATCGTCGCCGCCACCGCTACTCTACCGTGACAGTGACGGGCGAGGTGGCAGTATACCATACATAGCACCATAGCACCATCTAGAAGCCCAGTAACCAGTAGTTAGCCCAGTAGTAGTAGTCTCAATTCCTGACGATTCCCAGACTCGCAACGACGCAGCATATGTCACGATGCCCTCCATCCACCCGGCCGGCTGGCGTGCCGAACCCAGGGCATTCCTTGCACTACTAGCATCATACTCTACCAGACTATACCAGTAGCTTGCTTCGCTCCCCCACCCTACCGAGAAGTTAGAACTCCCAACCAGGGGGACGAGGCGGGCGGAGACGGGGGGACGAGGGGGAAAGAGACGGGGGAAAGGGAGAAGTCCTTCACGTTCCAGAGAGAACTCCCACACGGATGCTAGATAGAGTGGAGAGTCCACAGGCCACAGTCCAGACGGATTACGGTAGGTCAGTGCCCAGACAAGTGCCCACGATATTCACATATGTACCCCCATATCATATGTGCTCAACTGAACCCATGCTGCGTTACCTTCTGCGTTACTGCGAGGGTGGATGGTGCCAACGAGGACGAGGACGAGGACGAACCTATCGTCCGCCCCCAAAGTATGTACCGACTGGTGACTGAAGATTCTTCTACGCTCTGCGTTGCACACACCTACTTGTGCATACTGCAGCGTACTGCAAACCCTTCAAACCCTTTTTCGCACGCCCTCGTCGAGTCGAGTGAATGACTGGAGTCCTAACGCATTCGGCGTTCCCAGTGTGGGGGGACCGCCCACGCCTGCGCAGTGCGAAGCGAGCCGCCGGTACATACCGGTACATACCGGTAACTATAGTACCGTCCTGTGCTATATAGTTCAAGGGGGGATATATAATGAAAACGTTGGTTCTTGCTGGACGCATATCGATGTCGGAGTTTCGGAGGTATCACCGCCATTCTCTTGAAGATAGGTAGAACTACCAGTTTTTTACACCCCCTTGACAATACAGTAGATACATGGTAGGTATACTCTTCTCTATTCTTCTCTGCTCGCCTACAACCATCGTAGATGCCCGACCGACAATTAACCGTGTCTCGCCTTCCACGTACACCTTGTACGTACCGGCAGACAGGCAACGAATCGGCAGCGGCACCGGCGGCGAGGAGATTACCGTAATCCGTTTTCTTGACGGTTTCGCGAGTCGGATCGGGCCCGGACGGCAAGTGCCGGTGCTTCGGCAGTGAACCGAGCCTGTCTAGCGTACTGCTGGCCATGTATGTACTGGTAGGTACTGTAGAGCACATATGTAGAGTACATATCATACATAGATCGTCTGGATGGATGGGTGGATGGATGGATGGGTGGATGGATGGATGGGTGGATGGATGGATGGGTGGATGGATGGATGGATGGATAGATGGATGGGTGGGTGGTCTCGGTCAGACGTGAGGAACAGAAAGAGCATTCGCGGGTGCGGGTACGTGGAGATGGGTATCATACATATCGTACATATCGTACATATCGTACATACAACGAGCTGAGGTTCAAGTATGTACATAGGTAGATCCTTCAGGCCTGCGTATATGGTATTCCTACGGTCGTAGCACTGTTTCATAATCGTATAGACATCATCTAGACATAATCTTCATCATCTTCATCCTCTTATCCTCCATATTCGATGACCTGTCCCATTATTACCATACACAGCCCCCGAAACCGATAGCCCCGAACCCCATCACCACCACCACAACAACAATTCCAGTAGTTCCCGCTCGAAATATGGATCCGCTAACACCCTTCTCTAGCAGCCGTTCGGTCCATCACATGCTGGTCAACGACTCGGGGTAAGGCGAGCACATCCAAGTCCGGGATGGCGTTTTTGTATTTTGCATCTATCCAAGCCGTTCGAGGCCCATCGGGACAGACCATGCCATGCTTCACTGCTGCTCTGACTGCCTGCGGACGATAGATCATGGATAACCGTTAACGAAGCACCCAGGCATCCAAGCAAGTATGTAGAGCAAGTAGAGTATGCACATATGTAGGGGCTAAGCCTCAAGGGCTTCGAACCAATTGGGAGGCTGCAGGTTGGTAACTGGTTAGCCGTGGCTCGTCGTTGGGTCGGTATGTATTTTTGGATGGGAAAACTATCTAGAATCGGCGTACCTACCTACTCGCCCACCTAGGTCCTATATACGCCAAATAGGAGCGGACGATGAAACTCACCGGAAAATGAAAGCTCGACTGGGAGGGGACATACAGGATCATCCTGTCTGTTTGAGTACATATCGTCAAACCAAACCAAACCAAACCACGAGGGATGTACCGCAGTACCGCCGTACCGGTATCTGTGGTTGAGGGTGTACCTAGGTGTACACTGTAGGTGTGCACGGGGAGCCTGGGAGTTTTTGAGCAACCTCACACCACTCTCGAACCTTCGAGCTGTACTCACCGCACCGCCGGTAGAGTTCGATGAGTTCTATGGTTGATGTCCCATCCCCATCCCCATCCAGTTCCGCGTGTATAGTATGATCCGGTTGGTGGGCGGATATGTGCGACTTCTTGATGGTCGTTCTCCCCCCATACTCTCACCCCTCACCCCTCACCCCTCACCCCTCACCCCCATCCCCCCGAGTGGGTTCATCGGGACCGCATTCAGTCTTCATCTTCACCTGCGTGTATGTAGTTAAGCGTATAAGGGTATAAGGGTAAAAGTGGGGGAAGGATGAGCCCTCGAGTGTTACCGAGTCTCCAGTTTCAGACTGGGCTGGCCGCTGGTTGATGGGCAAGAACTGCTCCTCCGGGAGTGCTCCTCCTCCTCACATGGGGTCGGCAGATGGAGTTCTAGGAGCATGGAGTCCTAGAGCATAGAATCCCAGAGCATGGAGTCCTAGAGCATAGAATCCCAGAGCATGGAGTCCTAGAGCATAGAATCCCAGAGCATGGAGTCGGCGCCACAGCATGGAGTTCCAGTGCATAAACGTAAACGCCCAACAGTCCCAGCACGACTCCATGAGATCGTCAACGTGCTGCTTTGAGTGGGACTGTGGGAATAGGTGCAACTTGCACCGACTTCCTTCCCCGTCGCCGGTGCTGACGCTGCGACCGTCGAGGGCTGTTCATGTGCATATCCCATCTCTCATCAGCATCATCGGCATCATCGGCATCATCGGCATCATCATCATCTTCTCTAAGACGTCGGGATATCGATATCGATCTGCACCGAGGATGTCTGATGCTATGCATATATGGGCTGTGGAGCTGAACCGCCGGGTTCTGCGAGTGCAATAGAGTATTCGCGGCCTTGATGTTGTGCAATGGTTTGTGGAGCTTTGTGGAGCTTTGTGGAGCTTTGTGTAATCGATTCAAGGGAAGAGAGAGAGAGAATCTTTTTTTTTGCACAATCGCTGCGCAGTGTGGTAGATGCCAGGTAGGTGGGAGTTTAAATTCGAGCTTCGAGCACGTTCTTGTTTCTGTGGGCCTGTGGCGGCCGTTCTGCACATTGGTTTCCTCGGAAAAGGGGACTGGGACTGGGACTGGGGAGGGCGACGAACGCAAGATTCCACCGTAATTCCACGATGATACTGAGATACTCTAGACTCTAGGGTATGCAGTGCCGTCCTCGCAGCACGAGCGCGGTAGGACAAGTCACAAAAGTGGATATCTGGATTTCTACGATATCCAACATGCAACCAACTCTGCGGGACGATGGAAGTAGAGGCTGCGGAAGTCGATTGCCACTGGCCACGGGGAGTGCCGGCGGCTTGGCTGCCCTGCTGAGCCACACGGACATAGTACGTAGCGAACACTTTGGGCCCCGGATCCAGGAACCGAGCAGGCGTGTAATTAATCTTGTGGGGGGTCATGCCACCGCGTGTGTGGGTCTCGATTCTCGAATGGCTGGCTTCGTGGCTGGCTGGCTGGCTTCGTTCGAACGACGAAGGAGCGGAGCGGAGTCGAGCAGTGGAGCAGCAGCAGCAGTGGGGATCGTGAGGATGTGTATGTAGAGTAGTCTATTCTACTCTACTTCCCAGAAGGATCCACAGCTGCGTCGAGAATCTGGAGACTCGGATTCTACATACGGTAGAGGAGCACATACCCTACCGTGGCGTAGCGGGAGTGTACATGCCCGATGGAGGAGAAACACATGTAAGTAGCACGGGGGAGGGGTGGCATCATCAGAGCCAGCCCACAAGCAGCATGTCTCGAGCGTGATGGGAGCCAGCCGACGAGCCGACGACTCTCTTACTTAGCTAGAGTAGGCACCTGTTTGCTTATTGAGGACTCGGGCGGGAACGGTCTGTGAATTAAAGTACCACGGGTACGTACCCGCACGAGGAGAGGGAGGAGCAGGAGGAGGACGAGCAGCGGGAACAGAAGGAGGACGAGCAGGAGGACGAGCAGGAGGACGATGAGAAGGAGGACGACGAGCAGGACGACGAGCAGGACGACGAGCAGGACGACGAGCAGGACGACGAGCGGCTCGCGAACGTGGTTGTTCCCTGAACGCCTTCGAAGGCACTTTTGTTTCTTCGTCGGCCCCGCCCCCCTTCTTTTGGGTGGTACTGCGTTTGCAGCGCGCGACTAGTAAAGTAGAGAGTGTGATTGTTCCATGCGAATCACGGTGATCATCATGAGACCGCGCAAGAGGCGGAGGAGAATAGAGCCGTGTAGCGAAGCGTCACTGAGAAGAACCGCTTCATGCTATAGTTCTGCCCACTATTCCAGCCGATGTTCTATCGCGTCTCGTCGCCGAGAAGAACAGCTACTAGCAGCATCGCGCCTCGTCCTCACCACAGCTATTCCCTTCCCGCCCATGTTCCATCGCGCCTCGTCCTCACCGCAGCTATTCCCTTCCCGCCCATGTTCCATCGCGTCTCGTCTCGTCTCCGGCCGCCTCGCTTGCAGTCCTCACCGCAATGGGTTGGCTGGCTCGTCCTTCTTTCTCCAATGCAAGTCGCAGGCGTGTTGCTGGAGCCAATTCCCCATTGCCTCGAGTCCCGCCATCCCGCTCTCCGTAACCGTCGCACATCTGCGTAGAATGCCCCTTGTCGCGAGTACCATGCTGGCCGGGCCTGTTAGTTTGGCTGCCCACCGTATCGGCCAGTCCAAATTCCAAACGTGATAGCGTGGTGTGTGTGCACTCTCTCTCTCTCTTGGTGTGCGTCGCTTTGCTTTGCCTGCTCTGCTCTGCTTTGCTCTGCTTTGCTTGCTCTGCTTGCTCTGCTTTGCTTGGTTGCTGCTGGCTGGCCCACACACACCACTCACTCCCCCCCCCCCCCCCCGGACCAGCCCGTACCATACCTATCCCATACACACCCGCCTTCCCCATCCTCCCTCCCACACGACCCACCCACACCCCCCCCCCGACCCCAAAAAAAAACACACACCCCCCCATCCCCCCATCCCAGCACAATGGATTGCTCTACGGTTCGCCCATAACAACAAAACCCCAGATCCGCCCTCTATTTCTTGTCCCTTCCTTCTCCCCACCCGCAACCTGAGTTCCCCCCGCACACCTCAGCAACATCTCGTCAATTACACCCCGACGAGTGAATAAAAGTGAAGGAGACAAGTTCACTGGTTCATCCCTCCATTACCACCACCTACTAGCTACCCGCTCCCTGGTACGCGCCAAACTTTCTGTCCCGACAACAACAACAACAAACTACCACTACTACCCCATAGCACCTCGCCTACTATCGTTGGACCACACTCACTCTCCCACACCCCCCCCCCCCCCCAATTGCTCGCTCGACTGCCAGCATTCAATCGCTCCGCCCATCCAATACATAAACCCTCCACCCCCCACCACTTGTAGCTCGCATAGCCAACGAATCCCATCCTTCGAGTCTCGGTTCCGTCCACCAAACAATCAAAGGCTTCACCAAAAATGGCTGGAGATGAAGGGAGATCCGAAAAGTCGACGTCTATTCGTAGACGTCTGACCACCTCCATCAAGCGTGTCATGAGCTACACCTCCTCGAAGTCCAATAAGTCCTCGGGTTCCATGATCGCCTCCGAGCCGCAGTCTCCGATTGTTGCGTCTTCTTCCGCTGCTGTTACTGCCACTACTGCTGCTCCCGTTGTGTTGGCGTCTACGTATGTTGAGACACGAGATGGGATGAACACTTCGCTAACAGCTCTTCACAGCCCCGCTCCCACCAGGCTCACCGAGAAGCCCGCCCACAAGCCCGCCCACAAGCCTTACCGCCCTCCCAAGAACCCCACCTCCCCTCCTCCCGTCATGAGCGCCGCTGAGCGTGCTCAGGCCCTGTTCAAGAAGCACGGCCTCGACGTCAAGTCGACTGACTTGCCCCTTTCCACGACGCCCCAGTCGGACCGTGTCCAGAAGGACATCCGCATGCGCGTCCATCGCAGCTGCCACAAGTGCGAGACGCCCTACGGTGCCGACAAGACCTGCCTCGAGTGCGGTCACAAGCGGTGCAAGAAGTGCCCCCGACACCCGCTCAAGAAGTCGAAGGACAAGGGCAAGGAGAAGGTCACTACCAAGACTGGCATCGCCCCTGGCTATAAGAAGCGCAAGGGTGACATCGCCTATGGTATCACCATCCCGGGCAGGAGGGGCGGACAGGATCTGGTCCGCAAGGAAGTTCGTCAACGCGTCCATCGCAAGTGCCATCGTTGCGATACCGACTTCGCTTCCGAGAAGGTCTGCGGCAAGTGCAAGCACAACCGTTGCAAGAAGTGTCCTCGTCATCCGTATGCATTCCCTCCATTTACTCCTGTCAATACCAGCCAGTGTCTAATATTATTTTCTTTCAACAGATCTCCCAAGGGTGGAAAGGACTACGGAAAGAACGACCCTACCGATTCGGAGCCGGATTATCCCGCCCCGCCACGCCGGACCTACAAGAAGCCCCGTCGCCGTGTGCACTGGACTTGCAACAACTGCCAGGCTACTTTCATAGAAAAGACGAAGCTTTGTGGTGGATGTGGCTCCAATCGGGATGACACGGGTGTTAGAGACCCGTAAGTTTCCTTTATATTTGCAAGGTTATCCTACAATTTACTGACGCAAGCTACAGTCCCAAGAAGCCCAAGTACAAGCCGACCGACTCCGAAGTGCAACGCCTCAACGATCGTCTGAAACAGACCTCGTTGTCCGCCGCCTAATATACCCCCGCGACGGTCGAAGTAGTCATGAATTCCGAATTGGTTGGCGAGTGGCGTTTCCTTTTGTTTGCGTGTGCGATGATGATTGTGTTTTGCGTTGGCATAATTTTGTAAGGCTTCGTTCTTTTTCGGGGGGTTTAGCGGGGGATATACCTTGCGGGGAGGAGGAGAAGGGGAATGGGAAGGTGAAGGAGGGTGTGTGGAATGGGACGGAGGCGGGGGGCTTCAAAGTCACGGATGGTTCATCGAAGGAAGCCGTTGGCCGAGTTTGTGACAGAGGCAGTTATGTTATCATGTCGATCTGTCGCGACTCCAGCCACGGTTACCAACCAATTCGATGGATCCAATGGGCGTGCATCCCGGCGTTGTCGTTCCACGTGGATTTCTTTATTCAGTTTTTCGTTTTTTCGTTTTATTATTCATGATGCTTATTACTTGTTCCATGCTACGTTCGTTTAGCTTTGAGGTTGTGTTTCTTTTCCGTGCGGTTGCTCTACTCTTGTGGGATGGTTTGGAAAAGAACGGAGAAGGTCGTCGGTCGGGATGGAGGTCCTTTAGGTCGGTCGGGTCGGTCGGTCGGTCGGTCGAATGCATTCACACTTTGGCCCCATCTACCTGCCTGCCTACCTAATGTACTTACCTACGCTCATGGGACCCTCCCGCCAGACCAGCTCATTTACCCTGCTGCATTGTCGTTTTCTTCTGTCTGTTTTTTTCTTCTTTCCTTTTCTTCATTCGTTTTACTCCTGTACTCTTTGTTTTGTATTGATGGACCTCATGATGTTGATGAATTGCGTGTATTATTTTTGATCCTGCTCCTCACTCTATTATAAGTTGTAACGAGAGCGCTTTTTGCTCTTGCTCGCAGCTTGAATACCACTGTGCAAAACCTCGAATTATCCGTTGTAGGTTTGGACGGTATAGACGGTGTGGACGGTGTGGACGGTGTGGACGGTACCGGTTTTCGTGGCAGGATTGCGGAGGTTTCGGTTTCGTTTCCTGCTCCGGGGTCTGTGAGTCTGTTCACTAGTGACTAGTTACTGGTGACTGGTAACTGGCGACTGGTGACTGTCCACTCAGCACGGTCGATTGTCCACTCAGCACTACCTATCCACTGGTGACTGTCCATTATCCAGCCTCCAGACGCCAGCTCGTTCATCTGCCGCCCGCGTACCTATAATACCTATACTGGGAAGTACCGGTACATACATGAGAAGTGAAGTTACATGTCTACATAAGAAGTGTAGTTACAGAAGTATCTGCATCATGGTATGTATTATACAGACACAAGTATAATAGTAGTATTTCTAAAAGTCTGCACAGTGCAGACTCGGGAAGTACCATAACACATCATACCATACTAGAGTAGTATCATACCGTCATACCATCATACGGTAACTACCATACACCTACACTTTTATGGCCAGTTCTTGGTTAGTTCTTGGTCAGTTCTTGGTTAGTTGTTTCCACCGGTACATACCATACCATACAACAGCAGACCCTTTCTTCCCTTCTCTTCCTCCCCTTCTCTTCCTCCCCTTCTCTTTGCTGCACGCGGTTGAAGGTTCAGCCGCAGCTAAGTACCGTTGTTGGTCGGTCGTCGTCGTCAGTTGGTCGTCGTCGTCATCGTTCGTCTGGTCAGTGGTCAGTCGCCAGTGGTCAGTGAGTCGATTTTTTGTTTTTTGTTTTCTGTCTTGTTTTGTGCTTTGTTTTTGTTCAATCATTGCATTTGTTAGGCACCGTAGAAGACCCCCAAACGCTCTCAACCCAAAGCCCTCGACCCACCCGCCGCCCAGCCGCCAGCACCTCGCAACTCGCGCAATCCCGCTCGAATGCGCCTGGGTGTAGTTACTATGGCACCGAGCGGCGGCCGTGGCCGCGCGATGCGACGTTATGTGATGAGCCCTCCTGAGCCCTCCCTCCCTCCGTCCCTCCCGCAGCCGCGGGTAATTAGGTATTGCTCGCGTTATTGCTCGCGGGTCGGGGCTGAGCGGAGTAATTAGAGTACTCTACCTATGGACTCTGGAGTACGAAAATGGAGGATGGGAGGAGCGGCACCGGTTCTGGATGATTGATCCAGTCGCAGCTCCAGTCGCAGCTCCAGCCGCAGTGAGAGTGTATGAGAGTGTGCGCAGCGTCTGTTCGCCCATGTGTAGGTAACTACCGTACTCCAGATGAGCGGTCGTTCAGTCGTTCAGTCGCTCGTTCAGTCGCTCGGTCGTTCGTTCGGTCGATCATTCATTCATTCATTCAATCATCCAGTCGCTGCGCTCAAAGAAAAGCATGAGTGTGGCATAAAGAATGCATCCGACAGGGAAGCAGAGCCACATGCTGTGGGTGGGGTGTTGTTGGACCCATCACCCATCCCATCATTCACACCACGAGTCGAGCATCCCTAGTACCGTACCGTATATAGTCAGTAGTAGAGTAGCCTGGTGGATACCACCGTACTTACTTACATGAGCAACTACGGTACATGCCACTGGCTCGCTGAGCTGTTACTCTAGTTGGAGTAGTTGGAGTAGTTGGTTGGCGCAGACGGAACTACGCGGGTGCGCGTGGGTGTGAGTGTGAGTGGGCGGTGGGTGTGAGTGTGAGTGGGCGGTGGGTGCGTGGGTGGTGGGTGCGTGGGTGGTGGGTGCAGTGGGTGGGTTTTCTTTGCTTCTTCTGGCCCGTATACCTAGACTCTATGTAGGGTATGATAGAGTATGGAGATTGATTTCGAGCCGTTGCGTTGCAGATCATTCAATCATCACGCCTGCCGCGGGCGGCGAGTGTTGTTTCTTCTTCTGTGCTTCTTCGCCTCTCGAGCTCCCGCTCTCCTGTTATCACCTCCCCCCACGACGTCAGCACATGCTACTCTTGGCCATGTACCTATGCCTTCGCACACCCGCCCAGCCCGCTCAGCAGTGAGCACGCCGCCGCCAAGTTATTACTGTTCACTGAGCACTGAGCACTTCACTGAGCACACAGGTGCACATTGTGAGCAGCAGCCCACGCCCACGGCCCGCGCATATGTGACCCACGAAACCACCTATCTATCCCACGAACCCCACCCCACCCCACCCCAGCAGCGGCCCAGCCCCAGCCCCAGCCCCCGCCACTCCCTCTCGTTTCTCGTTTCTCGTCTGCGGCTTCTCTTTTAAGCGCGAGGCTGCGCACACTGCACATCCTCGAGAAGCGCACGAGGGTGGTGGGGGGTGTGAAACGAGAAACGGCCCCCGCTTCTTGCACTCACCAGAGTAGTTAACCTCGACCACTCTACTGGTATTTACTCTAGCGGTAGTGGTTGTGGCAGTGGTAGTGCGTGACCCGAGGTCGTTTCTGCCCCCCCCGTGGGTGCACTGGGTGCCGCGCCCTCCGCCACCGCTCGAGGATGGGCATTGGGGACGAAGGCTGGGGATGGGGACGGTGGTGGGGATGTCTATTCCCGTACCGTACCTACTCTATGTTGGGATCCATTGGGATCCACCTTGCTTGCTGCTTGCTGCTGCTTGCTGCTTGCTTGCTGCTTGCTTGCTGCTTGCTTGCTGCTTGCTTGCTGCTTGCTTGCTGCTTGCTTGCTGCTTGCTTGCTGCTTGCTTGCTGCTTGCTTGCTGCTTGCTGCTTCCTGTGCTGATCTATCGTTATCATGATCATACCCATCCCCCATCCCCCATCCCCCATCCCCCATCCCTTCCTTCTTTCTGCACATACTTCTGCACTTTTCCGGCCGGTCATGGCGATTGCGATGGCGATTGCGATTCCGATGGCGAGGGTGAGGACGAGGGTGAGGGTGAGGACGAGGGCAAGTCGATGGCGAATGGCGAATGGCAGTGGCGAATGGTAATCGATCTCCTGCGGAGTCGGGCGAGTCGAGGTGATGTACCTACAGTCGATGTGCCTACATACAGTATGTACTCTGGTGCAGTACATTGCGATACCCGTACTTCATGTACATATCTACATCCTCGTACACAGCATCCCTCCCTCGCCTCGTCACGGCGCAACAATAAGATGTGCACACTTCTCGGTTATATGTACTCCATGTACTGCACATAAGCAAGCAAGCAAGTAGATATTCCAGAAGTGACACCCAATCCAATGGTCCATGTATTGCACATACTCTACACACCAAGAACCTTGCGCCGCCGCCGCTCATCTCTCCCTCCCCCCGTCGAGCCGTTCCTGTCGAAATGGCGCCACAATCTTGAATCGTCGCCGGTACAACAGCAACAGCAACAAACGACAACGACGACAACAACGACAAACGTGCTTGCTTGAGCGAGAAGCTGCTACCCGTCTGTCCATCCGTCGTTCTAGGGATTGATCACGATGGAAGGGGGGTTGCACTCTGTCGGAAAGAGAAGGAGGCAGTTAGGGAGGACGAGGACGAGGGCGAGGGCGAGGGGAGGACGAGATGAGTGCACGGGGAGGCGTGTGCTTTTGCCACTCGTGAAGTGACGAGGAGGAACCTGGCACGTACATACGGGAGAGAACACGGCAGGAAGGAAGGAAGGAACATAGAGTATCGTATCAGTACTGTACTGTAGAGTACTGTACATACCCGCTCCAAGACAAGTCCGAGCCCTCCTTGACGATATGTGACGAATCCGAACCCGACAGGAGCAGACGAGACAAGACGAGACGAGACGACTTCTGCATGGGGGGGGAGGGACGGGGGACGGGGGACGAGAGACGGTACTCACACTCGCAAAGCAAAAGGTCCCTGTCCTCTGCTGTGATGCACCAGACCGACCCGACGACTCGTCGCATCGAGCCCGATTGGACCTGGCAAATGTCTCATCGCGTCCCGAGAACCCGACTCCTTTTTTCCCACGATAAGGCGTGGGATCAGGCGTGGGATGAGGCGTGGAATGAGGCGTGGGATGAGGCGGGGGATGGGATGCGGCCTGGTCACTGGTGATGGGTTATGTAAGGTGTATGGTGTAAGGGCTCGTGGGCTATATGTGCTTACATATAGCACCTACTAGAGAATACCCGGGTACGCTGCTTAAGCACTTCTCCGAGTCTTGGTGGCTGGGGGTTGGTAGGCGATACGTGGGTACTCTGCCTTCTCATCGTCGTCGTCCTTCTCCTCCTCCTCATCGTCGTTGTCGTTCTCCTCCTCCTCGTCGTTTTCCTCGTTCTCTACCTCCTCTTCGTCGTCGGCTCGCAGCCTTGCTAGGCGTGCACTTACCCTACCACTCACTCGACCCGGGCCCAGCAAAATGGCTTTGATGACCGCAGTTGTCGGAACCTTGGTTAGAGCCGTGCGCTAAACTAGATCCCATCGCATCCCATGCCCCCTCCCATCCTTCCCATCCTTCCCTCCTTCCCTCCCATCCTTCCCTCCCATCCTTCCCTTGCCTTCCGTTCCGTCCGTTCGCTCTTTCGTCCCCCCACATATTTCCCGCGCCGCCGCCGCGCCGCCCGCTTCGTTCTCTATGCCACTTTCAAGTCCCCACCCCCCGTCCTCCGCCACCAGCCACCACCACCACCACCACCACCACACCAGACTCACCAGACTCACTAGACACACCAAGCATTTCGGACGGGATCCACTCAGTGGCGCGCTACGGTAGTCTAACCCGGTTCCAGCGACGACTGCTTTTCGCGCTTGCTCCTCCTAGCTTGAGGGGGGGATATTTTTTTTCAGTGACCCCCCCCTCCCTCCCCGAAACGCGGGCGTTAACTTTGAGCTTACACTCGCCAGCGTCCGCCGGGAAGGAGAGAGAGAGGATGATGATGATGATGTGGGGAGGACAGAGAGATGCATGTGTGTGTGGTGTCCTGGTCGCTGGTCGCTGCAGCCGTGTGGCATTCACGTTTTCGGCACGAATGCTCCATAATTGGTCCCAAGGCGTCGGGGCGGCCGTGGAGAAATGCCCCTCCCGCGAAAAATTACTGGGTATACAGAGTAGAGGCTAATAGGTCGGTTACTGAGAGCAGTCAATACATTCTCCTCCTCCTCCTCCTCCTCCTCCTCCTCCTTCGTGAATCCTTCGTGAGGGCTACTCTGGTTAGTTGGGGCAGTCGTCACATTTCTCCTCCTCCTACTCCTCCTCCTCCTCCTACTCCTACTCCTCCTCCTACTCCTACTCCTCCTCCTCCCTGTGGACCCGGTCCGCACGCGCATGCGTCGATAACATGGACCAATCGTTGGCGTTATGACGGTGCCGTGTATCTAGATAAGTGGCTATCTGGACTCTCCAACTACCTACATACATAACCTACATCCTCTAGTACTGCAACAGCCTACCCTACGAACCATCATATCTTCGTCGTCGGATGGCGGTGCATATGATGAATCGTTGGATGTTTTTTTTTCTTTTGTTTTTTTTCTCTCGCCAGAGAGATGGAAAAAGTTGCTTCACCCGGTCACACCCACACCCTCCTCCCAGAACCTCCATGGATGGTGGTTGGGCATGTGCATTTTTTATGCGGTTTATGCACCCTCCACCATCCACCCACCTTCCACCTTCCACCTTCCATCATCCGGAATCCGTCCCCCCCGTCCCCTCGTACTCGAGCGCGGAGCCTGGCGGTACGGACACGTCACATAGGGTGGTGGTGATGGTGGTGCGCAGTGATGGTGGTGCTCAGTGGTGGTAATGGTAGCGGCGGTGGTGATGGAGGTGGTCAGCAGTCACCGATGCTCTGTCATCAATTGCAGGTCTTGGTCTTGGACTTGGTGGCTGGATCCCGCGCAGGCAGCTTGCTCGTTACCGACCAGCCGACTCGATCCCTTCCCTCCCTTTCCTTCTCTCCCTCTCTCACCGGTAACCCTGACGAATTTTAGTTCGACGCCAGCGCGATGAACCCCAAAATTTCGTCAGGGCTCTGGTGCTTTGCTCAAGCGGGCTTAGTTGGTCGGGGTATGGCAGTCGAGTTGTCCGCTAATTGGAAGACTGCTAGTATGTCCTCTATGTAGGCATGCATAGGATCACTCTACCCGCGCTTTGGGCAATCCGTCGATTGATGATGATGCTGATGATGATGCTCGTTCTTCGGAGATTTTGTCCTTCGTGGATTGGATGGGGATGGTGAACGCCACGGACCTCGAACTGTGATATGTGAATCACATACATGTGCCGAAGCATTCCGTATCATACTCAGATATGTAGAGTAGATGTAGAGTACCCTACTCATGTACCGTATTTACTCATCACCAGCGAACAAAACCGATGCACCCGGTGAACTGTGAGATGTGAGATGTGCCATTATACCTCGCCGCGTCTCGCCTCGTCTCGCTTCGCCTCCGACATGCGCGTACCTATTTCCCCATCTATTTCCCATCCCGTCTATGTATGTGCATACGAGTACCTAGGCGGCGGCGGCGGCCTGAATCCACCCTTCACCCGCGCGCGCACGCGGGTTCGTTCTCGCGGGCTCGTTCTCGCTCCGACGCTCCCTGCCTGCTTGCCGTCAGTGCATTTCTATTGCGATCCCCCTCACTTGCGATGTACTCTACCCAGCTCCACAGTACCCAGGTTCATATAAACTACACCCCACCCTATGAACGTACCTAGAGTAGGCTGGGGAGGGGGGGGGAGGGGGGGCGTGTGTGCCATGTGGGTCGGACTTTGGCGTCGGCGAGGTGAACATGTGGTTATGTACCTATACCTAGTACCTAGTAGTTGTGGTGGTAGTAGTGTGATCCATGGTGAATCCACTCCACTCCACTCCACTCCACTCAACTCAACTCAACTCAACTCAACTCCGCTATGATAACATGTGCATATGGTTCCTACTCAGTCACTCGATATGCATGTTCGAGAACCCGTCAAGTGCTCCCTTCCTCCTCCCGAACAGCCCGCCGCTCCCGCCGCTCCGGGTTCTCCGGGTGCTCGGTGGTCATTACGTAGAGTAGAACCTGGGATGGAGGCCGTCAGAACCGGGATGGGTAATTGAAAGAGGGAGATGCCGAAGTGAGCATGTACCATACTTGGGTGCTTGGCATGTATTGTACATATCTAGACGACTCGACGGCTCCTTCAGTTAGAGCAGAGCAGATTAGGTACTCTACTTGTACCATATGATACAAGGGAGACGGGAGAAGGAAGGGTATGTAAAATCTAGGCTCGACATACAAAGAGGGTATAATAGAAGGTAGAGGGTAGGGAAGGGAAACATACTCCGGAAAAGGGTGTACTTGTACAATACACGTATAGTACACTAGAGTACTTGCATCATTTCCTTCCTTTTTTCCTTTTCTCTTTTCCCTCCTTTCTCTCGAGAAAGGAGGAGAGAGAACTCGTGGTCTCCGATCTCCAACCAAAAATGAAGAAAAATGGGAAAATTGAAAATGCGCCAACGACTGTTTGGGCGGATGCTGCATTGCATGCAGTGCAGCATGCGCATTGCATCCACCACCACTACCAACATCTTCTTTACCACTATGTATGTACATACATCTACAGCCACCCGTATGTAAGTACCGGCCACTCGCCAGTAAATCCAGGCCTTATGTACTAGAAGTTAAGCGCAAAGCGCACTGCTTGCTGGCTGGCTGGTCAACGGTGCCTGCTGATTAGGGATGTGGCACTGTGGCTGGACGCTCTCTCCGGATACTTATTAATGCGTTCGAACTTCGTTGTGCTCGTTGTGCTTGTCGAGCCGTGGGGGTGGGGGGAGTGGGGGGAGTGGGGGCTTCGTTCGATCTACTAGCACTAGTACTGATAACTTCTTTGTTCGATGTGGATTGGGTTGCTGGGCGGGAATGAATGGGGTTTTATTTTATCCATTATTTGTTTTGCTTTTGGATTTTATTTTATGTACACTTCTAGGTACTTCTACTTTCGGTGGGCAGATGTCGAGACTTGGATCGAGATATAAGTGTCGCTACTTCCTTCGCTACTTCCTTCCTTCCTTGCTTCCATCGTTTCTTCCTTCGCACTCGCACTCGCACTCAAACAGGAACTCGAACAGGAGCAGGAACAGGCACTCGAACAGGAGCAGGAATAGGAACTCGAATAGGAACAACTTGCCTACTCGGGTGTCCTGGGTTGCTGGTTACGGGACGGGACGGGCGTCATCGGCGTGGAAACATCTGTCTGCGGGGCAGCCGTTGCGATGTTTCCCTTCCGTCATAGACAGTTAGATGAATAGAGTAGATGGAGTGATGTTATGGAACGACTTCTGTAACTTCTGGGACGAGTGCGACCCGGCTTCCGCCTGCCTGCCTGCCGCCCCCCGTCCGTACGACAGCGGAGTTCCCGTCCTGCCCCAGTGCTCCAGTGTCCACGTCCCACATCCACATCCCACGTCCCACATCCCACATCCCATATGCTGTCCCGACTTCCTACTTCCTTTCATAGCCGCCTGTTCGTACTCTACTCTACATAGGAAGTAGTTACGCTGGCTCCTCCTGGAGTCCTGGCAGGCGAGCGTTTATCCCCCCCCAACGGGAGGAGCGTTTCATCGCATCACATCGCATCACATCGCAGAGCCCACATGTGGAAGCCTTAGCTGCCCACGCAGTGCAGAGCAGCGCGACGAGCCCGTGCATTAACCAGCAGCTGGCTGGGAGATTCCGTGTCTACTTACATACGCACATACATACACAGGTACTCTACATAGGGTACGTACTCCACTGCCACTCCAGTCTCCACAGGTCAACAAGCTAGCCTAGAGCGGGCAGCTGCGGGATCCTTTCGTTTCGTTCGACGGGATGGGGAAGGAAGGAAGGAACAGACGACGACGACGCCGCAGAAGAAGAAACGAGACGAGAAGAAGCGGGCCGGTGGGTGTGAGTGTGGGTGTCCTCGTCTCGCGAGTGTCGTGCGTCTCCGGCACGGCCGCCATGCGCGGCGACATATCCGACATACGGTACATGCGCCGCTGCGCTGCTGCGCACACACAGGCCAGATCGGATCAGCGTTTGGGCGTTTGCCGTCTGGCACGTACTCTACGTACTATACCATACTATGGGAGGAGGAGGAGGAACGGGGGAGGAGGAATGGGGGGGGGGGGGGGCGGTAATATGGCTATGGCGGAAACGAAGGGAGCAGATTTTCCAATTCCATTTTACCGGAAGCCGAAGCCTGAAGCATGAAGCCTGAAGGGGCGGTCCGCGGTCCAGACGCTGGCTGGCGCGAGTGATGGCGTACCGTACCTACTACCTACTACCTACGGTACGCATCTACCGTATCGCGGCAAATGCCAATTGGACACTGGTAGTTGGTCGCATGATACACCTGCCAGACCAGTCCCATCCAGCGCCGGCAAAATGAGATGGGGTGGGTTTTTTCCTTCTTCTTTTCTTCTTTCTCGGAATAGCTTCCGGAAATCGTCGCGGAGGGCGGGAGGGACTTAGTTAACTGGTTACCGGCGGCTGCGATTGGTTGGGTGGTTGGCTGGGTGGTGGTGGTGCGTATCTAGGTAACTACGGTAATTCCGGGCTTGGAGGCGCGGTAGTTTGCCGCATCCAGTCAGTTGCGTGTGTGCTGCCTGGATGGCTGGTCGGCTGGGACTGGGCAGCGGGCTGGGATGTCGATTGGGATTCTGGCTGGCTGGCTGGACATGATAAGTTGCCAGCCCCGCAGTTGATAGATGGATGGATGGATGGATGGACGGATGGGTGGGTATTTACCTACTTATCTAGAGGGGAGGGGGGTTTGAAACACTGCTCAGCTGCAGGACCCCGATGAATGCAGCACTTGCCATCATCGCCACCACCCACCTTTTGGGGGGAGGGCACTCTGCTTTTTGGGTGTGTGGCAGTGGAGCGACGGTTGATCATGAGTCCAGCCTGCCTGTCTGCCTCTGGCTGGTTTTCTTTTGTTTTTGTTTTTGTTTTTGTTTTGTTTTTGTTTTTTGTTTTGACCTGATTGATTGATTTGATTTGATATATTGGAGGAGATAGATTGATTGCGCACCCACCTCCACCTTCACCTTCACCACCACCACCACCACCACCACCCCCACCAGTACCACCACCACCCCCTTTCAGCCCAGCCCAATCGTAACGGTGGATTGGATTCGCGCCGAGAAATTTATGTGCGTAGTGGGGAGTGGCGGATGGTGGTTGGTGGGTTGGGGGAGTGGCCAACCGCGCAAGCTGCACTCTGCGGATCACAACTATCACTCGCGCTCTGTAGATCCTCCTCCTCCTCCCCCAGCTGACGGCTACATAGAGTACTCTAGAGTAGCGATGGGACATCAGACTTTTTCTTTTCTTTTTCTCCCCAGGCTCGGCCGTTCTGGATACCGGTACTCCATCCTCCGGCTTGGTTCTACCGGCGCAATTGGGGTTTGTCGGCTCGAAGGGTTATCTCGCATAGGTAGACCCCACCACCACCTATACCACCACCTCGACAACCACCTCAACCACACACATGCCGTTTGCCCCAACATCATGCCCAACATCCACTCCAACAGAGTACAGTAGGCTTTCATTCATCCACTCACCAGGTCAGCCAAGCGACAATGGTGTGGGGGATTGAATCCGATTTGCACTGCACTGCACTGCAGTGCAGTGCCCAGTGCCTACCCAACATCTCTTGAGCTCCTCCTGCCAATAATTCAATTCCTGTTCTTCAGGCCGGGCGTCCTACATACATACCTACGTACGGTATGTACCACGGAACGACGCCATGCACAGGCACAGGCACTCATTGGCTCCGGAAATTTTCCCGCGCGCAATCTGGTGGGTGAGTGGGTGAGTGGGTGAGTGTCTACGCGCTCGCGCAGCAGAGTACTGCATGTGACGGTGGCACGACGGGCCTGAGACCTCTCCTTCAGTTTTTGTTTTGGGCACAACGGGAGCGGGCACAACCAACGGGAGCGGGGGCGGCACCCTCCTCCTTCTCCTCCTCCTCCTCCTCCGAGCCTATCATACGTGCGCTGGACGAAAAGAAACGAAACTGGCGGGAGTCGAGACGGGTTCTAGCCGGCGTACCTACCAGGTATGTATGTAAGTACACACGTAATTATCGAATCGGACGAGACTCCGGCGCCGTGGCTGAGGCGGTGATCGTCGCGTCGTGTGCGTGTGTGTGGCTCCGAGGCTCTGGATCCGCCGTTTAGAGTTGTATGTATGTATACCATCATGCGCGGGGAAAGCGATTGGCCGCGGGTGACTCGCTCCATGGTCGCTTGTTTCCGTGCGGGGAATGTGGGTGTGTGCGCGCATGTGTGTGTGAGTGTTGGAATGTGTGAAGAGGGAGGTCGCGCGAGTGAGACTTCGTGAGGGCGAGGGCGAGTGCATGGCTGAACTGTCTAGGTATCGATCGCATATCGAGTACGTGAGGGGGAGGGGGGCGGAATAAATTCGATGCAGTGCAGTCCATCCGAAAGAGGTGGGCCTGGCCATTGCGCACATACCTTCATACACCCTGTGCTGCTGCACCATTGCATCATGGTCGATCCGGAACACAGTAACACTTGGAGGGATGCTGTTCGAGCTTCGTTCGTGACATTCGCTGAGGATCAACAGCAGTGCAATACCGTCATGTAGCCGATGCTGGCTACCAGTGGCAGCGCCTTGTGCTCTTGCATGTACAGTATTGTAAACGCCGAGAGCCTGTGATGGAGAGCACTACGTACCGAAACCAGTTGTGCCCATCTGTAGCTGTGCGGTCGCTGCGGATGCCGATGCGGATGGGCGGACGGCAAAGCCCCCGTAGAGTAGAGCTTCGTGGCTTACTGAGAAGAGGTGATCGGCTGTGAGACCTTCTGAGGACCAGAAGTTAAAACCCATCCCGCCTTCGGAAAGAAGTTTGTACCCATACGTGATTCCAAAAGATAATCCTGTAGATGTTTGAATTGGTTCTTGGTTAAACGCAGGCAGCCGCTGCGGAATAGTGATGCACACAATAATCATTTGGATCTCCTACGGAGAGAGATCTTCCTGTTTTATTTTGCATGCAGCCTATCTAGACTATGGCGAACCAACGAAATCCTTTTCCTGCCCGCCCTGGCCAGTTGACGTGAAAGCCCCGGTACCGACCAGTCCGATGCGGCTCCCCACTTCCCCTGCCTATCCGCCTCGGGCCGACACAAGCAAAAAGTGAATTGGCAGTAAAGACCGGTATGGGCCTACATGCGCGTTCCTCCTGCTGCCACCTCGCCTCTCTCCCCCATCTTCCGCTTCGGCCCCAAGGAACTATTACCGTGTATCCTCATCCCCTAGGATTTACTATGGAGGGAGAGCGAGTGATTTCTGTGCATTAAAAACCGAGTCATCTCTCATGATACCCCAATTCCGTTTTCGAGGCAAGCGTGAGGACGTTAGGGCTTCGCCATTGCGGGTTGCGTGTCGTGAAGCCCTACTCGCGCCACAAAGACGCTCGTGACCGTGTGCCGTCAACAAAACCCCTCGGAAAGCTCCTGAGATTTTCTTCCTTCTCTTCTACTACACCATCCATCTGATCCAGAGAAGTCTCACATCGCGATCCCCACGAAAAGTTGTCAAGACAACTAACCTCCCACGACAAGAAGTAAGTAGAAATTCCAACTATCATATCTCCCCGTCCGTACATACTGATCTGGGGATCTAGAGAAATGGCTCGCAAGTCCACCCGCATCAGCGCTCGCAGCAGGGCCAAGGGGGCGTCTGCTGCTGATCCCAAGTCTGATGCTTCCGAGGACACCGAGGATGACAATGCTACCAAGAAGACCACCAGACGCAAGGTTATTCCCATCCGCAGGTCGGCCCGCAAGGTTGCCATGGCTTCCGCTCCCGCTGCCGCCACCCCCGTCGCCCCGGACTCCCCAGTCTCCCCAGTCGCCCCTGTTTCCCCAGCCCCTCATTCTGAGAGCGAGGTAAGTCCCCTTCCTATCCATCCATCCAGCCAGCCCCTAACATCCCGTCCCAGGTTGAGAAGTCTAAGCCGACGGTCGGTGGCAAAGGTATCTTGACAGCCGAGATGGTTGCGATCATGATGGCCGGACGACGGGTAAGCCCTCTTTCACATTTAAGATGCACTCAGCCAACATCCTTTAGGTCACCCCCAAGAAAGCCGAAAAGAAGCCTCCAATGAAAGAGAGCACCTTTTTTTACACCATGAAGCCTCATGCCTTCGTGGCTTTGTCTGCCAAGGGTGATTTTGAGGGTGCCCGCTTCCACCTCGCGGGAGACAAGCCTTGCCGCCTCCCCAAGCATCTGCCCAAGATTACGCTTACGGTACCTGTTGGGTTGAATGTTTTGATCCCCAAGGTTCTCGACGTTAATGGTGGAACCATTGAGTAAGTCCAAGCCATGACTGCAGTCCGCGGTCATGCTGCGACTGGCACTCTTCATCTTGTTGTCGTTCTCTTGGGAGTAAACTGGGTTTTCTGGGTCCTTCTTCTTGTCTTTTCTTTCCTTTCTTTCGCAGGTTCCTTCCCATAGTGATACCTGATGTGTGGTGGCGATGCACATTCATCCCTCTGTAACTGCTTTGTATCCGTCTCTTCTTCTTCTTTCTCTTCACCCCTACACTTTTAGTATCTCCCACTTCTTTCTTTCTTTCTTTCTTGCTTTCTTTCCGATACGCCACGGTTCAAGCTTTGAGCTTCGAACTCTCACCACAGCCTTTTCCAGGCCATTCCTGCGGTACGTACACCCCCTCACTCCCCATCACTCGGCGGTTTGGATTTCATCTTTAGAGATGACCACCCGCAACCTTCGTCCATGGAGGTCTGCGCAGCACGAAGTCTTCTAATCCCGCAGCTGGCAGGGTAGCACCACGGGCATAAGGACACCAACCACCGAGGCGAGCCGCCCCTCGAACCACCCGAACCACCCAAAGATCGCACTCGATTTGGGTTCAACGACGCCTCGAGCACAGACTCGAAACCGAGGGTCGCCGCCACACGAGGGTGTAGTCCGATCCTGTACCTTCCGTAAGCGGTCCATCCAGTATCCCCAATCCCCTTCCTGTCTGGAGCTGCTGGCATCGCTGACAAGGAGAATGAGGAGGAGAAGACCGTTTCTTCCTTGGCCCAGCCGCGACATGCGACCCGGGTATGCAAGCCACGCACATCGAGGGCGGAGAATGGTACTTCTCGGGGGGTAGGCTACTCAATCCGCGGCGACACTGTGATACTGGAGGACACCAATGTCCATTCCCACCGGCGTCGACCTCCGCACGCAGCCTGGAACTCAAGCCTCAAGGCGGCGGGAGAGAGTTCCTTTACCGGCCCTCGTATCACACATCGCATCCCAAACAACAAAGGATTACATTCAGCAGTTCGGTGTCCCATACACACCCCCCACGTCGAGCCGGCCCGAGTCCACTGAGACCACTCTTAGTCGGGCGATATTCCGCACGCGTGAGCGCCCCTGACGCGAAGTTCAACGCCGGTGGTCCGTGACGTGCAAATGACTACTTCACTGCATCACTGCATGTCCTGGGGATCCGCAAGGGAGAATGTTCAGTGTTCCGCAGCCGCGGCGAGGCCTGCTGGACGGCTGACGACTGGCGAGGATTTGGAAAACGCTATCGCTGTCCAGACGGCCTGGCGAGAGATGTAGGCGGAGAGGAAACATCTACTAGTACAGTGCCGTTGCTCGGCACACTCAACCTCCCGAAAGCGCGGATACTATCATACCTACCTAGCGGTAGCGGTACGCCGTGGGGAAGGGAGGGGGAGGAAGACGCAGCGGACGAAGCAGCGGGCGTGGTCATGCATGACGGGTTTATTTCCGTGCTTCCCCGTGCCATCACTTTCGGCCGACCGCTGGTTCGGGCGCCCAGCACCCGCGAGACGAGATGGAGACACCGACTCCCGGGTCCCGAGAGCATTGGACGGAACACTTATCCATCATACCACGATCCAGCCGATGGTCGACGGACGACGGGTCGTCTATAACATAACGGAACCGACAAAAGAAAAGAAAACAAAGAAAACCCCCCATCGACCTCAGGATTCGGGGAATAACCATCCAGTCGCCGCAACCCCCAGCAGCCTGCAGGCACTCGCGAGTACAAGCATTCACACCTGCGGTCAGTACTAGGGGAACAAAAAGTACATACATACAAAAAAAAACCCCCAGCGACCTCGGGATTCGGGAATAACCACGCAGTCGCCGTAACCCGCAACCCCCAGCAGCCAGCAGGCACTCGCGAGTATCTACCTACCGGTATTTACACCTGCGGCCAGTACTACGGAAACAAAAAGTCATATGGATACTCTAACTACAGCTCACTCGGCGGTACCGATCTCCGATCTCTAACCTCGCTGTAGGGCATCCACAGCGACCTGCACCTTCCTCCTCATCCCCATCCTCATCCTCCGCGCATAGTACGCGCGCTCTGTTCCCGCCGATATCAGTCCCCAGCGGTCACAGCCGTATGCTGTATCTATGGACGACTGTTGACGTTTTGGTGGTGGATATGCGTGACAATATTCAACCGAATATCTAAGATGTCTAAGATGCCGTCTAGCTATAGTAGGTGGACGGACAGGACCAGACCCTTTCACAGGTATCATTGGAAGACAGTAGATCCCCAATCGTACAGAAAAGCGAGCAGATACCTAGTCGTCAGAACATGAGATATATGAGCAATCCACAAGTCAGCCGTATGATAAGAAGAAACAAACACATGACACATGACAAACAGTGGAACAAACAGTGAAACAAGCGCGTGACAATTCCTGGAAACCAGCAAACGAGTGATAGGTATCCGTGAAGGATGAATTAGATTGGACAAACAGGAGACAATCAACGACTGTTGAAGTTTTGGTGGTGGATATGCGTGATAACATTCAACCGAATACCCAAGGTGTCTAAGATGTCGTCCAGCTAGGATGGCAGGATCAAGCCCTTTTACAGGTACCAAGACAGCAGTTCCTCAATCGTACAGAAATGAGAGAGCAAATAGTACATATGACCAGAACATGAGAGAAACAAACGCGTGAATAGGTAGGAAACCAGCAAGCGAGTGACACCGATGTATGGGTGGATGAGTAGCTGGGTAGGCTTCGACAATGATCCGCCAACGACCGAGCCTACGCCAGGCCTGCCTGCCTGCCTGCATGCATGCATTGCACACCCGCAACCCGTAACCCGTGAGCGATACTTTTAGGCCTCTGTCTACTGTATGTACTTGCATCACGCTTCGCTCGGACCGTTCCGTCACGATTCACACCACGTTGAGCACGTTGAGCATTCTGAGCACGTTGAGCACGATTCATTTCATGGCATCGGCAAATATACTTCTTTTATATACCGAATATATCATACGTACAGGCACCTTACTAAACTCTCTCGAGATCTACTACGATATGATACCATGTATACGGTAGCCAAACGAAAAAATTGAAATAACGGTTTCATCAAGAGGACTAATATTAACAACGAAAAATGGTATGAGTAGAGGAAAGGAGGAGTAAAGAAAGACCAGTGTACTGAGACAAAAACGAAAGAAAAAAGTAGAAAAGAAAAAGGGAAAAGGAAAAGAAAAGAAAAAAAGAAAGAAAAAGAAGAAAGAAAAAAAAGGTAAAAAAGCAAAAGAAATAGAAATAGAAAATAGAAAATAAGAAGTAAAATAAGAAGAAAAAGAAAAAGAAAAAGAATGAAAGCGAATGAAACCCCGACACTTCACTTCATCAATAAAGTTTTGGCATTCAGAGTATCGTCTCGTGCACAGCCAGCCATTCTCTGCCATTCTGCCTCCTACCCGCTCCCCTACTCCTCCTCAATCAATATCGCAGCACAAACGTACAGAGAGACGAACAACCACAACCACAACCACAACCACAACCACAACCACAACCACAACCACACACAAAAAACCAAGATATGAAAAGCGCAAATCAAAGGATTGAAAGCTAGTTGGAGAGCAAGAGAGCAAGAGACACACACGCAGAGGCAGAGGAGAAGAGTCGATCGAAACAAAACCATCATCAATCAAAAGAGGCCCCCCCCCAACCCCCACCCCCCATCCCCACCACGAAGCAGACAGACAGACAGACAGACGGAAATAACGAAAACCCCATGCAATGCTACTACTACTACTACTGATATATCTCATCGAAAAGCCCAGCGCCTATCACGCAGAACAAAATCCCCGAGAAAATGAAGAGGAAGAGAAAGAAGAAAGGAAAAAAAAACAACTATGAGCAAAAAAAAAAGACACGAGAACAGAATTGGCTGCGAGCCAGAAGTAAAGCACCCGACTAAAAGCGTAGGTATGATTATTGCCTGGCTCGGGGTGGGATCAGACAACATCTGCAATGACAACTAAACCAGGCGTAATCCTATCCCCAAATTAACCAGCCAATCCGTCTATCCGTCACCGGCGCAAAAAAAAAAAGAAACAGAACAAGAGGAAACACGAATCGACGAGAGGAAATGGAGATGAGAATAGTAAGGAAAAGAAAAAAGGAAGGGGGTTTTTTGCGCCAGCGGTACAACCGATTGATGGTGCCGCCCGGGGACGTGTCGTGTCGTATCGTTTATTGAAAGTTCCTTTTCGACTCGCCTCATCGTCGTCGCCGCCACCACCTTACAAGATGACGCAACTGCCGCAGCAGCCTGCGTTGTTGTCTTGTTCCTTGTTGTATCCTGGGCCACCGCCGGCTCCACCGTTGCCACCGCTTTGGGTACCGGGACCTCCACCCGGCGAGGCCGAACCTCCGGCCTGGTCTTTGTTGTACCGACGGATCTCACGGACCAAGTTGTAGAAGGCCTCGTCAACATTGATTCTAGCTTTCGCCGAGGTTTCGATGAACCGGCACGAGAAGTGGGCGGCCAAGTCACGGCCCTCTGAGAGAAAGAAAAAACATCAGCATCGAGGACGGTGAGAACGGTAAGGCACATGGGCGGCGGCGGGCACGAGGTCCCACGGTGGCGCCAATGTCCACAACATACCTTGCTGACTGACAGCCCGATCCATGTCCAGATCGCACTTGTTTCCCACGACAATCACCGGGAAGTAATCCTTGTCCTTCACTCGCAGAATCTGTTGTTGGAATGTGGCAATCTCGATGAAACTCGTCCGGCTGGTGATGGAGTAGACCAAGAGGAAGCCTTCTCCCGTGCGCATGTACTGCTCCCGCATCGCAGAGTACTCTTCCTGGCCTGCGGTATCCAACACGTCGAGAAGTGCGACTTCATCGTCAATCACGCACTGCTTGCGGTACGAGTCTGGTGGTGGTGGCGTGTGTTAGCACCGAGTCCGGCGACAGCGGAGGGAAGGGTTGTGGAGCTATCGTGTACCTTCAATTGTAGGGTCATACTCGTCCACAAAGTGACTCTGGATGAGCTGGATCGTTAAACACGATTTGCCGACGCCTCCTCCTCCTACCACGACCAATTTGTATTCGCGCAGAAACTGTGCCTGTAACGAATGGAATCAGCACCCGCGAGAACGTGCAATAGCGATGGTCGCCACAAGCGAGGATTAAGGGGTAACTTGTGGCGGTGATGGACGGGAGACAACGTACGGGAGACATGATGTGTGTGGTGTTGTTGTTGATGGTGTTGGTGTTGAGAGAGTTTCCTGTTGACGGAGGATGAATGCTTTATCGCTGCGACGTCTGTGTGATGTGCGATGAGGCCCGAGTCCGATGGTTGAAGAAGGTGGAGGCGTTTTTTTCTTTTGAGTGGTCAAGGTTCGGCTTTGCATGTCCTGGGTCAGCACGGCGGCACTTTGAATCGAGGAGTGGGCGTGCGCGTTCGCTTTCTCCAGCACCCCTCCTCTCTCTCTCTTTCTCTCTCTCTTTCTCTCTCTCCTCCGCCCCTATACGGTTTCGCGGTACGGGATTGGCGAGAGAGTGGCGGCGGTCGGACTAGCATAGCAATGCATTGTACTCACATTGGTCTCTCTTCTGTATCTCTCTCTCTTCTGGTAGCAAGTCCTTTTCGATGTTTTATTTTTTATTTTTTATCGCGATGGAGGGATCCTCGAAAGTGTTCGGGATGGGCGATTACTTTGTCGAAACGAGCGAGGGCCTGGACGAGTTTGGGGAGAGGGTGGAGGGTGGGGGGGTGGTGGTGGAGGTGGTGGTGGTGGGTGGGAGCGTGGGTGGGAGGAGGAGCAGGAAGGAGGCTGGCGAGAGAGATGATGGGGATGGTGTCGGTCGTCCACAGCAGACTGCGACCGGGATTCGAGAGCGAGGGAGGGGGGTGTTGTGGAGCTAGTGCGGAGGCTAGCCTGTTCAGCATCCTACTCGAGATGGGCTCCGCGAATGAGAACACCAAACTGCATCGGTGTGGACTGACAAGGGAGCACGCAGGCGCAGAATCTTATAACTAGAGTAACTCACCTCCACAAGCACAGCGGTTGGTGTAGGTAGATAACTAGAGCAGGTAACTACACTTGTATGTGGGTAGAGTACCAGTACATGAGGACTTGCAGAACCCTGGTACCCGTGGGTATACATGGGAGGTACAATGGGTACTTTCGCTTTCTACATGCGTGTGGTTTGTGGCTGACTGATGTTTGCTTTGTGATGGCAAGTTGGCAACCCCCCGAGCCCAAGTCGCGCCGGAAGAGGTGGTCCAGCTTCGGGGCCATGGGTGCTGGGTACGTACGGTATTAGGTAGCTATCCTCGGGCGGTAAAGAGATATGTATCAGGAAGAAAGAAAGAAAAGCAATCGCAATTGATCGCCGAGCATCACCACCACCACTACCAACCTCGTCCACGGGCATTCTCACTACCGCTCAACGTCTGTGAGCCCCCGTCCGCTCCGAAGCACAGCCGACTGCGGGGGGGATGCCAACAACGCTCCCCCCGACCATGGAGATCCTTTCGAATGACGCACAGTACAGTAGATCCGTTCCGCGATCGCTACGGTCGGCTCTCCGACATAGTCCGAGCAGCACGGAGTCGGAGTCGGACTCGCGAAGGCTCTGGTTCTTTGGCTATCCGGTTCACCCGCGACAGAGTGGGTGCGGTGGCTGGTCTCCTGGTTGGAGTATCTCGATTCTCCACTTCATAGTACGTACGTCCATGGCCTGGTAACTTGAACTCCGAACGACTATAGCTGGTAGAGTACTATACCTCCTCTGTAGGAGATTGGCTGGTCGAGTGATAGGAGGAGGAGGAGGAGGAGGAGGTGAATGAGGAGGAGCCTGGAGGTGAAAGCCTGAAGGAGCCATCTATCAAGAACTTGACCGATTGATTATTGTTGGCACACCTTGAAGTTACCCAACGGACCTATCTCCAATCCTTCATGCTCCTTCTGCGAACCAAACCGCGGTATATACAGTTAAAAAAAACAAATAGATAGGAGCCCAATGTCATGTACCGTTGTCGATCCGCAGAGCCCTTTCGCTGATCGGCAGGCTGTGGCCTCGGTGAGAAGCCAAACCGTCGTTTGCACTCTCAAGGCTCCGGCCTGCGGTCAGAAGAAGGCGGCGAACCGGACGTCGACGGACGCGCGGTAGGCATCGTAGATTGAAGATGTGCACTGCAAGAGTATCTGTATACCGGTATCTAAGTACTCGTAGTCAACTACCTACGTGGAGGTAGATAACCAAGTAACCACCCTACACATTCTAATGTAAAGTACTCTACACATCGCACATCGTACACATCGTACATACACAACCAGAGCATACATAGAGTACTCTACATACACAACCAGAGCACTAGAGTAAGGTAGATTACCTCCCCGATCAACCAGCAAACCAGATCGAAGGCAGAGAGAATCTTCTTAATCGCCAAGCCACCACACTTCACGCTACGCCACGCCACGCCACGCCACGCCACGCCACCATCCTATCCCAGCCCAATCCGGAACGCACGAGCGCTGCGACGAGGTGAAAATGAGATCGCATCTGCGGTTCACGGTCGATCACTCTACTCTACTCTGGTGATCAGCGCGGGCGGGCCGGCCGGATGTCTGCACGTATTCATGTATGTACTCTACAGCTTATGTATGCATATGTAGAGTAGAGTACAGGCTCGGTAGCTGGTTCTAAAATGGTATGCATAAGCTGTACTGTACATTCGTCGACAGCTCGACGTCCGGACTCCACAGAACCTCGAGCTCGCAAGCTCCCGGCCAGCTCCGTCCGTGAGCAATGAGCGTCCCTGGATGCATACACACCTACATAACAAACGTTCTGGTCGCAAAAACAACCCGCGAACTTCGAACCACGGCGGCGAGTCCTCAACTCAACTCTAGAGCATCGCGGCGTACCGTAGGTACTCTACCCATAGCTACTAGCAGTAGCAGTACCTACCAGCAGGTATGTAGGGACTTCCTCCCACGCACGTCCGGCTGTTGGCGAACTCTCGCTTCGCTTCCGGATAATGCACTAGCCGCTTACCTATGCGTGTAGCATACATACATAACGGCAAGCCCCCTCCCTCTCTACCTCCCTCCCTCCCTCGAAGCAGTATGTACTTCCATACAGCAGCTGCGAAGATTCGAATTTCGGATTTCGAAGGAACCCTGCAGGATGCGAGAACGAACGAAAGGTGGCGGCGGCAGAAGCAGCAGTAGCATGAAGCAGAAGCAGAAGCAGCAGAAGCATGCAGCATGAAGACCACGCGAGATAGTGTGAGCACACTGTATGTAGGTGCATAGGTGCATAGGTAGGGGGATGCCGTGCTTCGTTATATAGAACTATTACTGTGTCAACGTTAACGTCAAATTTAAAGATGGAGATGGAGGGCCGTCGAGGTGCTGGATGGATCATAGGGTTAACTGACTACCTACCTATGGCGAGTACCTGCGTAGAGTACCTATCGTCTCGGAGAGTAGCCCTCGCGAGCGACATCCGCGAGGCCAAGATTCGGGGAAGCCGCCAGACTGGCAGTCCGGTGGGATCATAGCTGATTACAGATATGTTCCGGCGGCAGGTTTCCTACATTGTCTATGTACAAGCGTGAGCATGCCCCCGAAACCGTACTACTCTGTACATACGGCAGAATACGAACTCATATAGGCGACTTTCTCCAGAGCTCGCCCGCTCTCGATTTTCCTCGCCTCCAGTATGCAGGTATGCGCATGTCAAGCAGGCAAGCAGGTAAGCCATCGCGATTCACGACAACTACATACGGTATCCATCACGTCGCTACTCTCCCTACATACGCAAGCTTCGAAGAACCGACAGGACAGAACCGACAGGACAGAACCGACAGGACAGAACCGACAGGACAGAACCGACAGGACAGAACCGACAGGACAGAACCGACAGAACCGACAGAACCTAACTTTGCATATGTACAAGCGAATTCTCGAAGGCTGGAAACACTCCGGCGGATCTTGGCGCAGTCTTTTCGTTAAGGTTGAATTGAATCGGTGTTTATGCTATGTACAGGTGTAGGCGCTCAGATCAGGGCAGGGCGGGTTTGTCTCGGAGCTTCAGATGCCGAACCCTACAGGTACTCATACATACTACCAGAGTGGGTATACCTACTACCGGTACTGATATGGGTAGAGTACCCTCGATCGTTGTTATCTCTCTGTAACCGCTGCAAATTCAACATAGCAACCACCGTGGGCCGAATCAAAATCCTACATATTCGAGTTTCCACACAGTCCTTGGGTTTGTCAGCGAAAGATTCCACCCCCTATGTAACTTTACCGACCGGTGTTGGCTGCTGGCTCGTGATCGCCATCATGGTAGGTTGTGGTGCGGCGAGGTCGCGGCGTTAACGTGGCGTTAACGCAAGGCGGTGCGGATGTCGCCTGGCTTCACGTTGCCGATAGGGAGAGAGGGAGGGAGAGGGAGGGAGGGAGAGAAATTCGATACCGTCGCATACGGCCTTTACAGACTAGAGTACGGTGCTTGGGTATAACGTTGTCGATAGGACCGTCAGGTTTATATAGCGATGAATCATGATTGACTCTATGAGTGATGTGAATCACAACAGCCTCTACCACCACCACCGCCATCCGAACGGCAAGCTTCGTTTACTTGTGGGGCCTTGTCTGTTGCGTTGAGAGACCTGGGAGGAATCAACGAAGGAATGTAAAGCTTCGTTTACTCGTGGAGCCTTGCCGCCGCTGTGTCTACATAAACGAAGGAATGTAATCCTCCAAGGCAGCAGGCGGCAGGCGGCAGGTAGCAGCAGGCGGCAAGCAGCCACTCGTATGTAACGGAAAAGGCTATCACGGTCCACACATGTCTATGCGTATGTTATCCTCGCCTCCGGCCCTCCACACAGCATATGATAAGCGGTTACATCCAAGCCCGCCCGTATTTATGGTATTTGGTGCAAGGGACGCGGGAGCACTCACGAGTCGCGATTCACGAATCATCAGCGACGAAGCTAGGCAGCAAGGTGCAGGTCCAAGTGGGACGTATGGATAGGGCTGAACTGCCGAGTCTCGCGAAGTTGCACTTTGTCTGTGTAGACTCTGGAGTACATAGCATCTGCTGAAGAATATCTCAACTGCAATTGTCACTGCGAGTCTGCGAGCCATTGCCTTGAAGGGCGGCAGGTGGTTGCAATGAGGACTGCGACTTGGCCTAGACGGATGTCGTGTGTGAGTTGACGGTCCATTGCATCCAGGGGACACACACCCTCTTCCTCTCTCTCTTCGCTTCCACTTCATCCTTCATCCTTCATCACTACATACTCGAGCCCCTCATGTCTGGGTACAATTTCCATATCTTCACCGTCATTCGCCACACCTTGACGACGACATGTATGTTTGTAGGTACGCCTTCAAGTAGGTATTGTGATATCTATCGTGTCGTTAGAATGTGTTCGATCGGGACCCGAAAACAAAGCTGGGCGAGTCGAGGCTCTCCACAATGCTCGAACATCTCCAAACGATGGCAGAATGGGTCGGGTGAATAGTGGTCCGTTCGGTGCGGTCATTGTCGCTCGAGTCGATACCCGTGAATGGAGTCGGAAATGCAGTCGAGAACCACTACCTCACACCGTGGATAAGAGAACGGGTGACCAGCAGTGAAGAACGAGTGGACAAGTGCAGTCTAGCTTTTCCAAGTAGAGCTCCCTTGAACCCCACTGGCGGGTAGGGTCTGTAAAGCGTGATGCTCCGTATTCGTCGTGGCTGAAGTACCAGGTACCACATGTCTTTCGCGAGACCTAACGGGCACTTATGATCAGCTGCCTCGCGTCACGGAATGTCCCTTGGAAACATCAGCAGATATCGCAGGAAACTGGCAGTGGCGTCCTTTTTGAAGCATCAACGGACGAGAGGTTGTTACTCATGGAAATCTGGAGCGCCAAACGGCTCCAAAATCTTTCATCGGATCCAGATCTAGGATACCTATGGAAAGCGCAGGGCGGGGGATCGACTCACAAGAACCCTGCGAACGGCAAGCTTTCCATTGGCGGGTTTGCGGGGGAGACTTTGTTCCAAGGCGGTGCATGTGTTGCGTCAGGTGCAACGGATGGTATCGGATGACGACGCTCGCAACCTTCTTTCCCCCGTAATCTTCAACTCATCTCTTTCCTCGACTCCGACTCGACTCAACTCGAGTCGCCACGGATATTCGACAAGCACCAACCAACTGCACTCAAGAACCGATACCCAACCCACGAAACCACCACCCCAGTAGCCTCGAAAACGATGTGCTCGTCAGACTGTTTCTTGATCGTTCTCGCCATCCTGTTCCCGCCTCTTCCCGGTAAGAAACTTCCGATTCCTCGGAAGTCCAAAAGCTCGATACTGACAGCTCTTATGTAGTCTGGGTGAAGCGAGGAATCTGCTCCTGCGATTCGCTCATCAACATTGCACTGTGCATGTTGGGCTTTGTACGTCTCCGCGCGACGACCCCCCACTTCCCCGCCCAAGTCACTAACCCTCCTGCCCCGCTACCTAGGTCCCCGGACTTCTGCATGCATGGTACATCGTCGCGAAATACCCCGACGCCTTTGACGAGTACGACTACCAACAAATCGACCAAGAGTCCGGGCAGCCACGCGGAGTGATCGTGTACTCGGCGACGCCGTCACGCGGTTGCGGTCGGCAGCAACCGCCGCCCCGTCACCCGCGCCTGGTGTATACACCGGCGTCTCCGCCGCACCAGCAGTGTTACGGCAGCTTCAACGTCGCGCCCGCTTCGGAACCACACCAAGCGGCGGCCGGCAGCAGCAGCAGAACGGGTCCCCAGACGCAGGGGGAGGAGCCTCCGAGCTATGCTAGTGTTGTTAAGGGCGACAATAAAGTTCAGCATGATTAGCGGCTTGTGAGTTTCCGGCGCTGGCCGGCGTGGAGGTGGAAGTACGGAACTTGATGCTATGCATACAGACATGTGTGTAGCTATATACTCTACACGCGTCCCCGCGACAACTCGTACTGCATGCCGTGCAGCTTCATTTTGATATTGTAACAGTACCTGGCGGAGTTTTGGGAGGTTTTGATTTTTCTTGCGTTGATGGGCGCGTACGATGCGATGAGATGGAGTCGAATGGCGATGTGTCGATTGAAATGTGCTTTGCTTCTTTGCCTTTGTCTGGTGGTTTCGTTTTTCTACCGTTTTTATGCCCTACCGACTGTTGCGGTTTTCGTCGTGCTCATCTCATCTTATTTCTATGGCTATAGGATTAATGGCATGGACCAAATATTTGATATCTACACCAGTTCCCCTAGATAGTAACTAGTGCTCGCGACTGTCGCCCCACTTTTATCTAGGAACCCTTTCTCCGCCGTGATGCATTGGTAAGCCTACTAAAGCCACACGGATGTAGGAAAGTGTATATCCAACGCGCCCATACTCCGATCCCGAAGATAGCCAGCAGCCAGCAGCCACACCAGTGCACAAACACCGAGCTTGATGGCGTAACGCGTGCAGCACAGCTCGTCATTCATAGCTATGGAGGGCAGGCGGTGCGGGAATCACTGCGTCGGATGTCCGACTGACTGCGGCGGATCTATGATACGAGCGCCCCCGCAATTACAAATCCCTCTCAGCCTCCCCCGCATTCCGCATCCTGTGTATGTAGTTAACAATCAGGGCACGGCGTATGTATATGTATAATACCAATGGTCCGGCTTGCGAATATCATCATACGAAGACTATCGCACCCGCTATATCCGCCACATAAATACATCTCCGCCCTCATTCCCACCATCTCAATCTCGATCTTAGTCACCCCCCCTCCACGCCATTCCCCCCACAGCCGTCCGTTCTCCGCACATATCAATTCCGCGATGTCGCGACTCCCGCAAACCCAGCGTGCGCTGCAGTTCAACCGCGTCGGCGGGCCCGAGGTCCTCGAAATCGCCACTTCCGCCCCGCTGCCCTCCATCAAGCCCGACCAAATCCTCGTCAAGAACGCCTACGCTGGCGTGAACTACATCGACACTGTTTGTCTCCCCCCCCCCCGTTTCTCTCGCGATTGACACTAGGAAGCATTGCCCCTGACACGTCCGTCTGTCCGTGCTAGTACTTCCGCGGCGGCGTATACCCCGCTTCGCCGCTGCCGTACACGCTCGGTCGCGAGGGCGAGGGCACCATAGTAGCTATCGGCAGCTCCGTGACCGACTACAAAGTCGGCGACTACGTCGGGTACATGGGGCCAGAGTCGCAAGCGGAGTACACTGCCGTGAGCGCGAACTATGTGATCGCTGTGCCGGCCGGCGTCGAGCCGGGGGTGACCGCCGCCGTGCTGCTGCAGGGCCTCACTGCGTTCACGCTGATCCGCGATGCGCACGAGGTTAAGAGGGGAGATGCCGTGCTGGTGCATGCCGCTGCGGGAGGTGTGGGATTGCTGCTGTGTCAGCTCCTCAGGGCTGTGGGTGCGGGTACCATTATTGCGACGGCGTCGACGAAGGAGAAGTTGCAGCTGGCGGAGAAGAACGGGGCCACGCATGGGATTGATTACTCCAAGGAGGACTGGGTGGCGCGCGTTAAGGAGATTACTGGGGGCCAGGGCGTGATTGCGGTTTTCGATGGTGTGGGTAAGTCGACGTTCGACGGCGACCTGGAAGTGCTGGCGAGGAAGGGCAGTCTCGTGTCGTTTGGCAATGCCAGTGGTGTCGTCCCGCCGTTCTCTATCGGACGGCTGTCGGCGAAGAACCTGAAGGTCTTGAGGCCGACGCTGTTTATGTACCTCACCACGAAGGAGGAGTTTACGGAGGCGGCGACTGAGTTGCTGCGGTTTGTAAAGGAGAAGAAGGTGGATGTTAAGATCCACAAGATCTACTCGTTGGAGGAGGCACAGCAGGCACATAAGGTACGTTTGTCTTATCATCGAGTGTGTGTGAGAGATATATTGACGAGTTTGCAGGATATCGAGGGACGAGGCACCACAGGAAAGCTTGTATACAAATTGTAGATGTGCGTATATAGCAAGCTATTTCTGATAAAATCAAAAGGATATCAGAAGTGAGATACGCCAAAAGAAGACAAAGGATATCAGAAATGAGATACGCCAAAACAAGCCGTAGCGATGAGGGTAACCCCCTACGCAAGCTGCGCCAGCAGTTTCTCCATGCTCCTCACTCCCTGCAGCGCGTTCTCGTCAGGTCCTTGACCGGGAGTCCAGTCGGCGTGAGCGAAGTCGATGAGCTTGAGTCCTTCCACCTTCTTGATGTCCTGCTCCTCCTCCTCATCCTCATCCTCATCCTCGTCCTCGGCTTGCGGCTTGCGGTTCTTCTCGTCCTCGAGCGCCTGCTGGAACGCCTTGCTGTCGCCCTCGAATACGAACAACAAGCTAGCCGAGTACATCCTGCTCTCCTGTCCCTCCAGCACCTCCCTGATCTCCGTCACCTTCTCCAAAAACCGCTTCGCCACGATCTTGACCTGCCCGGGCTCGAGTCCGGACGCGAAGTACTCCTTGATAGCGTCGATAACGTTTTCGGCGGTGAAGACCCTTCCGTAGGTTTTATCGTAGACCTTGTAGCCTTCCTCCTCACCCTTCCACACCTTCATCCCGGCCACACGGAATCCCATACTCCTCGACGTAGTCGCATCGCTGACGGCATCGAGACGATCGCGCTTGGCCTGCGGCGCGAACTCATCCCACAGCTGCGCGCCCAGCTTGACGTCGAGCACGCACGGCTTCTCAAAGCCATACGTTAGATTCTGGAGGACGAGCGAGGACTGGCGGGTGTGCGCGACGGGTGCCACAGGCGTGCCGGTGGTCGCAGCCTCGACGGCAGCAGTAACAGAGTCGTCCGGGGAAAGCGTGCCAAAGAAGGTCGGCATCCAAAAGGCGAACTCGGGGTGCGACATGGCCGCTTCGTAGAAGGCTACTTCGCGCGCCGTGCATGGCTTGACGACTAGCGTGCCGGATTCGTCGGAGAGGACGCCCTCACTAGACATTGGATCGGGGGTTAGACTTCGTTTTGACATTTTAGTTGGACGGGAGGGAGCGGGAAAGCTGTTGAGTTTGGTTTTGGGTTTGTGGGGAAGAAGGTGAGTTCGTATTTGTGATTGTGGGGAAGCCTAGACGGAGTGGTAGGTTCACTTACTGTCCTGCGGCGGCGAACTCAAAGGCTTTGAGGTCAGAGGCCTTAAGCTTCTTTGCGGGTTGCGGCATTCCGAAAACTACTGAGTGAGGACGCGTGTCTGTACGGGATGGCGGACGTTGCCTGGATATGTTTAATTTTGAGATGTGAATTGAAAGCACCGACTCCCCAAGCTGACCAGCAGCAGTAGGCTCAGCTTATGTAGAAAGCTGCTCGCTCTTGGTATAGAATTTAGAGCCGCCGTGGTGGTGGTGGTGGTGGTGGTGGTGGTGGTGGTGGTGGTGCTAATAGCTAGTCTGGGAGGTGGTGGAACACTTGGTGGTGGGGTTGCGTCCCTTCGCGGGCTTGCCCCTCACTGGATCCTTGCCTAAAGCAAACAATTCATTCCACCGAAAATTTCACAAACACAGAGATTCATCTTAATTTCACCGACGACAATTCCCACCATCCCCACTCCGCAGACAGGCGCCCCCACATCGTCATGCCTACCATTACTCTCCCCATCCGCCCTCCAGCTCCCTCCATGGTTGCGAAACTAGAGGAGCCGGAACTCGCTAGCAAGGATGTTTCACCAACATCGACTAAGCTCGAGACTGCTGCTGCTGCCGCTCCTGCTGCTGATGCCGTCGCCGCTGATCTCGAAGCTGCTGGAAATGGCGTGAACATCGCAGCCGAGACAGACGCCGCGCCGAAGCGCAAGGGAAAGAAGAAGAAGGGGGGGAACGGCCCTGCTCCCGCTACGGCCAAGAGCGGAACGACCGGAAAATCCAAGGTTTGTTTATTTAACCTCCGTGTTTATCATCGTGGTGATTGGGCGACATGCTTCGCAGCCGCCTAGTGCGCGCTTTTGAGCGCATTTCTGATCATTAATGGAATGGATGGTTGTGCTGACGGTGGCGGCGGCTGGCAATGTTTTAGACGAAACCATCTGGATTCGAAGGTAGCGAATGACAGTGGCGATACCAAGGGTATACGGCGGCTAATGTTTGGCGCAGAATACGTGGTTGATGGGCCTCTTACCAAAGCCGAGGCCGACATTGAAGAAGCTCTCTACGCTCTGTGAGTTCTCAGTGCGCAATCACCGCTGTAAGCGTTGTGCTCGGTCGTAACTAATATGTCGGATCTTCAAGTTCTAAGCCGTTTGCTCAGTGAGTGCTCGAGATCGCGGTTCGTAGAGGAGATGTGCTAATCGGTGGGTAGACGTATGGAGACATGCATCCAGAGATACAAGGCCAGACGCAAGTTTGATGCATTTCGTATCAACATCTTCAATTCCTACCTGAGGCTGGGAGGTGTGCAAACCGGCCAGAAGCAGTATTCCGGTGGCATCGACCCGAAGAAGATGGATGATTTGGATGCCGAACAGATCGGACTGCTCGCGGCTACGGATTTCATCACTTTCAACGACAACGGAGGCGACGATGCCCAGGAGTACGATGTGGACTTCGCATTTGTTGTCCGTGGATTCTTGTCCTACAAGGTCCCGTACGGCTTGGGGATCAGAAAGGTCCCTGAGTTGGAAATGGCTTGCCAGGTCGTAAGGAACTTCCTCAACTACGTAAGTGTTTCCTACACCGATTCCAGTAACTATTATTTACTGGAATCAAATGCAGGTTATTTACCACAACGTTTGTCCGGAGTATATCGACAATATCAAAGAAGCAATCGAACTCTGCAACCTTGCCGAAAAGGAGTTGGTTCTCTGCATACACGTGTCAAACCTTCTGCCGGGCTCATGGAACATGGCCTGCTCCACCATCTATGGCGGATCCTATGCTGGTATTTTCGACCCTGAAGCGACGTGGGACGACACAGACCGCTCCCTCATGGCTGGACTGGACCCGAAGATGGCCAAGGAATTAATTCTTGTCGGCCTCAACAGACGTGGAACACCGGAACAGATCGCAAGGGGCCTCGATCGCAAGCTAACCGAATTTAAGCACTTCCTTTCACTTGAGGTTCTGGAGGTGGTCATGCCCGGTCCTAGCCCGCCGCTTCCAGAGAACGCCGACATGGCCTTGCCGGACAACAAGTACTTCCGCAACACGCAGGCTCTCGGCTACCTCAAGGTTACGCCCTGGGTCGCGGAAGAACCATTCAAGGAGGATCAGTTGAATGTCGAGGACCGTCTGCGTGGACTTGAAATCATCATCTGGCTCGAGAAGATCTGCCTGCAGTACTGCTTCCCGGGCATGCATGTGGAAGCCAAGGTGCACCAGTTCGATGATGGTCTGATCTTCATCGACAGTGTTACTGTGCGATTTTCCCTTCTTCATTATTCTGGCCGGAAAAATGCTGATTATTCTATAGGGTGTCCTGTGTAGCTTCTTCATGCGCCTGGAATACCCCAAAGAGGATAAGGACAAAGATGGTGACTTTTCCGACTAGTCTTTCTCCAGGAAAAGGCTTGGATGCGTATTTTGGTTTCTGCATGGCCTGGTTTCGTTTGAGTGCACGAGAATGGATCTGCATACGTACCGGTATCGTTTTTCCTTCGGTGTTTTGGCTGGTGTACTTTCCGTATTTTCTAGGCAGATAAAATTACCTACTCTGTTTACTGGATTGTGTACTTGAAGCTCGTTTAATTGTTTGATTGATTTCATACAGCATGGAACCCTAAGGCTATGGCCGGTAGAGTTATCTACAATAATGCATTTGACAAAGAAATCCCGCCACCAAACTCTAGAAACAGAAATGACAGTCCAGATCCCCTTATCCTCGCAATATCTGAAAGTGAGCCTCCGAAGAGCTCGAGTTATCGGTTATGCGCTGTCGCGGCGCGTCGTAGCCCTCATCTTCTCCAGAAGGTACCCCCACTCGGTACCTTAAAGCTTGTTTGGATGTGCTGCATAGAGTACATAAGCCGTCCTTTGCCGAAAGGGTTGAATTTATGGGCAATAATTTGTCGAAACGGTCGTTGTCCTCAAACGGCCCATGCAAAGCGGTTCTTGGAAACCGATGGGTAGCCCTATATCGACGAGTGATGGTTCATGAGAGAAGCTACCCTACAGCAGCCTAGCGTGTTAGTCAACTGCAACTCATCTTTGTTCCAACAGTGGCTCCACGGCCAAACCCGCACAACCTACCAACCCGCGCAACACGCAAACCACCACCGCTACCACGATCACCGCCCGCCTTCTTCGTCTCAACCAAGCTTCACCAGCTCCCGCGCGCACCTCGTCCCCCACCTCGCCACCGCTGCACCCCACCCCACAGCTATGGCGTCCGCCCAGACCCCCTACTACGAGCTCTACCGCCGCTCCTCGTACAGCCTCATCTCTCCTCCTGCGAATGTAGTGGGGCTCTACTGACACTCCGCTACCACCGCAGCATTGGAATGGCGCTCACAGACGCCCTCGACGACCTCATCTCGGAGGGCCGCATCGCGCCGCAGCTGGCAATGAAGATCCTCACCAACTTCGATCGTCACGTTACCGATGTGCTCGCGGATAAGGTCAAAGCCAACTTGACCTTTAAGGTACTCTATCCTTCCCTCTCTTGGGGGTGGAGAAAAGATGGTGGCGGTGGTGCTGCTGGTGCTGCTGGTGGCTAACAGACCGCACGTAGGGGAGCCTCGATACGTACCGCTTCTGCGACGAGGTGTGGACGTTCCTGATCAAGAACGTTACCTTCAAGTTCCAGCAGCAGGGCGGGACCACTCCGAGCGTCACGACTGATAAGATCAAAATCGTGTCGTGCAATTCGAAGCGGCCGGGAGACTTGTAAACAAAGAACTTGGAACGTTTCCTTTGTTTCTCTGGTTTTTTTTCTTTCCCTTTTTCTCTCTCTTACTTGTGCTCCCGTTGATGCTAGCACGGATACGCGAGATTATTACATATCACGACACTGCGATGTTGCATTTTGATGTCTTTTTTTTATCTGCTTGATGTGTGCGCACCGCTACTATACAGGATGGATGTACTTTAACAAAATACGTTGGCGTTGGAATGAAATTGGTATTGCTTTGGCCTGGCATGGCCATCTCTTGAAGACGGGGCTGTGATCTGTTTGCATGTCGTGCCGAGTGACGAGACAGCTATCTGCAAACTCGTAGTATACGACTGACGGTTGCTTGCCGGCTCGCTCAGCCTGCTGTGTGGGATCACTTTGCTCTTGATGTGGGTGGTGGTTTTCCGGTGTCAGTGGCTTTCGGTGGTGGCGATTAGACCTGCTACCGGTAGGGGTGCACCGCGATTCTCACGATTGGGCCAATAGTGAATTTGCAAGACGGCAATAGTTACCCAATCACGATTACGTCTGTCCGATGCCAGCCAAACAGGCCACACAGTCCTCCAAGCAATCGGCCGGGAATATCTACAAATTGGCTTTCTCCACCGGCGACTGTTCGTCCACCAGTCTGGCCGCATACTCCGCCATCCCGTAGCTCGCCTGATCTGCGCAGAAGTCAGTACGCTTATCTCCACGGGACTTTTGGACGCCACACTCACATCCGAATCCACCAGCGCCATAGTTATGAACCACCACGACGTCATCGATAACCTCCTTCTCCAGCCTCACGCCACCGATCCTGAACGGCCTCAGTCCGGCATAGGTCTTGATCACATCCAGCCCTTCAACGCCTTGGCCGGGCTTGACGAGCTCGGGACACAGCTCAATGGCCCGCTTCATGATTCGCTGCGTCAGGTTGGGATCCACCGCAGTCTCGAAATTACCCTTTTCGTAGCTGCCGCCGATTACGGTTCCACCGCCTGGGATGTCTGTTCAGCTACCTACGCGACAGGGGTGTGCCGGGTGAGAGGGGTTACCGTTGGGCCGCATCATGATATAAGTGCTTTCCTCCGGCCCATCGTCGGTGCCAGAAATGGTCATCATCGTCGGTGCCTCGTTCCGCACTACGACGATCTGTCCCCGCGCCGGAATCACCTTCTCGTCCATGACACCACCGAGCTTCCCCGCCATCAGGCCGGTACAGTTAACTACCACGTCCGCCTTCCCCTCCGCATGCATCCCCGCCGCCTCCGCGATATGCCGCAACGTCCCCCTTCTCACCGTTGCGCCGAGCTGCAAACACTCACCCAGCACGTATGGCAGGAAGATTGCGGGGTTGATGCAGACACTGCTAAACGTGGTCCCACTATCCACGCCCTTGGGCAGCTCCGCCTTCTCCAGCTTCCTGAATCCCGGCGCAAGCTCCCTGAACCACGGCTCGTCACTCAACAAGCTATCGATCCAGTCGGTGATGATGCCGCCCGCATCTTTATTCCGCTTATAGATGTGGCACTCCCTGACGGCGATTCCGGCGGCGGGGACGGTATTCGCTAGACGCCACAGCTCCCGGAAGGTCTGCGTGTCCCACTCGGCTTCGCGCGTGTCGGCGCGCGAGACCGGCCACCAATTCGCTCCCGCCCACGGTGACGTGTACGTCGAAGCAAAGTCGCCGGGCAGGTGTGTGCCCACGACGGTGACGCTGTAGGTGCCGCGCCGGAGGAGCGCGAGAGCACTCGTCAGGCCGACTACGCCGGCGCTGGGATGCGTTAGCTATCTGTGGGCTCTCGAGTAGGCGACGACGAAGCGGCATACCCAACGACGACGATTTTCTGCTTAGCTCTATGGGTAGTCATTGTTACGAATGGACATGTAGATGGGGTGGTGCTTGTGTTCAGTGAAGAAGGGCCGGGAATGGCAGCTGAAGTGGGGGGACACCCGGGTGACCACTAGTAGATGCTTGGTTTAGTATCTCTTCTGTAAACGAAAATGGGGAATCAATGCAAGGCCGAGATCGCTGTAACTATGCCGTGTCCGAACCGGAAGGGAATAAGCCCGGACCCCCACTAGATCCCCCGTTCTACTTTAAACCTGCATGGGCTCGGAATGGCTAGAGTCGAGTTGCAAGAATGCTTCTGGAACGTCCATGCGTGTGGAGAAGCGGAACAATGGGCCGGTGATTGGCGATAGGGATAGTTATCCGTGAGCTACGGTATACGCGATCATGCTTGCTCCTGAGCGATGGAGGATGGTTACGCCGAGTATGTAGCTCTGTTGTGCCTTGGGTGAAGTTGTTGTGGGGAAGCGGCCGGGGGAGGCGGGGTGGGCGAGGGGGTGTCTGTTAAGATTTCTCGGCTGCAGGGTTGTGCCGGGGACGGACCAAGCGTGGTCGGGCCGATGTGATGAGCGGCGCTTTTCGTGTTTTCTCGTCCAAGGCGAGACAAAGAGAACCTCCCCGTCTTCGGCGTCTTTGCTTGTCTTCAGCTTCCCCCTATCTCGACCCTCAACTGCATCACGTGACACAAACAGCAGCAGAAGAACAACTCTTCTTCTCTTTACCGCCTCTCAGCTCCCGACAAACGCCCCCAAAACAAACAACAACGGCTTCCGCCAACAACACAACGCGCCCTCCCCGCCAGCGAAATCCTCCTTGACGCGCACGCACTGCCGCCACATTCAATCTTCCAGCAGAGTTTTCGGTAAGTCAACTCGCCCGCCCCGCCCCGCTCGCCCGCTATTTCGCCCTCCCTCTCGCCCGCCGCCCGTCTTACGTCGGCGTCGACGGTGCAGAACACAGCCAGGTGGATACTCTCTTCAATGTGATGTGTGTTGTGGCAATTCTCGACTGCGTTGTTCCACACTCACTCACACCACCCCCTCACCCACCCTCCCCACCCTCCCTCTCCCACACACGCATCGTTGTCCAACACCTCACATGCAGCCTGCCACCCTTCTGGCTTAAACGACACCCGCCCGCAACGAGAAACCTGATACATAGTGTTGACCGCCCGAACAACAGGGTAACGTATCGGCCGGCGGCAACCCGCCTCGTGTCCCTGGGGCTTACTTCCTTGAATGACCGCCCCTGGAAACATTGGCCAGCCTGGCAGCGGTAGGATGGCCAATATCAACTTATACGACAACGAGTTTCCTCTGCTGAAGGTGAACGGACTCTATGCGGCTTTGACGTCGGGCGATGGGGATTGCCTATTCCATTCCTTGAGCGATCAGGTTTGCCATCCCCTCCCCCCCTCCCCATTCTCTCCTTCTCGCTCTCGCTGGATTTCGCACTCCCTCACAAAAAAATTGCGGCTCTGTTGAGTCCTCGGGAATGCCAGCATTTCAACGAGACTCCGGAGGATGCTGTCCTGTCACGGCCATTTCTTGCCGCGATTTTCTGTCTTTTGTTGATTTTCTTCCACGCCACAGCTCATGCTAATCGCCGGTTCCTTGCAAACTAGCTCTACGGCCATGAAAACAGCCATATGGAACTGCGTCAACGGGTGGTGCAGCGTAAGTGACGCTGCCCGGCGGGATCTTGCTCGTATGGGGGGTTCTTCGTGCTAAGTGGGGTTTTCCGAGCAGATCTACGCAACCACGCTTCCTACTTCAAGGTCTTCATCGATGTTCAGCCCGTCCGCCGAGCCCCCCGCCGCCGAGCGGCCGCAAGCCACAAGTCGGATCTCGAACATCATTCACAGGCGGAAATCGACAAGGCATACGAGGAGCGGCTTCTACGGATGGCAAACAAGGGTGTGTTTGGCGACAACCTCGAAATCCAGGCGTTTGCCCGAGAGTTTGATGTCAATGTCAAGATCTACCAGCGGGAGAACGCGTACGTGATATGCCCCGACAACACCGCCGGATCCAAATTGAGCGACGACAATAGGACCACGGTGCATATTGCCTATCACGCGAGTACCACCTTTCCCCATTGGCCGCGGGATAAGTGCTGATATCGAACAGATCTGGGAACACTATTCGTCGATCCGGAATCGAGATGGTCCGCACTCGGGGCCTCCATGCGTTCGAGAACAGAGATCAATTACCGAGCGAGAGAAGAAACAGCTGTTGGACGGTGCGTCTGCCATATTACCGTGGATGGAGGACGTTGTGGCGGCGTCCATCCCGCAGTACGAAACACCGGAACGCATCAGGGAGGTTCTGGAGCAGTGTAAAGGCGGCGTGGACGAGGCGGTCAAGTTTCTTCAGGATGAATGGGACTTGGCAAGCAATTTCGACACGGAATCCACCGCACCCGACTATGGTGACGATTATCAGCGCGTTGTCCCCGATTTCGACGATGAGGAAGACCTTCGGACCGAAAACGTCCAGCTCGTCGAGCTAATCGAGGACAAGAAGGAGGAGCCAAGAGCCATCATCCAGGAAATACCACGACCGGATATCAAGGCAATGTCTCAGCCAGGTTTCCGAGCGCCGACTGTGCAGCCCGTGGCGCCGCCGGCAGTCCGCGTTGAGGTCCAGCCGGCGGTCCAGCCGGTGGTTCTCCAGCCGGTGGTTCAGCCAGTGATCGAGACGATCGCCCCGGCAAAGGTTAAAGCCGATTTTCCGTCATCCAAGGCCCAGCCTACGACTCGGACTAAAATGGTCGATGAGGCCATGCTAGATGCTCCAGCACTCATCCAAGATGTTCCCTTCCCCATCCAGGTGACTGTCGAGGCCACCACACAAAAGCCCGACAGCAACGTCGATGAGTATTCTGGCGCGAAGCGGAGAAAGAGCCCTGATGGCTCGCCCGTTAGGGTTACCGCAGCCCAGAACAACAGTTCGAGCGACGAAACCAGCTCCGCGGGATCATCTGGGTCCTCGATGTCGGACAATAACGATAGAAGACGACGGAAACCCGCCAGGAAATCTACCGTTTCCGCGCAGCCCACGCGAAGATCACCGAGGATCCAAGCCAAGGCGATAACCGCCGCGCAAGAAGCCGCCGCGAGGGCCGCAGCGCCGCCGCCACCTCCACCTACCCCGAAGAATACTCGTACCCCCCGGAAGCCTCGGGCGAACGCCGCCACCAAGAAGAAGACACCGGCTACTACCCGGAAGCGTGGTGGTGCTGGCATCGGAATGGTCACGGTGGGTATTAAAGAGCTATACGTGTAGATGCTCACTCCTCTTTGTCCTGTACAAACGAAACGAAGAAAATAAGGGTATGGATACATGGGCGGGGCGTATGGCGAATTGTTGGCAATCTCTCGTTTTTCCTTACTTACCTTTCCACTTGCATCCTCTGGTGGTATACTTTACATTTCTATTTTCTTTTCTCCTCCCTTTGCAGTTGTCTTGTCTTGTCTTTCGTTCGTTTCCTTTCTTCAACCTCATGGATGGTCTGGCCGGTTTGGGTGTGGTTTTTTTCGATGGCGTCTTTGTTTTGTTTCTTCATTTCTTTCCTGTATCTCCTTACGCACACTGCATATCATTTCAGGAGTTTTTTTTTCTTTCCTCATTTCTTACCGTTTCCTTTTTTCTTCTACTCAATGGAAGGAAAGGAGGCTTGTCCTCCTCCTCCCCTGAGACATGGCAAGTGCTTGCTTTCTCGATTTGGTTGTGGCTACATAGATGGTGCTTGGTGGCATGGGCGGGGGATTGTGGGGGGTTGTGGGGGGTTGTGGATGAGCGGATGAGCGGATGGGGCGGATGTGGGTGCGGAGAATACTCGTAGCATCTTACATATGTACACTGTGGGCTCTCGCGTGAATTGAGTGGCATGTGGTGATGTGGTGATGTAGCGATATGGCGGTACCATACGCACACCGCGATTGAGTGCTCAGTGGTTTACCTAGTTAGAGGTGAGTGAGGATGCGTGAATCGGCTTTGGCCTTAAGTACTCGCTTCAACTGCCATAACCCATGGATGGAGCGGGGCGGGTTAGTCCCTTTATCTGTTGTATCTGTTGTATCTGTTGAGGGCAGCTATAGAACTACAGAAATGCTCTACCTAGATCATGGCAATACTACCCTATATACACACTCCGTTTCCATATCGTCCACCGTCTGTCTAACCCGAGTCCCGACTTTCGTCAGGCGGCCGCGCCGTGGCTTGCCCCTCCCTGTCTACTCCCAAACCTCTGTCTACAGTACCGATACCACATCTTCTGCTGGCTCTTCCACTCGGCGCAGCACTTGAAGGGGTGCTCCCGAGTCTGGGCCCGAGTCTTGTAAAGTAGCGACATTACCCGCACTCAGCGTCGGGGCGTCGGGGCGGCTCTTTTGTCTACTGGAGTCTGGAAGTACTGGCCCACGAGGCAGTGCTCCGTCTTCAACTTCAGCCGGTACATATGTAGAACCTGAAGGCCAGCTGCTTGCGGGCCTGGGCAGTACCTATTTCGGAAACATGGGCGAGTGATGACTCGAGACCGGCGTACATCCGCTGTACTCTACATATCATAGAAATGCTTGAGGGATCCCGGACTCCCGGCGCACGCGTGTCCCCGAGATCTGATCTGATCGGTGCGGCGATGCCGGCAGTCGACTCTACTCTAGGTCTTGGTATGTACTGTAGAGTACATACGGAGCCCTGATGCGCCGAAGGCGATCCCAGTGGTAATCCCTAGAGTACTACCTGCCCCGAATAGTCCCACCGGCAAGCAGTGCGGGTTCCTCCGGACCTCCGGTGCAGGTTGCGATGTTCCTTGAGTCCCGATGGAAGAAAGGGCCCGAGGAGCTGTGAAGTGAAGCACAGGTGTGCATGAGCTTGGATAGCCGCAGCCGCACAGATCATCGCCCATTCCAAATCCTCAGGGCCCTGCACGCCGTGGTTCTTCTCCATTCCTCATGCTGACATGTCTCGAAGTTCTGGACACCGTCCATGGATGTCGTGCTCAGCTTAAGAATTGGCAGCCCCCCGCCTCCCATTCGTATCCGGCGACTCGGGGAGTGGATGGTGGACGTTTCGAGCTCTGGTCGCCTGGTAGCCTGGTAGGCAACAGTGGGAAAAAACAAAAAAACGTGTGTTGCGTCGGCATTGCCGTTGACGTAACGAAATGTAACTATTGATTTTTCCTCAATCGGGAGTGGCCGCAGATTACAAACTCCTCAGCCCGCCCGCCCTCCTCCGACTTTGTGCCCCACCTCCCACCACCCACCCCTTCCCCACCCCCTTCCCACTCCCACTCCCACTCCCACTCCCCATTGCTTACGGAACAAAAGCCTCTGCATAAAATCAAATACTCATAAAATCAAATCAAGAAAGAAACAAAGTAGTACCAGGACTCGAGCTCGTACTTAAGGCGATAAAAGAAATGGCAGCCCCACGGATTCGCTCTCTCCTATCGTCATCGCACCTGCGCAACTACAGCATCTCGTCATCGCTACTACTACTTACCCGCAACCCCTCCTCCTCCTCCTACACCAACACCAACACCAACACCACTACCCCTCACTACCGCTACACCAACAACACCCTCCACCAAACCCTCAACACTCCCCGCAACTTTACCACCTCAACCGCAAAAATGACCGTCATCAAGATCGAAGCGTAAGTCCCTCTCTCCTTTCCATTCCATCCATCCTATCGCATCTTCGCGGCGTAGATGTGGTGATGGTGGTGGTGGGACCCCGTAGAGTTTACCCCGCCAACCAACCATATCCACCTCATCCCATCCCGCCATCCCGTCCATCCCGCCATCTCTCCCACGCATGACTATCATGACCACGATCACGACCACGACCATGACCATGAATACGACCACTAACTCTGCCTCTGCCACAGCGCCGATACCTACGCCCAGGCGTTGGAGGAGTCCAAGACGAAGCTTGTCGTGATCGACTTCTTCGCGGTGTGGTGCGGTTCGTCATCCCCAACCCCCACCCCCACCCCCTTACACTCCACTCACTCACACCATGAACAGGTCCGTGTAGGGTGATCGCGCCCAAGGTGGATGCGTTCTCGAACGACTACGCGGAGAAGGCCAGCTTCTACAAGCTCGACGTCGACGAGCACCAGCAGATCGCCGCTGAGCTCGAGGTCCGCGCCATGCCTACCTTCCTGTTCTTCAAGGACGGCAAGAAGGTCTCCGAGGTTGTTGGCGCTAATCCTAGTGCTTTGAAGGTATGTTCTTCCTTTTCAGTCGGGGATAGGATGGAGGTGGGGTGGGTTGGAGGGGGTGAGGATGGCGTGCGGTGCTGATGATATCGACCGCAGGCTGCCCTCGATAAGTACTGCGCATAGACGGAGCGAGCGGGACACCCGGACCAACTATACTGTTCAACTGTTCAACTACTCGATGGGTGGATGGGAGGATGTGGGTGGAATGGGTGGAAGCGTGCGACCGTCTGATGATTGAATGAACGAATCGATGGATGGTTGGGAGTTGTACTGTACTTACTTTCTTCTTACGTCCGTGTCCGTTTCCGTGCGTGTAACGAACGAACGAACGATTCCTACGGCTTCATCATCATCATCGTCGCTGAATGCTGAGGGCTGAGGGCTGAGTGAATGTCGTGTGCAAGTTCGCGATGGCTCAACTCGGCCCGAACGCTGTGTCCTAATGTGGTGTTCCGAGGGCTCTCGGCACGGAGGAACAGCGGCAGGAGCAGGAGCTCCAAAGCCAGTGCTGGATATCCACGCCGCCAGAGCTGCCCATCCAACCTCCTCCAAGTCCTCAAGCAGTCAGTCAGACACCCACTCAACTTACCCACTTGCCTGATCCACCACAGTCTCACTACAGCTCCCGCTCCGTAACGTGCTGCTAACCGAAGCCACCGAAGCCATCGCGCAGGAAGCGTCCAATTCCAAGCTGTCGGCTGTCGGCTGGTGGGGGAGATCGTCGTGGATGGGATCGTCAGGTCGCAATCATTACCGCACACTACGACGTCTCACTCGCGAGTCAAGACCAATATCAGCCTCCAGGAACTGGCAATGTCTGGTACAGTGATCGCACCCAAGAACCTATCACGCATCACACATCCTCACACATCCTCACACATTCATTCACGCACGGTACGGGCCAACACATGTATTTCAAAACCATCATCATTGACCCCACTACACCCTTCGCTAACCTACTAGTTATAGTCACTGCAAAGAAAGAAAGAAAGAAAAGAAAAAGAAACCCACCACGAAACTCCCGCATATATACACACTGTGCCTCCCAGTCCCGCATCCCAATCGCAATCCCGCCTCCCGAACAAACAAACAAACAGAGCAAACAGCAAACAGAGATATCATTCATGCAAGTGGTTTATAACAAATGAAAAACATTCTTTCTTTAAAGAGTGTCAACACCTCACACACCCCACCCCACACCACATAGTAAATAAACAGAAAGAATCGGTATACATGGACAGACGACACTTTCACACACACACACGCAGAAGCAAATGGAAGCAACACAAAAAAAAAGGGGGTATATAATAATGCCAACACACACACACACACAAACACACGAGAACACACAGGAGCATACTGATTGATTGATTGATTATATCTTCTTCTTCTTCTTCTTCTTCGAATCTCGAACCTCGATCATAGACATAGAAAAATAGTAAGGAGTGTCGGGGGTGTAGAGTACATAGGAAAATGTTAAATGAATGTGTTATCTCTTCATCATCGTGCCGACGGGCCGAAATACGATCCGCGTCGCACCGGGTGTTCCATTGGCGTTTGATAGACCGACTTCGACGACTGCTCTCTCCTGAAGAGCGGGTGTTCCAGCGGTGTAGAGAACGCGTCGTTTTCGCCCGGTGTATCCATCGGCATCGTTTCATCTTTGGGCGATTCGCCCTCCTCGATGTATATCGTCCCCTCTCGCCGTAGGCCGCGGAACGGGCTTTGCACTTGTACCCGCTTCTTGCCGCCTTCTCGCCACATGTTCCGTTCGTCTTCGCTGTTTATTGAGGCGCTATCGTCGCTGTCTTCCAGGTCCAACACTGCGCCGCCCACCTCTTCATCGTCGTCTTCCCTCGGTTCTTTGGCACCCTTGGCAACGCCGGTGAAGTAGCCGTCGTCATCCATGACCACGTCGTCGCCGTCGAGCTCCTGGTACCGCTTCCGTAGGGACGAAGCGCTGGTCCGGAGGGGACTGAGTTGCTGTACCGACGTCCGCGGACCGAGTTTTCCCGAGAGCCAGCTTCCCTCGGAATCTATCGATGCGAGGGAGGTCGACATGATCGAGCGGGGCCCGCCATTTTCCGGTGAGCCACCATTGGACCTGTGGAAGGATGGCGAGTATCTCTGAGCTGAAGGCGGTCTCGAATGGTATGCTGGTATTGTTGGCGAGTCCTTTGTTTCTTCGCCCAGTACTGGCGAGTGACTCTTGTTTCCACCGCGTAAGCCGAGACCGTGCGGTGCCAGCGAGCTCCTCGAGCTGGCCTGGCTTCCGTTGTGGTGATTGTACGGTGCGATCTGAGGCGTTGACAGTACAGCGTCACGCATCTCATCCTCGTAGTCGTCGTTGTTGCCCGGGTAGCCGTTGCCCGGGTAGCCGTTGTCCGGGTAGCCCTTATTCTGAATATGTCCAGTCTCCACGGCAGTCATCGCGAGAGCAATCTCTTTCGGAATGTGACGGCCGGGCGTTTGTCCCTGCCGCTGCCGGAGATCCTCCATGTCCAAGAAGATTCTCGGAGGCGGCTCGGTCCGCTTTGTCGTATACCCGTCATCCTCCTCCTCCTCTTCTTCTTCCTCCCCCTCGAAATCAGATACCACGGGCGGTTGCTGTTGTTGTGGCTGTGGCTGTTGTTGTTGTTCCACCTCCGGGCTACGGGTAGACCGCTCCTTCTTTATCCGAGCGGCTGTAGCACGCTTAATGAAGGATGTCCATGCCGAAGTTTTGGTCCGTCCAGATGGAGCCTCGTCGATCACGGCCGCTGGCAGAGCCTTCTCCACCTGCAGCTGAGGTTGCGGCGACTGATTGTGAAACTCTCTGGACTGCATCGAAACCGGTGTCACGACGTCCAGTCTAGGTGAATATTGCTGCTCCAATCCGTTGCCCATATCCTCGGTCGATGGATCCGCGTTGAACCACGACAACGGTGTCCCTTGCCTGTTGGAGACCGGCGAGGCAGATGCGTCGGGTGTCCGATAGTCGCGACCATGCCGTTCGTCGATATCCTGATCCATCTCACGGCTTGCACCACCCCTCTCCACATCCCTGTGGGGTGTCGACTTCTTTTCCAGCTTCATTCGTAGTCGCTCTTCATATTCCACCTTCTTCCTGTAGCGCCGCCTCTGATCCCGCTCCATAGCCTCCCTCAATCCTTTGGCGTCGAGTTCGTCGACGAGATCGTCCACGCGCGCATGACGATCATCCTCGTATATCGACGGCCCTTTATAGCGCCATGTCTGTGCGGTCCGTGAATTAGTCCGGCGAGAATTGGACCGACTAGGCGCCAATCCGGGACAACCGAAATCGCTCGATAGGTTCGACGTCGGCGACCCGCCGTCGTCGTAGTGGAGTGTGGGGTGGGGAGAAAACACATCGAGCTTCCTTAATTTGTAAGCTCTCGAAGAGATTTGCGAGTCCATTGAGGTGCGTGGTACGGTCGAGCTGGATGATAGTGGGCGGTTTCGATTGCTCTTTGAGCTATGTCGGCTAAGGTACGCGGAGGGCGGTTGTGCCTTGGCCTTTCCCTGTCTTCGCCGGCTGAGCCTGCGAACGAAACTGGATTGCTTGTGCGGTCGATGCGACGAGCCGGTGGAGTCGCTCATGGCAGATTGATTGCGTTCGGTAAGGTGTGATAGGAAGCCGCCGCGCGGGTTCCGAGGGAAGTATTCGCGGTCCGCTGCCACGACATCATCGTCAATTCCTGCGAGCGCCAAATCGCGGGCACTGGGCGACTCGTATGTGATGGTGTCGAGGGGATTGCCCCGTTGGGCCGAGATCCTACTCCGCTTCGATGGATTCCGCGAGAGCCAAGTTTTCCGTCGGCCTCCCGAGCTGTCGGTAGTAGTTGATATAGTAGTGGTAGTAGCGGTAGCAATCGTCGTAGCAGGCCTCTTTCCTTCGGCGGTGGACCGCTTCCGACGCTTGTTGAAGGGCCAAATCGCCATATTGCTATCTTTCTAACGTTTCCACCAGGATGGATCTAAGTGCGCACGCGGAATGTTGAAGGAGGTTTTGTTTTTGTTTGTTTTTTTTAGGGAGGGGGAGTTAGGTAGGTAGTGTTGATGTATGATGTATGTAGCGGGAAGAGGAAGGAGGGAGGAAGTTGAGTTTAGGTTTGCGTGGTGTGGGAAGGGTTGCTCGGATTAGTCGATGGACGTGTGTCGATGCGATACCGCTGTTGACGTGGTGGAGAGAACGGGCGTGGAAGCATGAGATAGACGAAAACGCGGTCGGACGGTATTGGCTGAGGTCACGGCGGTAGTAGCAGCAAGGGACCAAACGCCAGTCATGTGCAAGTTCAGTGGCAGCGGCGGGGGGAAGTATATCCGTGCACTGGAATGTGAGTAGTTTTGGCTGGGCTGGTTCGTCGTGGTAGAGGGTAGTTGGAAGAGGAGGAGGAGGAGGGAGGTGGCGGAGAAGTTGGTGGTAATTGGTGGTGGTGGTGGAGGATGTGGTGGTGGTCCCAGGATGACGGAGGTTGGTCGGTTGGTTGGAGGGTTTTGAATATGAGTGTGGGAAGTTTGATAGTGACGGAATTGGGGCGGCAGTGGGGGGGTCTGGCGGTGGCGGTCACTGGTGGAGAGGGGGAGGAGGAGTTGCCCTTGGATGCTGTTTCGCCTTTGTGTGGTGCAGAAAAGAAGAAACGAAAGATTCCACGGATATGCTATTATTCCCTCCGGTGTTCCTTTGAATCTTCGATCAGTTCAGCCAGCCAGCGAGGCAGCCAGCCAACCCGCCAGGTGGAATTGAAAAGCGAGAGGAAATAGAAGGCCCAGGCCAGGCGTGTCAGGACTTCCCACTTCCATGCAGACTCCAGAGTAGAGTAGCAAGCAATTATGCAGCGCGAGACTGTGAGTAGTGTTGCTCTATGTAGCACACACAGCAACCAGCAACCAGCAACCAGCAACCAGCAACCAAACCCTCGCTGAGCCAGCCAGCCCGCACTCACCCGTACCAGCCGTACCACCCGTACCGAGCGAATCACCCTGCGCCGGCGAAGAATCTTGTTTGACGCAGACCCGAACCCCGACCCGCAACGCCAGCACAAACCAGACCAGACGACGCAGACCTCTGACCACGCAGACCACCCAGCCCAGACCATTCAGACCACCCAGAGTCCCAGAACCCATTGGCCCTCGTCGTTCGCTGGATACAACTGACCGTCTCTACCCCAGGAATTTAATGTACCGCACACAACCACAAACGACCCCCCTCCCCCCTCTCCCCCAAATAAAATAAAATAAAAATTACACCCACCACCACCATCATCACCTGCTATGACCTCCTCCTCCTGTCGTCTATCCCTACGCAAATCGCATCCACCGAATCAAAAGTGAAAGCGAGGGGTGGGGGCCAGGGGAAGGAAGGACACGAGGGAGAGAGTCGAGACTGGAGCGGAGAGAAGTAAAGTGAAGCGTGGCAGCGGGCGGGTGAAGCGTGGCCGTGAGCATACCGCAGTTAATCTTTAGATACCTTCCTACCTACCCTACTCTGCCTATGATAGTGAGACGGACTGTGCCGTCGAAAGTACGTACACCTACCGGGCTATGGCTCTCTACTCTACTCTATCTTCCGCAAATATCCTTACAGCCACAGCCACCACTTGCCACTCCTTCCCAGTGTCCCACTCCCCACTGAGTCCCCCAGTGCCCACTCCCCAAGAATGCAAAGTCTCAGACTCTCAGGCCGCCCAAGAAGAGAGGGTACACGCGCCTATATATAGCGTATGTACTCTTGAGTCGCAGTTTGTAGAGTCCGAGAGTTGTAGACAGCGAGCCCAAGTACTCGTATATACAAAGTAGAGTATGGTATCCACGAATACAATTCTCCGGGGAATCCCCATGCAAATTGTCCAATCGAATCGCCCCATTTCTCCAATTCTGGCCAGCCCATGCCATGCCACGGTGTTCGAGCCTCCTGGACTCCTGGACTCCTGGACTCCTGGACTCTTGGGACTCTTGGAGAGTCATAATTCTGCCTCACTGCAGAGTAACTACGAGTACATAGTTTACCTGCGTAGTCGCACCATGACCATGCTCAGCGAACGATGTATGTATTTAGTGTTCACACGTAAGAATCTCTCTTCTCTTCTCTTCTCATCTCATCCAATCGCCAATTCGCATTTCAATTGATCTCCAGCCGACAGCACACCGATAAATTATCTAGAGGTAAAACCGTAAAACCGTAAAAGTAGCGTGAGGTAAAACCGTAAAACCGTAAAAGTAGCGTAAGATACCACAATGATTAAAAATGCATGAGGGGTACTAACTGTTGGTACTCAGCAAAAAAAGCGAGCAAGCAGAGGTAGCAGAAGAAACACAAGAAAAAGGAAAAGGAAAATGACATAGCCGCACAAAACAACCCATCCGGATTCCGACCGAAAACTCGACGAGATCGGCCCGCTCGGGAAGAAAGAAAAGAAAAGAAACCGGCACATCCAACGCCCAGCCCAGTACACCGTATTGAATTCAAACCCCGAAACCTTTGCCACGCCCCCAAACCCACTGATGTAAATGCCGATGAAAAAGGTAAGGAAAAAGGGTAAGGAAAAAGGCACGGAAGAAGGTACGGAAGAAGGAAAAAAAGAAACACCCGAAATGATGCTATTCCACGGCGGAGTCGGTTCATCATCCGTGATGGCGATTCTGCTGCTGAAGAAGACCGTGTGGGAGGCCACCTTGAGGTTGAGGCGCAGCAGGGGCAGCACGTGGTTGTGGCGCACCGGGTGGGTCCAAGCCCAGTGCAATTGCCTCATAATAATACTGGGCGTATAGTTGGGCGTTGTTCGGTGGTGCATTCTGTGCATTAAAAGGGTGTGCCCTAGCTCCAGGCAGTGGTACGGGATGATTTATTACAGCAGCAAAAGGATGTCCCCTAGGCAGTGGTACGGGATGATTTACAAGAGCAAACTGGTGTCCCCGAGCTTGTGGAGGTGGTGCCAACCTGCGGATCAAATCGACGGCATGCGGATGCCCAGCTAGGTTGTCAAACATATTTGCAACCTGGCGTACGGGGAAATGCCCTCGCATCATCTGGACGCGATCTAGTACGTCAAAGGGACCTGGTGCGTTGACGGGACCTGGTGCGTTGACGGGACCTGGTGCGTTGACGGGACCTGGTGCGTTGACGGGACCTGGTGCGTTGACGGGACCTGGTGCGTTGACGGGACCTGGTGCGTTGACGGGACCTGGTGCGTTGACGGGACCTGGTGCGTTGACGGGACCTGGTGCGTTGACGGGACCCGGTGCGCGGACGGGACCTGGTCCGTGAACCATAGCTTCCTGATTCTGACGGAGAGCTTCCTGATCCCGACGGAGAGCTTCTCGGATTCCGTACGCGTGAAGGCGGTCTTGAAGAGCGGGAGGAGCGGGAGGAGCGGGAGGAGCGGGAGGAACATTGCCGGCCGGGGGATATCGCTGGGCCGCCTGCCGTAGGCGAACCTCTTCTCGCCGTTTGACCTCGTCGGACAGCCGTATATTGAGGTCATCATCTTGGAGATCCGGGTGCTCCTCGCGAATCTTTTTCCTGGCTGCCTCTGCCGCTTTCTGGACTTCGTCTTCGTGCCTTGCCTCGACGTTATCGAACAAAGGACAATTACCCACTTGGCCACCTCTCGATTTGTCGTTAAAGTGGCTGTACGAATCGATCGTCTTGGAGCAAACGTAACTACACAAAGTGAGTCAGCGATATACAACGATGCATCTCTGGATCGGGATATTACCATTGCATGCTCCTGCACTTGTGACATATCATCTTGTTGCATCCCTCTTCCTTGATGAACGGACTCTTGCATTTACTGAATTGTCTGTTAGCCATAGACTGCCACAATACGATGGTTATGGGAAATACTCACTTGCACTTTCTCACCAGCGCTTCAGTCATAGCTTCTTCAACGGCGTGACGGATGGATATCACATCGTCCTTCACTGCCTCCGCACAAGAAAGCGGGATGTGAGACTTCTTTTGGCAGTGTCTACAGCTGATCTCCATGCCTATTACCGGGTCAGCCCGACACAAAGCGAGACGAATGAAGAAGGGAAGCCTTACAGTCTGGGTTCTCGCAACGGAACTCCTTATCCTCCTCAATGGGTGCGCAAATGGCAGCAAAGTCGCAGAATGGACATTGAACGAGTCCTTGGATGTCAGCTGAACGCAAAACTTCTTCCATCTGCAATTTTCCAAGGGCCATGATCGTCTTTTCATCGAGAAATCGCGAACTATTTCCTCATCAGCACTGCCGTAGCATCGCTGGGGAGCGGAGTACTTACATTTCCGATTCAGAAAATTCCGCCCTGCACCCAGAGCCGTCCATGCAAAATAACTATTGAAGTTAGAGAAGTGACCACCCCTATGCGGTCTCGAAGGGTGTTCCTACCTGGCATCTGGACATTCCAATTTCGTTTTCAGCATTCCGCCGAGCGCAATCGAGACAGAAGAAATGACTTCCTTCGCCACAATGGGTAGTCTCAGGAAACGGCACTTCCCCGAAACAGCATTGGCACTCGATCATCATGCCGCTATCTCGATGCTCCTTCTCATCGAGTTGGGCAGCGAGCTTGGCATCAACATCGAGTTGTTCCTTCGCTATCACTATTGATTAGCTGCATTGACCTCGAACCGGAGTGAGAATTGCGCATACCTTTTTTTCTGTTGTCCTTCCCCTTCACATACTGGAGCTCGGCTGATAGCTTAGCCCACACAGGGCCAAACTTGAGATCCACGAGGGCGGGTTTTCTCTGTCTAAGCATCTTGACGTAAGGTAGCGGACGAATGCCTGATTCGACTGTGTTCTGAGCTGCGGCGAGACTGCGGTAACACTTGGCCAAGAACCCGTCCACCCGTCTTACTTGGTCGATGTACTTTACAGGAATGAAGGGAAATTCGTGTTGGAGTATGTGTCGTCTATAGTTTTTAGGTTAGAATTGTATCCCAGAAAGGTTTCTTGTTCGCAAAGTTCGAGTGAAAGGGGACAGACAAGCCAGTCACAAGGAATGATGGATGATGAAAGGGAGAGGAAGGAACAACCCATCTCAAACCGAACAGGGAAAAAATTGGGGGAGCAGACTCACGTCAAATCATAGTATGCCCAACTTTCCTCCCGACGATCTGGAGCATCGTACTCCGAAATCTCCTCCACCACATTTTCATTCGCCTCTCGCTTTCTCTTCCTGCTCAATCTGTCCACTTTTTCGACACGAGTATATCCTTCTTCCAAAAGCTTATCGACGAGAAATGGAATTAGGTTCTGATGCAGCGTGTGATGCTCGTGATACAGCCTCTTGAGGGACTTCGGACATGCGTCGGGGAGCACTTGTAGGATCCCCGTGATACATTCGTCTTCGGTCGTCAATCGTAGACGACTACCACTGCCACGACGACCACCATTCACAGCTCCGGCTCTAGCTTCAGCCGCATTCTCATCCTGAGCTATCCAGTCCATCTCTTCGGCATTCAGCTCTCCCTTATCAAGCCCAACCGGACTAGAAGGCGTCGAAGGCAATTCTATAACCTCCACCTGGCGATTCCGCCGCACAGCTAGTGGAGGTGGCCGTGGCTGCCATTGTTGCCTCTCCAGGTCCAGTCGATCCTCCTCGTTATTCTGCAACCACCACCATTCGTCCTGTCCCTGTTGCATCCGCGCGTGCATTCGCAGATGCAAGTCGTCTACCTCTCGCGCGTTGTGTTGTAGCTGCTGCTGCCGCCCCCAGATGTTGGCCTTGACCTCAAGGAGGATTCCGATAGCGGCCTCGAGATTGTGGTCTGCGTCTCTGTAGGCCCCCTGGAGGACCTGTAGCTCGTCCGAAGGAAACAGTATTCGCAGTGTCTCCATAGGGCCGTGGTATTTTTTGGACTCTAGTTAGCAGTCGGGGTCATTTGCAACAACAGTGTGATGCGTGGTGGAAGAGGGTGAGACGTGGTGAAAGGTGGAGGAGGGTGGGAGGTGGTAGAGGGTGGGGGAAAGAAGGGCGGCGGTTATGAGTTGCGTCGATGGAAGGGGGTAGGAGAAAGGTTGTTGTAGAGTGCAGGAATGCCCCGCAGACGCTGTGACGGGTCTTGTATCCTAGGCGACGTGTTATCGGCACTACCACGCGTAGAGGGTGTGTAGAGAAAGTACGGGCTGATATACCCAGCACTAGAGTAGTTAGTGCGCACTCAAGTGTGAGCCTGCGGCTCGGCTCCATACTCTCGGGGGCGGCGGCAGTCTAGACTCTGGACTCTGGAACGTGAGACTAACGCCAGGTCGCTAACTCGGATTGTCATCCGCGGGTTTGTGTGGGAGCTTGTCGGCCAGTGTCACGGCAGCATACTCGGCATTTTCAAACTCAGCATAATTCGACGGCTCAATTACCTTCCAGCGTCCCAGACCTAAATTTAAACATTTGCATGCATGTCCGATTGTCTCCGCGCACGTGGAATACCAGCCGAACCATATGATCACAGCGAGCCGTAGACATCAGGGCGGACCTTCAAATTTCGATGAGCATACAGGACATACAGATAATCTCGCCAGCACTGAACACAGCAGCCCTTTGTCAACAGCAAATTCCACAATTTTCGCATCCGCCGAATGCCAAGTCTATCTATGAGTACGTACCCGGACCAGAACGCAGAGTTTTTTATACTCAACTGCGCACACACAGGAGCCGAGTTAAAACTCCCTCGTATCGTCACCCACCCGGGGCCGACATCAACTTGAATACGCAGGCCCCGACAAAGCAACCCCCTCGGGCTCAATGCTAATCCCAGAGAACCTAGCTCACTCACACAGTTGTCCCCACCAGGTCGAGGCCCGACAGGAGCAATACCGGTATCGGTCCTAAAATGCGCAATATATAAACCCCGCTGTCACATGGTCCACACGGTCTAGTCCCATCGGAGAGAACGAGAACATACATGAATTACATCCGACCGAGTCTACTCGATTAAGCCACCGTCACCACACCGACAGATCAGACCAGACACATACAAAAAGACACATTGTAACAAGAAAAAATGAAGGAATGAAGGAAAAAGAAAGAAAAAAACAAACGCCCGACTGAACTTGCACGCAATAGCAACACAGACTACAACTCGGAAGGAAATGTTTGACTAGCTTTCTCCCCATCACCACCACCACCATCCACAAATAACTAACCTTGTGGAATACCGTCTTAGTTGAAGTCCTGCACATATGAGAACCCGCGGAACTCTTCCTGCATTTGCTGGGTGAGTACTATTGAGAAGATGTGAGTTAGCGGCATGATCGATCGATAACAGCAGTTGGTTGGTTGACTTACCTGAGTTTACGGGGGTAAGAACAGGAGTGACACTGGTGAACTCCTGGTCAAAGTTCGAGGTATCGGTAGCACTGGTGATAGTCGGCCTGAAAGGGGGTTCGATCCTCTTGTGGTAAATATCATCCCAGTTGATGTTCTTGAAGAAAGGGTGAGCCATGATGTCTTTGGCGTCGTTGGGACCCGCCCCCAGACGCAGTTCAGCCTCTCTCGTAAGAAGCTAGGCCAAGTCAGCTATCGAAACAGGGGAGCGTCAGTTGTATTGATGCTTACTTTTTGCAAGATGGACACAGAGTCTCGGGGCATGTGGATGGGATATAGCGGCTCATCGGACAAAATGGCATCGTAGATTTCATCCTCGTCCTCACCACGGAAAGGAGACTGCTGAAGCAGCATCTGGTATATCAAAACACCAAACGCCCACCAGTCCACAGCTCGCCCATATCGTTTGTCCATAAGAATCTATTTTTTTTCGGTTGTCAGCATAGACCCATCACGTGAGCGCACACAAGGGTTAAGGTTATTCACCTCCGGCGCCATAAACTCGGGAGTACCACAGAAGGTACTCGTGGTGGACCCATAATGCATGTCTTCCTTGCACAGACCGTAATCGGCGATCTTGATGTGACCGTCCAAGGTGAGCAAGATGTTGTCCAGCTTCAGATCACGGTAGATAACACCGTTCTCATGGAAATATTTGAGAGCCAAGCACACTTCCGCAGCGTAAAACCTACCCAACATTAGTGGAAAGAAAGGATGTAAAGTAATCGGGAAATAATTACTGTGCTCTGTTGAAACCAAATTGGCCTCTCTGGATGTGCAACATCAAATCACCTCCGCTGATGTACTCCATCACGAAATAGACTCGGGTCTCGGTCTGGAAACAGGCATGCAGGTTGAGCAGGAACGGATGTCTCTCCTTGTTCGCGATCAGGAACACCCGCTTTTCGGACCGTGTGCTCTCAACTTCATCGTTCTCAATGATAAACTCCTTCTTGAGCACCTTAATGGCGTATAGCTGCTTGGACGCCTTGGTTTCCGCCAACATAACCTTACCGAAGTTACCCTTGCCCAAAACAGCCAAGAAATTGAAGTGGTCCAGTCCAATCTTCTGTGGCCGAGCCTGTTGTTGTTGTATTTGCTGCTGCTGGTGCGGGGGCGGCGGTGGCTGCTGGACGGGAGAGTATTGCTGCTGCAGTTGCTGCTGCTGCAGAGGCGCCTTGGGGGGAAGTGCTGACGCAGGAGGGGGTCCTTGAGGAGGAGGAGGAATCGAAATGTTGGGTGGTGGTCCTTGGGGAGTCTTGACAAGTGTAGGTTTCGCGCCATATGGATCTTGCGGCGCTCCCGGCTGGTACGGGGCGTTGGGCGCAGGTGGCTGACCATGAGCCGGCCGCACGCTCTGGGGCGGGTATCCTGGCATTGCGGCCGGAGGAGTACCCGGTGGCGGCTGGTAATACTGCTGGTATCCAGTTGAGACCGGTCGGGCAAGCGCCGCAGCCGCAGCTGCGGCGGCAGAATCAGTCCTTGGCTGAGGAGTGTATGGTTGCGGAGGAGGGTACTGAGGAGTCTGGGTCTGTTGAAGTGGCGACTGAGGTGTTGCAGTGCTACCAGAGTAAGCAGCTGTTGCGCCTGCATTGGCCATGCTCGACGGTGTAGCAGAGGCGTACGAGTGCCGTCCCTGGTTCAATGGTCGCTCCTCACCAACTGACCCACGGTTATCCGGCGAAGGCCGCATTCGCTCCGTCATGGATAGTGTCTTGGGCTTTGGCTGCACATGCTTCTTGGACCGAAGCTCTGCAAGAATGGTATTGGCGGCCTCCATAGTCATGCCGCAGAAATCAGGAACCAGATGCGTGCAATGAGTGTGGCAGGTGAGCGCACATTCTGTGTACCAGTCGTCAGCCGGTTATTCTTTACAGCCCGCTCGTATGCCATACCTGTACACTTGCGTGCATTTTTCTTCCCTACAGGAAGCATATATCCACAGTGACAGCACCAGTTGGCCCCAAGGTTGGTTGTAGGCTCGAATCTGTGCGGAATGCGGTGGTTGAGCTTTTCCTCTTCTGGATCGGTTTCTGCGTTTGACTTCGAGATACACTTTGTGACTACTTTTTGGTAGCACTTCTTGTGGCAAGTATATTTGCAGTCGGAACACTGCATGCCAGCAGAATACTTGAGAAGCTCTCCGCAAAGCGCGCAACGCATGATGTTGTAAAACTGTTGCTGCACGAACTTGTGGCCATACATCTCGTGGACCTCTTCTTTCTTCGCACGGACGGCGCCTTTTCTCCCGAGTCCTAAGTCCAACGGTCGTTTTCCCCGGTTGTACTTTGCTACGGCATGTCAGTTTACGGCCACGACAACGGCCAAGGGGGGGGGGGGGGGGGGGGGGGGGGAGGTCCACATACTGAAGTTCAGCGAGAGGTGGATCTGCCCGACGGGCTCCAACGCGAACCACGCCTCGATATTCGGAGCTGAATACACCCCCTGTGGCTGTTGCTGCGCAACTACACGCCCCGATGCGCCCATCATGGGAGGGGCACCGCCAGGCGTTCCGGCAGCGGACGGAGGTACGGCAAATTCGAGCCCGCCGCTTGCCCTTCCTCCCTGACCACCGTCGTTCGCCATCTTCTCCGCGCTGACCCATCCTGAGCTGTTTATATCCGCCTCAATCTTTTTCCGTCGCAGCTCCTCCACCAAATCCGAGATGCGAACCCACAGCATTCCAACCGGTAGAGGATGCTCGCCCGGCTTATCGTAGACGATAATCTCAACCTCGTTGGCCTTGTCTACGTCGATTTCATGCCCTTCGTCGATCCATTTATCGTTTCTCGTAGATTTCGTTCGGACTCGGGTAGCATCCTCAACCTTGATGATGACGAACGTTTCCGGTCCACGAGCGAACCGCGATGTTGTTGCGTGGTCAACATCCTTCACGGCGAGAACACGACACTGCAAGCGCCCAGTCAGGGGACGACGGATGTTCGGGGCGTTGATACTATCGTCTATCGCAGAGTTAGCTTGTCACGATAACGATAAGACCTGCCATGACTGAGGTGCCCCACCATCCCCGTCGTCACCAACGTCCATGTCCACGTGGAGATCCTCATAACGTTTCAAGGCTTGTTTCAACAGTTGGATCTTCTGGCTACTCTCTATCCTCTTGCTTTCGGCGTCCCGTCCGCTTCGACGATCTCCGTCCATCTGATACAGCTTTGCCATCTTTTCAATTCCCTCCTTGTATTGCTTCTCGACACTCAGCTTGAACTCCAGCTGTGACAGCATCAACTGGATCCTCGGGCCGAGATGCGGAGTATCATATTTGATCAAATCTGTGGCATCACCATCAGTGAGTGTTTCATTCCCACCCCCACAACGACTCCGAAGGACGATGCCGACGACGAACCTAGCTTTGAGTAGTTGGCACGAGCTTTCGGCTGAGAACCAGGTTCCTGAGCGAATGGCTTGTTCGGAGGCGACATCCCTTGATAATTACCGTAGCCCGCTAATAAAGGCAGCCGTCAGATCAGATGTCAGAATTACCCCTCCCCCCCGACTCCCGTCCGCCCCCCGCAACCGTGAGAAAACCTACCATCGGACGTCTGCATATTCTGCATACCCGTAGTGGTCTGCCTCATGACCCTGTTCTGCAGCTCTCTATACTTCTCCTCCAGATATCCCAAGTTTCTCTGCGACTCGCGGATCTGGTTGTCGAGACGCTGCTGGACAGCAGCGTTATCGGTCGACTGCCGCATGGCGCGCGCCCCGTTGATCAGAACCTTCTCCCGCTCTATCTTTCGATAGACGTCCTGCATCGTTTTTTCCGCCATTGTTGCGAAGGGCGGAGGTGGAGGTGGAGGTGGAGGTGGAGGTGATCGGAGGAGGTGGTGGTGGAGGTGATAGTGTGGTGGTGAGAGGTGAGGTTATGTTGCTGTCCTGGCCTCTCTCCCGGTGGGATCGCCGAGAGCAGGGTGTTGGCCTGGTCGAGCTAGTAGCGGGTCGGCGAAGCGGCTGCTAGATACAGCTTCAACGCGCTTTTCCCGGCTCTATTCCGTTTTTTCCTCTCTCTCTCACTCCTTCTCTGCCTCGCCCCCTCTCTCTCACGCACGCACAACCCAGATGTGACGTTCACCGAGGGCAGGTGCCGTCTGAGGTAGGTATCGATGCCTAGCCGTCGTATCCTCACACTGTCAGACGGATTCTAAAGCCTGAGCACAAGGCTCCAGAAGTATCAACAGCAAGGACGAGAACGAGAACTCCCGCAAGGTTTGGGGTATCGAGAAGTAGAAGTGGGAAGGAAAAAACGAAGTGTTGCGTATCGCCGGTGCTTTTCGTACTGCTCCGCTGCTCTGCTCTGCTGCGGGGCTGTGTGACCGATGGCGATGATGATTGCTTTTTGTTCGGTCCAAATGAGGGGCAGCGAGGCGTGGCGTGCGCGGGGGCTCTGCACCGTTGCTGCTCACTCGGCTGACATTGTTCGCTGGGAGCAGCAATGTGCGGGAACTTCCTGCTTGTATACACCGCGTCAAAGTGCACTCCATCGGTATAGGGATGGCTTGGACCCAGGTCGGGGAAAATATGAGAATATTGAGGTCATTTTAACCCTCTCTCCTCCTCCATCTATCGACAACCCATATAAAGCCATATTTATGCTTGTGCTCCGTCGACTCCAATGCAGCACAGAAGGGAAGACCCCGTAACCTAGAAGCCCGAACCCAAGTGTGACAAGTGCCGACATGAGCCTATTCTTTGTCCGGGTGAACCTAGAACTACACGGATCCGATACTCTTCTCGGCATACGGTAATTTGCGCAATTGCGAGCAGCAATTGTGGGTGATACCTTGTGAATGTCTCTACGGAAGCGACCATCTATATACAACCTGAAGCAAGTCCACCTCAATAAAAGAGCAACTTCCGATTCATAGATGCGTTTTTCGATCCTGTCGGCCAAAGCTTGCAAAATGTGGAATGAGTGCTTGCAGATAGGCCACTCGCTGGATAAGTCGAACATCCAACACACACCTCCGACAACCACACCAACCTTCCAAAAATGCTAAGACTATGCATTGGCACACCAAATGCCCCGCTCACTTTGGCTTCAGGATTCATGTGGCGTGTGTGTCCACTCTTTCCGACCGCGGATTGAGTGCCCCGACCGACGAATTCGACGACGATGAGCATGAAGCGATAGAGATCAATCGAGCCTCGGTCCCTGGCCGGAGAACTGCACCATCACGGGTGCTGCGTCCGAACCTCTGAAGAAGTCTCACCATCGCTTCCCCGCACATCATCATCGATTTTATCACTCTAGGAGAGCCTGTTCAGTAGGCGATACGGCGACGGCGGGGAGGAGAGTGAACTCCAGGGGGAGAGCTCAGGGCTTGGCCCAGGACAACGTCGACCACGACAACCGGCATTTTGCCAGTCCCGCCTTCGATCCAAATATCTTCGCTGCTATTCATCGGGCCCCGGCCTTGACAGCTACGCAAACCCCGAGACGTAGATTCCTTTCGAGCATCATGCCGTGTGCGCTAGACTGGTTATGTTGAGGGTAGTACCGAGTGGAGGTATCTTTTGGAGAAGAGGAGGGCCACGAAGCGCCGCTACAGCGCAAAACCGACAACCCGAGCCTTTTCGGAGGCTCACTTTCAAAATATTGCGAGACGAAGGGATTTGGCTTGTCATTTCTGTATGGATTTAGTGGTGGAATTTCTTTGTCGAAATGTTGTATTGTAGATATGTCCATCGGCCATAACCTTTGGGTTCCATGCTGTATGAACAATCAATCAATCAATCAATCAATCAACCAAGTCGAACATCCAAACCCACGTCGCAACAAAGCATGCAAAAGAACGCCAGCCCAAACGCCCACACAAGACAAAAACAAAGATGCAAAAGATGATACGCTGCTCTAAAGCTTAACACGATCATTTCCCAGGCCCGTTTCTATCAAGTCTATGTTAGCTACCGGACGCCAGAGAGGTTGAACAGGTTTACCATGCATCCTCCGCATGGGCAGAATACCCGCCCTCGTCGGCGCAGACGACGTAGCGCTCGAACTAGACGAACTCGATTGCTGCCTCAGCGTCAAGAGCTGGAGTCCGTGGAGCTGCGAACGCAGATTATTAACGGCGGCCCCAATCATCGCGACCTCTTCCCGCGTCCTCATATTATCGCTCATGTGCATCGTCAACATGCTCTGCTTGATGTCCATATCTGTGAGCGCGGCAAACAATCTCTCCAGGTCGGTGCGGATATGTTCTTGCTCGGTGAGTATCTGTATCGTCTGATCACTCAGCGTGCTGTCTTCGCTCCGCTCCGAATTCCGACGCGCGGGGATAAGGATGTCCAGTCTTTTCCGGAGTGATTTGTTTTCGAGTTCGAGGGCCGAGATGCGGCTGGCATGGTCGTGCAGCAGCGGACTGAGGTAGACAAATGCGCAAGAGACCGCGTGAGAGACGGCTTCACGGCGACGCCCGGTCCACGGACAGCCGACGGTGTGTGCTTCGCAGACGACGATGGCCTCTTCGCAGGTCAATTGGTGGCTGTTGATGTCCGAGCGGGGGAACTCGACGGTACAGTATTGACACGGCGCGGAGAGCCCGGGACATATCGCTTGGTGGTCCTGATACCGTGAGTATCCACCACGATGCTCAAGTGGGAGCAAGTTCAAACCTCCATCTCCAGCTGCCGTATCATCGCCGTGCAGTGCTCACACTCGACCTCGGCATGCATACAGCCCTCGTCCCTCCGATCTCTCCTGAGTATGCTTTCGTCGCACCCGGGACAATCCACAGCAACAAACATGCACTCCTCCTTCAGATGCCCCTTCACCAGCGCCCTGGGGAGGGTAGATATACATCCCAATGTCGAATTGGGGCACCGCACTTCGAGGTCATTAACTAGGTTCGCGATCATGATCGGGGCGGCGGAAACATCTCCCGCTCCGAGCGGGTTGCGGTCGACGGGGCAGGTATCGCTGTTCTCGAGCGCACCGGCTAAGCAGTCAGCGCAGAAGGTGTGTCGGCATTTGGTCGTCTCGGGATTCACGAGGGGTGATCGGCAGATTGGACAGCAGAGGTTTTCGTCTACCGCTGCAATGTAGATGAGGGATCGCAGGTCGAGGGTCGCGGAAGAGATCGAGGTCGAGGCCATTGTTTAGAGTAGTACTACCGAGTGTGGAGGTGCTGGTGATTTATTAGGTGTCGCACTTGCTCGAGAGCTCTCTGTACTCTATACAACTACCCATAGCTCGAGAGCAACAGCCGCAGGGCGGTGAGAACGCATTGGGTGACGAAAAATCAATGAATGCATGTCGAGCGTGAATAACTCCGATATCGAGCCAAATATCGTCGCGAGAAAATAGACCATCCAAAAAAGCACCGGACACATTCATTTCGTTGTGAGTTCAAGTGTCCACCGCCCGTCCGCGCGGTGCAGGGTGCGAGAGAAATGACGCTTGCAACGAGCTCCAGTTCCCGAGGCAGGCAGCTCTCGAACCCCTCGAGCAACAGGCAATATCTACATAGATACATAGTTTTGCCTTGCACCACCACCACCACCATTCCAACTGCAAACCCAACCACACCCTCCCGCACCCTCCCGCACCCTCCCGCACCCTCCCGCACACACCAATCGCCGCGATGTCCACTACCGTCGAGCGACTACACCTCCTGCACGAGCACATCCGGCTCTCGCTGCTCGACCGAAAACGCGTTCTCTCCTCCGGCGCGGAACCAAACTCCCGCGCTATCCACGAGATCTCGCGGAGTCTCGACACCCTGCATCAGGGGATCGAGCAGCTAGAGCGAGAACAGCAGCAGCTCGAGAACAGCGGTGAACTGTACTTTCCTCCCTCCCTGCCTCCCCCACGCATCCCTTCCGTCTACTGACGCACGTCCAGACCCGCCGCCGACCTCCACGAGCGCCAGGAAGAACTCACCAAGCTACGCAGCGAATACGCATCGCTATACACGCAATTTACTGCGGAGGCGACGTCGAAGCCAGCCGACGTGGGCGGCGATCTCCTGATCGACCTTGGAGCGCCAGCGCGCTCGCAAAACTCGCTCGACGAGTTGGCGGCGCGCGAAGCGTTGATGGGCAGCCGGGAGTCGCCCAGCAGTCTGCGCAAAAACAACAAGACGGTGCGGTTCCGGGACTCGCTGGTCGACACGGATGAGCTCGATAATCAGCAGGTGCTGCAGCTGCAGCAGAGGGTCATCGATGAGCAGGATGAGAGCCTCGATAGGCTCTCGGTTAGTATTAGGAACCAGCGCGAGTTGAGTATACAGATCGGAGACGAGCTCGATGATCATGTCAGACTGCTCGACGATGTCGAGGCGCTCGTCGACAGACACCAGAGTAGGCTGGATATGGCGAAGAGGAAGTTGACGCATGTGGCGAGAGCGGCGAAAGATCACGGTGAGTCTTTGCGGTCCCTCCCATGGCGAATATGTACCTGACGAGATTTAGGGAGCTTGATGATCATAATCATCCTGATAATCATACTGGTCCTTCTCATTGCAGTCCTGAAATGATCCCTCCGAAAGGGGGGATGGGGGTGGGAAAACTGTACTCTACCTGAGATTCCTATGTCGATGTTTATCCTTCTTCTACTATTTCCGGAGTTTACGGTTGGGGTTTTCTTCAGGCTGGCGCGTTTGGCTTGTATTTTGCAACAGTTTGATTTCTATTTTGTTTCTTCCGTTCTCATTCACTGGAATAGACTATTCATATACAGCTTTCATTACCCCATCCAGCCCGTGAACGGTTTCTTCAATTCCCCACCCCTAGGTACAACTCGGCCAGCCTATTTCTTGCCGGCACTGTTCTTGGTGGCATTCTGCAACTTGGTAATCTCTTCAGCAGAAGCATCCACCTCTCCCCGGTTCGCTTTTACCTGCACACCCGTCCCATTAGCCAACAAACCCCAATTACGAAGGGGGAAGGGGAGAGCATACGAAAGCCTCAGCATCGCTCGCCAATTCCTCGTGCCAGTGCGGGTCCTCCTTGCTGTCCTTGCTGTGCTTTCGCAGGACGCTCTCCTTTCCCTTCTGGAGAACCTGTGCCGTCGAAGTTAGACATCAATCAGGTATGTTGGTAAGGGGGCGTGAATACCTCCGGATCGTTGCCGTGGCGTGTGGCGCCGCCGGTCTGCAGGCGTGTAGAGGTCGACAGAAGGCGTGCGGTCGGCGCTCTGAGCGGGAGGTGGCGGGTGAGTGTGCGGAGGGCGGACATGTTGTGCAGTGTAGTGTGTTGTAGTAGGAGCTGTAGGAGGTGGTGGTGGTGGTGGTGGTAGATTAAATTGGTAGCGATGTGTGTGTGTGTGTGTGAGAGAGAGAGAGAGATGATTGTGAAGGTTTCAGAGAGAGGGAAGCGGTGGTTTTATCTGTAGCTGCTGGCTTTTTTTTTTGGAAGCAATGCGGCCGGGCGGGCGTGAGTGAGTGAGGGAGTGATGCTTGGCTGCGCGTTGACGTCATCGGTAACGCATGGTACTTGGCAACGATCGTCGAGCGTATGCTATGTTGGTAACTACGGACGCCCTAAAGTAGCCATCTACTCTAGTATGTACGGTACAGCTGGGAGGACTCAGGAGGAGGTGGAAATCAATCGCGAATCAAGGAGAGCGGATTAGGAAGTGGATTAGGTAAATAATGCACTCAACAATCTCAATCCCACTGTCTCCGCCGGTTCTTCAAGCTTCAAGCGGAGCAGGCCTCAGGTTGAAATTCGCAAATCGTTTTAGTTTCCTGACGATTTCGATTGAATCCCACGTGCAATCCAATTGCATCCCACATCTTCCCAATACCGTAAATGCTCACCGCGATCGATCCCAAAGTTCCAACCTTACGCATGAACTGGTAACATACCATACCTTGCTACCAGCTCCTCCACGCAGCTTTCAGCTTTCACCTCGGCCTCCGGGCGAAACAGTGCAAACCCTCAACCCTTCCTTCCTTCCTTCCTTCTTTCCTTCCTTCTTTCCACCCGGACCGGAGCTCGAGAGAGATCGGGGGAATGGAAGATCGACGTCAGGTGAGTGACCCTTCCTGAAGCACCACTGCGGTACCGGTAGTCTAACCTCCTTGCTTGTGCCGAGCTAGAGCTAGAGTATTCCGGTTTGGCGTAGTTTGTGCCTGCGCATCATCATCAACTTCCCGCCATTCTGCACAACGGGGAGCATGGAGGTCTGAAGCCCGTCGAAGATCATGACGAATTGCATCGAATCCCTCATCCTCGTCCTCGGTCCCAGAGTGACCGTTGAAACTTGACGGCACCAGCATTTCGGTAGTTCAGCAGTTTTGGGAACTGCTCCCATGCGCCATTGCGGGACGCTGATGTTCGGGAACCAGTGCTGTGGCCGTTCTCCGGGAACCAGAAGCCAGCTTCAAGAACATGGCTCTACCAGTATTCGTGTCGTCACGACGGAACCTGCACTACAACTCCATGCCTGCTCTAGCTATCCGCGTGGATCCACCGGAATGCCATTATAACATTACCAGTACAGCCTCATACTGGTACCTATGATACGGTATCAATAGGTAACGTGATCATCACTCACTGGTGACTACCGCCGGCCCTAGATACCCACTACCCGTCCGTGGATACCTATGGTACTGCCCAGATACAGGTACACGTTTCCCGAAAGTCCTGAATCGGAAGTTCCATGCTCCCCGGGTGTTGCATCTGCATACTATAGGCGGGGGCTTTCGGTATGATAGGTACGGGGTTGCGAAAAGCGGAGCGGTATGTACCCGTGGGTTCAGAGAAAGGTGCATCTGTATGTACGGGACGCGGGGTCCTGAACGTTTGTTTCGATGTTTGGGATGGATAGGAGCTCGTAGGGACCGAGCCCACCGAGACCAGATACCGGTACCTATATCAGGACATTTCGGCGGAGGCATCTGACAGTCTTACATACCAGCATCTATTCAGGTTCAAGGTCAGACCTACCTTCTTCTTCCCCAGCCTTCCCACGACCCCTTCGCTCATCCTTTGATCGATCACCAAAATCTTGCGTGTATGTAACCATTCATTTACCAGCTCCGCAGCTCTACCTCTACTCTATGTGCAACCCACCCGAGTGATATCATATGACCATCCATCTAGCCAACACCAACAGCAAACCCACAAAAGACAACCCAGAAAATACCATAAATCCACAAATATAGAAAACGAAAAAGAAAAGGGATAATAAGGAAACAGGAACGCCGTCGGTTTACCGTGGGAATTTAAAAGGAAAAGGAAAAGGAAAAGGAAAAGGAAAGGAAAAGGAAAATGAAAATGAGACCCCCCTTTGCTCCCGCTGAAGACAATGAATGAAACGAAATCTCAACGCTAGGTAGCTTAAAAAAATCCCCCAATCCAACAAACACCCTACATGAAAATTGAAAATGAAACAAACACCTGGGAAAGAAAATACAAAATGAAATCGTGAAGCGCAACATAACACATACTAGTACCTTCACTTCAGTCCCATGGCGGTTTTCAGGTTCTCGTAGACCGCGTAGGACTGTCATGTCGTTAACGAATGCTCGAATGTTTCTCGTGCTCGGGTTGGGGGTGAACTTACGATGGAGACAGCGGGGATGACCTTCATAAGGTTGGGAGTCCAACCACGGTACATACCCCTCATGCCCTCCGCCTTGAAGGTACGAACGGTGACGTCCCACATTCCAGTGTAGGTCTGCGGATGGTGTGAGGTTCCCTGCGCCTGGAGACGCGTGCGAAGCAGGTTGATCGGATAGACCATTGTGGCACCGACACTACCGCTCGTTGCTCCTATACAAAGCGTCACCCATATGGGCACACGGATATCCTCCTCTGGAGTGCCATGAGCTTTGGCGTGTTTCTTGACGTAGGCTCTCTTGAGGTATTCGAACGTGCCGAGGTCGATGGCGGAGTAAGGGAAGATTCCGATAAGGGCGAGGGGGAGGCCGCGGTAGAAACTGGGCAAGCCGCCCTTCCAGGTCTTCTGCATCACTTCGGTCACGAGTTTGTTTCCACGGGATCCGTTCTCCACCATTTCGCACTGCAGGCGACTAAAGAGGGGTTCAGCCATGTCACCGGGCATCAATAGTGGACTGAGCAACTTACAACTTCAGAGTGTCGACCGGATAAACCGCGAACTGCGATACAACTCCACCGACACCACCAGCCATGAACCGAGCAAGCGGCGAGATGTTCGTGACATCGTCGGCGCCCTCCATCCGTGCGAAGGTGCGCTTTGCGGCCTCAAAGGAGCCGAACTTGATGGCCGATTCGGGCAAGACCTTGATCACGTTTAGTCCGTTACCTGTCGGTGTTAGTGATGCGCTCATTCATGCCATACCCCGAATTTTCTCACCTGCGAAGAAAGCTCTAATTCCTCCACTCCTCCAGACATGCGCAATCGCATTCGCGAGGGGTCTAGCAGCTGTGGCTGCCGCCACAACAGGCTGGCCTTTACCCACAGCGTCGACGGCAGACTTGCCGGTCTGCGCGATCATGTATACCTTGAGGCGATCCAAAGGGGCAGTCGCGGTTCTCGACAGCGCACCAGCGACACCTCCAGCGAGAAAGTATCCTACACCAGGGATTTGGGTTAATAAACCGCTCGTGCACCACGAAGGGATCCAAGAAGCAAGGAAATCCAGCGAAGGGGACCACAGGTGGTCAACAGTAGCAGTAATACCTAGACCAGGCATCCACGGCCTGTCGACGACTGTGTATGAATACTCGGCGGCCATATCCATAGCCTCCGTGAACGTCTGAAGGGGATCTACAGACACGACGAAAGGAAATTTGAAGGTTGTACCTAAACCCTGCAAATTAAGCTCATCGCTAACATTGACGTCTCCTTCGGGGTTGACATTGACGGTCGAGAGGTAGTAGCTGTAGATGGTGCGCAGTGATGCCTTGTCGTGAGGCATGAAGAGGAGGAAGTCCCTGAACATGCAGTAAGTCAGCAGTTGAGCGCACACATCACGGCGCACAAGATCGCACCTCCACTCTTCGAACGATATTTCTGCTCGCGCCAAAAAACCGCATCAGCACTGATCCCATCCACTCATTCACTCCCTCCCGGGGGTCCACAGGGGGGGACCATACCTCCATCGCTATTCCTATCAAACGAGCGGAAGAACTCCTCCAGCCTCTCGGGCGGATCGACAACGATATGTGCACGGGAAAGCGCGAGCGCCAGTTCCTTGCGATCGATATGGCCATTACCATCTATGTCGACAGAGTTAAAGATGCGCCAGAGTTCCTGTTCCGCGCCCGCGAAGAAGCGCCGAAACTCCGAGTACTGGATCAGTCCGTCCCGGGACGTGTCTACCGCCGCGAGGATCCCCTGGATCAGGTGGTCCGCATCCTTGAGTGCTGTGTAGCACGTAAGTAAAATGAATACACCAACGCGGTGTTGTCGTCGTCTCGCGACAAGGGTTTGTAGGTTGTTGTGTTGTTGTGTGCGCGGGGAAAGAGGAGAACGCAGCGAGCGGACGGAGCGGAACGTACGGTGGTTTATGCGGACAAGTCCGGCGCGCAAACCGTCGTAATCGAGGTGGCCTTCGCCGCGCGTATCGAGTTTCTTGAACTGTGAGTCCGACGAGCGCGCGCACAGCGTCAGTCAAAAGTGCACATCAGGATGCGGCTCATGCGCCGAGGGAAAAAGGTTAAAGCTTCGTGCAGACAGGGCGAGCGCAAACTTACCAGCTGCTCGAGACGCTCCTCCGCCGCTGCTTTCTCAGTCGCTTGGTCGTGCATGTTCAGGTATGAAGTCGCCGCAGAGGAGGATGCGGGTCGTGAAACAGAGTGGTGGATGTTTGTGGGTGGTGGTGGGGAGGTTGCCGTTGCAATGGTCGTTGCTGAGGGTTTGCGTGTTGGAGGAGTGAAAGTAAGTTGTGACCCTGCAAGCCCGACCCGTGTGTCACAAACGAGCCAGGGTTGGGGGATGCCGCCCGCAGATACTTTATTCCCCGATCACGTGTACGCCTTGGCCCCGACGAATTAAATACCGTTGAACGAAAGTTTATAAGCGAGTCGGTGGCCAATGGAAAACTTTGACCGTGATTGATAATTTCGTGCGAAATCATGCATTTGCCTTGATCCATCTCCGCGAGACAGCTTGCGACTCGGTGGAGACCTGATATATGAGCTGTCATTCCATTTCCAACTCGAAATCCGAGTCCTACATAGAGAGCTCGCGCTGAGCCAGTCGACATCCAGGTGAGAACTCATTAACCCGTGGATGTCGCGCAAACATCCGTGCGCCTCTGCCTTCAAGACGAGAGTGAAATCCAGCAATCCCCGTCCCGTCGGCTTTAAGGTTTACCGTACCGCAGAAACTTGCACGGAAGTGGGTGTACCGGTGCGCGCGTGCTCTCAACATTACCCAGTACCGTCACGGGGGACGTGAGATGTCGATGTACCTCACATCATCTCCAGATCGGATCCGTGGACTCGAGTGAGTGGCTGCACGACGCGACAGTGCGACACCGCATTTCGGATGCCGCCGTGTCGTGTCTCGAGTACCGTAGGTATTCGTGCACCAGCAGCCAGAATGTCCCGACCAAGAGTATCACATATCACAGTAGAGTACCAATCGCATTTCATAGGTACCCGTCGTACCCAGCACAGGAAGAGTCCAGGAAGAGCCCGGAAGATTCCAAACTCCGGCATGTAGGTAGAGAACATAAGTTCTTCCAAGCGCGGGGAAAAAAACGACAGGACGAGACTGAACAAAGCCTCACTCCATGTAGAATAGCAACAAAGTGCTTAGCGTGCATCACCCGCAAGAGGGGATTGATTGAACCCTGACGTCAACCCTCAGCCTTCCACCCGGCGCCCGACGCCCACAGGCCGCAGGTCGCAGGTCTCGAATCACGTGCTCATGTGCGCATTAGTTACATCTACCTATCGTGTTTCTCACTCCGGAGTCCGTCGCAACTCCATCCTCCACCGCACATCACTCAACCTCCAACACACAGAAAAGAAAAAAAACACCGATGGCAGCAAACTACTGGGTCTCGTCGCAACGGCTGCACTGGCAGATGTCGCGCGAAAAGCTGGCCGAGACTCGCGCGTCGCTCGACACGCGCGACGAGAAAACAGTGCTGGCATATCCGCTGCCGAGTTATCGGCATTTGAGCATTTACTTCAACCAGCGTACTTGAGCTGACCCGTGTCCACATTGCCCACATGAGCTGCAGTTTGCTGATACGTGGTTTTTTACAACAAACAGAGATCGCAAGGTTGGGCCGGCGGATGCAGGCACGACAGCAGGCACTGGCGACGGCGCAGTTGTATGTGCGCCGATTCTACACAAAGGTCCCTATACGCGATACGAACCCGTACCTGGTCATGGCTACGTGTCTGTACCTCGCGTTGAAGATGGAGGAGTGTCCTCAGCACATACGAACCGTTGTCAGCGAGGCGAAGATATGCTGGCCTGGTTCGGAACCCCGCTCCCGCTCCCGCCCCACCCCCGCTCGCTCATCGCCCTCCTCCTCCTCCTCTTGCTCCTGCTCCTCCTGCTCCTCCCCTCGACTGTCGGCACCCAGCTGACCCCCGCGGCCCAATAGAGGTAATGCCGTCGTTCCCCGAAAAGCTAGCTGAGACCGAGTTCTACGTCATATCCGAGCTCAACTCGTACCTGATCGTGCACCATCCGTACCGGACACTTGTTGAGCTCACGCCGCTGCTCGGGTTGACGCCCGAAGATAACACCACCTCCTGGCAGGTGATAAACGACTCTTGCGTTACCGATCTGCCAATGATATATCCCCCGCATGTCATCGCGCTCACGGCGATATTCCTGGCCGTCGTGCTGAAGCCGTCGATCTCCCAGGCGAGCCTTCATGCTGCTGCGACTGCGGCGGCGGCGGCCGCTGCAGGCGGTGGTGCTGGAGGCGGGGGTGGTGGCGGGGTCATGGGGGGTAATGGTAATGGTAATGGTAGTAGTAGTGGCGGTGGTGGTGGGAGTAGTAGCAGCAACGGTGGTGGAGGTATTATGGGCGGAGGAATCATGGGTGGGGGCGTCATGGGCGGAGGTGTTATGTCCGGCAGCGGGGGCGGCGAATCCGGCCTCTCGGCAAGCGGTCAGGGACCACAGAATCGGATAACCCGGTTGATAGAGTGGTATGCCGAGTCGAAGGTGGATATGGAGGCGATCATCGATTGCACGCAGGAGATAATATCGTTGTACGAGCTGTGGGAGCCCTTCACGCTGACGGCGGCGGAGAAGGCATGCAAGGAACAGATCTGTAGGATGGTCAAGCAACGGGGGATATCGTGAAGAAATCGAGTTGGCCGAGTTGAGTTGCTGCTTGTCTCTTTTTTCTTTCTTTCTTTTTTTCTTTCTTTTCTTTTTTTTCCCTCTCTCTATTTTTTTTCTTTCTTTTTTTCCGCCGGGGTTTGCAGTGTGTAAGCGCGATATTCCTCTGTGCGTGTGTGGATTTGTGCGTGTGTGTGGATTTGTGCGGGTGCGGGTGTGTGTGAGTGTGTGTGTGCGTTTTCGCTTTCATCATTTTGGTCTTTCCTTTTTTCCTTTTTTCTTTTCTTTTCTGTTTCCTCTGTCGAATTTCCGTGACTGCAAATCCGTCCAGGACGAGGGATGGTGGGCCTCGGCCCCCGGATTCCTTGGCGCATTGCCCTGTTTCCCACACAGCCCACAGCCCACATCGCGCGCCGCACAGCAGATGGGTTGCCGGGGGGAGAGTGCCGGGGGGGAGAGGAAAGCGGCGGGCGACGGTGGGTCGTCGGTGGTTCGTTCGTGGCTCGTTCGTGTTCTCCACTTGGCCGTCGCCCGTATGTACCTGCACGACTTTGATCCTGTGACGACGTTTCTCTGGCTGCCCCTAGAGCACTTCGTAGAGCACTTTGTACCCTACTGGTACATGCACATTTTATTCTCCCTTTCCCTCTCCCTCTCGCTCCTTCTCCATCGTCCACCACGCAGCCGACCAGACCAGACACGTCAAAGCGTTGCAGTTGCAGTTGCAGTTGCAGTTGCGACTTGCGGAGCGACGTCGAGACGCGGACGGGGGGGAGGGAGGTGGCCAATCAGGGCCGGTTGGTGCGTACTCGATCTGGCAAGGCGCAGGAGGATGGGACTAGGCGATGTAACGCGACCACTGCGACGGATTGCGTCGATTTGCCCGTTTCGGCGGTGCGACCACGAACGCTGAGAGGTTTGCAGACGGTGATGATGATGGTGGTGGTGGTGGTGGTGGTGGTGGTGGTGGTGGTGGTCGGAACGAGAGAGGAGGAGAGCAAAGAAATGTGCAGTGCAGTGCTGAGTGCAGTGCAAGCCCTTTCCCCGGTCGGATTATTCGAATGGTTACATTGGGTATTTGCTCTTGACGCCCAGCGTGCTGTTGGTGTTGCACACAGGTGACAGTACTCGTACACATACACAGCGTATCTAGCGTACTGAGTAGCGTTCTCCGACTGCCTACATGCTGGTATGGACAGTACTCGGCACTTCAGTACTTTGCTGCAAAGTGCTGGTATGTGCACCACTCTGGAGATTCTGCACTACAGTAGAGCAGATACTACTCTGCACAACTTGGCACGCACAGCGACCGACGGTTCAATTCTCCTGCTGACACCCTCCTTTTCGGTTTCTGTTCGAGGCTTCGGAAGACTCTAACTACGGTCCTGCAGACTCCTGTCCGGAACGATGGGGAAATAGAAACGGTCGAGTGGGTGACCGACCGCAGCAGCAGCGCATCCACACCCACAACCTACAACCCACAGACCGAGCGAGCCAAACCGGACCATGCTTGTCTGCGCCTGCCCTGTGTCTCGAATTCATGCGAGTTGCGAGCAGGGTGAGGCGAGTGGTGGGCTCAGCATTATTTATTACACGACGAGCTAGAGCGCATTCGTGGTGGGGGCGTTTCGCTGGGCGGGGAGCCTTTCGTGAGGGAAGCGCTGGTCTGGTTGGCGGGGGGGGCAAGAGGAGGATTTCCGATCACGCCATGCTGCAACGGGACTGGCTGGCGCGGCAGAAAGGGGTGGCGGATTTCGGAGACCGAAAGAGTCCCTGCCCTGCGCCTGCCACACCCACCCAAAGCCCACAGCCCACGAACGACTGGTCTGGCTGGCTGGCTGGAATCTGGATGGATGGCCTCTCGAGTCTCCAGACTTCCAGAGCCACCCGCCAGTAGCAGCCCTGGTGAGAGATGCGCAGCGCGGTTGGAACTTGGAGGCTTCTCTTTTTGGCTCCACACGGTGACACCGTCCCATCGGTTTGGCACTTGGCGGCGAGAGCAGGCTGAATTGCACTACCGTATCCACGCAGGCACATCGATAGGGTAGAAGCTCTAGAAGAGTGCTCGAGTGTAAGGTTAAGTGGTGCCTCACCTTGAGTCTGTAACTCGTAATGGTGGTGAGGCACGACTTATTGGCTGTTCCTGGTACGGAGTTCGATACAAGGAGGGTAGTTGGTGGTGGTGGTAGGTGGTGGTGGGTGGTGGTGGTTGTGGAGGTGGTGGTGATGCTGACGATGATGCTGATGCTGCTGCTGCTGATGATGATGGTGGTGGTGGTGTGTGTGTGTGGGTGTGTGCAGCCCCAGATGGAGCTGCACTCCAGAGCGCGTCTGGCTCCCCGGGGTGAGGATAAGGACCGTGAGCGAGTGGATACTTGATATGGAGTATCGTTGCGGTTCGCCGTGGGGAGGAACGACGAGAGACGATGATCGTTGCGAGGAAGCAAGCGACCAGCAGCAGCCCAGCAGCCAAGAAGCCAAGCAACCACGCAAATCGCAACCACAGCAACCAGAGCGCCCAGCCAAGCACCACCCCCATCGTCCCCAATCTCCAGAGAAGGCAGCAATCGCCATCGCCCCCGACGCAAGAAGGAAGTGGAAGTGAGAGAAGTCTCCACAGCGACGAGACGGTGGACAAGGAAGAGCAAAGTCCCCGTACTCTAGAGTGCTAGTAGAGTAGAGTGAAATGGAGTGAGATGGGAAAATCCCTTTTCTCACCCTCCCTGCCAGCCGCCGCCGTCCACCATGGATACTTACGGATGGCCACTCACATCCTCCACTCACATCCTCCACCACCCACCACCACCCACCACCACCGCCGCCATCCCACCACTCGCACCCCACCAGATTCTCCACCCTAACCCACCCTAACCCACCCACCCCCCTTTCCCTCCGTCCCGTCCGTCCTCTCCTTCCCACTTCTTCTTGCCTGCTTTCTCCCTCCTTTCCCCCCCACCACAACCACCTCCACACCCAAGTCATTCCAAACAACCCCAAATAACCCAAAACACACTCACACACACACCTCCCTCCCTCTCCCTCCACCACCACCACCGTCGCCTCGCTTTGCTCCCCCCCATCCATCCTTCTTCTTCTTCCATTCTCGCCTCGCACCTGCTCCTTTGTACTCCACGCTACCATTACCAACTACGGCGCTGCTGCGTTGATACCATACCAGTGGCCTTTGCGACTACTTGAACTCTCTGCTCCCCTCCGCTCCCGCCCTGCCGTAACTCTTGCCGCCTATCCAGCCCGCTCCGAATAAATAAACTACCATCTCGTCGCTGCATTTCGCCTTCTCACACACCCACCACTCACCGCCCACACCACACAGCCATCAAAACACGCCACCCTCCCCCCCTCCACCCCCCCCCCCCCCAAATCTTATCAGCCGAAGTTGCCTTCGATAAACTCCCTCCACACTCCCCTCAACACCGTCCAACAGCAACTGCAATAACAACCATAACAAAAACATCCATCCATCCACAACTGCTTCCGCTCCCGTCCTTGTCAACAACGCCTTCGTCACCTACCATCAACTTCTCCAACACCAACACAATAAACTCCTCAACATAACCCCATTCAACTCGTACATACTTCGCCATGTCGTTCGGTTACCAATATCAAGCAACATCCTCGTCGGGCGTCCGCTCTCGTAGGAACCCTCACCGTCCTTCCACTTCTCTCAAATCCTTCCAGATGGTCCGGCCAAGAGAGGAGCTGACAGACAGCCCAACAGTCCCAACTTTTGTTGAGAAGTTCGAGGCTGGTCGGTCGTTCGACGTGGAGGACGATTTCGCGTTCATTCCCGAGCTGTGCACGGAAGAGGAGGTATGTTTATCCATCGTTTGTGCGGTGTGCGGCGATCAAGGATCCATCCCACCCCTTCGTGTAGGAACCTACCCCCGCTGACATCTATCTCTCTCGATAGCGCATAATGCTTGATTCTGGCTCGGATCGTTCGTCGACGTCAAGCGGGTCCCCTCAATCGTCACCCCTACAACATCAGGTCCAGCCGTCACCTGCATACCCTCACCCTCCAGCGTACGCGAACATGTTCAGCAACAACATGCTCAAGTACTCGCCCGTCCCGTCGCGACAGCGCAACGCGATCCCCATCGTGAACCCCTCCACGGGTATGCGTGTGTCGTCGCCGTCTCCCAGCCGTGTCGGAACCCACAGCCTCTCGCGAAGGGCTTGGTAAACCACCAACTCCTGACCCCCCTCCACCCCATCCTACTAGACACAACACTATACGCAAAGTTCGGTAATGCGGCACGGCAATCATCCTCCAACCTCGAACTACTACCACTATCTACTCCTCCTCTCTTCTTCTTTTCCTCCTCCTACCTCTCTTCCGCTTTAGCGACTCGGCTTCGCTATGTTAATAGAATGCCTTGGTGTTAACAACTTGTACTTTTTTGGGTGTATCAAACCTTGGGATGGTGTTTTGTGCGCATTTGCTTTGCGTTCACGGTTGGGTTCCTTTTCCTCATTTCTGGGTTCTTGGAGTGTGGGTCATAAAAGAGTTGCGTTCGGGCTGCTGCATCTTTTTCTTTTCATGAAAAGCGAAAATCGGTTCCCTTTTTGCGGCTGGGGGCTATCGGTATAAATACTTCCACGTCATTGTTCTCTATTCACCTATACATAGTTTCTTCCTCTTCCTTTCCACTTTCGTCTCTTGTTTTTCTTCTGTAGTGCGGCGGTACGGTTGATTTCATTCGTTTCCTTTGTTACCGGGGATTATTATATCTTAGTCTTCTTTGGGAGTTTATGTCTTGGGAGGGTTTGGTTGGTTTGGTCGGTCGGTTCGGGGATCGGGGGCAGGTGGGAGCGGAGGAAGGGAGGGACTGGATAACAATTGGTGTCTTGATCGTTCTTTGTTTTACCCGAGTGCGTTTGATGACTTTTTATTCTGGTGGTGTTTTTTTGCTATGGGTGGATATCCAATTGCTTTTGTGGGCCTTGCAGATGGTTGGTTGGGGATTGGGATTGGGATTGGGAACGGTGGATTGGACGGGGTGGATTATTGTAGTTTGCTTGCTCTCTCTTTCTCTTTTGTTATGGATTTTCTACTCTGTTTTACTTACTGCTTTGCTGCAAGGTGCAAAAGGAGCTGGCTGGTGCAATGAATAGCGACTGATCTCTCGATACTTTATCTTTGGATGGTTCTTTTTTAGTTGAAACTTGGAACTTGGGGCGGTGTTGTTTTTTTGTCTTTTGGGGGGGAAGGGGTGGTGTTTGTGTACTCTACTACTACTACTACTACTACTACTACTACTACTACTACTACTATTATGTGTTTGCTTTGATACAACTTCATATCTGATTCCTTCCTGGTGGGCAGTGTGTATAACTTGGACCATGGTTGATCTACATTCTCGTCGATACCTACCGTACTCTGCCCTCATGGATACCCTGGTGCTGTATCTAGGTAGAGTACTGCTGGCAAGTTGCAATGGGTGAGGATCCTATGTCTATTACACAGACTCCACAGTCGGTGAGGATCAAGGTATTTCGCCGATCGAGGCCGTCACACGGACAGGTCCGCGCGGGGAGGGGGGGACACGCCAACGGTAGACTAGGTACTGTAGGTACGATGTGTCCGAGTACCTACAGAGCTAGATACAGCACCCACGTATCTAGCCAGAGCTACCTATGAAGGTGCAATACATAGTGGAGATAGCTCCAGCAGCACTGATGTGATCTCGGGTAAACAGGAGTGCGCAAAGACGTAAAGAACCGGCGACTCGATCGGCGTCTGCTCCGAGCCTCTCTTTGGGCCTCCACGTTGATGTTTACATACGAGAGTATGTACTCCACTAAGTTCTAACTGGTAGATAGCTAGAGCTAATCGGTTGATACTCTAATGTTAATGTTAATATTCTACGAAAGTCTGTGTCTGTGGAAAGTAAATATGAAAGTAAATGTAAAAGTAAATATGAAAGTAAATATGAAAGTGGAAAGTAACATTATGGCTATCTCGGCTCCGGCGCTGATCGGTACTCTACATATATCTCTCGAATCTCCCTCTCTGAGACTTGAGACTCTCTAAGATTCGAGATATGAGGCAGTAAGCTCGCTCGCTCGCTCGCAGCTCGCTAGGCGAGATGAAACGGAGATTGTGGTGGTGATGGTGGGGGGAGGAGGGCAAATTCTGGGTGGGTATGTGCACTACCCATACCGTATCTACTCTACCTACTTTACTTAGTGGGGCGGCGGCGGCGGTGATCGGGGTGGCGATGGAATGAATGTACTGTACTGTACGGTACTGTACGGTATCTAAGGGGGTGGAAGGCGATCGAATCTTGAGGTTCGATTCTCGAGGACTTCACGTGTGCGCCGTGCGCCGTGCGGGCTATGCGTCCTATGGGGGGGAAATCACTTTATTGACGGATCTATGAACCTAAGTAGATCGCGACGTTCACACCAAGGAGCTATGCGTCCTATGTAGGCGGGAATAGAGTAGTAGTTGCGGATATCTATCAATGTATATAGGAGTCCTGTGCCCGCCACAGGCGCTCGCCGCTCGCTACTCTACATCATTCTACTACCTGGTTTAGCCCTTAGGGAATCTAGATTCTAGGCACGGGGTGTTTACACTCGTATACTGTTGCGGCGGCGGCGGCGGCGGCGGAACTAGGTACTACCGGTATAATTCACTCGACCTTCATGGGGGCTCGTGATGCGTACGTGCGGCCATGACTCGTGATTCGTGACTCGTGACGCCCGGTGATCCTAGTGATAGTGTAGATGGATGGCCTTGAAGACTCCGGCCGCTCTGCTCCGCCACGAAGACGGCCAGTCTGTCAGCGCCCGTCACTGCTCTGTCTACGGATTGGATCGGATTGGATTGGATTGGATTACGCTCCACGCTCCACTCCACGCCGCCATCGTTGGAGTTGGAGCCAAAGTTGGAAGTTGGAGTCAGATTCGATATCCCGAGTGACGCGACGTGAGCCACGCCCTTCCCACGCCCTCCCCCACCCCCCACCGCACAGACGCTATTACATACACACGCGCAATGATGGAACTTGGCTGTCGTCATACGGGATTGCGCGAGAGCTTTGAGTGCCGCACTCCACTTTACTGCACTCCACTTTCACTTTGACTTTCGATTTTGTTTTTGTGTTTTTTGTTTTTTGTGTTTTGTTTTTTATGTTTTGCGTCACGCCGACTTCCGAGCAAGCATGCTCAAGCTCAAGCTTAAGGACCAGGCTTAAGCTTGATGTTGTACGCATACTCTCATCTAGTTCGATCATGGCCGGGTCCGAGCAAGGTGGGGCCTGGTGGGCCCGATGCTGGCAGCCAGGCAGCGGAATTTGTTTCTTAGATGTGAGTACTGAGCACTGAGCACCGAGGGATTCTCATGTGGTCTGTTTTCGTATGTCTGGGAGCTTGAGGTGCCGGCTTTCCAGGAGTCTGGACAGTGATCGACCGGAGGTTCCTGGTAGTGCTCCGGTATGTGCGTGTATCGGTAGTCGCTACGGCACATACGCAACAGTTTTGCCCTTCCTCCGGGGAGGGGAGATGGAGGGGCAGTTGTTAAAACGATGGTTGGAGGATTACACGTGACGTGAATTTGATATCTCCCACGGCGGCGCGGCCACCGCACTGGCATGCCCGCTCGGCGCTCGATGCAAGCTCTTTACTCTACCTCGAGCACCTACCCTGGCACTGCTGCACCCCAAGAGCTTCTTCATCTACGACCCCACTGTCACTATCAATGTTTCTGCGTGTGTACATAATGTAGGTTTCCCGTCCCCGTCCCCGCCCTCCAACACAAGCTCCCGCGCCTACAGACGTGCACCTACCGGTAGGTATGGACCCTGAGCCCAACAGGAAAATCTCGATCAAGGAGGGAACTTTCTGGAAACTGGTGCCTAGCGGTGGATTCGCAGACGGTGCGTGGCAGTGACTATGGTGGCAATGAAGTGGGGAAGCTGGCCCCTACTCTACCAAGGTTCACGGCCTGTGACGTAACCAAGTGTTCCTGATTTCTGGTGCCTGGACACGGTTTGTGGGAAATGCTTCTTCAAGTTCCGAGTAGATAATCGCTCTTTACATATCAAACGGGGATGAAGATGAGGTAAAGTACTCAGTACTGTGTCTCACTTTTCGGGAGCACGCACATCGGTACAGATAACTACAGCTCTATGGTTGATATTCTATGATCCAAAACCACCCTATGCGAATGGTTGCAAATCACCGGCGATGCCATTCGCAATACAAGAAGTTAAACAAACAGACCCAACAGGTATACATCGCTCATCCGCATCTAATACCAGATACTCCTGGTCCTATGGTGGGGCAGTCCCTCGGCGCCCTTGCTCTCCATCTCCTTGGCCGTATCGTACAAGTAAAAGTCGATGAGCACGGCATTGACGTTGGCGCCGGGGTGTTTGCGGAGGATCTCGCGCCGGATCATCTCGATACACCAGATGCTTGCGCCACGGATCTGACACTCCCACGGTGAGCCCGACGGGATGGCTTGGTGGGCTTTGATGTGTGCTTCGAGCTTCGGAGCGAACTGGAGACAGTGTAGTGTTGTCAAAGTAACGGGGACGCGGTAGTCCGCGAACATGGTCAGCTCATTGATGTCGTCAAAGTCACCGTGCGACTGCCCGTTGAAGCACGCCCAGAGGTCTGCACCGATCAGCTTTGGAGCGCTACAATCAAAAGGATGGACCACCTACCTGCAACGAGTATCTGCGCGCGCTTGTAGAAGTTCACCTGCCGGCCTTCGAATATGTGCTCGTCACGAAAGCACGGAAACTCGTCAGCGAGCTTCATGACGAGTGCAACAGCGGAGCCTTCGGCCTCGCCGATTAGCGCGGCAATACTGCCTTCATATCTCTGTGAGTCTCAGTATCAACTACACATGGCTGTACGTTCGCATACCTCGCAGAGAACCCCACCAGCTTCTCGCAGGCAGGCGATGCGTTCGGGAAGCAGGGGGACTTCTTCGGATGTGCTGGAGCGGAAAACGTGTGCGAGCAGGGCATCGGTGCAAATCTGGCTGTCCACCCAGAAGTAAGGACAGGTTATTGGGATGCCTGGGAACGTCAGTTGGTCCGAGATATTGGCTTCACAGCCGCAGCGACAGTATATACCTTCATCCAGCGCCCTCTGTAACACAGCTACAATACTCCAATACCCCGTCCACCTCTTTCCCCTGTACTCAATTGCAAATCTCTTCGCCGCATCGAGCTCCGACCAGAACGAAAAGTTCAGTAGATCCATCGTAAAGATGAAGTTCGCCGTCTCCGCGGTCCTCTCCTTCGGGTGGAGCTCGTGCGTCGACCACGTCGACGTGGAGTACTCCTTCGCCTCCATAGCACCGTAGATCTTCTCCGCCGCAGCCACAATGTGTTCGCGCGAGAGAGCGACGTCGATAGCGTTGTCGACAATGAATTGGGCATCCCTCAGGACATTGATTTTGGGTTTCGAGACCACGGCTGGAGCGTTGCGGCCCAACAGCGCTGCGCGCATGAAGTCGAGCAGGTCATGATCGATTTCGTCGTCGGGAACACCCATGGCTGATACGAGAAAGCTGTCGAGAGCGGAGGATCGACTGAGTGATTGTCTTTGTTGGCGTGCCTGTGGTGCCTGTGGAATGTTGAGGAAGGAAGGGGTCACTCGAGCACCGACTCCTTGGGTGGAACGACTAGCTTGGTTACAGCTCTAAGAATTTATTGTCGCACGGACCGGACAGGGCAACACGTGACCCCCATAGAGCCACTTTAGCGGATGCACCTTCCAGGGTTGTCGCCGCGCACCTACCAACGCGTTCGCGACGAGTATCCTAGCACACAGGCAATCTGCGCCCTGTCCAGCCATCCAGAGCTGCTCCAAGCTTTCCCCACCACCGCCACGAACCGTCGAGGCTCCGTACGACCGCAGGCAGCGACAAACGAGTACTTTATACTCAATCATCCAGTCCTCCTCCCCTTCGTTTCCTCAGATCAATCAGCAAGGATGGGTAGAGATACTCGCCCCAAACAGGCCGTGGGCGGCTCGCTCTTCACGAGGATCAAAGAGGTATGGCAAACAAATACTCCTCGCGGGTGCTTCTACTGACACAGCTAACCACGCCTTACAGTCCCGAGTACTCCTCATCGGCGCCGGCGGTGTCGGATGCGAGCTCCTCAAGAACCTTGTCCTGACGGGCTTCGGTGAGATCCACCTCGTGGATCTCGACACGATCGATCTGAGCAACCTCAACCGGCAGTTTCTGTTTGGCATGCAGCACATCAAGAAATCGAAGGCTATCGCACGTCGTCCCGAGCTACCTCGTTTATCGGCGGAACTGACTGGGTCGTCTCCGGGGATTTAGGTGGCGAAAGAGACCGCGGGCAAGTTCAATCCGAACGTCAAGATCGAAGCGATCCACGCAAACATCAAGGATCCGCAATTCAACATCAAATGGTTCAAGCGTTTCAACTTGGTCTTTAACGCACTCGACAATGTGGACGCCAGAAGACATGTCAACCGCATGTGTTTGACGGCGAACGTGCCTCTTATCGAGAGCGGAACTACGGGGTACCACGGTCAGGTGCAGCCAATCAAGCAGGTTTGCGACACCAATTGCATGATCTATGGGGGGCGGGGGAGGAGAGCGGACTCTTATATTTCGGGATTACGTAGGGAGTGACAGAGTGCTATGATTGCAACGAGAAACCGGTGGCCAAGAGCTTTCCTGTGTGCACCATCAGGAGTACGCCGAGTCAACCGATCCACTGCATAGTCTGGGCCAAGAGTTACCTCTTCGCTGAGGTGTTTGGAACGTCTGAGGAGAGCACGCCGGAGCTGGACCAGAGTGAAGACTCCGAGAATGGTGAGTTCCCGGCACTTTAGCTGGTTGCAGCCGTTCGCGCACCGTGATTGACTTGATGCAACTAGCGCAGGAAATCTCCAACCTCAAGCGCGAAGCGGAGGAGCTCAAAAATATCCGCGAGAAGATGGAATCGCCGGATTTCGCTGCGTCCATCTTCGACAAAGTATTTAAGCGCGATATCGAGCGATTGCTGTCGATGGAGGACATGTGGATTACCAGGACTCCCCCAAAGCTCCTCGATCATGCCAAGATTGCGGAGGAGGCAAGTGGTTTGGGCCCCGAAGTCGCCGCGAATGATCAACAGAAATGGTCCTTGGCCGAGAACTATGCGGTGTTTGCCGACAGTGTCAAGCGTCTTGCAGCGAGGGTTTTGGAGCTCAAAACTAGTGCGAAGGAGGGAGAAGCACCGCCGATACTGAGCTTCGACAAGGACGATGAGGACACCCTCGATTTCGTCGCTGCTGGTGCCAACTTGAGATCGTACATCTTCGGCATCGAGTTGAGGACCAAGTTCGATATCAAGCGTGAGCCTAATACTGTCTCGTTTCTGGCTGGACCACTGACAATGCGCAGAAATGGCGGGAAACATCATTCCTGCGATTGCTACCACGAACGCCATCACGGCTGGAATGTGTGTGCTTCAAGCGTTTAAATTTCTCAAGGATGATGTCAAGTCTGGCAGGATGGTAAGTAAGATCATCCCCTAGCTTTTCCTGAGCTGCCGATGTTGACGTCAAAGGTCTTCATCGCCAAAAGCGACATAAAGGCCCTGAACGGCACACTCCTAGACGTTCCAAATCCGAATTGCCCGACCTGTGGCGTTGCACGGTTGGCTGTCGAGGCAAATATCAACCGTGCTACTCTCGGTGAACTCGTAGAGAAGGTTGTCCGTGGCCGCTTTGGATACGGAGACCTCAGTATCCTGACATCGGAAATGCTTTACGATCCCGACTTCGAGGATAACTTGGAAAAGCCGCTCAAGGAGTTGGGCTTCGGTGAAGAGACGTTCGTCACTGTCATCGACGATGATGAGTCTGGCGATGTTCAACCTCGAGTCAACCTTGTCATCGCCGTCACCCACAAGTAAGCTAGATATTCCTAGATATACCGGGAACAAACACTAACCATTTTCAGCGAGGCACTCGATGAGTCTATCCCTCTCCCGGAGAAGGTCGAGATCCCTCGGAAGCTGAAGACCGAGCAGGAGGTAAGCGAAGAGGATGACGACGAGGAGCTGATTCCGATTATTCTTGACAACGGCGTCAAGCATGCGCTTGAAAATCCGGACGAGAATGGAGTCGTCAAGAAGCGAAAGCTCGATGGAGACCTTGCCGTCGGCGAGAGTAGACCCAGCAAGAAGCAACTTGTCGGTAGGCCTGTGGACGGACCGATCGATGTGGATGACGACGGTTCTATCATGATCGATTAGACGAACACCGTCAATACACCATACTGCTACCATAGTTTCTTATTTTTCTTTGCGCTTGTTGACTTGTATTACTTAGGTTCCTTCCTTCACTTGTATCTTCCTCTCTTTCTGTTTGGTATTCATAAATTGTGGGCTGGAGTGCAACTGCTTCTGGGTTTCGTCATGTCCTTACCATTTACACCGGGTGTCTGTCTTTCTGCTGGTTCCCGTCTCCCTATCTGTCCAAGTGCCTTTCCATCTCCGTGTCTGTCTGCCGACGTAGTGGGAGGACCATATATACACAACCGCGAGCCTACCTTCACCGTCATCATGTGCACCCAAGCCCACCATCAACCACAATCTCTGCGCCATTCATGTATCCATTCCCGACCAAAAACACCACCGCATCCGCCACCTCCTCGGGCACACCAAACCTGCCAGCCGGCGTAGCCCCCAGCGCCGCCTCCCTCGCCGCCCCCGTCATCCCAGTGGTCATATCGGTCTCCACATACCCCGGGGTGATGACATTGACCCTGACGCCGCCTGGCCCCATCTCTACCGCCAACGCCCTCGAGAACCCGACCACACCCGCCTTCGACGCAGCGTAAACACTGCTGCCGGCGATATGTCTATGCAGGCCCAGCACGCTGCCGATATTAACGATGCAACCGGCCTTGCGTACGAGCATGTTCCGCCCGATCGCGCGGCTGGCATAGATGCTTCCGAGCAGGTTCGTCTCCAGCGTTGCGGCGATGGCGGACTGCGACGTGCGCACCAGCAGCGCGTTGCACGAGACGCCCGCCGCGTTGATCAGCACGTCGATGTCCTTGTGTGAGCGCCGGATCGTTTCCCACAGCTCGACGGAGCTGACGGAGCCCGTGATTGTCGTGTGCGGCTGGGTGGGGTGCGCGGGGAGCGTGGCGAGCGCGGCGGTGAGCTGCGAGGTGGTGCGCGAGAGCAGGATGATGGATGCGCCGAGCGATGCGAACCGTTGCGCAATGCTTAGGCCGATGCCCCGCGAGGCGCCGGTTATGAGGATTCGCTTTGTGAGGTGGGGTGTTGTGGACATGGTGGGGGGATTGACTCGAGGGTTGGGCGAGAGGTAGGGAGCGGAACACCACAAGCTTCAGTGAGCTATTGCAACCGAAATCAATTATGACGATGTAGATGTAACGCGATGGAATCACCAATTGCTGAACATACAAACAGACAAACACACTGCCTCCGATCCTCCTATAACCCACAGCTCAACCAGCACAGGAGCTAACCAATTCATCCAGCCTTCCTCCCTCCCAAAAATCCATCTATCATCCACCCCACCTAGATATCCATCTATCACCATTACCGCAAATGCATAACTCCACACATAAGTACCCACCCAGACAACCGTGACAAAAACGCAAAGACCAAAGAAAAGAGAAGAGACAGCTCCAGGTATATTCTTTACTCCCAATCCTTAGGTGTAGTAAAGTTACTCCTCGGGCGGCCAATAGTCTCGACATGGAAACCAATCTGCTCCAGCTGCTTCTGATCCAAAATCAACCTACCATCAAAGATGAACGCAGGTTTGTTCATGCTCTCATAGACACGCTTGTAGTCGAGGTTTGCACATTTGAACTCGTCCCACTCGGTGCATACGACGACCGCATCCGCGCCGGCACACGCAGAGTACGCATCCTCAGCGATCGAGACCTGCTTCTGCAGATCCGCCAGATCATCGGTGACGCCGGGCTCGGTGAGGTCGAGCCAGATTTGGGATTCGGCGACTTTGGGATCGTAGATGGCGACGTTGGCACGCTCGGCGCGGAGATACTTGCACAGGGTGATGGCGGGAGACTCGCGGGTATCGCCGGTGTCCTTCTTGAAGGCAAAGCCGAGGATAGCCACCTTCTTGCCGGTGAGAGTATTGAAGAGACAGGAGATGATGCGGTTCAGGAAGCGCTTCTTTTGGTATTCGTTCATTTCAACGACCTGGCGCCAGTATGCGGCAACCTCGGGGAGGTGCAAGCTCTCACTGAGGTATACCAGGTTGAGAATGTCCTTCTGGAAGCAGCTGCCACCGAAGCCGACACTGGCCTTGAGGAACTTGGGGCCGATTCGAGAGTCGAGACCGCAAGCGTAGCCGACCTCGTCGACATCGGCTCCGGTAGCCTCGCAAATGGCTGAAAGAGCATTGATGGACGAGATCCTCTGAGCCAACATGGCGTTTGCGGCGAGCTTCGACAGCTCAGACGACCACAGATTCATGGTGATGATCTGCTCGCGGCGAACCCACCCGGCGTAGACATCTGCGAGCGAGGCGGCTGCGGATCGACCAGCGTCCGTGTTCAACGAACCGATCAGGACACGGTCGGGGTTCATCAGATCGGCGATGGCCGTGCCTTCAGCGAGGAACTCGGGGTTGGAGAGGATATCGAATCGAATTCCAGGACGAGAGTTGGCTTCGAGCTGCACGATAATCAGCAAACCATCCAACGTGGTATACCCATCCCCAGGAGGAAGAAAGAACATACAATGAAGCGCATGCTCTGCGCAGTCCTACATGGAACAGTGCTCTTCTCGACGACAATCTTGTCACCCTGCGCAACCCTCGCAATGTGTCTCGTAGCACTCTCAACATAACCCAGATCGGCGGCATATCCGGCACCCATCCCCTTGGTTTTGGTGGGGGTGTTGACCGAGACAAAGATCAGATCCGCATCGATGATACCCTGATCCACATCGGTGGAGAAGAACAAGTTCTTTCCGCGGCAGGCTTTGACGACGTCCTCCAGACCCGGCTCGTAGATGGGAAGCACATCTGAGTTCCAGGCTGCGATTCTAGCCGCGTTGAGATCCACGATCGTTACTTGGATGTGAGGGTTCTTGAAGGCAATGACAGCGCATGTGGGACCACCTGGAAGGGACAACGACAGGTCAGCAAACTATCCCGTGCGCAGTCCCGGGTCGAAGTGCAAAAAGCCATCCGATCATCAAACGGAAGAGAGGAGAGTGAGAGCCCATACCGACATAGCCAGCGCCGAGGCAGCAGATTTTCTCTACCTTCTTGTGCGGTACATCAATCGCATCCAGCGGCCTGCTCAATCGCTGGGCAGCGGGAGTAACGGCTCCCGACCTATGGTCCATAAAAATGCTGGCTGGAATCGACGTGGGGAGTATCGTATCCATCTTTTCTGCGTGCGATTCGATCTTTCGTGAAGCCTTGAGTAGGATTAGGTGTCGAGATTGAAATTATAGAGCTCTGGTAATCTTATTTAAGCTAGTGAGGGAGCTTCGGAATGGCGTGTCAGTCTTAAGATCGATAGAGTACTCGTGTTCAATAGGGTCGAGGTGCCTACACGGCTGAAGACTTCGTAACAGGAAGAAAAAAGAAGAAAAAGATGCAGAGAACTCGAGTGAAGCTTAGTGCTGGGTATAGATGAACGGACAAAGATATGATGGAGAGATTTACGAATTGGTAGATGGGGGCACCGGGTATTTAACGCACGAGAGGAGGATAAGAAGGAACGAAGGAGATGATGATGCTACATAGAAGTGTGGGCATGGACTTGATCGGGATTGGTTCCCTCAGGGGCTATCCTCGAGGTCGGCGGGGGGAGGGGGAGGGGGGAGGAAAGTGGTGGGGCGGGCGGTGTTGGGCAAAGTTAGCTGCTCGGCTCTCGTTCGTTCGGTACCTGGCTAGCTTGTACCCAGCTGTCACAACACGAGATATCCGATTGATCCCTCAGCAGGCAATCGAGCAACAATCGAGCAATCACGGACTTGTAGAGCTGCAAGGGGTAAGGCTTTCCGGCGCGGTGGGCATGGGTTGTGCTAGCCCGCATGGCACGGCAGGAGCCCACCAACCAGTGTTTGTATGTGAAGAATTCCGAGTCCTCACACTCTTCATGCTAACCGCAAGCATCGGTCCGGCATACATGGTCACAGATAGCAATTGATTGATTGATACCGAGATTCTATGGCTACCGAGTGGACAGGCGGCCTCGGAGAGACGAGACATGTTGCACATCACAGCTTGCCACTGCTTACTTGGTGTCCCAGCACCCGGCGCAGGCCTCCAGCGCGGATCTAGCTACTGGATACAAGCAACAACGCAAGAGATCTTCGGCCTTCAGGCGAACTTTTGGCCTCAATCATGCATGCACCTATCTTTCACCATGCCGTAGAAAAGTCGTTGGCATATTGTAGGCGCTCTACGTGCGCACAGACTGAGACTTGATTCTTATGTAGAGCATGTGCTCTAGATATGTACACGGTCTCCGCCGAGTGTCGTGAGCATGCGAGACATAAGGATGAGTATGTATGTACAATATTTTCTTTGCTATCAGTGGGAGGTAGCTAAAAATTCCCACTTCTACGCTTCCCGTCCTCCTCCGAGTAGCTGCGCACTTTCTTTGCCGTCTTCCTCTTCCGAGCTTTCTTCTTCATTATCATCCTCGTCGTCCTCACCACCCTCGTCTTCACCGTCGTCACTCTCTTCCTCTTCGCTCTCCTCCTCCTCTTCGCTTTCCTCATCTTCCTCTTCCGATTCGTCGCTTGCCAAAAAGTCCTCTAAGCTGGTCTCTACCTTGCCATTCGACTTTGGAGCCGTCACTCCATGGTCTTTATCCTCGAGCTGTGAAAACCTCGGGCTCCCCACTACAGGGCTGCCGAATGCCGAGCCCCCACCGAATGCTGGACTACCAGATCGGCCAGATCCCTTGGACCCGATAGCCATCGCAGCACTAAGCGCTCCCTTCGTTATCGTGCCCTCCGTCGCCGGTGGCGGCTCTCGCAACGAAGGACTTGGCGCCCGACTGACACTGATCCACTCAGGGAGTGCTTCGTAGCCCCGGATGCTTTCCTCTTTTCCTAGCACCATCGCAGCTGAGCCAATGGTGAGGTCTTCGCGCCCCGTCGACGGACTCGGTGCCTGCGGTGTTGGCTTTGGTGCGAGAAGTAGGAGTGTTGCTAGTTGCGTGGATGATGATATCGCCAGTAGTGACTTGTAAAGTCGTGCTCGGTCTCGCAGATCATAGGACATGTCATATCGTGCCAATAGTAGAATATATGAAAAAAGCAATGCGATGGGATGCTTCTGTGCTTCATCGCCATACTCGTCACCGACGTCGCTGTCGCTCGACTGTTGAGGGGGGGAAGGCGCGGAAGGTTGAGTCCGATTGAGATGGTGTGCGTACACCTTGGCGGCCAGGAGGACAATCTGCTGTTTTGCTTGGTCGGACTCGGACGGGAAGTTTTTCGCAAGTATCCGTAGCGTGTCCGCCGCAACGTTATTGCCGTCATCCATGCCGGAAAACTCACCCACGAGCCATATTATGCTCGCCCGGGCCGTCGGGTTTATTGCTGTGTCGAGCGCCCGCGCCAAGCGAATGACAGTCTTCGAGTGGGCAGCTGGATTCTGCTGGATGATGTGGCGGATCACTGTCAGTGACTCGGCAACTAATGTCCCATCCAAAGACTCGACTTGTCTCAGAAGCACACGCAGGCATCGGGCAGCATTCCGTGTCTCGCTCTGCGCACATCTTCCGATTGCTCGCACGGCCTCCTTGACTAGCTCCTTATCGTAACCCTGAGCGAAGTATTCCAGCTCCGAGAGAATTAGGTTCTTTGTATACGTGTTGACGAACGGAAATATGAGGGTCAACGCTTCCAGTTTGAGTCGCCAGATATGCGGAGGGTCCAGATGTTGTACGAGGAAATGAGTTGCAAACGGCGAAAATGGCTGAGGGTTTTCGAGAGCGACGGAAACGATACTGATCAGTGCGATGTGCTGAATGTCGACTTGGGCGCGCAGCAAACTGACCAACGGGCCGGCAAGTTTCACGAGGTAGTCCGGAGGAGCAAGATGTCGGTATACCCGCGCAACGGCGACGATAACCTGTGTCGTTTGTTATCAGCAAGACAAGCCCAGGTAAACTCGGACGCCTTCTGTTTCCTTACCGCGCTATTCCGGCTCTGTAACAAAGGCGGACAGGCTCGCAGGAATAACTCCAAGTCTGTATCTATTCCACGAGCGAGATTTCCCCCACCTTCTTCATCCGAATAGAATTCTTTGTCACCGCTGGCCTTTGCCTTTGCCTTCTCCTTCTTTGCGGACTTGCTTCCCATCGGAAAGCTCTTCCTCGCATACCCCGTCAACAGCCTCAGCACAGCTAGCTGCCCCCACTCATCCATATCTATCATCATCTTGACCAGATTCCGGTAATGTGGGTGTATCAGATCGTATCTGTCCGGACACGTCTCGAGAACCGCCACCACCGCTGCACCCACCACATAATAACTCCTGTCCCCGAGTAGTGTCCCCAAATGGTCCGCCAGTTGCGGCATGGTCGTTGGATCCAATTTGTAGCATTTCGGAATCGCTAGGGCAGCGCATTTCCGTACGTACGCCGACATGTCCGTCACTCCCTTCTTGATAGCTAATGCCACGATCTGAGAGATGACCGGTACTCGAATCCCCGACATCACGCGGATCGCCATCGCTCGGACGACTTGGTTTTGATCGTTCAGCGCCTTCTGGATCGTGTTGATGGATAATAGCGCTAGGTCGGGTTCGGATTCGGCATATCGTAGGAGGTATATGTAGACCATCTTCTTGATCTCGAGCGTCGGCGAAGCCACGTTCTTGACAACGTCGGCGAAGAACTCGGAACAATCGGTGCCGCGGGACATCATCTGCGCGTGTTATCAGCATCCCATTCACATACCCAAGCGCCTGTGCGGGAGCCTTACAGTGATGACCCTTCGTAGACCGTCTAGTACTTCGCGATCCATCCGACTGTTCAACAACTTCCTTGTCTCCCTCGACGACGTGTGTTTACCGCCATCCCGCCGTCCTGTCCTTCCAGCAGCAGAGGCCGACTGTGCAGCTTCGAGAGTGAGATCCCTAGCTGTTTCGAGGAAGCCCGATATCCGGGACAGTGATTCCATTTTCTGGCGATAGGTGTTGATGGGCCGAAGCTATGGAGAATTGCGGGGCTGAGGCGATATGGCTGGCCGGGGATGGCTTGCTTGGGCCCGATTAATGACGCACGAGGGCGCGTTGGGTTAGGGTTGAAAGAGGAGCTTCGGCAGCAGCAGTGGCGCGTCTCCTCAACCGCTCACGTGCCAGAGGTCTTCAGCCATCTCCAGTCCTGACATCTTCTTACTTCAGTTGCCATTCAGATATATCGCAAAATAGGCACCATCCACTAATGACTCTGGTGAAACACCCCTTCATACTCTTGTCCCTCCGCCTCCCCATCCCAATCACCTTCCTCCGACTCCAGATCTTCATCCTCCCTCCTTAGACCATACATTTCCACGCTCTCCCATGCCCCACCGCTAGTGCCCGCTCCGGAGTTGAAGTACGTTCTTCCGAACGACGGACGGGTGCTTCTCAGGCCATCTCCAAGGCACGATGAGAGTGCAAAGTAGACTGGCAAGTAGTCAGTCACGCTGTCAGATCCCATAGATGATGAAGATGAAGCTGTGGTAAACCGACTGATAAGACAGATGCAGGGGATCACGAAGAGCAAGATTAGGATCCAAAGCATGGCGATGATGTTTTGATTTTCGGTGGTAGAAAATTTCGGCTGCGAAATGCTGGTCAAGAGTTTGAGATGTTGGGTTGGAAAGCGGGCTCGGGATGGATTTTGCAACTGTATGCAAGAAGTATGTGCCTCACCTCCGCTGGTGAGGAATGTTGGATTACCAATACGTAAAGACTTACTCATGAGCCTTCAACAGCTCCCACGACTCCTACCATTGTGCTCTCGTCCATGCCACCGCTTATTTTTACACCGCGGCGGAAATACGGTATTGTTCACTCCACGCGGCTCCGCCATTCAACCCTGATCCTCTGTGTAGGATTTTACCTTCCCATAGCTCACCGGTTAAGCTCAAAAACTGCGGAGAAATATTTAGCTTAGTTTGCGATTTTCGTGACATCTCTGGTCTGTGATACATGTAGATGCGCACAGTTATGTTGTCGTGTTCCGTTTGTACCTGCCGAGTGCCTGCCGAGTGCCTGCTCGCGGTGGTTGCACATAGAAATTCAGCCCGAACCATCGCATCTTCTCCAGACCTCCGTCCAGCTTCAACACATTTCCAACCAAACATTCGCCTTCCCGCTTCCAAATGTTCCACTCCCGCGCCTGCTTCTGATCTTCCAGATGCCATATCCGCGCCCTTCTTTCCCGCCGCTGCCGTTCCGTAATCAGTCACACGCCTTCCATCATCGTCTGCCGCCTAGCCCACTGCCGAAGCCATCCACCATACCCGCATTCTCGAACAGACCAATACACCAGCTTCCATCACCTCCGTCGCTCCTCCACACTCCCCCGCCGCCGCCGCAGTCCGTGACACAATGCCCGGACTACCTAGTATTAGCCCCCCTCTTCCCCGCCATCGCTCCCGGAACGCGCTGACGCTCCTCCCCGCCACCTAGCATCCATCGACCTGGACGAGTGCATCGAGCGCCTCTACAAGAAAGAGCTACTCGCGGAATCGGTGATCGAGGCAGTATGCAACAAACTGAAGGAACAACTCATGTACGAGTCGAACGTGGTGCACATCCTCGCGCCCGTCACCGTCGTGGGCGACATCCACGGCCAGTTCTTCGACATGCTCGAGATCTTCAAGATTGGCGGGTTCTGTCCAGACACCAACTATCTCTTCCTCGGCGACTACGTCGATAGAGGCCTGTTTTCGGTCGAGACGATTTCGCTGCTGGTCTGCCTCAAGTTGAGGTATCCGTCGCGTGTGCATCTTATCCGGGGGAACCACGAGAGCAGAGGTGTGACGCAAAGCTACGGGTTCTATACGGAGTGTAGTCGGAAATATGGGAACGCCAATGTGTGGCACCACTTTACGGACATGTTCGACTATCTCACGCTGAGCGTGGTGATTAATGACGACATTTTCTGCGTTCACGGAGGTGAGATCTCGGCCCCCATCCCATCCCCATGCACACATGGTCCGACAAAGACAGACGACATGTCCGAGCATAAAGCTGACCGCTATCTCCCACTCTAGGCCTCTCCCCTTCGATCCACTCGATAGACCAAATCAAGATAATCGACCGCTTCCGCGAGATCCCACACGAAGGGCCGATGGCCGACTTGGTCTGGTCCGACCCTGACCCCGAACGCGACGAGTTTACGCTGTCCCCACGAGGCGCGGGCTACACTTTCGGTGCACAGGTTGTCAAAAAGTTCCTCGAGGTCAACAAGCAATCACACATCCTCCGTGCGCACCAGCTGTGCCAAGAGGGGTACCAGGTACTCTACGACGATAGGTTGTCGACCGTGTGGTCTGCACCAAACTATTGCTACCGCTGTGGAAACATGGCAAGTGTCCTAGAGGTTAGTGATACAGGAGAGCGGTATTTCAACGTGTTCGAGGCCGCGCCGGAAAATGCGGAGCATAGAGACGCGGCGACGGCGCAGCAGGATAAGGGCGTTATTGTGGAGTACTTCTTGTAAGAAAGCTGCAGGCGGATGGTGTAGATCTGGTTTGGATTTATGTACTTGTTTGGTTGCTGTTGACTGGAGTTTGTTCAAGATGGGTGCTGTTTGTTTGCTCGCCACTGTTTCTCTTTGGCGGTCGTGGTGGTTCTGTGGGCGGCGAGTTTGTGGATATAGATACTTACATACATGTTTTCACGATAAACTTAAAGGACATAATGAATGGCAATAGATGTTTCACAGTCACTGTTTATTCATGAGTGAATTGGCTGATCTGCTTGCTGTAGCCGTACCTCTATCCAACCAGACTAAAGGTTGGCTCGGGGAACGAGGATACAATCAGCGGGTTGGGTGGTAACCGTCCACTGACAGGAGCGAGGATCTTCATAAAGCGTTTCTGATCATCGACCGAAGCACTGGAGAATTATCAGTCAGCGTAGTGGACAGGGTGGTGGTGGTGGTGGTGGTGGTGGTGGTGGTGGAGAATACGTACACGTAGACGAAGCCCATCACCGTGCTCTCGGCCAGAACCTCTTCTGGATCATCCAAGTTGGCATGCACAACTGCCATCACGGAGTGCTGGATAAGTATTGACGCTTCGACGCGCGTGTATAATGGCTGCTTCAGCTCTTCGCCGGCTGGAAGGAGCTCAGCGCCCAGGGTGCTCGCTGTAGGGTGCGTGTCAGTCAAATTGGTATGCTGATTGATGACGGGGAAACATACCGGTCCCGACGCGCCAGATTTTCACGTCGTCCAGTCCCACAGTCATGGTGTACGGTGACAAGGTCCTCTTCGGCTCGCCGAAGAAGTACTCCCTGATGGCTGTTTCCCTAGCCTGCTTCATGAACGCCTCTTCACGATCCACACACCCACCAGACTTCTGCAGCTTGACAACGGCGACCGGATTTCTGGGGCGATCCTGGAAGCGTCTGCACATATCGCTGTACAAGCGCTCCGAGCCAAGGACCAGCAACGTATCCACCTGGAACTCCGCCACAATATGCTGCACCATGTCGTAGCCCGAGGCCTGCGCTATAAACCCCGAGGTGTCGATGATGCATCCGGAGATGCGGTTTGCGTCGTTCTCCGAGAGCTTCGACGACACGGCGAGGGCCAGCCGCGATGCGAGGGATTTGTACAGCCTCTGGTTGGCGTCGGGGTTCTCGAGACCGTAATAGTACACCAGTGGTAGCTTCGCGGGGACTGGACTGGGGCCACTGGTAGGACTGGTTCCGAACCCTTCCTCGACATCCATGATGGTCGAGAAACTCGTTGCCGTGAGCGTGCCAGGAAGCGAGAGCATGCCCTCCTTGGGGTCTAAATTGACCACCACAGGCCTCCGACCCTGCCGCACTGCATACCCCGTCAACATCTTCAGTAGCGAAGTTTTGCCTGCATCCTGCGGCCCAATGATCATGACCCTCGGTCCCTGGGCTACCGGTGACTCCGACGCAGCACCACGGGCCCTCTCCAGCGCGAAGTGCGTATTGGCATAAGCGTTCATCGGAGTCTCATCGGACGTGTACTCGACGCTCGGCGTGCCCGAAACCTCGATGGTACATCCGTTCCAAGTGAAGACCGCTGCCTTCATGCTGGTGAATGTGAACTTGTGGCCGACAGGTAGCTCAGTTCCGAAGATCTCTGCGGTGCCGCGGAGGAGCTTAACATCGATGCTGCTACCGGGAGATACTTCGAAGCGCCATTCGCGATTCGCTTGGAGCTCGTGTTGGGTCTCGGTCGGCGGTTCCTATCGAGGATCTGTCAGATGTCGGAGCGGATGGAGACGGTCAACATACTTACGGCGACCTCGGAGTGTTGCTGCAGACCTGGGAGAAGGCCGGGAACCGACATGGTGGTTGTGATGGAGTGATGTCGGGAGGTGATGCGAGCTTGTGGGGTCGTCGTGAATATCGATGGGTACGGGATACGCGAACCCTGGTGGGTACCTGGCGCGTTCACTGGCGGCTGATCGACTGCACGTGAGAGGTCGGCAGCCAGTTCTTTGAAGCTCACTCGGCAAACTGACTGATCCACATGCCAACCTTCGCGAGACCAAGCTTGTCTTGTTACGAGTATGATGAAACGAAAAAGAAGAAACAGTCAAGCTTATCTCGGAAAAGCCTTTCAACCGGGGGAAACTCAATTCTGCATCACACAAAGCTCAAGAGTACGTACTCTACATAGAGTAAAGAGCTCAGGCTTGTTGGATCATGGACTCGTATCTTGAGATATCGCCCTGGACTTGCGATTCTGACATGGCCAATCAACCACCCGTCGCGAAAGGAGTTGTTAGCATAAAGCGTCTTTATTTCGTAATGCTAGGATTTGCATCATGAATCATCATCCCACCTTAGTGTCACCAGATCTCTAATTCTCCGTCGGGTGACCATAGAGTAACTTTAACCAACAGAGCGCTGTAATCCCGTGGACAGAAAGCGCCAAAGCGCGATGAGGATCCTCATTCTGTGGTGACCATGGAAGGAGCGAACAAAACATGCTCCTTTGCGACGGAATACTGTGCAAGTATCCAAGCAGTGCTTAAGTAAGTCCTAAGTAATTAATCTATCGGGATGTCTTCGCTTCGCCTTCAAGTTCCTCTTCATCTCATTGGCTTGGCAGCTCGGGTTCTGCTTGTGCTACTTGCACTAAAAGCTGCTGCTACTCTGCTTCTCTCCAACCAACCCCCATCCCTCCATTCTTCTACCTCTAATCCAAAACACTCACTTCCACCGCCACAACCACCACCATCACCACCACCACCACCAATACCAACACCACAAAAACCACCTCCCAATCGATACTTACCTCACCTTCTGCAATTCGAATAATGATCCATTGCTCCTGACTCGAATCTAGCTTGACCTCGTTTTCGCTCTCTGTTCTCTACTTCTTACTTTTCTGCCTAGCTACTTGTTGTCTCTTGAATACCGGCGGGACTCGGTTTGCACAGCGCGTCAACTGCAGAGCATAATTTTGCCAAAAAGTTACTTCCGTCCTTTACAAGTCGCTTCCATCCTCTACAACCTCTTAATTCTAGCCTCTTCGGACCCGCGATACCCTCTGTCATCATGGCCGCGAATCCGAGACAACCCCACTACGGACCCTACCAGCCAGTCCCGATGCCGCCGCCACAGCAGTCGCCTTATCCAGTCGCTGTGGGCGTCCAGTCATGCTACAACTGCGGCTCCGGCACACATATGGCCCAGTTCTGCCCGGAGCCACGTCGACAGAATCCAGCGTTGGTTATCCGGACGAATCTTTGTGATGCAGCTTCATTGCTGACCTGGGAACACTAGTGGTGCAATGGCGCAGAAACCGCGACCTCCCAAAAACAATAACAATGCCATTAGCAAGAAAGGAAGCAAACCTGTGATCACACGTTACGCTCCTCCTCCGGGCTACATTCCTCCTCAGCCGGGCACCGCTCCCCCGCCTCCTCCTCCTCCTCCACCCCCGCCGGTCGTGGTAGCACCACAATATGCGCAGCAGCAAGCAGCATATCCACCACACGCGGTACATCAGTATCCGCAAGCGACCACTCCTACCACTCCTCAATGGCAGGCATCCCCTCAGAGCTATACGACACCACCCCATCAATGGCAGCAGCAGCACCAGCCACCGCAGCCTCAGCAGCCTCAGCACCAGCAGCACCAACAGCATCAGCAGCATCAGCAGCATCAGCAGCATCAGCAGCACCGACAGCACCAACAGCACCAACAGCACCAACAGCACCAACAGCACCAACCTGCAACCCCGACCTACGGCCCTCATCAGCCACCGCAGCCTGCCTATAGTGGCTACGTGCAACCTCATCCGCCGTATGCCACGCAGCACTCTCCAGCGCAAGCATACCCGCCGCAGCCCGCATATCAACAGACCCACTTGCAGCCGCCCCACCCCAGCTACCCGCAGTACGCTGCTCAGCAGGTTCCACAGCAACCGTCTCAAGTACAACCCCCGCAAGCTGCTTACCACGCGCCTGCGCCATTGCAGGTTCCATCCTACGCCCAAGCAAATCAATACCAGGCTGTGCCATCAGCATCCTTCCCACCGCCCAAGCCACAACAGCAATCGCAAGGATGGCAACCGTATCAACCGCCCCCACCAACTCAGCCCTCCTACCATCAGCATCCGTCAAAGGGAGCTGGTCCTCCAACTCCATACTCCCGCCCACTAGCCCGTAGTTTCCCGAGGCAGAATGCGCACAATTCTGGTCAACATCATGGACCGGGAGGTCGTGGCGGGGCTAGGGGAGTAGGAGGAAAGAGTGAGCGACAGAAGCAATTTCAGCAGCAGCCACCGCCGTCAGCAGACACTGCCGCCCCTCGGCCACCGTCGCCGCCGCGCTTTTTCGCTGATCGAGTCTCACCAACTGTGGTAAAGACGAAATCAGAGGCCGTGGGTGAGTGCATTTCCCCCTCCCTTTCGCGCGGCTCCGACTGAATGTTCTACAGGGCTGAACGCTCCGCAACGTGTTGACCACCCAATTGGAGCCACTCACGATCCAGAGGCATCCTTGACCGATCCGGTAGTGGATGAGCCAGTCGAAAAAGGAAAGAATATCGTTGGCTCAAAATATTTTGATTCTGAAGGAAACCCAATCAACAGGGCGGATATCGAGGCAGATGAGGACATGAAGAATGATCCCGTTTGGATATCGATTCGCACCGGGGGGACGACACGAGTTATTCTGCACGGCGAAAGGGTGCCTCTTACAGCAGAGGAGGAAGAGTTGATCAAGCGGATGAAGGTCAATGTGGGCGGTAGTGTGAAGGCTAATGCAAATGCGTATGAGCTTCTGCATTTCCCGGGTCGATATACTGCTAATCGGTCCCGCAGAAATGCTGGTATCGACGCTTCAGATCCGTCTGCCGGACGAAAGTCTGAGGGCAAAAAGCGAAGCTGGGACGATTTTCAAGGCGGTGCAAACAAACCTGTGCAGGACCAGGACCGACGGCCGAATAAGAGACGCCATGGAAACGACGGACGGCACAGACGAAGTAACCGCAATAGACACGGGAACAGAGGAGGCGGAAACCGCAGGTAGGTCGCTATCGGCCTTGGGGTTCGCTATCGTCAACCGCTAACTTTCCGGATAGCACCCATCAGGACACACCTATGACTGGAATGTCGACTACTGAGAGCAATCAACCCGTGGTCCACAGATCAGTCCACCCGTTACCGCCCAAGCCGACGGCCGTACCTCCGCCAGCCCCTTCATCGTATGTAGACCGTACGCAATCATCCCATAGACAACACCCGAACTCACACCGCGGCGGACAAGATAATAAATTTCAAGCATCTCGCCCTCGTTCTAGCAATCGTCGTTCGGCTTCCCCTTCTCGTCAAAATGAATCGAATTACCGCCAGCGAGACTACGACAAGCTAAAGGCAGGTGACCAAAAGGAGACTGCTGTCAAATTGGAAGTCCCGGAGAATGCGGACGTGCGTCGTCGAGGCAGTGCAGCCATGGAGGTGTATAGGTGAGTGTATTCGAGCAACGTGTTTCAAGCCTGTTTGACAAGAGATTGTTAGCCGCCGATGGTAGCTCGTTCGTCCTCATTCCTATGATCATCCCTTCCTGTTTGTTTTTTATTTGCTTCTGTTTTTTTCTTTTCCCTCTGTTCTTTTTCTTTCCTTCTGTTCTTTTTCTTGATCTTTTTTTTTTCCTTACCATGGTTGCTATTCTTACTCAACAACCTGTACCATCATCTTTTGACCCCTTCCCGATCTGATGTGCCTTCTGTCTCTTACGGCTATTCTCTGGTTTGCGGCGTTGAGGTGCTTCTTGTTCCATCCTTTTACATTGCTTTCGTCTTGCTTGAACTTCCCCCTTTTTTGTGTTTGTTATAATTACCTGCTTGAAAGCTACAAATTTTGGGAGAAAGGAGGAGAAACCGTCTTGTGCCCTGTCTTGTGGTTATGTGGTTTCTCATGTTGCTCATTCATACCCGGGCATATCCATCCATCCGTCTTTGAGCAATTTCTATGGTTTGGATATTCACCCTACCACACCCGTTGATACCACCATTATCATCTGAAGAGACACATGATGTTTGAGGGACATGCCTCGATTTAGCGCAATGGGCAGTGTGCGTTTCTCGACAGACTACGTCGACTAGCATTTTATTCCTCCTCTCTGCCACTTTACTCTATGTGGCGTATGGTGTGCATCCCATTCTCATCAGTTTATTGTTACTCTGCTGTGCTCGCCGCCGTCGACAGCAAGCGGACTTTCCATCATCGCATATCCTACATTCACATACCCTGTTCAACCACCCCTTCTCTTCCTCCTTTTCCTCCTCCTCTTCGCTTCTCCTCAATCATTCCATCCAATAGAGCTTCGACCCGCGGATAGATACCACCAGTAGCTATTGGGCGCCGAGGGCGTGCCCCTTACTGATCACTAACTTAGGAACAGTTTCCCCTGAGTAGGTGCTTGGAGAGTGTATCACTCGAAATTTGGATGTTAATGGAGGGCAGCCTGCGGGTGATATGGAGAACAGGCTACAGCCTTCTCCGTGGTGGCGATAATCCACATGGACTTTCACCAGATGGATATGAGTTTGAAGAGTAGAAGCAGTGTGGAATAGTGGTATCAGTTTGATCGTCAAGATGCCAGAGGTAGTAGGTGTAGTCAATACAAAAAGAATCTAGCAAATCAGATCATCATTCTGCTCATAGTCACGGTGCCTGATCTTTCCCTCATCTACTTCAATCCTCATCTCCATCCTCATCATCATCCTCCTCACCAGGTTACCTGTAGTACAACTCGAGCGAACTTCCGTTTCCAATTTCGTAGTCGTCGATGGTGACCCGGTCGTTCAGAGTCGACGTGCCCTTCTTGAGCACGATCTTCTCGGGATCGGTACCGATATGTTTGGCAAGGAGCATCTTGAAGTCGCCGATTGTGTCGTCGGGCTCGCACTTTACGCGCACTTTTTTGCCGAGACGGTCGTTGCTGCGGGACTATTAGCAGGTGGAAGGAAAGCGAGGAGATGAGGGGAAGGTGCGTACCAGATGATCTCAATCATGGTTTTGATTGTGGATGGCTGACGGTCTCGATCTGTGGTAGAGTTGTGGAGGGAATATGTACTGGCGATGGAGGTGACGGCCAGATGATGCACTGGCAGTGGCACAGCATGGGAGACCCCGCCAGCTAGAGTAGACTAGCAGCTGCCTATTCAAGCTATGCGGCTCAAGTCCAGTGAGTTAGGCATTAACTAGCGGACCGTCCAGCTCCGCCACGAGCCAATCCGTCATCCGGAACCGCAACGCGTCTCACTCGGCCATTCACTTATCACTGCGTCTCACCCGCCCATTCACGCACCACCACCGCGTCCACCACCGCGTCTCCCCTCGCCACAATGGCTTTAAGCTGGCTCCACCTCTCGATCCTCTCCGGGCTATGCGCGGCCACCAATGGGCTGTTCGCAAAGCTGACAACAACGAGCCTTACCAGCTCGCTCGCGGGACACATCTCGACGCACCCGTTCGTTGAACCCGTCGTCCGCGCCGCATTCTTTGGATTGAACTTACTGTTCAATGCCGTCATGTGGACGTTCTTTACGGCCGCGCTGAAGCGCGGTGATAGTGCCACCAGGGTCAGCGTGGTTAATACTGCTGCTAACTTTATGGTACGTTGTTGCCCCCCCGGATGTGGGGATTTGGGAGGGGAGGGGGAAGGCGGCAGGCTAATGCATGGGGAATTCAGGCGACGGCATTGTTTGGCGCGATGGTGTTTAGCGAGAAGTTGACGCCTACGTGGTGCGCGGGCGCGGCGTTGCTGGTAGGCGGGAGTGTGGTCATTTCCAGGAGAGACGACGATAAGGAGCAGGGTGGGTATGAGGCTGTTGCTTCTGAGGAAATGGAGGGTACTATCGTGGATGAGGATGCGGAGGGGAGGAGTAGCGGGAGCGGGTACGAGGATGACGGTGAGGCTAGACGGAGGAGTGGTCTGTAAATATTGGTAGAGACGGTTGATATCATGTGAGCTTTGTAGATCATATGTAGGTGTTGTGTCCGTTAATGTCCTCATCGTATCATTCGTATTGCTAAGAGGTATCAAGGAAATTGCAAGTATTGTCAAGAAAACAAGAAAACAACATAAAAGCAACACTATCCCATTCCAAATAACAATGAAATCGCACAAAAGATATCCACCTCCGCAAGCATTGTCAAGAAAAAAGGTGAAAAGGAAAAGGAAAGCTATCCCATTCCGAACAACAGTGAAATCGCACAACAGAAATCTTCCTCTGCGAGTATTGTCTCGCCGCATTGCAGCTACTCCCCAGCACACCGACTCGACAGGAAATCGTCCATGTACGCCCTCCTCGTATCCCTCATTCCGCGCTGGAGATCTGCGTCCTTCGCAAGCGCTTCATCCTCCATCTGCAGTGCAACCGCCAGCACCTCGATCGGCGGACTAAATCCCATGCGGTGGGCACGCTTCCACCTATTCAACCTCGTGATGCCGATCGCCGGGCCGTACTGCATGCTCAGATCGAAATGACGGAGGATCTTCTCTTCGAGGGTGAGGGAGTCTTGGTGGTCTAGGTATTCAGATTTATTAGTAAGGGCAGTGGAAGGGAAGAGGAGCTGGAGGGGAAACACACAGGGTGTGCATAGCCGGCTCTCCCGGAGCTCGTAGTAGTACATCTGCACAGCGTCCTTTGAGATTTCTGCGGCGGCGGCTTGCTGAGCTTCCTGCAGCAGCTGCTTCTGCGAAGGTGGAGCGGAAGGTTGGGACTCCTGTGAGTCCTGCTGCGAGTCCTGCGAGTCGTCGGAGAAGCTAATGGCCATTGCTGCTGTTGAGCCCTTCTTGTCTTTGTCCTTGCTGAGAGTCGGCTTCGTGACCTTGGACTTGAAGCTCAGCGTGGCCTGGCGGGCGGTGGTGCGTCTGGGAGGTGCCATTATTGTTGCGGTTTTTTTGCTGTGGTTGTGAGGTAGTGAGAGTGAATGGAGGGGTTGTGGTGGAGTGAAGGAGTTGCCGTTGATATACGTCAGTGGGGAGATAGATCGCTGCGAGAGCAAGCTGAGCGGCCCCTGCTAGGGTGATGGGCGCTTTGCACTTTACACGCTGCTGTGATATCACTCGTTTCCTTGATGCAGGGACAGCAACGCGAACGGAACGGGAACCGAATAGAGTGTTCTACGGCTTCTCAAGTGCGATCCAAGGTAAACGCGATAGATTTTCCGATGATCGACCTGCAAATCGTAGAGTACCCACGATTCACAAAGGAGACTGCGATTGCCATTCACTCACCCACTCTCACTCATACGCCAAGCCGCAACCAAAAAAAAAGCTTGAACACCTTAAATCCCCTCCACCACGCACCGGCCATGCCACGCACCATACTCACATCACAATGCCCCGAAAATCTAGCAAACGCGTTCTCTCGAACCTCGACGACCTGACGAGTTCCCCCCCGGATGCGCCTCTCCCACCGTCACAGATAATCGCACGGATAACCCAAGCGCAAGGGAAAAACCTCTTTACATGCTCTCTCGCCGACGGCTCGACGATGCTGGCGGAGCTGGCGCCTATTTTCCGTGGCAAGGCATGGATGCGCAGGGGAGGATTTGTTCTTCTGGATACTGTTGCGTTTGAGGGGAGGGATAACAAGATTGATGCGCTCATTGTCAATGTGGTCCGGAATGACAGGGAGTGGAGGAAGATGGAGTACTGGTGAGCGATTCGGAGGATATGAGGGAGGGAAACATACTAACTGGATGCAAAGGCCAAAGGAGTTTCCGGCGAATACACAGCTGGAGGACAGTGATGACGACGAGGAGGAGTCAACGATGGGGAAGATGCCGCCGAATTCGGATGATGAGGAGTGACTGGATATAATGTCTATTACGCAAAGAATATCTAAGGTAATTCATACTCTACAGAGCGGCTGAGCGAATAAGATCCATAGGCAATTGCAATTACGACCGCTTCTTCGTCACCTTGACCCTCTCCCTTCGCTCTCGTCTAACCGGCCCATCCCCCTTCGCACCGCCATCGCGCAACAACCCCGCCACACTGAGCCCCAACACTCCCACCACCACTGCCGAGCTCATGTTCGTACTCGGAAACACGTTCCAAGCCCATTCCTGTGCCGCCCAAAGCGGAACGATCCATACGGGGCCGAACCCGGTCTGCCAGAGCACGTAGGGGGTGCCCCAGGCCAGCCATGAGTAGAACTGGTAGTGCAGGCTTCGGGCACACAGCATGCCGATGGTGTTGGCTGCCAGGATGCTGCAGAGGACGTAACGAGGGGTGACGGCGGCGGAGATTTGGCGCTGCTCAAAGCTTTCTTCGTCCGGGGGTGAGAAGATTAGGGATAGGAAATCGGGAAAGCTACCGCCGGAGGGACTGGAGCCGTGAACTGTCAGCCAGAGAACCGGAATTGGGTTTTAGGGGAGAGGAGTACCGGTTCCATTGCACGGCCAGAAAGAGAAGAAGCAGCAGCGCATGGACGGCTAGAAGCCCAATTGCGAACTCTTTGGATAGGAATGTCTCCTCGCTGATGAACCTCCAATTCACTGTCCACTTGTAGAAGAACTGCCGCGTGAACTCGAATGCGCCGGCCGCATAACTCAGGGGATACTCCATCACGAAAGGAGTCGCGAGCAAGAACTAAAAATTTAGGGCCGAGGTAGGGCAGGAGTGCAGGAACTTACTGACCTGAACCTGAGCCATGATCATAGCTTGCCGCAGCGCCTTATTCCTCCCCACGGCTTGCAGCAGTATCGCGCCGACGGCTGGCAGGACGAGTAACGTGTTCATCTTCACGCCCACAGCCATTGAGTACGTCATTGACCCAAGCGTCCACATCCTCTTCTGCCATAGCAGCACCGCGGCGAACAGGAAGAAGATCGAGAACGGGTCGTTAAACAGGCGGAGCATGTAGATGCTATGCAGGCGTTTTGAGAGCAATAGCAATGGCAGTATATATGGCGGTGCCTTACACGGTTAGATACGTTCGTTTCTTCTTCTCAAGACGGGCGGGTTCGAGGCACACCCTAGCTTCACGATAGCACAACAGAACAATGTAGAGGGTCGCCAAGTACAACGCAACAAACAACCACTGCGCTCGCAGGATATTCGTACCGTTGTCGGTGAAACGATACAGGAAGGAGTAGATGTAGACGTGGCCGGCTGGGTAGACCAGCGGTCCGGTGCCACCCTTGATCAAGGCGTAGTTTCGCTCTCCTCCGAAATACTGCGTCACTTGCTGCATGTACGCCGTCCAGTCGATCTCGGTGTCTGTGGAAGGCTTGTTTAGCTACAATGAGCTCTGGGGAGTGCCCATTGACACTTACAGGGCACTTTGAGAACCACGGCGGAGGAGAGCACGGCGTCCACGAGGAGCAGCGGCGGGATTATCCATAGCGGAAATCTGGTTCGTGAATTGAAGGCGAAAGACCAGGCTGAGTGGATATACTCCATGGCTGTGTTATGAATGAGAGAGAGAGAGACAAGACAGGTAGCAGAGAAGCCCGTGTTGATTCTGTCCCCTACATGGAACCTGAGTTGTTATCCTTGCTCAAATTAAGCTGTGGTGATTCAGAACGGAAGTTGCCGTTGCTACCTGTTTATTGGTCTTGGCGCGTGGAGGGGAATATCCAGTGTATCAACACTCGGAATCTCGCTCCCCACACCAATCCCCATAACCACTATCACCTCCCACCTCCCACCCTTCATTCGGCTCCAACACATCTACCGACAAGTCAATCACTTGGTCCGACTTCTCTACAATAAGCATTTCCGATGCAAGCCCCACAGAGCATCGAGCAGGAGTACGTTGCTATTCCACCATTACCGGCACTACCGCCGTGGTTGACATCCCGCACAGGTTGCTTGTACTCCTCCAGCGGACAATGGAGCCGGAGCTGGCTCCTCGACGCGCTGCCGAAGCTCAACTCGAAACGTTTTTACCCAGTAATGGTCCGTAGTCAAAACATACACCCACATTCATCACAGCGCTCCACCGGCTAACTACAATCCCGCCGCAGCCTATCCGGTCGCACTGGCAAACATCGCTTCGGCCCTCGAATTACCATCATCCGACCGACAGGCCGCCCTGATCGCCCTGAAACGATATGTCCTGCGATGTTGGAGCGACACATACGAGGACTTCCGCGGTCCACTGGCTTCCCCAGAGATCAAGAACCACCTCCGGCCGCAGCTACTCATCCTCGCTACCGACGACCAGCGGAAGGTCCGCTCGATCTCGGCTGCTATGGTCGGAAAGATTGCTACATCTGGTGCGCCTGATGTTTGGCGGAACGGGTATCACTCGCTAACACCTGCTCTGTGTGATAGATTACCCAGAGGAGTGGCCGGATCTCCTTGGCAATCTGTTGACCTACATCACCGACGGAACAGATACGCAAACAAACGGAGCGCTGCATGTGCTGAATGGTTAGTGTAGAGCCCTCGGATCATCTGTATCATCTGTCGGATATCTGACTGTACTGGGCTTTAGACGTGCTGGAAGAGGGATTGGCAGAAGAACAGTTCTTCGGAATGGCTAAGCAGATTGTTGAATTGCTGTACAAAGTTTCCACGAACGAAGCGGTGAGTATGATTGCCCTTGGGAATCCAGGGTATTGGCTAATATCCTGAGCTAGAGGTCGCTCGCTGTACGGTCGCTTTCGGTCTGCACTTTCAAATCATGCATCGACACTTTGGGGATGATGAGAGGAAATCATGGCGATGAGGTCGACACGTTCGCCCAAGAGGCTATGAACCTGTGGATGCCATTTCTGACCAGTGTCCTTGAGACACCTATTGCCTGGTCCCAAGACGGAAACGCGAACAGAGGATTGGTGTCGCTGAAGATCCAGGCCATCCGGGTATGTGCCGTGAACTCTCTGGAGGTATGCCTGTACTGACGGCGCAGACAATAATGCAAGCAAGGCAACATTTCGCGACCCTGTTCAACCAGTACATCGAAAAGCTCTTCGGCGCCACATGGATGGACATGAATCATTGCAAGGACATGTACGTCAAAGATTTTGTCCAAGAAATGGCAGAAGGACGTCTGGTCGATGTCGATTGTCTGCCTTTCAGCTTGGACTTGTATGTTCTCGAACAGCTTGATTTCATCACATCATGCCTCGGCAACCGAGCAGTCAAAGACCACATCGAACAGGCAGGGTTTGGTGGAGCCAATACGAGTCCATTCTCGCAGATGGTCTTCACTTGCATCACTCTTAGTCAGATTGCTGGAGAAGATAAGACCATGTGGGAAATCGACTTGAATGTCTTCTTGTCGGAAGAGACCTCCATCTCTGCAAACTACACTCCTAGGACTGCTTCTGGAGACTTGATCTTAAAGCTTGGTGAATGTTTCCCGAGCCAAGCTATTGAGTCACTATTCGACCATACTCAACGGATTTTCGGAGCTGGACAATCCTGGTTGATGAAGGAGTCAGTCTTGCATCTGTGGGATCAGATTCTGAACGAATACGCAGAGATGGATAGACCGATCAGCGCGGAAATCGCACTGAGCTTGCTGGGTTACATCGTCACCGCCATCAGCAGTTCTGATGAGGAAAACCAATTCCTTCGGGCCAGAGGATATTCCGTTGCGGCGACCCTGACAAAGGCGACATATAATACAGTCGGAGACAGGGTTACGGAGCTGATGGAACAGAGCATCCATGCGTCTACAGCCGACCCGTCAACCATTGTTCAGATTACCGCATTGAGGACTTTCCAGACGTACCGTGAGAAGGTTCCAGTGGAGGCGCTCCAGCCATTTCAGGCCAGCATCATCGCGTCCATCCGAGCATTCATAAACGTGAAGAACGACGACGACGATCCGGAAGACAGCCAGGACGTCCTCACCGAGCTGGTAGAGACTGTTCGGTCAGCGATAACAATCAACTATGCGGCTGTACTCGACGACAATCTTCAGATACCGCAGTTGCTTTTTGCTATCGCAAGCAATGGCGTCACCAACCACCACCTTACCGGGACCGTCCTGTCAACATTTGACGATATTGCGGAAGGTGCTCCGGATATGTACGTGCCTCTGTGCTCGAAACTATTGCCTCTCTTGATGCAGATGATGGACCTAGATGCCTCTGGCAATGAGCATCCTCTTATCAACCTCGCGACTGAGGTCTTGGAGGCTCTCCTTCGGAACGGAACGTCACCGCTCCCACAGGGCTTGGTCGCCAATGTCATGCCTAGGCTTTCGCGGATTTTGCTTGAGTCTGACGACACCGATCTCGTGCAATCCGGTTGTAGTTCCATGAAGGAGATTTTCCGGTTGGATTGCGATCAGCTACTCAAGTGGAACGATGCTACTGGCAAGTCCGGGCTGGAGATTTCCTTGATCATCATCGACCGGCTTCTCCGGCCCGAGTTCAGCGAAGGTGCCGCTATGGAAGTTGGTGGCCTCGCTGCAGAAATCGTGGACAAGGCGGGTGAACACATTGGCCAACTTCTGCCGGAGCTCCTTCGCGCCGTCGCGGCACGTCTTGCTACTGCCAGTCTGCCCAACTTTATCCAGAGCTTGATCCTCGTCTTTGCCCGCCTGGTACTTAAACAGCCCAAAGACGTGGTCGAGTTCCTAGCCGGCCT